TAACTCTGCAAATGGAAATTGGTCCACTCCCGGCCGAATGAAATCGAGTTAGTTACCCGGGGAGAGGGGCCGCAGGTGAAAACGAAAGGAAAGGGTGACACAGGGGAGTTTTAAGTAATTAGACAGGGTGCGCCGTACGGGAGCGAGTTAAGCATACAGGGCCTTGTCTCGAAATTAGCCCCGACGTGTCCTCTGACCTGGTCGCGCCAAAATCAAGCCCGACGACGCAACTGCGTTATTTCATGCGAAACACGTTATTTCCCGTGAAACGCGTCATTTCCCGGGAAACACGTTGCCTCCCTTTCGTTATTTCCCTCGCGTAGACGCGCCGAAAAATGTCCGTCCATCATGAAATATTCAGAAAAAAGAAAAGAAAAAGAAATACGCATCTCTCTATGAAAGATACATGGGCTCGGCAGGTATATCGTTAATGTCCCATTTGTCCTGAATCTCGGCTCTCCGTCTGGACGTGCGTCGGAAATTCGGATGTTACCGTTTAAATTGGAAAAATGGAGCACCTCCAAACCTCCCATGTTTCGCATATCCCTCCACGTTTCTCTCCAGCAAATTGTCAAATTTGTGAACGAACAGCTTTATATAATATATAAACATATTTTTCATTAATTTCGGACTCACCATCTAGCGTCGTCCCCCACGTCGTTAGTCTCTCAGCCGAGCTCGATTCGATCGCCACTTTTTAAGCGGAATAGTAATTCTTAGTTGGGTAATTTTAATTAGGTAATTATTCGAAATCTCTGCTCGTTCTCTCCCCCCTCTATATGATTGTCAACGCGAGTCCTAGCCGACTTATCCGATAATTTATGTAGTACGTACACCTATTTCATTCTAATTAGGTCAATGAGTCTACTTTGCGTTACTTTTCGAGTTAATTGGACACTGTCGGGGGTTGAAATTAGGCGACTCGAGTTTTCGCGGATCGAACTTAGGCTGGTACGTTTATACTTCGTCTACAATTATTGGCCATTAATTATTTCCCCCTATCTTTACGATATTCACGATATACTCGAATATTACTTAACAAGGGACAGATATTTCGACATTAAATACGAAGTTACGCGACAACGCACTTCTAGGGTAAAGTGTCATCGTTTAAAAGTCATTGCACGACATCGTCACCGTCATTGATCCGTTATTAATATCTCCTTTCTCTCACAATATCGTCCCAGCCGGCGAAAGTCGCATCTTCGTTCTCCGACTTTTTGCTCCGATCTGAGATACACATTTCTGTTTTTAATCCGACGATTAATTTTGTCCAATTTTAGACTCAACAAAGTTTTGTTCGAAGGACCGATACTAAAATATCTTTTGGGTGGAGCTAGCCCGGAAAATTGCGGTGGCAGGATAACGAGCATCCTCCTTTAAGGATTAAGTGCAGGTTCTCGGATTACGAACGTCATCCTGGTTACGTCGTCCTTAATTGCGCAACGCGAGGCCCGCCGCTGAAAACGAACTTTATTAACGCTCCCAGGGTTAGTCCTGTTCCTAGAAGACAGGAGAAATCGAAGAATCCTCACGGAATAATGGGAGTAATCATCCCTAACGAGCCCGAGAAAAGGGGGAAAAAAATGAAGGAAAACGATCCTCGCTTTAATATCCCCCACAATTACGTACATCTCTATATAAAAAAAAAAAAGGAAAAAATTCAAACAAGATTAATTAAAGAGTGGGAATTTTTTAATAAAGCCCCAAAGGAAGGATTCAGGGAGACAAAGAGTGGAGAAAGGAGAAGACGAGGCAGGACGAGGCAGGACGAAGCAAAGGCGATTTTCGCCGATCAAGGACCGCTCGGATTTAAGATTACGCGTTAATCTTTCCGAACCGGTATCGAACGAGACGACGTGTATACGTATCTATATAGACGAGATATGTATACGTGCACGCGACGATACGTCTGGGAAAACGGATGGTTTTCTCATATCGCGGCAGCGCCTCGGATTATTCCGAGTTTCATGAATGTCAGGGCGGATTTATAAAACGCAGGTGGAAATAAACGTGGCCGCGGTTCTATCCGGGACGCGCGAATTGACGTTGCATTTTAATAAAGAGAATTTTACTTTTCCAAAGCGGAAGCCGCTAAGGAAAACCGCGACGCAGGTTGTTATACTTTGCTTTCCAGCTCTCCAGGAATTTCGCTGGCAATATTTTATTGAAACGTGAGATGCGGCTAGGAAAAGAAAAAGAAAAATTTGCAGAAACGCGAGAGACCATAATAACGCGACAAGGGAGAGTACGGTCCGTAGGAAGGCGGAAATAATTGCGGCTCGTCTTACCGGCGTAATTTTCAACGAAAATTGGGGTAATCGCGATTACGAGGGTACTTCCGGGAGGAGGAAAAAGAAAAATAGCGGGAGGAATCCACGCTTTTCCCCGGTGGAGGGGTTGTTTGAGTTCGAGATTAAACGCAAATCCACCGCGGGCAGGTATCGCTCGGACGACATCGAAGAGGGCACACCGGGGAAATCGCAAACAGCTTTCCCTTATCGCCCCGGCCACCCTATCGGGAGCCGAATTTACACGGGGGCCAGCCACGAGAGGCCGCTTCTACTAATTTACAGAGCCCTCCGTCGAGACCCATGAAAACGATAGAAATTGGTGCAAGGACTCTCCTTTGAGGACGAATTTAAAGGATTTCAAGGATTTATAGGATTTCTCGTATCGACCCTTCGAACTTTTTCCTATGAAGACGCGAAACTCGACCGAAATCAAAACTTTGTTCTAGGGAAATTTTTAGCGGTTTTAGGGAGACCGGAAAAGATCGAGCGGGTTCCCCGGGAACCGCGCGGTCGATCCTCGTCGGTTCTCCTCCTAACCTCTCAACCCGGCGAGTTCGGCCGTCCCGTAACCTCCGTAACCTCGGTGGGTCGGTTCCGTCCGGCCGGGTCGCGGAGGCCCGCGAGATCGATGGCGCGTATTCGGCGACAGGTCGCGGAGTCCTGCGTGTTCCCAGCGTCGGTAGCCGCGCCACCGGTGCGACCACTCGGTTCCACGTCCACCCGTTGACTGAGCGGGTCGCGGCCCGAGCGGTGCCCTCTGTATCCGCGGGGGTGGCGCCGCGCGCCTCGGCCGTTCAAACGAGCCGCGCTCGGCCGTTTCCGGCCCTCCTCGGCGACCCTCGGCGACCCTCCGCAGGTATATATACGCTCTCTCCCCCCGACCTCGCCATTCCCGTCTCGTCCGGGGCTCCCGCGAGTAGGACGGAAATGTCATGAAATCCTGTAATTCGGTAATAAACGCCTCGTCGCGACCACCACGAGCGGTCTATCATTTCCTTAATTCACCAAATCTTACTCTTTCGACCGATGCGAACCCTGATGTCCCCCTCACAGGGCGACGTTTTTCCTAGAACGTTCAGTCGTAAAACGAAGGACGTTACGGAGTCTTGCGTCGTTCCCTGATACGACGTGCAAACAATGACTGAAAGAACGCTCAGAGATGGTGTCACTTCCGGGGCGAATTTTTCCCTCGAGAAGCCCTGAGAAATTCGACGCCCCCGCTTCGCGGAACACAGGATAAGACGCTTCGAGCGGATCGGAGACGTAAGGCGATATTCCTACACTTCCACGCGACATTTTTCTGATTCTCTCGTCCCGATAGAATTTTCGCATTTTCCCTTAATTTCCCCCAGAAAAAAAAAAGAAATATATGAAATTCACCGAATTTGGGTATTACAAATGCCGAGAAACGACATCCACGAATTTCTGACCGAGAAGGCAGGTCTGACCAAACGCGGGCGCGACTACTTAGAAGGGAAACGGATCCTCGTTTCCACCGTTCCCATTTATGTCAGCCACAATGACCGATTGCTGACGTCACGAGAGCTCGTCTCCGAATCCCCCTAAACGTCCAAAATGCTGGAAGACCGATGCAATATTAAACGGCCCCTAGTCGACGTAATTAGACGGCGGAAATTCGATTGACGTCTGACTCCTAACGAGACGGCAAACGGGGAATCGCATTTCCGGTTAGACGACGATTGTGCCATCTGGAGCACCTCGTTTTCGTAAGCAATTAAATGGCGAAGGTATATGTGCACCTCCAAGGAACCAAATGACGAGTTTACGGGATGACGTAAAATGAACCCGGTTCGATGAAAAGTTCTCTTGGCAAAGGTTGCGGAGCGCGATGTCGGCCATTTAGAGGGGCAATTAAATTATAAATTGCTTTCTTTCCCTTCGAAGAAATTGCGCTGTAAACAGCCAAGCAAGGGAGAGGTGTAATTGCATCGGGGGTGAGAAGAAACTGCTCGGCTCCGAACAGAAGGGCATGAACCTTCGGAGCCGGAACGAAGTTCCAGGGATCGCCGATGGGCGAGATATTAAAGTTTTTCCATTAAAAATCAGAACATCCGGAACGGTTTCGCCGTGAGCGAACTTTGCGTTCCTCGGGAAGTTGGCTCGCTCGCTGCGAAACTCGAGTTATCCGTACTTCGTGTACAGAGGGTTACATATACCGGGAGGTTCACCCTTCCCCTCTCTTCGTGGAAAAAGCGCTCGATCAAATTTCCACGGCATCAAAGGGAGCACTTTCGGCGGATCCTCTTATCTCTTTCCCTGTTTTCTCTGCGAATTAATTCGCCCGTATCTTTCCATAATACCCTGATTAAAAAAAAATGAACTGTCATCGAACCAAAGACATATTTCGTTGATTCAAGGAATAATTATTTTCACTCGAGTAAACTCGTCAAAATAAATCGTCATAATTCCGAAGGAACGTTGCATCCAATTTATTCGAGTTTATTCGAGTCGACCGATCGTTCCTTGAATTGACAAAATATTTCTTCGGTTCAATGAGATTTTTCTTTTTTCTCGGCATAGCCTTGCTCCTTGCTTGACGTTAATTAAACGCATTTTGATGAAACATACACATTCTCATATAAACACCGTCGCATAAATATTCAGACAAAGATATGCATTTATATCCGAACGGAAAGAGACGTGGGCGAGGGAAGGTCCGGAAGGCGAGGAGCCTTCTGCACTCACCTTGGTGCTTTTTGCGTAATACAGCGTGCGGCCTTTGAGCTTGAAGTACCTGCGCCTCCACCGCTGGAACGACCAGGTCTGCTTCATCAGGTATCCCTCCTTGGAGCAGTCGTTCTGGGGGGGAAAAAAAAAGAATAGAATAAAGAACCGAATTAACCATCGCGATTATATTTAAATTAACTCGCGAGAGGATCTCCCGGTCCCCCTCGCCGCCCCGGCTGCCGGAAGCGGTCGAGATACCTCTCGCGAAATATCCGTTGAATTATTCATGGGAGTGTCCCCGATTAAATTAAACCACGCCTGGACGTTTTACGCACATCTCGCGGGGCCTCCTCGTTATTTGGGTCGCCGGTAGACGGGGGAGAGAAAAAACAGAGAACATAAATAAAGAAGTGCGTAGGTACGCGACTACTCCGGGACAATTTGTCAAGAGGTTTTGTATCCGCTCCAGGAGGGAGTTTCGCGGACTGCGAGCGCGATCCCTGGGGCCGTAAAAAATGAGACCGGGCCGCCGCGTTCTAAGGACGACTCGTAAAAAGCAATCCGCATAAAGGTCCCTTTCTTTCCTGGCGGGTGCCGGGCCGGGGACGGGCAGAAAGTTCAGAGGTTGTTCCGATAATCGGAGGCGCGGAAGGTCACGGCTGTCGCGTGCCTTTCGGGGAGTGATAACGCCGAGCCGAGTCCTGGTACCGTTCGGGGGAAATCGACGCGATCGATCCTCTCCACCTTTTGTGTCCCGGCGACTCTCCGAGGCCGACGTCGATATTTAGTTTGCGATTGTCCGGGCCGGAACCGAGCGAGAGCGTCGTCTGTATCTAGGTTCCGGTATTGTTCGAATAAACTTTCGCTCTACATTCGCCTCCCACTCTCGAGGAACATCTAACCGCGTTGCATCGACGTTCGCGGTAAGATCCTTAATCGAGTATCACCCTTGCGGTTAATCGCCCAACTTGAGATGGCCAAACGGTGGATTTTAATCTTCGGTTAGCTTAATTTTTGTCAACCACTTTGGGCAATCGGAATGTCTCTAATTCAAGATTAACTGATCGTAGTTAAGAAATGTCACGCGGCGAGTCGAATGTTCCGACTCGTTGTCGTACCTCGAGATGTCGATACGAAAGAGGGTATATTACAGGTGGAAAACTTGACGGAGCATTTGACTCGTCGCGTCTTAACGGGATTACGTACCGCTCCCCGAAAGCCTCGTTATCACGCAAAATGCCTCGCCTACTCGTGTTTCCATCTCCTGGTGTTTTAATTTCGCTTTTTTTCCCACCGCGAATGTGAGGTGCGGCCGGAGTTTTTCGGTCATTTGCATGCTTAATGGCTCTTTCTTCTCTCTTTAAACGCCATCGCGGAGCGTGACACGCGACCTCGTTACGCGGCTACGTACATACGTACAAATGCGCGTCCGCGCGACGGAGTCTCGCACAATGGAAAATGGGCCAAGTACAGCCCTTAATGGAAACCCATCCCCCTTGGCTCCGTACACGGAGGCATTGTATATCGATGCAAAGAGGGGAAACGGTATCGCATACCCGGGCACCACCCGCAGCCGGAAGTCTTGTTTCTTCGGCATGTAACATTGCCGAAGTTCCTTTTCGATAAAGATCTTTTTTGAAAATAATTGCAGTCGCGCCGCAGCTAGATTTTGTCCAAAATAGTCCTCTTTGCCGAGCTATCTTTTTTGCGATTCGTGCTCGGCATGCGATAACGGTTCTTCGCGATTTTTGTTGAAAAACGATTATTTAAAAAAAATATTCGCAGTCGCTCGCGGCTAGATTTCGTCCAAATCGGTCCCCTTTACCGAGCTCTCGATGTTGCGATTCGTGCTCAGGGTACGATGGAAGCTCTTCGCGGGTTCGGTCTCGGCCTCGCTCTCGGAGCTCTCGGCGGTCTCTTCCCTCGGGAGGTCCTCGTCCCCCGGGTCCTGGCCGAGTCCTTCGGCCGCGTCCTCGAAGAGCTCGCCATTCTCCTCCCCTTCGGTCGACTCCGGTCGGCTCTCCTCGAGCAAGGACGCCATTCCCGGGGAGATGTAACACCCCGCTATCTCCTTTCAGCCGCAAAAGCTCGCATTCTTGGCTATCCCGGGTCCTCCGTCAAAGAAGACCCCTCGAGGACGTCCTTTGTCGCCGACCGATCAGGGCCGAGAGTGCCCGATTGTCCGCGCCTCTTCCGGATTTATTCCAGAGTGTCGCCGAGCCTTTCAGGCCCTTCGAAAGCGGTTCCCGCAGTTGGTAATTCAGCCAGAACGTGGACAGCTCGAGTGTCCCGGATCTCCGCATTTTCTCCTCCCATTTCTCCAGGATCTCCGCGACGTCTTCTTCGCTCTTCCCCGCTGGAAGCGACTTTCACGCGTTACGCGTTAAACATTAAAACTGAGGAATCTTCGCGGCGCCTCGGTGGTGTCCCCTCGTTCGGATTTCTCCAGGTAGAAGACTCTCGTCCGGAAACTCGCGCCGAAGTTCCGGGCTTCTCCTCCAGGATTCGAAGGACCCGCGGTCCCTGAACTCGACGAACATGGTGTCCGACTTTCTGCGACCCTCCGGGGAATGTTGAGGTTTCTTCGTCGAGGTCTTCGCGCGGAGCCGGCCCCTTCGCATCTGCAAAGGATAACAAACCGGTGAGGAATGACCCGCTGCAGTTTCGACACCCCTACGAAGCCTTGCTTTAACCTTCCTCCACCCCACTGACCTTCCTTTAACCGCGTCTTTACGCTATATTTAAACCCTGCCTAACAGGGAACTCCTCTGCGTCTATTTAAATTCCCGCTCGCGCTCTCGCCAAAGTGATCTTATCGATCACCGTCCGATTTATCCCGGGAAACAATAAGTTCAACCCCTCACGCGTGAAATATAACCGCAGGAAATAGAAATTTCAACACTATTCCCTCCGTCTACCGGCACGGTGAAAATCATACCTTGGCAAATAAGATAATTGCAAGTTACTCTTCGACTCGTTGGATTCGTTGCGGAGGTGAATTTCCTTTCGACTCTTTTAATTATGTATCAAAGAACCCAAGAGTTTCACCGATTTACTTATTTGTGCGCCTATTTTGTTCACCGACCCCTTGTTTGCGAGCCACTTGGCGATCTATTTAATTAACTATTCGGATATTTGTTTACCTGCGAGCACGTAGATGTAGATAGTCCCTTGAGAGGCGTCGCGTATACGAGGCTACTTCGTTAGGGCGGCCGATAGAGGGTGACCGAGACGCGGTGGGGGGCGCGAGAATTCGAGCGCCGTGCAGACGACGCGGAATGCCAAGATGGTGGTTCTACCTGGTTATCTCCTTCGGTTTCCGTATACGCGACGCATCACTCGAGCAGATTGAACGAGCCGTCGCGTTCCGCTTCTTTTGACGTGCCTTGACCCTCCACTGCGCTGCGACGCGCGTCCTTTTCACTCCGTCAACTGTTGCGCACTGATAGGAGCAGAGATGAGTTGGAAGATTGCTCACGGACGGTCGCGTCTGTGCTGCCCTCGGTGGAGCATGCAGGCGGCTCACGCACATGCCCCCGGTGTATTCAAACTTGCGTACTCAATGCATGGCCGTTTTCATTTTGGGCACCGCATACAATTTTTTTTTCACATTTTTCGGATCTTGTATTGTCCCACGTGATTTGTCTTGATTATTTCACGCTTTTTGTATGTTTATACATACGGTTTCTAATATTTAAATATGTGGTATCTCCTTCTCCATTTGCGGGAACTATTGTGGTATCTTCGGGAAGTTCGATGCTTTTTCCGACTCGATTGTTTACTCACTGGGTAGCCTCGCTGTCTATGCCTTGTATTTTTAACCTCTTCGCGCGGTTGCAACTTGATTTGTTGGCGTTGCAATTTGAAATGAAGATTCGTTGAAAATGGACTTGGAAAATGGTCAGTTCCGAGTTTTGTTCATGGTACCATTTGTTGACGTGACAGGTTGAGTGATATTTCGATTCTGAAAAATAAAATTGAGGTTAGTTTACATTCTTTGATATTGTGGATTATTGGAAACTGTTGAAAATGTCCGAGGGTGAATCCATGTATGGCACGACTCTGTCACAAGAGTCAATGAAAGTAATCGCTGAAAGCATCGGAATTGGAAATTTACCCGACGAAGCTGCTAAAGATCTTGCCGAAGATGTTAGCTACAGACTGAAAGAGATCGTACAGGTTTGTGTGAAACCAGTGATAATTCTCATGATTTCTTGTTCGTTCTTACAGATTATTAATGTTTCGAGTATAGAATTTTATTATAAATGAACCATGTGTCTCCATAGGATGCAGCAAAATTTATGCGCCACGGCAAACGTCAACGGATGACGACGCACGATATAGACCATGCTCTAAAAATTAAGAACATCGAACCGACATATGGATTCTTCGCCAAAGATCATATCCCCTTTCGGTTTGCTTCTGGTGGTGGTCGTGAATTACATTTTGTGGAAGAGAAAGAAATTGACTTAAATGAAGTGGTTTCGATGACTGGTGGCCAAACATGGCCGAAACTTCCATTAGAAATAACATTACGTGCACATTGGCTCTGTATCGACGGGGTACAGCCAACTATACCAGAGAATCCACCACCTGTATCCAAAGGTAATTATAAATATTAATACTATAAGAACAGAATTTTATTTTCATATTTTTATGCTCAGATTCTCAGAAGGTTGAAAGCGTTGACCCGACAAGTAAGCTGACGAATAAAAATCAAAGTATGGTAGTAGGAAAACCAGGTGGTGGTGGAAAGAGTCAAAAGTTACGTAATGTGGAAACTGTTCATGTCAAGCAATTAGCGACTCACGAGCTAAGCGTAGAACAGCAATTATATTATAAAGAGATTACCGAGGCATGCGTCGGATCGGATGAAGCTCGTAGAGCAGAAGCGCTACAGTCTTTATCTGCTGATCCTGGTCTCCATGAAATGTTGGCACGAATGTGCACGTTTATTGCAGAAGGGGTGCGCGTCAATGTAGTTCAAAACAATCTTGCGCTATTAATTTACCTCATGCGTATGGTGAAGGCATTACTGGACAACCCCAGTCTTTATTTGGAAAAATATGTAAGTGACCTCATTTTCTTTACATGAATGTAAGGGAAAATAAATATTAATTAATTACTTTTGTTAGCTTCATGAACTTATACCATCTGTCGCCACTTGCATAGTATCAAGACAACTGTGCATGCGTCCTGAAATGGACAATCACTGGGCGCTTCGAGACTTTGCTTCTCGACTCATGGCACAGATATGCAAAAACTTTAATACCTCAACCAACAATGTACAAACTAGAGTAACTCGCCTGTTCAGTCAAGCATTAGCGAAGAATACTCAAGTGAGTGATATTAACCATGTTCTTTGGTATCGACACCGTAAAATGAATTATTATTGCAGACCCATCTGGCATCATTGTACGGTGCTATCGATGGGCTATGTGAATTAGGCCCAGAGGTAGTAAAGGCTTTGGTAATACCAAAAATTAAATCTATCTCGGAACGCATCGAAGCGTGCATCGAAGGATCAACCCTATCGAATGTCGACAAAAATGGCGCTGGTCATATAAAGACTCTTTTAGTGGTAAGAACCTGACTTGACTATAATAACTATCCATTCCAAAAGTTAAATAAACTATACAATTTTATTAATTCAATGATTGTAGAAAGCTGTGGCACCTGTCTTAAAGACCATCCGATCACCGCCAGATTACGTGGAAGAGTATAAACAAGATTATGGTTACATAGGACCAGCTTTGTGTGCTGCAGTTGCAAAAGCAAGAACGCAACCTGTAGCACTAGCTACTACAGCCGCTGCGACTGCAACGTTAACCACTAATCACCAGCAAGGTTCCGCTGGGAAGACCATTGTACAGACTGGTAACGTTATTCAATTATATTCATGCAATGACTACTTTTTACAAAGTACCTCAATAGAAATATAACAGTTTATATAAAAATAAACTTACAGTTGCTAGTGGAAGTCCAGGGCAGCAGCAAACTGGCCGGACAATAATGCTGGGTGCTAGTAGAAGTGCTGGAACAACCTCTACGGGGGGACAAAAATTTGTTATACTGCAATCTCGTTCGCAGACCCCAACTGCGACCGGTATAAGTTCTAACTCAGCGCAGCAACAGCAGCAGCCTCAGCAGCAAGCACAACAGCAATTGTCTCAACAGCAGCAGCAAGTGCAATCACAACAGCAGCAACAGCAACAGTCGCAACAACAGCAGCAAGTGAAAATTAGTCAGAGCACGACGGTCCAGCAAAAACAGCATATACAACAATCTGCCACTAAGCTGGTTGTCGTATGCATGTCTGGTAGTAGTCACAGCAATACAGCAACAGTTTCTCAGGTACACCTAGAAATAATTACAATTGTGTAAAATTAGTTTATTTATCATTGAGTGACGATACATATAAAATATTACAAGTACGTACACTTTGAACTCATCGATTAATTATTTAATTCTAAACCTTTACAGGGGAACATGTCGAAGTCGCAAAATGTTTTCGTCGCGCAGCAAAGTATGGACCGCTCGCTCAGTCCAGAAGAAGAACATTCGTTTCAATAAGAAGTGTAACCAACCTATAGACTGTAAGAAAACTATCACTTTGATCCGTACACATTTCACTTGTACAAATAACATTGCCTACAAAATGGAAAATACATTTTTTCTACAAAATATATTTTCTTCTTCGTCGAATAATCACCGAAGAGTGCCTGTCCTGCGACACGATGTTAGAGTTAATTTATCAGTACCTGAATACGTTTTTATATTAACTGGACTCGAAAATTGCGGTTCTTGACACGCGACACCATGTAAGATACGCATGGCAGTTAAATCTTAGTGGATTAAATAAAAATGAGATGAGTTATAAAATTCGTTCTTATTTAGTTCTTAGGTATTTATATACAACGTAGCTTAAATCTACTACTCTATGCCGAAATAAATAAATTCAAAAGCCCCGTCGATTGAACCTGGAATAAAAAATAGGGGTGCACTGCTTTCCATTACTTCTATCGTCTTAGTCAGTCAACACGTTAGGCTTTTCTGAGAATTTTCATTAACATTAGATTTGGAACTATCACATCGCCGTGGATTCAACTATCGTCGTGGGCGAGTCAATGGCAATAGTTTGATCGCTAGCTATCGAGTTGCTTTGCGACTGTTGATTATTCTCAGGGCTAGAAACGTTGCGCTCGTAAGTTCTTTCGGCAATCTGGAATAGATTACTGGCCATACCTTTCCCGGTATTTTGCACCATTTCCGAGAAGGGCCCATTCGGGTTATCGCGCAACAATTCGTAAGGGATACCAAATTCCTGCGTAAAAAAGATAACCACCATGTATGTACCCAACGTGGTTTGATCAGCAAATTAATATCAATTATCGGTTATCGATTACATGCTTACCACCATCCTGCCACTGTCCATGACAATCACCCGATCGCTGTCAATAATGGTATCCAGCCTGTGCGCTATCGTCAGTACGGTGCAATTCGAGAACTTCGTTCTAATTGTATTTTGTATGAATGAATCCGTGCTGGAATGAAAATGAAAATTTACTTTAACGATTCTATTACAAAAAGACGGGATTATTTACGGCAAGGCGATTTACCGAGGATCGATATTTGCGGTAGCTTCGTCGAGCACAAGGATGCGATTGTTCCTCAGAATCGCTCTGGCGAGGCAGATCAGCTGTCGCTGGCCAACGCTAAAATTACTTCCACCTCCCGAGACCTGTTGATCCAGACCAAAGTTGGATAGTTCAACTTCCCTAAGGACGTCCCAGAGTTTCGCGTCCGGGTACAGGCCGAATGGATCCAGGTTGTAGCGTAGACTCTCCGAGAACAGAATCGGCTCCTGGGGGATGATGGAGATCCTAGGTCGCAAGGTCTGAAGAGGAATCGACCCGGCGTCCACGTCGTCTATGAGGACCTCTCCGCTCAGACCGTCACCGGACAACCTGAAGAGGGCCCAAATCAGAGAAGACTTCCCGGCGCCTGTTCTTCCAACGATGCCGACCTTCCACCCGGGCTGAATCTCCACGTTCAGGTCCTGCAATAAATGACGACTCAAAGTATGACAATAAATATGGAACGCTCTCGTTATTAATATTCCCATACCTTCAGCACGGGCGGATCGTCCTTTCCGTAACTCATGCGCAACTGCTTCATATTTATCCGACCTTCCGATGGCCAGTTGTCCGACGGAGGTTTCTTGTCGCCAGACCAGGTCTCCTTTGGCAAATTGGTGTATTGTAACACCCTCTCCACGGAGGTCATTTGAGAGACGACTTCTATTCCTTGTCGAACGCCGTACTGCAGCATGCCGATCAGGATCAGTGCCTGGGAAATGGCGAGACCAACGTTCCCTCCGAAGACTTCGCCTGGGTGGGGAATAAAATCGCTGTAGTCGATTAAAGAGGTTCCTACGTGGATCATGCGCTAACGTTTCCGTCGATTCTTCTCGACGACGACGTACCAGGGTCCATGAGGACGAAGGAAAACGTGACGAAGGCGATGAAGATGCAAGCTATAAGGTCGAGGAAAAATCCAAACGCTTCCGAGCAGATGATCAGAAGGTACCAGACGCCGGTATGGGTGTCCTGCAGTTTGTCGAATTCCTTCCGCAAAGTGATTTCGGTCTCCTTTCCGCAGCTTCTGATGGTCGTCAGTCCATCCAGGGAAGCACTCACGTGTGAGAACAGCGGACTCTTCGCTGGAACGATTAAGTTATCGATTAAATAGGAGACCCGGATGATCGCGTTGAAAATACAGGATTACGCTCACCGATGCCCTCGATGCGTTTAAGGCTCTGAACGGTTCTTTTAAAATGGATCTGCGCCACGTAGAGCACCCCCGTGATCACCACAATCGAGATGATCATCCACGGATTGACGATCACTACCAGAACGAGGATTCCTATCATCACCCCGAATATCTGCAGCGCGTCCAGAAGGGTTTTGGGCAGTAGCTCGTCCATAGCTCCAATGTCTTTCGAAAATCGATTGAGAATCCTACCTAGAAGACGTCGAATGGACCATTAAAACCACACTGAGAATGACGAGTCGCAGGGTATGACGCCAACTCTGACTTCTATTCACCCGAGGGATTGGCGTTGAAGAACTTCATGGTAGTTTGCAACATGTTGGCGAACATCGAGTCGTGGAGATTGCGACTGGCGGAGGTGCAGAGTCTCATCAGGAGGAAGTTCCGCAAAAGGACGAAGACCGTGCAAGCGACGATGCAGAACGTGTAGATGTAGATGGCATTATCGGTGGAAAGGAGACCATCCTCGTCCAGCAAGCCGAGGAAAGACAGGAAGCTGTCGTTGACCACGCGATTGTACTCGCTTTCGGTTACGATTCCAGGTTCCGAAAGTTCGAAGCGAACCGCCTCGAAAGTCGTCCAACAGCTGACCCAATAATCGGAGCCGCTGGAGGCCACTTGGCCGAGGACGAAGATTCCGATAATTAAGACGACCGACAAGGTACTACCGCCTGCCTTGAAGTACTGGGCGTAAATTTTATTGGACATCCTGCCTTTGGCCATTTCTTCCCCGGCTGAGCTGGCTCCGACCGAGAGAGAGTCCTCTTCAACGTTCCGCAGAGATTGCTGAAGAGGAAGCCGGAAATAAATTCTTTATAAGCAGTAAGTACCAATCCAGATTTTCGTAATCATCCTAAATAGGACGTTTTACCCTTCCTCGACTGGAAGCTCTGGACTCTCGCCTGGAACAACGCCGAACGAGATTGGGCTTCCTCTCGGCTGCGGATTCTCCCCTGTCGTTGTCTTCGACGGCGTCTTCGACCTCCTCTTCGTCTTGCTGTATTTTTTCCAGCATCTCGGTGAAGTCTTCGTTGGCAGCGCACAGCTCGTCGTAAGTTCCTTGGAGCTTTATCATTCCCTGCGGACGTTACTTTACCAATAATTGTAATTCGAAGACGCAGAGAAATCGAGACCTACGTGGTCCAGGATGGCAATGAGGTCGGCTTCCTTTAGATATTGAAGTTGATGGGTAACGAGGATCCTAGTCTTCCCGGCTAGAAATCCTTGGATACATTCCTTAAACAGGTGTTGGCCTACGTGTGGGTCCACGGCACTTAGAGGGTCGTCCAAAAGGTACACATCGGCTTGTCTATAGACCGCTCTTGCCAAGTTAACCCTCGCCCTTTGACCTCCCGATAAGGACGTGCCCCGTTCTCCAACCATGGTCAAATCTCCATTCGGAAGCTGTCCGAAGTCCTTCAGCAATGCGCATGCTCTCGCCACCTGCGGAAAAAGGGAAGAAGTTAACGAAGATCACACTCGGTGCACCCGAGTGACGTCAGATCCCACGATCGCACCTCCGAGGGCAATTAATACCTTCTACTAATTACAGGATCAATTTGTCTGGATCCGAGTTGCGCAAGAGTTGCGTAACCAGTCTGCTGGATTTAATGGGAAATAATGGAAGTATGCCTCATTTACCTCCTGATACCTGGTCTTATTAAAAGGCTGTCCAAACAGGATATTGTCCCGAACGGTGGCCACGTAGAGCCAAGGATCCTGGCAGCAGTAGGAAATCTTCAGGTCTGGATTGTCCATGTAAAATCTGCGACTATTCGACGGATCCTCGGGCCGAAGAAGTTCCTTCTGCAGGAGCTGGACGCTCCCAGCTCCCAGGGGAAGCTCCTTCAGGAGCACGCTAAGGACCGAGGACTTCCCAGAGCCGACGGCGCCAACGAAGGTGCACAACTTTCCACCGTCTATGGTCACGGAAACGTCATGTAGGGTCGAGGGTAATTGTCCAGAGACCCAAGTAGCGGACGCTCGGTCAAATACGATCGTCGCAGGCTTTTTATTCTCCGGCTCGTCTTTTTTCGGGACGCCATTTCTGATGACAATTTCGCCAGAGGCTTTCCGCTCCTTCGTCGTGTGGCTTTCTTCGGGTCGCTGCACCTCGTCCAGCAACAGGAATTCCTGAAAAGAAATTTCCGGGAGCTTTTACGGGAAAATCGGGACAGGGATTTTTTTTCTTCTTACAGGAATGGAGGTTTTGGTAAAACGATAGGACATTACCTGGAGCCTTCTGACCGACACAATGGCCTCGCCAGCCAAAATCACCGCTTGAGGGAAACATATGGCCATGGTAAGCTGCAGGATGTTGAAATACGATGCAAGGACGAAGGTGATTTGCGCCGTGAGAGTGTTGCCCGATAACACGAAGACCAGGAGAGTGAAGTAGAGCACCACCCGCTCGGCGATCACCATAATGCTCAGGAAGAGTCCCCGCAAATAGGAAGAGTACCTTATCACGTTCATCTCGGAAGCCCTGGTCATGGAGACGATTTTCTGGAAGGGGATCTCCCATGCGTACATCTTGACCACCTGGAGCAGAAAAAATAACGAGAGAGACTCAACCGAATGCAATCGTTCCAAGCCACTCCTGTCGCCCTTACCTGAATTCCATTTATCAGCTCGGCCATGAGCTGGACCCTCCTATCGGTCTTGGTGGCGATCCGACCTCTGAATTTGCCTCCCAAATTGCTCAAGTATCCTTGCACGGGAATAGACAACGCGAAAAGAACTCCAATACCCACCAGGCAACTTATTCCCACGGATTGCCACATCACGTACCCAACCACCACTATCTGCAGAATTTACGGAGTTAGAAAAGATCAAGAAAATGACATATTAATCGTATTCCTCTCCCCGTGACCCGGTGGGTGACCTGGTATGGACCTGGTATGTACCTGGAAGGGCATCACCCATACGGAAGGCAAGTAGATGAAGAGCAACTCGAATCGGTTCATGTCGTTGCTCAGCAGATTCACAACTTGTCCCGCTGCGGTGTCGTTTAGGGCCGATTGACTGAGTCGCAGGGTCTGAATTTTCGATTTTAAAAATTAAACATCGCATCCTTTCGAGCTTTCGAGCCGAGGACTGTACATCGAGCGTACCTTTCTGTACACCAGGGAACTGCACGCTATCCTTATCCTCATCCCAAGGACGAGAGATGCGACGTACGTCTGGTGCATCATGGTGATCGACACTGCGACCGAAACTATAAGGAGCGCCGCGTAAAGGAAAACCTCCTGTTTTTCCGTGGTCTCCGATGATCCACTTCCACTGAAATAGCCGATGATCCAGCCTTGACAGATCGGCTGGAAGGTGCGAAGGACCACCGCGTAGATGAACACAGAGATGGTATGGTACAGGTTCGAAAGCCCGAAGATGCGAATCAAGACTCTCATCAGACTGGGCTCTTTGGACTTCAGTGTCGGCTTCTTCTTCCCATCTTTCCCGACCGAGTTCTCTCTTTTCTTCTTCTCCAGCTCGTCCATCCATGCTCTAAAAGGAAATGGAGTCAGTCCCCTTATCCGGAGAAGATCTCACGTTTTATATCTAATTTATATCTTTTATTCGTCCCACTTCATGGAGAACGAGTATTCGCGATTTCGCGATCGGGAAGCTGCTAACCAAATTCCAGGCACTCGTCCTATTCCTCTCGTAATACCACTGAATTGACTTAATCTTACAACTATCGCGTGAGAGAGAAGACTCCGAGAACGTCACTTTTAATCGCCGTACGCGCACACACGTTTGCGTGCAATTTTTATCCTTCGCCAAAGTATTCGCGAATGCATCAAGGCCGTCAATGTCAGAGATGCGATGATTTCGCCTTGTTTCCTTTTAAAGCGGATCTTGAATGACGCTCTTAGAAATTAATTCGAGACTCGGAAAATAATTCGCACGTGTTAAATGAACTTAACTCGCGCCAAAATCGCGGGACTGATAAAAACCTGTTAACGTGGATCCGATCCGACACGAGGACGTCCCTGAAGAAACCATGTACAATTAACATAACGCGTATCGTCCTCGTTTCGTTGATATAATTCGTTGTCGAGCACCTGATCCGTTACAAGACGACGACCCTGAAGGAACATCTTTCCGACATCTTTTTCCGATTAACAGAACCGAGAAGGTCCGAAACCAGTCTAACAGCTTCTTTGCGCGAGTGTAATAAATCCCGGGATTGTTGTAAAGCGCATGAAAAACGTTTTTCCTCCAAGATGAGCGAATCGGCAATGAGGCAGGTAAAACTCGCGTTCTCCCCTTACCTCTCGAGGCGATCGCCCAGTTTCTCGGATTCATGACTCTTCAGAGGGGCGTAAATATCCGACAATTTCAAATCGCTTCTCGATCCCCTCCAGAAAAGCTGTAGAGTCCACCTGTACGGAAAACAATTCCTGATAAATAAAATCAATATGATAAAAAAAAAACGTAGTCTTAAATTACGGTCCAGTTTTTGGAGTTTACCGAATGAATCGGCACGTTCGCCACGAGATTTATCACGTGAATTTAAGCGAAGCGTCGACACGCGATGTACGCGAGGACAACCGATAAGATTCCTTATCGGAAGACACGGCAAAGTAGTACATTATAAGCAACCAGGGGATTAACAACTGAAATATGCCGGATAAGATTGACACGTTAGAATTTCATAGAGGAAAAAAAAAACCTCATAAGCCATGCCCAGATAATCCAATACTCGTTTTTCCTTTCGCAATGAGCACCGATAACGAGTGCCGGTGATAAGACCCTCGATTTAAGCTACGCGATATGCAAGAAACCAAAGGCGAAAATGCTTTAATTAACCTCGACAAATGAAATTGCACATTCGGTCGCGGACATGTGATTAGTTATCGGGTAATTAACGAGGCATCTATTAACACAATATTAACACGAAGGACATAGGTGGCGATAAATTGAAGAGGGTCATCCAAGGTTGGACGATCGAAGAAAATTTCAGGCGACTTAAAAATCCAGAGAATAAAAGAAAACCTGGAAATGAAATCGACCTTCGTTCGTGTCTTTTCAAGATTCGATTTTGCATGTTCGCGTAAAAATACAAATATTAGGTCATCCCAGAAATAATGCGATTTTTTTCTTATCGGTCGGAAGAATGACGATATGAAATGATATTAACACGCTCCTACCAAAAGAACAATTTGTTGATGGGATTAGCAGTTTCCACGGGGTTTTTCTTAAACGTCTTCTGTTTGACGTCCATCCCTCGAGATGTCGAGGTCCCCCTCGAACTTCCGGTCTCCGAGTGGGCCCTCGATCTCTCTTCGCGCTTATCAATGGGATCTACTCTGTGCCGAGTAATCTGGAGCGTTTCATCGCCCCGATCGATGGGTCGTCGTAGGATCGCTCGTACTCTTTGGAAGAGCAAGACCGGACTGCAAGCAGATGCCTCCTCGGTCTCCTCTTTTGTACTTCCGACTTGCTGGAAGTGGGTGTAGGTACACGAGATAAGTAAATTCACGCGAGTATTTGCCCGCTACGCTACTTTCGTTACGTCAACATCGTGGAGTTCTTAAAAAAGTTCTAATCGGCTGAAAATGGAATGAAAACCCTTCGCCTCCCGACGGAGATCGTTTCAGGCTCCGAGATAAAATTAGAGTATATAACGGATACGAGTACGACACGGTGACAAGTGTCATCGCCCTGTACCGCGTATCGAATAAATGAATTACGGACTGTAAATATTAACTTGTATAAATAGAAAAATAGGAAGTTACACGTGGAACTCGCAGAGACGCAGATAACGACCCGGTAATTCTGTAATCCTTTATTTACAAAGCCATGTCTTACCCCTGTAACAATTACAAGAGACTCCCCTTCGGAGGGGCTCACGAAATAACGTGTCTAATGCATTTTGCATAATTATATTCAACAAATTATCACATCCTTCTGAACGTTTCGCGCCGGAGAGTCTCTCCTTCGCGTTTGGTGAACCCTCTCCACGGTGGACATTTTTAATCGCGAGAATCGGTTACAATTTCCCTCTTTCTCCCTGTAAAACGAGTCCTGTAGATAAAATCCATACAAAAAGAGTCCCTCCAAATGTTTAAAGCCATACGGTGCGTTTCTCTCCCTCCGGTTTGATCTCCCCTTGACGGGAGCGCTCAGTTTCCTCTCTATGATTTTTTAGACGTTTCAAGACCGGTAAGGACGAAACGTCGACCGTAGATTCGGATAAGCCAATCGCGAAGAAAGAACTGACCGGTGTCAGAAAGGGGATTGCTTCGAGTGTCGAAAGAAGGCTGTGGCTTTCGTGGACGATCCCAATAGCCGTTCGCTCGCCGACAAATCCGGGCTAAACAATTTCCCATTGACAATGGTATACGCCTGGCTCTGTCCATTAACCGCGAGTCTATGCAGGACGTGCGCAAAGTCGAATCAAACGGATGAAAGTACGATACGACTCCAAAGGCAACTGGTTTCGACGACAACGAATGACCCAGTCAACGTACAAAATACAATAGACGGTACATATGTATATACAATCAACGAACATATCGCCTGCCATGCCGTATAAATAATATAAATCTATCAAAAAACAATCTCCTTTGTACTAGGATATCTACAATAAATTATATCTAGCCGTCTTAATAGTTATAACGCGTTTCTTCCTCCTTTTCAACATCCACCAGGTTCCCGACCCAAGGGGGCTCGAGTGAACGCCGATAAAAAATCTCTTTAAACATTCTTGCCTTCGATTTCGATACACAGGAAAGACTTTATCCTCATCGGGAAGTCCATCGCCTGCTCGTCGCCTTGAGTCGGTAGCCGAGTCGACGATTACTACCGATCTCTTACAGGTAATCGCGCGTATAAATAGTCGCAAATGGAAACCGATTACCCCGCAAAGTGAAGCGACTTCGGGACAGAAGTTGAGAAGAAACTCTCTCCGACACTCCCTACGAATCGATCATTTGCAACTAAGGTCTCCTCTTAGGGTATAAATATTCTCCTTAATGGGCAAATATCCTAAACGTCGCTATCTCACGCCTAGACGCCGTTCCCGAATGATTAGAAATTTACAAAATCTCCAAAGTGGGAGGAAGAATCTAAGCCAGACCAAGCAGAGATTCGAAAAGAGGACGACTCCCTTAAGGGCCGACCTACGAGTAGGTGAAGATCCCCCGGAAAAGCGCCGCCGTCCTCGTAGGAGGGACTAGAAAGTTAATATACACCTAGTACATCTGTATCGCGACCGCACGTCCTCACGGAGAGATTGCAGAAAATAAATATCCATCGCTTTCGTCGTTCCTTTAGGAAAAAGAAGGGAAGCACTAATACAGTTTAACCGTACCCTCGAAACTCGGAACCGGAAACGTGGACGAGACGCGAACGATCTTGTCGTCCGTTTCAATCGTTTCAACCCCTCTATCGCTCTAATCTACGAGTGGACTACCTCCGATTTGCCTCTGTAAAGGATTTACAAGGATTTACACGTAAATGCGCTCCAAAAAATAAAACGCGAGAGGAAATCGAGGGGCTCAAGGAGTCCTCCTCTCATCCCGAAGGAGTGATTTTCACGTTTCATGTACAGATCCTTAACTACTCTTAACGCGCGCGTCCTCCCCCAACGCAAGTCGGAATATGTTAGATATTAATTAATTCTAAGTAAAGTACTATGAACACGTAGCTATGCTAATGGCGCGCTGACGTGCAAGAATTTAACTGCAAACTCGGTAATTATCCGAGGATCCGCGTAAGAAGGTTTGTCCCGCGATTACCGATTGGTATATTCTCATATCCAGCGCCATTAAAAACGGCGATTCAGGACCATTCACAGAAAACGGAGCAATTGCCGGAAAAAGGAAACATCTCTCTACAAAAGGTGGCGTCCGAAATCGCGATTACCGACGAAAAGGAGTCTCAAAAATGTCTAATTTCTATCCATACGGAAAAGATCCGAATCGGTGATTTTGACGGCAGGTGATATTTACACAAGGCACTAACTATGTTTTACAAGTTATCTCTACGTGGCACTTCGCATCTTTCCCGAGACATGACATTTCGAATTTAAGGGTCTAAAGGTAATCCCCGAAATGTCGAGTTTCTATATCTCACGCGATTACAATACCTGGTCTAACTAACCGGTAATTTTTTGTTTTTTTCTTTTATTCGGTCGAACATTTAGATCGTTTTCTGTCAGTGGTCCTTAATTCAATCGCGAGCGCACCTAAATTCAAGAAACGAGTTTCCTCCTTAAGGAGGATTTCGGAAATTCTACGAGTCGTCGTTTGCATAGGTGGGCTACAAATAGAAGTGTTTTTTCGGCAATCACTCTGGCGCGTTTTCACGTGTAAAAATAGAATCTACAATTTCTCTCTTTCTCTCTCTCTCTCTCTCCCCGAGGAACGACAAAAAGGAACCTTTATTTGATTATTAATCAGCTTTAGCCGCGAATCGAATTACGCTCGAGCTCGCAAACGAATCGACGTTGTTTAAACCTTTCCAAGCCCTAATTTCTACATCGGGCGTGTAATGTAATTCTGTCGAAATTGTTAGTTTGCATCGGCGTGACTTTGACTGCAGAAAATTCCTTCTATTTGCGCCTTCTCTGAGGGAAGTGTGGCGGTCTTTTTCTCTTTTTTTTCTTTTCTAGGATCAACGTTACAAACTGCTGCTGCTCCTGCACAAAATTCCAAGAGTTGAGAGTAATATCGTTTAACGGTGGACAAGATTATTGTCTATATACGTGTACGCTGACTAAAAGTATCCCGGATATTTAATCGTCGTCCTTTTCGCTCGTATTAAAAGTCTACTCGATAATCCGAGATGGATGAATTTGCATAATTATTTCCTCAAGCCGGAGAACAAGACGACGCAAGCTCAGATTAATCAAAACTGGACATTTGAAAAATATTAAACAGACGCTACCTTTCCCAATCAAATAAATCACTGAACGGGAAAAATTTACCATTAATATGATAATTTAATCATCATATTAATTTTATCCTCGTCGTTGATTATTTTTCGGATTTATTGTATACACACATCGTGAAGAAAATCCTCGACTCCTAAGTTTACGACTAAAAAGAAACATTTCAATGCTGAGCATTTTCACCGCTCCCAGATATTGCAACTTGACAAACACTTCCTGTACAAAAATGTGGACGTTACCCTAAGAAATTTCCGTGGAGTTTCTGTTTAGAATGTCATAAAACTGGCAGTTCGTTAATGCGTTGTTCCGTCATCTGGCAAGTACTAGAAAACAAGCGATTCGCAAGACATTAATTTATCTCGACAACTTAAGTGCGTTATGTCTTTTAGTTGAATCATAAATTGTTCGATAAAATGCTTGAAACACCGAATATTATTTCCGCCAATTGACACGGCTTACATGGCGACACCTCGGGATGGCCACCGCAAAATAACGATTTAAACCTGGCCGTATTAACTAACTTAAAATACCCTACACGTAACGTTAAAAAAACGTCTCTAGTGTTTGTCATTGCGGGACAATTGTATATGCACGAAACGCGACTTGCTTAGGTACCGCGATTATCCGATATCCTCGTGACACCGATACATCATGCGATCAGCTAAGAGTGGAATTGTTTCCTCTATTCTCACTGTACGCTATGTTATTATATAGAAAGTTCTCGACCGCGTTACAATTTACTCGTTAATGTAATGTATTGCATAATACTTGGTGTTAGCTGTGTATGTTTTAAAAATCGCGGACGCGAGAACGCGGAATATCTTTCCACGTCCGGACGCCCTCTTAGACGATTAATGGTTTAAGCTTACAGGCAAAGTATGCACTGTCGCCAAGCTATTTGGTCGAACAACGCGATGGTTTTTTCTGGTTTATCCCTTAACTCCTAAAGTGGCAATATGACCGATACCTAATTCGGAGTTTGATCAAGCGTCCGCTTGCGGAAATTTCCGAAAACAGAGTCGCGCGATGAACGCTCATTTTCAGAGATCGAAGACGTTCTTCGCGCCCGAGAGAAATGCGTAGATTTGCATACAGTGACCTCCAAAACCGGGCCTCAAATGTAATAAAAAGTTATCAACGCGAGCAATATTTACCCAGTAAATTCAGTGAGCTGTCTTTTTTCTTCTTTAATATTGAGCTCGATCAAAAAATGACACCCTGGGTTGCCTCGAAGCTCAGGTTCATCGCGTTACCGCTAAAACTCATACTGCACCGTTAAATGCGACCTCATGGAGTGTAACGTTCTAAAGATTGTACAATTCACCGTCAACCTGAGTTTCCAGCGGTTCCTTTTATTGGGTGCGTGTTTTCGGCATAAAGCTCACCCAGTTTTTGGGTCTTGGTCGTTTTCCTTCGCAGGGAAGAAGACATCGTCCAGACCTGGGTGGACATTAGTAGGAGAGATTTCCATGGTCCTTCCGGTCATCAACCTCGTCTTCAAACCAGGACATATTGGTCTGCAGCCTCTAATCTTGCATCTCGAAGAAAGCTCCATCGAGTTTGAGAAACCGTAAATAGTCTCTCCTCTAGCGCACTAGCTAGCGTTATCGTGTCAGTCCTCGACTTCAAAGTAGTCTTTCGACAATTCACAGAACTCACGCCGAGAAAAAGTGCTTCAGAGAGCATCAGGATGTGTCGTGCTTTTAGCTCTCGAATCTTCTTGCACTGTTGACAAACTGGGACGCTCACCGAGACGAGTCCCTGCAGAGCTCGAAGAGACGGAAATGATCGACGACGAGGCAGGTCTAACACACCAGGTGATCCTAGTGTGTTAAACGCCTGTTTCACATGGCCTCTTGGCTGTTAACGGACTGCGAACTGCGGGACGTTTTTCGACTCATCGGCTCCAGGTAAGCGGCAGGTGCCCATCCTTCGACGTTGCTTCCTACGAGCTTGACGAACCACCAACCTGCACACCCTACCTTCAGGAGTTCCAGGTTGTCCCCTTCGCGCATCGTCACCTCGGACTGGCCCACCGCACAGTAATCAGCCAGTGCGAGATATCTGCCACCCTGTAGAAGAGTTACCCATATGCATAAAATCCCGGAGAAAAACAGGAGCGTACAGATCCAAACTATGAAATCCTACAGGAGCAGGTCCAGGATTCTCCCCAAAGGCGTCCTCGTCATCCGTGTTGCTGTTCTCGGAGCTCCACGCCACGTCGTCCTCGGTCGACTGAGAGATATCGCTGATGTGCGAAATAACGCTGTTGCCGTCCACGGATAGTGTACGCAGCGAGCCTGAAATACCACTTTGTGCTTCCCATGAGATAGTCTGCCGGAGGGGCCTGTAAAAGCGTTACAATTCACTGCAGCAGGTCGTATAGATGTATTTGCATACAAGGTTAGAAGTCTCCGAGTTAGAAAGTTACCCGGCGATCCCGACCACGTACTTGTGATTGGACTTTCCAAGAGCGGTGTTCTGCTTTCCCTTCAGCTCTGCTAGCTGAGACATCAGGACCCCTTTGATCTGGCGAACCCAGGACTGCTTAACGTCGATACTGGGCGCCTGGATCGTGTGGACCTCTGCTCGTCCTTGCAGCCAGATTTCGAACCTCCTCGCGTCTCCTTTCACGGATTCGGTCAAGCCGATCTGCGACATCTGTAAAATAAAAGGTCGCGTGGAAATCGGGGAACCTTAACCTATTTCAAATTATTTTTAACTATTTTTTACGAGCGTGGACGGACCTTCAGGTATCTCTTAAAGTGATAGGTCGCCTTGTTGTGCGCTTGCGGTTTGCTGTGTTTACAAAATATGAAGGCTTTCTCGTACAAGAAAATGTGACGCTGAGACGGCTTCAGTCTCAGCAGACGTTCGCGTTTGCTGCTGCTCCACACGCTGAAGGAACCTTGTAGTAAGAGTTCCCCCTGAGCACTTAGATCTCCCTGTAAAAATAAAAGCGACGTTAAGGAATATTTGTTTACTTATTCCATAAACGATGTATTTATTTTTTCCCTCACTCACCCCAAAACCAGTAATTGCGGTCTGATGCATGCTATCGTTAACACACTTTAAAACGACAAGCATGCACTCCAGTGCTTCCTGCAGTTCCGTGCAACACGACGGCTCGTCGCTGTATTTCAGGAGATCTTTGAGAAGTAATTGGTACTTTGTGATACGTTGAACGGGTTTCAGAAGGTAAGCAGCGAGCGGTAGTTTATGGCCTAATCTCTGCTGGCAAGCGGCGAGAAATTGCGGCTCGTTTTGGATCTGTTCGCGCAGTCTCTCCGATCTCTGGATATTCTGACAGTAGAAGCTATACAGCCTGAAGAATATTTCTCGCTGGAAGGTGTTACGGGGAAATCAGCACCACTTAGACCTTTGGCATTAACGTACAAAGTTTTGACACGCGTCTATACACGGCATATAATTATTTTACCCTTTGAACGAAGCACAAGGCCACCAGCTCGGTGTTGGAGATGCAATTCTCGAGGTCCCTCAGGAAGGTCTCTCCGTGGAACAAATATATGTCCTCGAGATTTCCAAAGAGCACGTCCGCTTTCCCGACCAAGGCGGCTGGTATCAGGTGGGCCATCGCCTCGTTCGTTATCTCTGCCTTATACCCTTTAATTATCGAGCCAAGCTCCGCTACATAGATGCGCTCCGTTTCGATGAGCTCTGCCAAAACGTGGCCGCGTTTCAGCCGCAAAGCCTCCACGTCACGAGGTTCGCTTTCCGGCGACGAAGTCTCCCCCTCGATTGGACTCATCTCCATCTTGAACGTAATTAAAAAATCAATCATCGACGACGCCGCTCCGAAGGATTACACCATGAATCATCGGAGGTTTTAGGTTTCAAGCGAATGTACGATATTCGAGGTACCTTCGGCATGGTGTTAGCCTTTTTGAGGATCTTTCCCGGTTTCACCATTTGCGGTGGTGGTTGTATCGGCTTGGCCGGTTCCGGTGTCACAGTCTGAACAGGCCTCGCTGGTTTCAGCAGCTGCTGCTTCAGTGCCATGATTCGTTTGTCGCACATCAAGGACACATCCTCTATTCTTTGCAGGACCTAGCGAAAACCCCGAAAACTATTGCACGACTTCGACGGACTTCGACGGGACGTGAAACCTGCCGTAGACGCGTCTCCGAGTCGCTTTGTTCTCTTGTTTCGGGTAAAGAAAATGTCTTAAAATAATTTCTCTTTACCTGAGTCACTAGAGCTTTCGTCTCCGGCATTATGGAATCTTGGAAAATACATCTTGGGTGGTGGAACTCTTCCGCGGCTTCTATCAACTCCTGGAGCTCTTGCAGTGCCTGATCCGGAGGTGTCGTACTGTTCTGGGCTGCGAGTAATTCCACGCCTCGAGTACACCACGCATTCGCCTATACAAATACGAAGACGAGAATTAATTATTGAATCAAGGATCGCTTATCGATCGATCTCACCTTGTCGATTCGTTCCATCAGTTCTCTGCACTTCGTCAAGGTATGCAATCTCCTCTCCAATCGTTGGCTGAGGATGGTACAGACCCTCTGTAATTCGGCACATTTTGGCTCGACAACTTCTGCCGGACATTGATGACGCCCCGACAATAATTGTTGCCCAGCAGAGATCACCTCCTCGGCTCGATCGATATCTCCCTATAATTGCACGATGTCAATTCTTTCGTTTGCGGAAGGATGAACTACTCCAGGTAACTGCACTTCCCGGTAAACCTTCGCGACCAGCTTAGGATCGAAATTGTGGAGTCCGATTGAAACGCCGAAGTGCAATTTCCCGAGCATCGTGTACGCTATCTATCGTGCAGTGCAAGACGCGAAATAAAATGGTATATTCATTCGCATTTAATAACATGCCGACAGTGGACTTAAACTAAATCCTTATTTTCAAGTGTACTTCTGACATTCATATTTCATTTACATGAACGTACCGAACCACCTATCTCTACTTAAACAAGGATATAGCTTAGAGCACGTTCTATCGAAAGTCGACAGAGTTAGATGTCCGATTACTCTCAGTTGAAATAAATCATACAGAGATAACCACATAATTGAGGAATACCGAAATGAAATAATCACAGTTAGTTCGATGGAACCTTAACGGCTAGAAGAGAATACATGAATTTTGATAAGTGGACTGCTTACCAAGACCCAAATCCACATCGTATGCAACAAATAGGACTATCGAGAAAATGAGGAAAGCGGTGCAAAGTAACAATGTGCATGATGTGCATTGTGTATGTTACCGCTTGCAGGGATATTCAAACCAGGATTTCGTACGACGTAAACGTATCGACATATACCGTCACTTAATAAATTTGCGCTCTCCAACCACAGGGAAAAACTGGTTTGAACGACAGTCGACGATGCTAAGGGTGCTCCGTGTCTTAAACATACCACTACCATCTAAACAATGTCCAACGCCATTTTTTCTCTTTTTTTTTTTTATCAACTGTCCTCTTCGAGGTAACGATCGCTTCTCACGAAATCTCCTTCAAAAATCCTTGTCAGTTTCAATTCTCTCGTTAACGTGTTTCGGGTAGTGTTTCATGTCGAGGAGTCGAGTCGAGAGAGCCCTTACCCTGCAGATTCTCTGGAAAGTCGAGGTGTCCCTGATCAGCTGATCGACTCGGATCGGAGTCTCGCCCACTTCGGTCATCTCTTCCACGGTCTTCAGGTGCTGGTCCAAGATCGCCTGCAGTTCCCGGAAATCCTGCTCGAACTGCCGCAGAGCCAAGCAGTGCCTCAGTCGAGAACTATGATGCGACCAGAACAAGTCGAAAGTACGCTCGGTTTCCTCCAACTGCACGAGCAACCTGCAGAGTACAAAATCTCGGTCATTACCCACAGAGTGCATTAAAATATTACGAAAGTTACAATTCTATATATGTGAAAACGTCAAAATGTTTATAAAACTTTCCTTTGATTTATCCCAGATTAGAACCAAGGACATATATATATTTTTTTTAATGAAATTTCATCAGCACCGCGTTTTTCCTTAGGGCCTCCGTAATCACGTAAAGTTTCAAATGATTCGGTGCGCCCAGTTTGGAGGAAAGTTTTCTAAATATCTTGACGTTTCCATGTATACGGATGACCCTTTCGTAACACCTGAAAGGTAGGACGTTAAAAACGAGGGAGCCTCGAAAGTCGCGGACCTTTCGACCGAGGCGACGTTCCCCAGACGATCCGCAGTCCCTTTGCCGGTCAATTGTCTTACGCTATCCAGTAATGCTTCGCCGTGTCTGGCAGCGCTGAGGATTTCCTCCTTCAACTCGTTGTACTCCGATTGTTGTTGATTCAGTAACGTGGTGGTAGCGATGGTATTATTAGGAAACTCCACCTCGGCTAAGCGCCTCGTAAACGAGTCGAGGGCGAGCGACACGTCCTGGGTCATCGAGGAGAATTTCTCCAAGCTCTGCAAACATGTCGGTCAGAAGCCGCCAAAAGAGAAAAGGAAAGACAAAGGAGAGAAAAAAAAATCGTAGCTCCAGTTAACGGGGCAAAGTGATAAAGGAATTACGTACGATCCTGTTTTGTATCCATGTGTGATGGCAGTAAGGCAAGTCACCGCCAAGTTGCTCGGTCAGCTGGTCCTTGTCTACGAAGTCGTAGAGTTCGCCGACATTCGCCAGAACGATAACCCTGAACTTGAACTCCTCTCGGAAGAGCTTGTAGGAGACTTCCGATATAGCTTTCTGCAAAAAACCGGCCGGACGCAAGACGTATGCCACGTGTACCAAGCCAGGAAAGAACGCCTGAAAACAGGAGCAAGGTTGACTCCCTAAAGAGCATTAGCCACGGCAAATAAAAAAAGATAATAAAAAAAAAGGTCATCCAGCCACGGATCTAGATCGCTTTCGGACGGTCCACGGAACCGGCAAGGACTTACGGAAATTTTCAAAAGAACGGTCTTCACGGAATTCCACCTGTCGGTCCTGCGATCGATTATCAGGTGAAACCCCAAGTCGGCTTCCTGCAAGCTGGAAGGAAATGGGGAAAATGTAACGATGGATCCTTAATTAATTTATGTGATAACGTACTTACGTTGGCACAGAGGTGAGATAGAGCATGAGACGTTGGTAGTCGAGATCGGTCAGATTGTGGAAGTTGCCATTATCGGGAAACGTGATTACGGGACATCCCTCTCTGGTCTTGCCGCCTGGAATCGGAAAAATAGCCAGGGGAGTCCCTCGGTCCCTCTTCTCGTTATCCGGGATAATAATGCTTAATTATCATCCGAGCCGAATGCGAGGAAACTTAATTTGGCCGCGTAACAACCCGAGGGAATTCTCTGCGGTAATAATTAAATCCTCTGTAAGGCTCTCCGGTGTCTTTTTGCGGTTAATTACGGAGGCCGGCGTGCCACTTCACTCGGGACGAGGAAAGTAACTTCCCACGGTAAAAACTTGCGCTCTCCGACTATTACGCTCGCACGGAGGGTACGTATCTTGCTTCTCCACCTTCGAATGAATTTCTTGTTCCGTTATAACGACTTATGCGAGCGATTTTCGCCCGGCACGCCGCGAAAAAGGTGTCGCCAAGTCGAGGACGCTCGTCTTGGCTTCCCACTCGACCGACGTCTTATTCTCAAGAATTTTTAATCGTATTATCGCCTCTTCTCCTCCGCGTCCCGTTTCCCAAATTTCTCCTCTGGTCGTCGTGGATAAGTCGTGAAAAAATTCTGCACACCCCGAAGAGCCCGCAATCTCACCGCGAGGTAGCTCGTCCCGGTCCGATGACCGATAATACGAGTTTTCATTCGCGTTTCAAATTTTTACGAATAAAGAAAAGTCTCGCTCGCAATAAGTCGTGAGAAAATTCAATATGTACACCCCGTAAGGCCCATAACTCTCGCCGCTGGGCTGCATCGGAGCTGCATCGGTCGCTGAGACCGGACTGACAAGTGAGTTTTCACTCACGTTTCGGATTTTTCTCGAATAAGGCCAGCCATCGAGCTCATGGAAAACCGAAGATTTCCCGGAGTCCCCTTTTCTCCAAGAAATTACCAAACGACAGAGCAAGGAAGGACGAAACGTCTTATTTCGTCTGGTCGCGGGAGCGACAAAATTACGCACGTCAATGGCCGAGAAGTTAACGCATTCGCTATTCAGGGGCATTAACGTGCTCGAAACGAGCGTGTTCAAATAACGATCCTTGGGTAATTGCCTCGGCGATTACTCGCCGTTCGATATTTCACCGGCGTGGCGCCATTTATTGCACATTTTCAAAAATCGCGATCCTCCCGGGGTTTCGATACTTCCGGTTAATGTCATACGACGAATCTTGATTACGCGTACTATTTAAAAATTGATCAAAAAGACGGTCTTACCGGTGATGATGGCATACTGCGGTTGGAGGAGATCCGCAACGTCTCGGACCGCCAAGTCGCCGTTCTCGATCTCCCCGGTCATGCTCTCCACATCTTCTGAAATCGAGACAATCCACCTCGGTAAAAAAGCACGAGATTATGCCTAACGGGAACTAACGTTAAAAAATATCAGTTCACCCCGCACTTCCCCGGCCAGCAGCGTTGCGACGCTTCGAGAGCACCATTTACGTTATGATATATATTTTTTTTACACGGTTCGCTTCAAAGAGCCAACTATTTCGGTGATTTATAGAACCTAAAGGGCGCGCAACGCATCCAGTCGGAGGTTCTCTTATGCAATGCGCGGCCGGTGCATACCGCAACGGCGGACCGAAGGTGAGTGCCTGATCCGAGGTTGCACTCGGGTGACCTTGCCGATTCCATCCACCTGAAACAGTTCCCTGTTTTACCGGCGATATCGCCGATGTAACTGTAAATTAAGGGGCTCTCAATCCCTCCTTCGATTCCCCTTGCATCTGACTCGGCATTACAGGGGCGCATTTAGGCACTTTCCGTTCTATATCCAGAAATTTCGCCACGAAGAGAGATCGAAGGAGCGGGTAATTTATGCGCACTCGCAAGGGGCACTCACCCTCGTAACGAGAGGCACTGGCGTTAATTGAGCTCGAGTTGCATGTCTGGAATACGACAAATATGAGGAATATTTTAAGGCTTCGTGTAAGGCCACTGACCTTAGTTTAATCGCGACAATGATTAATATTAATTTTAATGGTCTTTATTGACTATGATTTAAATGACGAGACGAGTTGAACCCGTTTAACGGCCTACTCGAGGTTTCTAGTCCGAATTCCCTCGTGAAGGGCGTTTTATGCGAATTCCTGGGCCTCGTTACGGCGTTATGGCACTCTCACTCCTGTATCGGTCGGAGTGGAGCAATCACGACGGAGTGGTTTGCGAGCCGACGTGTTTACCTGCTGAAAATTTACGGCCTCTAAAGGATGTATATGGACATCTCGAACCATTCAATCCCCCTGGGACTTTCTATACTAACGGGATAATCGCCGTGTCGGACGAGGCTCTTAACTTCTACTCTGGTAATTTCAAAGTCAGCGGGCGTTTTCATCTACCAATTTCGTGCCAACTGCGGCTACTGCTATTATTCTACTTTCGCCGTTTTTTGGAGACACTTAATGAATTTCTTCCAATTGCGAGGTAATCGGTTCCCACGTTATTTCAAGGGTGTCGGGAGGAGAGCGGGATGATGGGCTTTAAAAAAAATTAGAAAATTAGAAAATTAGATCCCCAGACACCAGCTGACATTGACGGAGTGGATAATAATGAGAGCTCATTAAACGCTCTCGTTAAATAATTCCCACCCTGTTCCGCTATTGGCTCGCTAGGCCGGCCAGATGGTTCATGTTAATGTGGACGAATTAGCACCCGTTTAGCCGTATAATCGGGATAAATGTGTGCTACCCCTTCCACGACGGCATTTCCTGACGTCGAGTACGAGTGAACGAACTACTTGCTTCGTACAAAATTGTATTACGTTTTTAAAAATAACATTTCATCGGACTTACGATACTACAGATGCTGAACGACGAAAGCTCGACTACTTACAACATTACTAAACACGCTAGATAATCTTGACACAGTAAGTATACCTTATCAAATTATAAATATATACGTATGTCTTATATCATACCGGACTTCAACGAGCGTTACATCTAAGTATCACAAAAAGTGCACAGGTCCCCATCGTGGGGAACTTTTAGGAAAATATCCTAAATTTAAGATATCACTATACGAGAAAAATAAAATTCTGGAGTATGATAGCGAGATGATTGGTACGAGTTTGCGAACAAAGGCAAGGAAATCATGTTTTTTCGACCTGTGTCTCTACCTTATTTTAAACGATTAGGTCCATCGACCTGTCCGTAATACTAGACGTTTTATGTTTAATTTTATATCTTACAAAATTCATCGACACCAGGCCAGTGGCATGGCAAATCAAGTCTAATTAATTGAAATGATTTGCATCGGACTAGTGCCTTGTTAACACGTAGTGGTATGGCTGCTACCAAAAGTACGCCTTTGTACTCTAAAACTTCATATCGGACCTACGATAATAAATGGAGCAGAGAGTGACTCCGACTATAAGTCTTAATTTTGAACTTAACGACGTTAACTTAATAATTCTACGCTTGAAAATACCTAATTTGAACACAAGAACTTGGCATAAAAGGATAATCTATTGGTTTCCTCCATCACTCGTCACTAGGGTGTCACGATATAGATGAGAAAATTCACTGCAGTTCGGACACTTTATCGAAACTCACAATGCACGCAAACTTATCAAGCCTGCAGACGTGAGGAAAGATTTATCAAATGCAAAAATGTTCCAGGTTTGGGGATGAGCCACTGAGTTTTTCTTCGTTACATTGGATTGAGATTTGTCACCGTCACGGGCATTCCAGTTCTATTGACTAGAAGACCACTGGGTGTCAACTGATAACTGAGACCTTCTTGCAATTTGTTGACCGGCGTTAAAAAGTATGTTCCACTTTGTTCGACGGATTCACTCGTGATAACAAGGGGCACTAAGTCACCACTTTCTGTAACGAGCTGAGTTGACTCAAGTGGCGCATCATTTGTTACTTTATCAGACTCGGCTTTCAAATTGTTCTGATTCTGCGTACTCTGTGCTCTAACTACGAATTCGAGCTTTGGAAATTTGACTTGTGGGAACTGAACCTTCATAAACCTCCTAAAAGTGGAATATCCCATAATCTTTGGGTCAGGAGATAATCGTTTGCAATACTCGGCATACAAATCGTGAACAGTCTTTCGAGTAATGTCCGGAGGGAGGTGCAAAGGTCCGTTCTTCGTATCCTTCTTCTGTTTAACCTCCTGTTGCTTGATGAAGCTTTTTAAAAACTCGGTGGCAATTTTGTAAATGTCCAAGGAAAAAGTATTGTGCGGAACCTTTCCATGATTACCGTGCACACGTGGCGTCACGCCGTGAGTGATTAGATGTTTCCTTATTCTTTTGATCTGATAATGTGTGCAATTCTCCAGGTAGAGAAACGCATCCAGACAAACTCTTCGTCCTTGGTACACGTATTGCGCCCGTAATCTGCGTCGTTCGGTGTGCCTGGCCGTTTGATAAGGATTCGTCAGACAAGCCATTGTGACACCCATCAAGTACATATCGTGCTCTGCCTTTGTCAATTCTGCGATATTTAATCTATGGCGATAAACCGTCTCTGGGTTTAACCCTTTGAAACACTGATCGTCTTGGCACTCGCAACCTCGTTTAAAGCGCTCCAAAACTTGGGAGGGGCTGTCTTCCAATTTTGTCGGGTCATAGCTCGATTCACCTAACATTTTATTTTTCTTCACTTTCAACTTGCTTAAATTTTTTTTTCTGCCAGAAGCCTTTGCGTCCAAGTGTGATTCTCCTATCACCAACTGAAACCACATCGATGTATTAAGAAAATCAATTAAAACACTCGCTGGCAAAATAATTTTACCTTCACTTCTGGCTTAATGACACTTGACAAATCGTCGTTGTCAAAACCAGGAACAAGAAATTCATCCTCTGGATTCTCGCTATCCGTCATGTCGGCGCAGCTTTGATTCTTCAAGGCCATAGATACGTGTTCCATCGAGGCCAACTTCGAAACTTGTAGTATTTTCTAAAATCAATAACAACGCTTCGTCATTGTCATTCAAACATAAAAGAAAAATGTACATACATTTATCGATGTCTAGAAAAATGATTAATAAAGGTATAAAATTTCTTGCATTGTTTTCATCGACAAAAGTCCTATCTCCAGGCTTCAGCCTTTCGACGGCCAACAGCGCATGCAGCACTTCGCTCGCTTCTCTTTCGGCAGCAGTCACCTCCATCTACGGAAAAACAATAAATTTCAATCGACCACTTTCTAAATATCTGGAACGAACAAGCTGTGCCTCGCACCCCAAATTCCATCAAATGTTTACATCCAGTGTTAAAAAAAATGTTCAGCAAAAACTATAAGTCTCCAGCTGCCTCGACATCTCAACAACCATCTCATTACCCAAACAACTTTCATTTTCCTTTTGAATGCACCGACTTTTCCCAGGCACCAGGAAAAGCAGGAACAGTAGCCAGAGGAGGTTAGTCAAAAAACGCTCCCGCTTTTCGCAGGCAAGTCATCACTCGAAGATCCGGGGGATCTCGGCGACAGATCGAAAAAACTAAACAAAGAGACATCTCCATTTACACGCGAGCTATTCTTCGATGTTGCGGTAGTAGAGCAGAGATACGAGGCAACAAGGAACGGGGGTGCAGCAAGGTCGAAAGTCGCTGGCTATCATGTCGGCCGGACAACTTTCGTCTTTACGGGGGCATAATTGATCGCACTTCACTTACCACTTTCGAGCCCGTGCTGTCGAGAATCCCTTGTAAAAACGGTCACACCATGATCACTGATCACTGAATTGACAACCGCGAGTGTTCGCGTGCCGCGAATCGGCGAATTTCCGGATTAATAGGTAGAATACCCGAGGTGGGACGCGTTGCGATATGGCGGTCGTAATCCAGAGTCGCGGAGTGGTGGGGTGTGGTGGGGGAGGAAGGCGCAGCGCCGTGCCTAGGGGAATCCGGACCCAAGCTCGAGGTGGGAAACCTGCCCCTAGACCGGTCCGACGACCCTGGCGAAAGGCATCCATCAACCCCGCTCAAAGATTAAAAAGGTAAATAATATCCAACCCAGATAAAGTCTCAAACTAAGGTTAGGATTTTGACATAAATTAGAAAATAACTTTCATCAGCGGAGTTGTCGACTCGTCGACGGGATTATCGACTGACATGCGTAGACACGCTCCTGAAATTCGAAAGAGGGGCGCGACCGATGCCGCATGCACCGCATGCACCGAGGTAAACACACTCCAAATCCGTCCACCCCGAAAGGGAATGGACGAGTATTTATACCCCCGTTTCCTGAAATAGGTTTCCTCTGGTTTTCTCGCGCCCCGACCGGTGGAAGAAACGCGTCGGCCGAAGACTTCCCATGGGGGAAATATACGTACAAAGGCAAGACATTTCCTGTTTCACGCGGAACGAGCCAGCAAACAGTCTTCCTTTGAGGTTAATTGCGCCCATCCGAGGTTCGCCAAAGAGGAAGGGTGAAAAGAGCTCAAGTCGCCTATAACCTCTTCGACTCTGCTCGGAGTGGATATCTACCCACGTGTAATTTTAAATTCCAACAGCTTGGCAGCAACGGTGCCTCCGCTAATTATTACTACTGGGACCTTCTATGAATCGCACGGGTGAAGAGCTAACGGGACAGAAGACCGACTCGATACCGAGTGCAATTGCAAGGACTTTGCAGGAACTCCCGGCGAATAAAGGCAGAGCTTTTCCTACACAAGGAAAATCTTAAAAGCCAAGGTAATAAACGGAGTATCTTGGCATTTGCAATTATGAATCCTGACCTCCTTACATCCGATATCTACTTCCAAATTAACACAAGCATGCTAATAAGTAATTAAGCATATGTATACCATTAAAGTGAAATAAGAGGAACAAATGTCACCTTTATCTCGATTTCAAAAGACGTTCCCAAAAATGGCCGAAACAAAAACATTACGTCAGGAGGGAACGCAAGGCCAGTGCTGGCATAAACTTAACGTAGCGGTTGAATATTTCGCGGAGGGTTGTATTTCGTCGGCAGATGCACTTGGCGTCAATCGATAGTCGTTTTATCACCCCTCGAGAAAGCCGTTGCGCCTCGAACGTGTCCAACAACGTGCGCGCCCTTCGACGTTTCGCCGCGTCGGCAAAATCGATCGGCCTGAAGACGCTTAGCCTTAAAATTCATTAGCCCGCCGACGCACCTGTGCATTTCGTCGAGCAGTGCTGGTGGCAAGGACAATTGCAGCTGTGCGGGGATTTCCGGCGGAGTATCATATCGAGGCGGGTGCCGGCGTCGGGACGCACCGGACGTAACTCGTTTTCACTTTGTCACTCCGCGAGTACACTCATGCGAGAGAAATCGCGCGTCTCGTTTCGCACTGCCGAGACACGCACTCGGAACTCTATTTCAGTCCATTTGATCGATAAAACACGTTCACGCGTGACGCGCGGCGGCCGTCGTCTTGCGTCGTCTGGCGTCTGGCGTCGCGTGACATGCAGCGAAACCGACGACTATCTAGCGCCGCGACGCGATTGGCCGTTGGACGCGCCAGGCGCGCCACCATTGGCGGACGGGCGGTCCGCGCCGACCAATCAGGAGCGTCCCTCGGCGCGGCTAGCGGTGGCTAGCGAGGAGCGTACACGTGACTACGACCCTGCGCATGACCACGCGCCTTGGTGTCCTTTTTTGAACAAACGGATTTCGAGGCATTGCCACTTTTATCCCGCAAACTTAAAACGTTCTCCACTCGGTAATAATAATGATTCATTACCGTTGCTCCAAAATTCACCGTGTCATTTAATCGTTTCGTTCGATCGAGGGTGGTTTTCGTTAGAGCGCGACGCGATTGGCCGATGCCACTGATTCCGTAACGCGATTGGCTTTAAGAGGCTGCACGTGACTCGCGCTCACGAGGAAGACCCGCGGCGTCCACGTCGATTTCTAGAATATCGGATTCCGGATTTAAAGCGTTCCCTAATCGCTATTTAAATGCACGCTTCCCGAGTGGAAGCCGCCGATGATCGTAACGGTTTGTACCAAGCGTGCAGAGAGACGGCATAGCGTATGTCGAAACTCGAAACTTTCGGTGGAATCGAGGATATAACGGGAACGAAGAGTCGATTACAAGTTTCGACCGCGAATCTTCGGAGCACTCGGTGAAGTGTGTTAATTTGAATTATCGCTCAATTATTCAAATTCTTTTTAACGGCACGGACTCTCGAAATGTTGAAAAAGAAAAAAAGAAGATACTGATATCGCCTTCTCGCGTAGCGGTAGAGACTCCAATCGGCTTAAAGTACAGCGTAAGAAGAAGAAGATAATTGCCGCTAATAACCGTTGCAGTAAATACGCGGGGTCATTTTCAACCTCGTATCGATTCAATTGGCTTGCGTTATCGTACTCAGGGTTATCGGTTCCGTATTGGAAGTCAGTGCAGAATCGTCGAATCGGGTCCAAATACGAGAAAACTTAACGAGTGAAGCGTCACCGAGCAATATTATACAACGGGCCGCTATACCTCACCGGTCGCGTGACGTACTTTAACGGCTAGTAATCAATCCCCTAAGAATGTCTCGCATACTCGAGTGGTTACGAATTCACATTGTCCGTCAAACTTATCGCATTTCCCCCGCGGGGGGAACGTTTATTTCTAAAATCTAGCGCGAATCCCTCGTTGACGTAACGTCGCGGCCAGGAGGGCGCGCAGTTTTATCGGGAAAATGCGGCGAGTAGAGAAAGAAATCGGGGGAATTAATTCTCGCAAGACACGGCGGGCTCGTTGCATCAAGGCGTGCTGGATATATCACGCACCGTTGCCCGTCAAAGGAGCTTACGTAAAGCGGTAATCAAGGGTTGCTCCGAAGAGGGGCATGCGCCCTCAGCGGCCATTTTGCGCGGAGCGTAATTAAGCGAGCACTCGTCGCCGCGATTAAGAAATATACATGTACTCGCGGCATTTTTCCCCGGAATTCCGTCCCCCGGGAAGGAGTCCCTTTGAACTTCGGGGAACCTTTTGAAAATCGTCCATTACGCTCGGAGGACTTCTCGCCGTTAAAGCGACCGGGAGGAGATCCGTTGTTTCGCTCGCGATTCTTCTTCTCGCCCCCAAGGACGCGTTTTACCCCGTGCACCTCCCAATGCCTCGTGTTAGCGAGCACGTGCCATTAACGGCATAATTCCCCTCGACTGTTAAAACGCCTCTCTCACTCTCTAAGGTAACTGTAAACAAACGGCAATACGTTTGAAATACAGAAAGTAACTCGACAAAATAAACTTTGTAATCCTAAGTCACGTACTGCGTCACCTCGTGCACCGATACCAGGAATTTTGTCATCCACTAGGGTACCAAAACCAAATTTTCCCTCGTCCAGGAACGCCTTGGCTCCTTTTCACCTTTTTGGCGCGCAACGTCCGTCCCGTCCTCACCGGTTACCACGGTAAATTCTATACCCGGGACACCAAGGTAACGGGGGATTTCTAAAAGGGAGGAAGAAGCGTGACAAGATGAGACGAACGGCAAATAAACAAAGTGGCGTCCGGCGAGGTTGCGGGTCGCGGTCCCGACCTGTGTCCTTACCGTTCCCCTCCTCTCCGGACCTCTCGGACTCACCGACTTCGAGGAGGTCCAGGTCCAGGTTGTCGCTGCGGCTGCGGCTCAGGCTCAGGCTGTTGCTGGCGTGATAGCTGGACCGGTGGGAGTCGTCCATGGCGCGAGATGCGCCGCGCCTGAACTGCTCCAGGAAACTGTCGATCTGGTTCTCGATGCCGGTCGGCGTGCTGGCCATCTTCCGAACTCCTTGGGAGGGTGTCTCCGCGTTCCGGGCCTGCGGCTACATTCTCGCGCTCGTTGGACCGCTCCTTGGACCGCTCCTTGGACCGAGGGATTCACCAGGGGGTCCGCCTCGGCGCGCGCGACCTCCGGACAAGACCGGACGAGCCGCGGCGCATGTTCCGCAGCCGTCGTCGGTCGGTGGGTCGGCCCCGAGGAAACCTCCGGAACTGGATCGACTGGCGGCGGCGCGACGTCTCCGAGGCAGGTGTCGCGCCGCGCCGCTCCCACTGCGCATGGCCGCGGGGTCCACCCTCGGCGGGGCCTCCCCGTTCGATCGCGCTTCGAACGGCCCCGCGGGATTGCCGAGATTTCACCTGCAATTCCCCCCGCAATCCCACCCGGAATCGAAGTCTATTAACGACTACTCCAATCTTATCACTTAGTCGTGATTAGAAGACTGCCAAGAAAAACAGAAGAAGTGAGTTCAAGAGCGAGGTCGCGAAACGATAGACCTTGATCGAACGATCGAACCTTGGCAGAATAGGTTTATAAAATGAAGGTCCTTTTTAAGAACGCAAAATGATTTTAAAAGGGATAACCTCACGTCGTTTTTCGAGTCTTCCAGAGAATGGAGTTTAAGAACCGGGAGAAGCTTCGGCAATCCCGGCCGCTCTTGGTTTCGACGGAGATGCGCAGCTTCCGAATCGTTAGGATCTTGATTAACGGTAATTTAATTTGAAATATCCCCCCGAGACCTGTGGCGCCATCTAGGGAGTACCGAGCGGATTCGGGAGGTAGCGACTCGGGCTGTCGGCAAAGTCTGGTCTCGGTCGGGCGCCGTCAGGCGCCGTCGGTGCTCGGTGGGTAGAGTCGCGACCTATGCGGGCCGCGGGGTGGGGGGTGGCCCGCCGCGGGCGCCGGACCGTCACTCGTATCGCGGCATCTGCCGGGGGAGGACGTTTGCCGGTTACACGGGGGTCAGCAAGTGGTGGGTGTGTTGTAGAGTCACTCGAAGAGGGTAAATCCGCAGGAGTCATGGGTGGTAAGTGAAGGTCCCCTCGCGGTCGCGGGCGTCGGCCGAGCCGCGGCTCGGACGGCGACAACGGCGCCGGCAACTGGTCTTGACCCAATGACCTTCGAGTGCTCTTCCAGCGCGAAACCGGTCGATCAACCGTCGCCGCGACGCCCCTCTGGCCTTCGTCCCGAAAATTCGGACCCCCCTTCGGTTTCTCCCGCGCCCGAATCCCTAGGTAACCATGCGCCGGTGTTTTCCTTTTTTTTTTCTCGCGCCACCGATTCGCGCGCCGATCTTTGCGGCTCGTCCCCCGACGCGCATGCGCCTGCCGTTTACGCGGCAATACGCGGCGCACGTATAACCGACGCTCGCGTCGCGCTCGATTTTATGAATGAACCCTGCACCCGCATCGCCCTTTTTCCCGCATGCAATGTACATAGATAAAAACTACATCGTTTCCGGTAAAAAGAAACTGTGCCTGTGCAAGCGGCCCGAAGATCCCCTCCGTGACCCGCCGACAGTTGGGCGCTAAGCGATGGCGCGCAATTATCACAAATGATCACTACTTCGGGATTGAGAAGAGCTCACCCGACACTTGCAATGTTTACAGGAGTGTCACCCGAGAGGGGCTAATGAAATAATCGCAAATGATTGACGCGCCAAGAAGAGTCGCGAGTGACATTGCGGCCCGTTGGTTCAGGAGTTGGAGCGAAGATTCGAAGAATCGAAAATTCGAGAATGCGAAAATTCGAAAATTGGTGCATCCTATAAGGAAACGCGCCGTTAACCCGTCGTAGCTGTACCTCCGACGTCGCAGGTTAATTCGGCACTGCCAGCAGTTCCAGGGTTTATTCCTGGCCCTCCTCGCGGGAGAAACTGCGGCTCCTTGCCAGCTGTCGGGCGCTTTTTCCATTTTTTTATCTCTCTCCACGGCTCCGGATTGTTCGAGCCTAATAGACGAGAACGTCGAGGATATTCTTGGATTTGTAAACGTGATATTTTATTGCCTTTCCGTTCTGGTTGAATTATATCTAAGAAAAAAAAAAAAATGTATATAAAAATACCTGGGCAAGGTTCTTCGAAGTGATAGCGATAACTATTAAATATCGAGGACGCGGGAGAGCGGATCTTTCGGACGTGGAATTCCAAATTTACTCCATTTCGATCCCGCCTATTTAAAGAGCCCGGTGTTAATTCGGGAACATCCCCTTGTATTCGCTCCAGGCCTTCGACTCGACGAACGCGCCGCGTTTCCGTCCACCCTCGGTTAGTTTTCCTCATTTTCTTTTGCTTTTCCGCCGCTCTTTAAGGGCGCAGCCTCGGAAACGAATATTAATCCGAGGACCGAGAGGGAGGTCGTTCTTTGATCGCCATTTGGACGATTAATCGTCGCAATATCGGGCGTCCCGATTGTCTCGCCGAGTCTATTCTTACCGACAACGGATATCGATCCCACGTGTCGAAAGAATGCGTATGCAAATCGTCTCGGTTCGGTAATCGGCCGTCTGCGATCTCGTCTATCCGACGCGAACGTTGACGATCGCTATCGTCGCCTTTTTGGTTATTCCTCCCCCCAGGCGAGAGCAATTCCACTCGAGATAAGAAAAATCATGAATAGGAATTGATACTATCGGCAGCTTCGACGAATTGCACCGGTTAGCGCATCGATATACAAGGGGTCGGCAAAGTCGCGTCTTCTCTCCGGATTCACATTGGAAGGGTTTAATACGTCGGACACCTCGGCAAGACGCTCTTGCTCGAATGTCGCGATAATGTTCCCGTTCGTGCGGGAAAAGGGGGAGATTATCCGTTCAAGGTCTATCGCGATTCGAAGGAAAAAAAATGGAAGCATCGTCCGAGCCGCGGAGAGCACGTGGAGGCCGAAATCTCGACACGGACTCGATCCGACAGACGGTGCATGACCTAAGACAAGGTGCATGGGTGCGTTTTGTACAAATGTGAAGCTAGCCTTGCTATTATAAGCCGACCGGTGTGTATAAATATAAACCAGTGGCGGTACAACGACGCCGGCACTCTGGCTCTCAGGTTTCTTCCCCGTATCATAATATTGCGCCTTCTCTACCTCCGCGTCTCTCAAAGCCGAGATAAATCGCTATTTTTACGCGAACTCGGCTGAGGCCACGAGGCCTCGAAATCGCCGACCCAACTCGGCGGATTGAACGCCGATATTCCCCATAATCTGCCCGGCCGATATCGAGGTTGGCGCCAAATCGCTCCAACCGAAGCTTCCGAATATACGTGGACGCTCGAATTTCTCTACCGACGTCCAAGATAAAGAACCTTCGTCTTTTCCGTCACCCGCGCCAAGGACGGTTTATTCTCTAAACGTGGAAATATCCGATTGAAAATTTCCCAGAGAACGGTCGCTTGCACGCGGCGGCGCGGGTCTTGGCGAATCAGGAGAGGAATTATATCCGATTAATTTAATTTAATTCGGTCTCGTCTTTTATCGGCGAATTCGGAGATAAAAGAACGTTCCGAACCTCGAGGGGTGCCGTCGGTGACATAACACGAGGGGCCCTTCCTTGGATTTCCTGCGTCGCCTTCACTCGAGCGGCTCTGACACCGAGGCTTGTCGTGGCTTCTAATGTTTTCGAGAAGACCGGTAGTTAGAAATCCGATCCAAGAGAGAGAGAGAACCTCCGGCCGCGTCCGACGCTTATGAGTCATTGTTCCCCTTGGTACTTATCTACGTGCATGTGCAATTCGCCAGACATATCCCGACATATCTCGACCGCCCCATGAAAGACGCGGCGACCGAGGAGACACCTTACAAATATTTTACTCCAGAAATTTATACCTTAAGAATAAGAATTCATCGAGCCAAGGAAATATTTCTTCGAATGGTACCGAAGAAATATATATATTTCATCGAAAATATTCAATATTTGGAGTCCCTGGAATATATTGTCGCATCCGATTTGATCCGGGTCGAATAATTATCGCATTAAACGATACATTTAAACGGTACGAATTTCGACTCTCCCGATACCGTGAGAATGAATTCGCGTAACGTCAGGAAGCTAAATATATCGCGATTTGGTCGAAAGCCAATTTTCTCTGCCGGTGCTTCTCCGACTTTTTCTTTCCTCCGCCTGGACGCATTCTTTGCTTTCGCGAAATAGATGACGACGTGCCTCGCAATTCCGTATAACTTGGCATTGCTTCGATGGAGCATCTCGAACCGATCCAATTCACTCTGGACTGCCTCGAGATGGCCTCCCTCGAGGTGTGAAATTTCCTCGTCGTCTTTTCAAGGATCATCTTAATTTATTAACGTTATTTATCCCGACGGGTCGACCTTCCATGATGTCAAAAATAGAGAAGCATAACTACCTTGGCATAAACGTTTCTTCTAATATTAAACCGACGCGATTTCGGATCTACGATGGAATTCCGACTTTTTGGAGCTCGGTGGGTCGACGACGGTGTCGGGGAAAATTCACGAAAGAGATACTCCCCTTGGAACATTTTATATATGTATTTATTTTTTTTTTTTCACGGAAAGTGCGAAAACTCCCGACCCACCGCTTATTCCGAGGCCATAACTTTATTGGCCGGTTTCGCAAACGCGTCGCATCCGATTTAAATGAAACGTAGGTGCTAGCGGTGAGATAGATTTTCCTTGGCACACTCGCCGACTCTACTGCGCAGTCGTTTTATTTATTGTCGCTCGTTTTCGAGCAACTCCTGCTCTCTTTGTTCTTGGGGTAGATCGCGATGCGAGAGCGGTACAAATTTTCACAATTTTATGTTTAACCGTCTAGCGGCGAGGATCATTAATTACGGTGTTTTTCTCATTTCTTCCAGGATTCGCGTGGGTGACCCTGGCCACAAATGATTCCTATTCCTTGGGAGCTCTGGTCCTGGCACACTCGTTACGTCGAGTCGGGGCTAAACACGATTTAGCGGTCTTAGTTACACCGGGTGTAACGGATGTCATGAGGTAATGATCCCTTTACGTGTAACCGAACGCCCGGATGTAACACCACGCGGCAAAGAACTTTTTCTCCTCGCCTGCAGGAAAAAGTGGCATGAAAAAAAAAAGATATATCTCCCTCTCGTAACTCCAACGTCAACGCATCCGTTTTTCGCAGCCTCTCGTTCGATCCCTGCTGCCAAACTGAATCGATGCCAAGTGGTCAAAGACCAAGTACTTGACATTGAGTAAACTTTCAAGTGGCATTAACGCGTTTCCTAGACCGTTTTTCAAACTGTCGGAACGGTCACGCGAAGAACTCCGAAATGGCCTGAAATCCGATTTACATTTTTACACACCTTATAACTTAAGTTTTACATAAAAAAAACGTAAAATGGAAGAATTACGAATTAGAACATGTATAAATACACCTAATGTTGGATATTCACCGTATGGGTGTATCTTTACTTGAATTTAATGTAACGTTATGGTATAATTTTCTATAATCTAACTCAGATACCGAATACGATATTACGGAAACAATTTTACCGTAACTTAACGTGGAATCGAGATAACCAATGACCGAGTATGCAAATTTACATGGGCATTTTTATCAGGGTGGATACCGAGAGATCAAACTTTCGATTACGCCCTTTCTTTGTTTTTTTTTTCTTTTCCTTTTTACTTCGGCATCTAAAGTCAATGGCGCTGATATTAACAAATTGAATTCCATGCCAGGGAAAAATTGGCGGCAGTGTTCTCATTGGTACAAGAGGTGAACGTGCTCGACTCGAAGGACGAAACGAACCTGGCTCTTCTGGCAAGACCCGAGTTGGGCATCACGTTCACAAAACTGCACTGTTGGAGACTCACACAGTACGAGAAATGCGTGTTCCTCGATGCCGACACGTTGGTGAGTGTCGGCTTTTGCGCGATACGCGGGAACATTTCTAATCGCCTCGTTTTCCCGTTTCAGGTGATCCGAAATTGCGACGAGTTGTTCGAGCGAGAAGAATTGTCGGCGGCACCCGACGTTGGCTGGCCCGATTGCTTCAATTCCGGCGTTTTCGTCTTCAAGCCCTCTCAACAGACTTTTGCATCCATCACCGCGTTCGCCGCCGCGAAGGGTTCCTTCGACGGCGGCGACCAGGGATTGCTGAATTCCTATTTCAGCGACTGGGCCCACAAAGACATCTCCAAGCATCTGCCCTTCATCTACAACATGTGCTCCACCGCGACGTACTCCTATCTTCCTGCATTCAAGCAGTGAGTGGATCGGTCGTAATTAGAAGGGTTAAATTCAATTCCGGTCACTCGAAGGGTCCAGGCTCCCTTAAAGGCCGATTCGGGCATATCCTTATCGTGTACGTAACGTATATAAATACGTATAATATATGCACTGAGAGAAAAAAAATTCATCGGTCGAAAGAAACAGTTTGTTTATACAAAGAATAATTATTTTACTCATATGAACTGAAATAAATCGTCGTAATTCCAAAGGTACGTGGCATCTAATTTATTCGAATTTCAGTTAAATAATTATCGAATGAACGATCCGTTCCTTGGGTTCGATGATATTTTTTCTCAGTTTACATATGTACTTAATATGCGCCACGTCGTAGGAGGGTAATGGTGAATTAAATTAACCGTTCTGCCATCGATGACTACGGCGACGCTAATGTCAGTTTTTCGCGACAGATTCGGCGAGGATGTCAGGATCATTCATTTCATCGGCGCCGCAAAACCGTGGCTTCAATATTTCGACACCGTGACCGGCATCGTTCAGCCGCCACCGGATTGCAACCACTTGCAGCCACTTTTGCAAAACTGGTGGAATATATTCTGTGAGCACGTACACCCTCAGTTGTCCCCCGTTATGGTGAGTGTAACTCTCTGTCAGCCGACTCGCTGCAACTATAAATCGTTTCCATCTCAAATACTTACCGTCGACGACCTCGACCCCCGCGTAGACTCGAAACTATTCGTCTGACATTGATTTTACAAGCTTAACACTGAAATTAGGAAGCACCGATTTTACGAGGTAAGATTCGAAATTGGCGTGGCTTGCTTCTCTCCGAAGTTTCGGATAGATCTCCGTTTTGATGCGGGTCGCGATCTCAATCGGTGTACGTAGATGACGCAGGCATGCAAATCGTCGATCCGTAATGACATTCAACACGGAGATTATCTATTTTTTTTTTTCCCACATTTTCTGCACCGTATATTCACCACTGAATATTATTAGCAGATAACCACAGGCTTGTAAACCGGTGATCGGTAATATTACTGCAAACTTAACTGCACAACGTTAAATAGTACATCGACACGTGTCGCAAATGTGAGATGATTGGCAGATGCCTTTACTGCATGTGGGTTTTGTATAAAGTTCTAGTTATTCGATATACTAGTACCCGTAAAGTAAACTTTTTTTATAGCGCACTTTTTACCGCATTATTACATAAGTCATGTGGAATGTACCTTGAACCTTATCACCTCCCGAAACTCCTATATTTTGTCATTGTTTTATGTGTGTTGCATTTGCATCCGGTATACAGTAACATTTTCCTTTGGGATGTCTTTGGGGTTCAAGGTATATTTTCCCCTTGTACCTTTGCACTTGACGTTTCTTAGAAACGGCTAAAAGCTGTGCTGATTTTTCTCGAGGGATACGATCTTTTTTTTTCCGTCTCTGTCACGAATTAAGCGCACCAAAACATCCTCGCGCTATCTCCCTCAGGGCCAATCGCACCAACCGTAATTAGGGTGAGATTTCTTAACTATAATTAATCTCGAATTAGTGGTTTGGTAACCGATTAATTTTGATTGTGCGTTAAGTAATCCTTGATTAAGGATTTTAACTCAATTGTTGGTGCAACCGGCCCTCAGTCAACGTTCAGGACAGCTTTTAACAGTGTTCACCATGTCCAGAATTGGACACCACTACCTTTAGTTTGTAACTAACCAATTGAGTGTGGATTTTTCTGTTTTGGCATGACGTTTGCATAGGCCAGGAGCACTTTGGCATCACTTTGGCACGAAATCATTCCCCCGCCGTTGCACATCCCTCCCCAATTGCCTCCCTCCTCCGATAACGACAAGTTAACGGCCGACAGTGTTAGGAAGCCAGATTTCTCCGAGTTTAAGGACCCTTGGGAAACGTACGTTCCGCACCGCGATCATTTCCCGAGCGACGATAAGCAGGAAGGTGATAATCATCGATATTACTGTCCGGTCTGCCACGAGTGTCAATATCAATCGCCTCAAGACGAAAGCCGCTGTCAGAACTCATCGAGCCCGACATACGAGACCGTTCAACCCGTTCCGCGATACTACATTGCGCAACAAAACCATAGTCAGTCCGTTTCCGAATATTATCCACCCGCTCCAAGTGAAGAGGTCCCATACAGCGATCAAAGCCATCCCCAGGAACACCATCCTCCACCGCGACCGGAAATTCATTACGACTCTTCCCACGATCATTGTCACGTGCTACATCAACCTCCACCTGTTCATCAAGCTCGACATCACGATAATCGTCAGCAGCGTCAAGAGGAACGGCCCGAAAGTCCCCGCGCGCACGATCGGGACGAAAATCGCGAACGTCATCAAGATTTTCATCATCGGCATCACATACGCGAACATCAACATTCTCAGACTCAGGTACACGAACACGATCGTTCCTATCATCCTCGTCATCATCCTCCCCAGCAGGAGCAACATCATCATCCTCATCAGCATAGGTATCACCATCAAGAACGTACCCACGATTTCTCTCATGATAAGACTTCGCACCATCACCGTCAGCATCATGAAAGTCGTCATCGTGAACACGCGCACCCTGAAGAGCATCATCCGCGTCATCGCGATCATTTTCCTGACGAGCAAAGGAAGGAGCACGTTGAGCATCGTCACGTGGAAAACCGTATTCCAGAACATGTACATAATCATCGGGATAGCGATTATAGCAATGTGGGAGATAGAGTTACCTGCCCAGTGACGAACTGGCAGAGCGATCACGAGACGGTCCGTGACGATATGACCGACGGACGGACCGACGATCACGTACAAAGTGTTCCCCCTCCCTGTGAATCCTGCACTGTACCCGCAATTGTAGCAACACAGTCCAATCAGAAATTAACGGGGCGACTAGAAAATAAAGATGTAAGTAAACTTCGTTGCATTCCCTTAAATGACCCTCGCCTAAGGGTCCTCACTCTACCGGTAGTTAGATAATTATATTTTACCGACCTCGTGTGAATTTTAAGTTACCGCGTTAAGACACTTCACCGCAAGGGCACGAAATCCTCTTGACGTAACTTTTCAAAATGATTTACATTAACTAAAGAGAGTTGTACATAGAGATGCTTGTAAAGCGTTGCTTAGTGTTATTTCTTGCTTGACAGTAATTACGGTACCGAGATGGCATGGGTACTCCCCGCAGGGCTTAAGATATAACCGCTTGGTTGCATTTCAAGATGTGAACCGATAACACGTTAAATCTAATTGCGAGAAATTTGAGAGGGTACCGGACGGTGAGTGAAACATCCCTACGCGTTTCTTGTCGGCAGACTGGGCTTGCGGGCGCCCTGGCAAAACTGACTTTGGGCGAGGCCAGGAGTCCGGAGCAAATCGCCTTCGAGGAGCACATGAGAAAGCAGAGCTGGGAACAGGGCCAAATCGATTACATGGGCCGCGACAGTTTCGAGAATATCTGGAAGAAGATCTTGGAGACCCTTTCCCGGCCCCCCCAGAAGCAGAAGAGCCCACCCAAGGAAGTGGTGAGTAGAGTCACGCCGATCGAAATAACCCGGGTTCCGATCATTCTGATCATTCCGATAACCGAGCATTAACCTCCCAGGATGAAGCAACGGCCTCGAAGGAAACTACAAAGACCGAAACGAGCGAAACCGCTTCTACCGAACCTGAGGAGCAAACGGCTGATCTCTTGTCAGGTACGTCGCGTCCCGATCTATCGATTCTCAAAAGTCAATGATTTTAATCGATGCGATATAATGTACTACGTCGCGTTTTTTTTTTATTTATAAAAAACAACACTTAGAAACTAGAGGTCCGAATTAGGAAGTTAGAGATAAGTCGCGGATAAGCCGAAGAAGTCAACCTTGGAGAGATCTGTACTCGATGTGCTCACGGTGCAAAGCTATTAACGATCCATCAAACGAGCTTAGTGTTTTTTTAATCGATATATTTTGGTCATAACGCAGCATGCGCTACCGAGATCGTTCGCAGTGATATATGGAAGAGTCGATATCGGATCGATATGTCGCGTTATATTCCGGTAATCATCGATACGAGCGAGAGGCAGGACGTTGATTAAGTTTTAGTGTTTGACACAGGAGCAGAGGAGAGCAACTAACAGACCATGGCGCCATAGCATTGCTGCGTCTTGTATTGTCGTTTTGCTTTACTGGGGTAAATATATAAAGTGCTCATACTAAACACGCGCCACACTAGCCGTACGAAAAAGAAAAAGAAACTCGCCACGACTTCGCGTCCACTCTTCGAGAAACATTCTATTAATCCGAAACATCATCCGTCGTTTCCGTAGGCTGCACGAGCGTGTATACGCGTGACTCGCGACGGGCTTTTAAAATAATTATTTGTCAATATTTATAAAAACGACGTATACACTCATAATTTCCACCTGTTTTTGCGTATCCGCATGTCTTGCCGCACGACACATCTCGCACCGTCTTATCCGATTAATTTGTAAAACGATCATTTCTGCTAGATTAAGGTGTTTTTGATATAACGGAATGACCCTTTCGTATCGCCTTAAGCATCCGCATGAGACCGTAAAATAGAGTAGATCGCTTGGGAGAGTTTCCTGATATCATGATTCTTGCCAAATTTCCAGGCAACTTTTTCCACCAGGGTTTTATCATACTTCGCTTCTCCAGTCCAAGCATGTCTATGCCGCTAAACATGGCCTGTCGATGCTACTTCCGTGCTTAGACCGCTTCCATCTAAAACCAAGAGAGCACATTCAAGGAATCAGGTCGTCGTTAGTGCACGTTAATTCATAACTCGAGTAGCCTCGATACACACGGTCCTCGCAGTTAGGGCGAAGGTCACTCATTAATGTATCATCTTTTAGTGATCACAAGCGTCATGTAACCCAACGAAACCCCGACAGAGCGTAACGCCATCGGATGCACATATTCTCGAGTTTGGACCCCGTCCCCCAGCACGCATTAAAAGCCTCGACGTCATCTCTAAAGTCTCCATATTTTTGTTTCCCCCAGTTATAGCTACGGAAACACTGTCGGAAAAACCTGTCTCAACGTCTGTAGCAGAAACGGCGCCAAAAGTTCCCGGACCACCTCTCGACCCCGTCCCTCCCGCACAATCCTCCACAGGAACGCCCAAGACCCCCGAAGTAGGGGAACCTTCACCTGGTGTCGAGGGACTCCTCGAAGCCTCCGGTGCACCTTCCCCGGAGGAGCCTTCCGCGCCGAAAACCGAAACCGTCGAAAAGTCCTCTGAATCGGCCACGACGGACCTAAAGCAGCCCTCTTCGGAGGTACCTGCCGAAACGCGACCTGTACCAGTGGGACCCCCTCTAGAGCCGTTCACCTCTTCCGCTGATAAGGAGATAACGGCGGAGCCAACGAGCCCGACCAGCACCGCCGTGGCTCTGAAACAACCCTCTGCAGTAATTGCGTCGCCACATCCCTTCGCGGGGATCGCCCTAGGCCAAGCATCCTCGGAAACTCCTAGACATCTCACGGATGAACCAGCAAGAACGACTGCCGAGACCGCTCCACCTAAGGCCGAAGCGATCGCTGCAAAAGTCCCCGAAGAGGCAAGAGAATCTGGCGACTCTCCTCGGCAACGGATGTCCTTCGATGCTGCTCTTGAATCTACCGCTGCTTCCATTCTCGAACAGACTCTTCCGCGAGATATCTCCGCCGTTCGTCCGTCCGCCGCAGGAGCCGAGGAAGGGCCAATCGAAGCTGCGACCCCGCGAGCTCCCGAGTCGTCGGGAACCTCGGCATCGGTGGTTCCTGGTTCATCGGAAGAGTTGCCTTCTCCTGGGAAAATTATTCCCGAGGCCCCGGTTACCAAAGAGGTGGATACAGTTAGAGAAACTGCGCGAGTTGACCCTCCTGCACCTGCAGTGACTCCTGAAGTCGCACGAATCGACGCTGTCCCCTCCGCGACTGTAGAACCTGCGGGGGTTGTCGAGTCCGTAGAAAGTCCCGTGCCTATCCAGGTCGCGGAATCCGTTCTTCAGGCAGATCTGAAAGAGTCGGTGTCGGAGGATGCAAAGCCGGTGGGCGAGGAAGCGCTCTCTTCGGTGGTGGCGCCTGTCCAGGAGTCCGCCACCGCCGTCTCCGAGACTCTGATCGAACCACTCGATCGGCCCACCTCGAGCGATGGAACAGCCGACGTTCCCGTGGGAAGTATAAACGGTGTCGACGGGGACCTGCCAGCTATAAATGGATTGGCCTCGGGTCCTACGTCTCCTACAACGGCGGAGGGGGTGGAGGTCGTACCTCCCACGAGGCCAGTGGTCCCTGTAGGTACCGAAAGGTCGGAGGAGGAGCAGGAAACCACCAGGTCGGTTGTAGAATCCGAAGAGGCGAAGAAGTCGGCCCTGGTTGAATCCGCAGCCGAAGTCGCAGTTCTCGAGTCCAAAAGTCCGGAGTCTCGGGTCGGCGCGGCAGACGTGCCCTCCACTCCCGTCTCTAGCTCTCCGAGATCCTCGTCCTCGTCGGCGGATTCCGCGACGGTTGAGAGTCCCGTGAGGCCTACCAGGACCAAGGAGATCAAGATTCCCGCAACGCCGACCGTCACGGAACCCACGCCTCCGACGAGTCCTCCCGTGGAAGGCGACGGTGCCGAGGCCCAGCCGAAGACCACGAAGAAGACCACGAAGAAGGTCGTCAAAAAGTCGTCTACCGAGCAGGAGCCATCGGACTCCGCGGAGGCGGACCCCTCCGGCAAGAAGACCGTGAAGAAGGTCGCGAAGAAGGTCGCAAAAAAGCCGAAGGAGGCGGAAGATGGCGCGGAAGGCTCCGCCGTGGCGAGCAAGCCGAAGACGGTGGCGAAGTCAGCGAAGAAGGTCTCGACGAAGCCCTCGGAGTCTCTGGAGGTGGACAAATCCGTCCCGGAAACTCCGCCGGCCGGGAATGCCGAAGTTCCCGTCCCTCCGAAGCGAAAGGTGAAAAACTCCGGCCCCGCGAAGGCTCCTTCGAAAACCGATTCCGAACAATAATACATGGCGCGGCCTGCGATACCCATAATGGGGGAATAATCGTCATGGGGATACTATTGAGAACCGTTGAAAAGTATTACCCGCTCTTGGATCGTTGTCGATGCTATTCTCAGTTTCCTTTCTTGAGGGTGTGAGCGCGTACAACGATACTCTTATGGGAAAATTTTCTTCGAGGAGGAGAGACGCCGCTGCGGACCAACGGAACCCGCTGCGGACTCTCCACTGGTTCTCGGCTGCGTTTCCGTGTGTTTATTTTTTCTCTCCCTCTCCCACTATCTCTCTCTCTCTCTTCGTAATTGTATTTTTCGTGCCGTTTTCTATATGTATGCGCGCACAGTGGCATTATTCAAGTTCCTAAATAGTGTCTCGTCGAATCCAGCGAGATGGTATCCACTAGTCGACTGTAGTCTTTGGTACTTTTAGCGATCTATTATGCATACCGAGGCTGGATTCGATTGGCCATGCGTATCTGGAACAGCCGAACACTACTATGATTATTACGCACAGTTGTTATCCTTATTTATATACCATTGTATCTGTCTCAGATTTTTTTTTTAACGAAACGCGTGTCTCCCCGGCGGCATGGGAGTCTCAAAAGGCGACTTTCTTGACATATAATAATTGTAGAATTGCCTTAAAAGACTCCTTTTGGTACCCTCGTGCTAGCTGGGTTAGCATTTGCTTTTTACGATACACACGTCCACTTAGCTGTTTTAAATATAACAACACGTGTAATTAATTTTCTTCTTATTAACGAATCATTGCGTCCACTTAGACCATTTTTTTCTAGTTTCGGATTCTTGAAGCCTCGCATCGTCCAATGTTAGTTTCTTTCTTTCAATTATATTAACTCTCCCTGTTGTATTACCGATTAGCCGTCGTCACCGAAATTACTCGTTAAAACATTTAAATGTATAAATTGGCCAAACGTAAGTATCTTTCCATTCCATAAAACATTGGAACGTGTCCTCCGATCAAGTAACGACGCTAAATTTAATATGGGTCAAAGATCTAAGTTAAGACCAATGAAATTTTATGTACAATTGATTCGAACGCCTATTTCTGTTGTTATATTCCTGTACTGTTTATTTAAGTAAATATGTTTTCCTTTTCATCCTACTTGTTATTCGATGCGAGATGTTCAGCATTTTTTACCTGTACAGAAAATGTATAGAGGTATTAAATTGAATTGTGTTAGTTGTCACATGTCTCGTTTTATATTACTTATTCGATATCCTACAATTCATTGTTTAAATACAAAAGTATCACCCGACGATAAATATGGTTACACACGAATCGTAGACAGAGATGAGATGGGAGATTGCTCACGGGCAGGATCGCACGATCACGTCCTGTGCTGTCCCCCGGTGGAGGATGTGGACGGCTATCACCCTTGCCACCTGATGCCCCTCAATGACGGCCCGATTCAGGGATCCTCCTCATCTCTGTGATAACGACATCCTTACCAACAAGTCCAGCAAGATCTGCGACAAATACTCATGACGACTTGAAAAAAAAAAAATGGATCCTGTTGTGATCCACCTAAACCTGGAAAGGGGCAAAAAGAACAGGCAAAACGGAACATTAAAAGAAATCCAAGAAGTCTGAGATTAGACAGCGAATAAGTCACTAGAAGTCAAGAATATTAATGGTAGATCGATCTTGTTAAATTGACTGAACTGGGATTTTTCATATCATTAAGTAGGAAAAAAATCAATTTAAATGTAGAATCGACAAAATATAATCGAAATGATCGTTCGCCGACTCTTCTTCGTCAATCCTGACAAAGTGACATAGAAAAAGAATAGGGGGAACAACGTGGCCAAAAAATGGATGGCTGTCCGATCGAAAGAACGAAAGGCCATCGTAGTTGCCCTCTTTTTAAGGGGCCGCTTCGGTATATAGTCTCTTCGACTCTTGCAGTCTCTTCGGGCAGAGCCCCCTATTTCTCGAACTCTTGGCAATCCCCTGTTTTTCCGTATTAAAAAAAAATTACTCCGCGAACAAATCTAAAAGCTAGCCAAACTACGACCTACGATCTGAGATTGCGTAGTTCGTGCGCATTGCACATTTATCCGGATTTTCAAACGCGGTCTAATTAATTTCATTCCTGAAAGAAAATTGTCATAATCGCGGGTATGTCACAGGACGGACAACCTCGTCCAATCCGGGAGCTGGATCGCAGCCAGGGGTCGCGATATATATGGGTAACGCATTTCTGACAGAGATGCGTTGCGCCGCCATTAAGAGGTAACAGGTGGCAAGTACGTTAGCCGCCCGCACCAACCATCAGGGGACAGCACAGGACGCGATCGCGCGACCCTGCCCGTAAGCGATCCCCCAACTCATCTCTGTCGTAGAGTGAATTTCTACCGGTGGATTTACTAAGATAACGGAACACCGAACAAACCTTCTCAGAATATATGAGTTTTCTTAACGAAAACACAAAATCGGTCATAAATAACAATGCACTCTTAAATTGTTAATGTTCAGTACCGGTTACTACCACGGGTTCACCTGTTAGATATGTATGTACATTGCAGAGACGGCGTCATGGCGGTCATGGCCACCGTGTTCTTTCAATCCACTTTGAAACAAATAACGGCAGCTATTACCTGAAATAAATGTCAAAGAGTAACGAATGGGACGCCAACTAAATTCGTATATACGTAAACGTGAACTCGATAGTTCGGTAGATTGTAATTTATGAGCATCTATGGCTAACCTCCTAAATAATTAATACGTCGCCGCCATGATGGACTGACTAGTGCGCCGGGTTCGTACGCAGGTGGGACGGCAATATGGCCGCGCGTGCGAGCCGCTGCGAGTGACAGTTATCAGCGGATTCCATACCCGGGAGAGCGCGAAATAATGATTTCCCGCAATTGAAACAAGTGCCGTGCTACGCGATGATCAAGGAGATGGCGGACGATGACGCCGTGCAGGCGACGAACGACGATGCGAGCGAATGCAAGCGGAACGCGGTCCAGCTCGGCTACTGGCAGGACCCGTTCATCAGCTTCTTCGTCAAGCAAACCACTCGGAAAGCGCCCGAAATTAATCGCGGCTACTTCGCCAGGGTCAAAGGAATCGAGGTCTTCATCGACAAGTTCCTGAAGGTACGCGGCGCGGGGCCCCGCCGGTGGCAGGCCGCAACGAGGGTTCGCGTACGTTTTATAACCTAGAAATCGCGCTCGGCCGCCGCCACGGAGATACAGCTGATTCGAGCGACAAGGTCGACAGTGCCGGAAACCTTGACCTGGCCGAGGCCCTGCCCTAATTTCACCGCGAGATCCACTTCTCTCGAGAATTTCCAATATAGGTCACCGCGAGATCGATGCAAGACGCGGTATTCGATCTCGGGCTGCACACGGACCGACGAGTGTCACTCGCCAAATGATGAATTACAGTAAGCTCGGAAAAAGACCTTGCAACTGCAACCTGGTCGTCCGGCGGTCAAAAATACTTCGGTTAGGATTTTCCTCGGAATTGGAGCACAGCCAAATTAGTTCCAAAAGGGAAATTCACTCAAGGGGGTTACGCGATGGTTACCTTTTTTTGATGTCACCTGCTCTTGAAGCGAGGAAAAAAGAAGAGTTTCTTTCAGTAGATACGAAACGTACCATGTGTCGTCCTCGATATAAAATGTACTTTCGAACCAATGGCTAATAACAAATGAAGAAGGTTTCTCCATATCGTACTGGAGGGTGATAAAAGTAATTTGTTACAGTTATCCGGTGGCACGTGTCAAATAGTAAACTTAGGAGCTGGCTTCGACACTCTGTATTGGAGGCTCAGAGACGTGGGCAACAGTCCCCTTAACTTTATAGAGTTGGACTTTCCTAGCGTAACGGCTAAAAAATGTTATCACATCAAAAAGCACAAACAACTGATCGACAGATTAAACACGGAAGGTAATTCGTTGCTTTGACAATTTATCTTATAGCAAGTAATTCCTATAGAAGGAATTTGTAATCGTGACATAATGTATTTTAGACGGAGAAATCAGGTTCTCGACGACGGACTTACACGCAGCAAATTATCACTTAATTGGCACGGATCTGCGACATACGTCCGATCTGTCGAACAAGTTCATGCAAGCCGAAGTCAATTTCGGTCTACCGACACTGTTTCTTGCCGAATGTGTCTTGGTATATATAGACACGAGCGCAGCCTCCGTATTGTTGAAATGGCTGTCGGAGAAGTTTCCAAATAGTATTTTTGTGAACTATGAACAAGTTAACATGCGAGACAAGTTTGGACAGGTCATGCTGTCCAATTTACGTAGTCGAGGGTGCTTACTGGCTGGTGTCGAAGATTGCGAATCATTAGAGACCCAACAAAGACGGTGAATATCTTACCCTTGCCGGTCATTTTCAATAAATCCAATATTGTTTTATACTTTTTGTAAATACTATTTTTCAACCTACTCGTCCATTAATGACATTTAAATGTTCCAGCTTTATAGTTAACGGTTGGGAGGGCTCGAATGCCTGGACAATGGTAGAAGTGTACGATTCACTGCCCGAAGCAGAGCGAACGCGAATCGAGCGTATAGAAATGTTGGACGAGAGAGAACTCTTGACTCAACTGTTGCAGCACTACTGTATCGCAGTCGCCTGGAACGGACAGATGTTTAAAAATCTATCTATAGCGCAGGGTTAAGTTTCTCATACTTCATCGGTTACTCCAGGTAAAGCAAAATCGAAATAATCGAGATACTCCGAGCTTGTACATCGGGATGAATCTTAGACACAAGACATAGTTGTGCGCGATCGAACGACAAATTATAACACCACGCTTTCTATTCGCATAAAGTTCCGTGTTATCCAATGTATGTACAGAAGGGAGATATAATGAACGAGACACGACGAGACTAAGTAATAGAAGCGTCTCCTAACCGATATCCGATATTTACAAACGACTCGATAATCGCTCGTTAAATCCAGGCCCTTTCGTTCCGAATGCAAAGCGCACTTGGTTCCCCCTCCGGTACAAGATTATACGATTTTTATACGTTTCATCCGACGCGAACGAGCACCTCTCCGCATGTCGTTCCATCGTCATTAGTTAGGAAGATTCTATTACTAAGAGATTACGCTAAGATCGGAACGTAGCGAGAGTACTGCTAGCGTAATCGATTATCTTTAATAATTTGCAACGAAAGCGAAGGTGCATTCGAGAGGACCCTTCGATCGTAGAAAGTAAAGCGTTAATCTTGTAAATTTATTCTAGTTCATTGGTTATACGAGGAGGGCAAAGGACAAAGGAAAAGAGAAAAGAAACGAAATAAGGGGAGAATTCTATTTCGAACTCTACGAGAAGCCACTTGGCGTTTACGTCTATTGCTCGAATATTAATTATTTAGGGCCGCTCTTAACCAAGTATTACTCGTCGGAAGCAATCGCAGCGCGTCTGTCACTTAGCCATCGGTAGATCGTTTTAGAGAACGGTAGAGGGAGACAAGATCGAGAAGAAAAAAAATGTATTTTCATATATTCAGGAGAATCAGGGTTCAAGGAGAATAGAAACCTCGAGGAGGAAGACGAGGGGAAGAGGCAAGCCGGTGCCGCGGTTCACCTCTTCGACAAGTCACATGAAATACACCTCACAACCGTACGCAATCTTTTTACAAGGGATCCGTCGTCAACTGCCGAGTCCGCCTCGCTATTTTCGACATCGTTCCGTAGGATTATTACGTTATTATATTATATATTTAGTCGAGCGCGGTGCGGAGTTGAGGAGGCGCAGAGAACGGGATTAAGTGTGACTTAGTACTGCCTGGCCTTGTATTCTAGCACACTAAGTTTACAGATATACCTGGAGTAACGTAATTACAGGAGGAGGGACGGGATAAATAACAGAGGAAACTAATTGAACGTTATATTTTTCTCGAAAGTTCCCGAGTATCCGTGGGCAATTAACTCTCGCATCTTCTGCATGTAGTAAAAAGGACGTCGTCCCTGTCTTTCGCTGTAATCCACGTCTTCGTGGTAATGCGAACTCTTTACGATCGCTAAGATTCCCATAAATCGGGGGGAACTTGCCGATTTCCCCCATCCGTACTTCTCTCGATCGCGAGCAATTTGTTCCTCGATAGTTTTTAAAGTTCCGTACTTTGTAACTATTCGTAACTATTCGTGACTATTGGTAACTCTTCGTAACTGTCCTTCAAATGCGCAGTCGGGGGAGGACGTTGAAAACGCGCCTTCGCCCGATTATCGTAACGTTTGCGAGATGCAACCGGTCGAGACGTAAATTCGTATGGTTTTTTTTTTCTCGTTCGAAGGAACAAATTTCACGCGAATTTCTTATCTCGACTGGGTATTTAAACGCGAAGTCTGCCGTCGCGTCGGCGAGAGGAACGAGGCTGGACGGATCTCGAAGGGATTTCGTTTGCACGTCTTTGAATCACCCCAGGGGCAAGGGAAATCACGGGGAAATCACGGGGAAATCAGCTGGAAATTGTTAGAAATCCCATTGCCGTTTATTGCGGGAAACTAGGAGCAGTCGGTTTTTAATGATGGATATCATTTTCTCTGGTCTTCGAGTGAATACCTCCTCGAGCGCGGGCACGAACACTGCCACTGCAGAGAGTCCTCTTAAAGGGGGCGAGATTTCATCGAAGGGAAATTAAATCCTGCCATTGCGTCGCCGAGGAGAGGTGACATATCTCTTAAAGAGCACTCGCGATGTCCCCGAAAAAGTAAAGTCGCGCTGGGGTATTCCACGCCCGTCACTTGGAGTGTTAAAAGATGTAAACGGACTAGTCGAGTATATAACATCCACATAAGCAAGGGCGTTAAAGCGTCCGAGTCTCAAACTTCCTCGAGTCGGAGTTTTTTCTTATTCGCAGAATGTTACTTGATGTTTCTGCATGATAATTTTATTCTGCAGCTAATAATCCCAAATATGAATATGTCTGTATACTTTGGAGAACATAAAGAAATCTATATAGATATTTCGTGTGCTTCCATGTCAGCTTCGGCGCGTGTACAAGGTGGTCAAAGGTCATCCCTTTATCGTTGCGAGTACTTTTTGTTAATTGTTAAAGGCAAAAGGTTCCCCTGGGCGGAGAGAGTAGGAAGGGAGGAAGAAAAGAAAGAAAAAAGAACGCGATAGCACCTCGTGCACCCTCTCTTCCGATCGAATTTTGTCCCATAGACTCGCCGCGTTAGCAATAAGGTCGCCATCTTTGAACATCGTGTATAGTCTTGTTACTTAAACGGTTATTTTATTATTCTGTGAGACGAACAGGCAATGAATAAATAATATGGATTGATACATCGACGAGGCGTGTGTGCTCGGACCCTTCGCAACGATATTCTCAGATTTTCCAAGAGAACCACGATTCGAAAGACCCGCCTTGACGGCATTCTCGTTAATAAATCGCGCGAGTTGTCTCGATCGATCTCTCCTCATCTAAATATTGATTGTACAAAATAAATTCTCTCTGAAAACTCTTTAAAAAATGTTTCACGTATGTATATATGTACATGTCGTGGGTACAAGGACGCGCAGCGACGGAGGTCAACAAGACCTGGAATCTCGGTCTCTTTGACGTCATCTTCGAGGCGTTTGTCTCTTGCACCCGACCCACGAGATTATAGTACAATACGGTTTCCCGGGTTTAAATCGTGCCGATTAGTTAAGTTCTCGTTGGTCCGCAGCAACGTGGCGGTTGCGAAAATCCATCGAGTCGCTCCCTTTAGAAACCGAGCGGATTCAATTGAGTATAGTCCACGTTCTCGCACACGTTACGTGAGATCTTGCTCATCTTCGAGAACGTGTCCAAGTGCTTTGCGGAATTGACTATTGCGAGATTGTCGGTCACGCGGTTCGATGCCTGAAAATAATCACAGGGTCGTTTAACCGGGATCAAGGTTGCGGAAGCAAGTAGTCCTTGTAAATTCACGAATCCGTGTACAGACAGTGTACGGTAGGTTCGATTCGTTACCTCGGCGCACCAGGTTTGGGCCATCAGCAGCTCGTGAGGGGCACTCGGAAGATTCTTCTTGGCCGACATGGTCGCTCTGCTCATCACCACGGACATCGTGTAGGTATCGAATGCGGCTTGAGCCAGGCGATTGAGGATAAACTGTTCGTCCACGATCTTCCTTCCGTACTTTATCAGGCACGATTCCACGGTCTGGCCGTACGCCTCTATACCCTGCGATCGAACCGTCAAGGATGAATTAAAATTAACGTCGAAGCGACATTAACAATGCCGATCGTACCTTCGCGCAGAGTGCCGCGCTGTTTCTCAGGTCAGGATGAACCGACTGGGAAAAGTCTGGCGGTGAGCTCAAACCGACCGCTCGACTCGCCCTTTTGGCCGCTTCTTCGACGATCAATCCAAGATTCGCCGTTGGGTTCTTGAACGCCTTCTGCAGCTCCTGCAGGTGACTCCCTGCGTACTGGATTCCAGTTAGCGCTACGAATAGACGAAGGATGTCGTTTGTTCCCTCGAAGATCCTGAATATACGCAAGTCGCGCATCACTCGCTCGAGACCCGTTCCTTTCATGTATCCCATTCCGCCCATTATCTGAATCGCCTCGTCGCAGATCCACCATGCCGATTCCGACGCGAAGCACTGTAATTGTTCCTCTTTTTATTACATATATATTATTCAACTCATACGCCTGTCGATAACTCTTCAGATTTGAGAAGTAGAACGAATTACCTTCGAGATCGCAGCTTCCAAGTGGTAATCCTGACTTCCCGAGTCCATGTTACCAGAGATCATGTAGGCGAGGGAGTTGGTGACGTAGTGCAGCATCGACATGCGAGCAATTTTTTCCTGAACGCTGCCATAACTGTCAATTCTGCGCCCAAACTGAATTCGCTGCGTGGCATGATCCAGTGCCTTCTTCATACAGTAACGCATCGTTCCTGACAGAGCCGCTGCCATGCCAAATCTCCCATTGTTTAAAATATTCATAGCCACCTATGATCGGCAGAAATGGGTTAAATAAAAGTAATTTCATCCCCACGCAAAGGCTCACCTTGAATCCCTGTCCTTCTCCGTTGATGACGTTTTCTGCTGGGATTTTTACGTCTTCGTAAAATACTTCGGCAGTGTTACTACACTTGATTCCCATTTTCTTCTCTGGGGGCCCGTTCGTCACCCCACCGAATGATCTCTCGACGATGAAAGCTGTAACCTTGTCTTTTGTCTCGCCCGTCACTGGATCCGTCACTGGCACCTGGGCAAAGACGGTCATGATTTCTGCCATCCCTCCGTTAGAAATCCAAATTTTGCTTCCATTCAAAATGTAGTGAGATCCATCTTTTGATTTAACAGCTCTGGAGCGAATAGCGCCAGCATCGGAGCCGCAGCTTGGTTCCGTTAGACAGAATGCAGCGTACTCGCCATTGCACACTCGGGGAAGATATTTGGCTTTTTGCTCGGGTGTCCCAAACAAAAGAATACCCTGAGAAAGAACGAACCGTGTCAAGTATAAGTTATACATAACTTAAATAAAAAGATATTTTAAATAAGAAGAGAATAACGAACAAATATTTACCTTAAACCCGATACTTTGGTGTGATCCTAATGTAATTGCGACACCTAAATCATGATATCCTACAATTTCGACTAGTCGACTGTACTGTGTATTATTTAAACCTAGTCCACCATATTCTTGAGGCACTTGAAGGCCAAAGGCACCGAGTTCCCAAAGGGCGGATAATGTCTTCTCGTCGATCGTTGCGGTGTCGTCATTCTTTACCGGGTCGTTCACATCCTAAAGATAAATGTGAATTAATACCAATCCACAGTTGCACGTATTTAATATATTTACCTCAAAGAATTTTTCTATTGGATCGACAAGTGCTTTTAGAGTTTCGGTCTGTTCCCCGGTCAGTGGTTCAGGAAATGGAAATACTTGATTCGTTTGGGCTTGCCCACGAAAGATGTTCATTGTAAATGACTGGGACTCTTTCAGAGCTGCTTTGCTGTCAGACTTTTCTGCCTTGGCTGCTTTCAACGATGCCTGAGTTGCGAGACATCTAAGAAAATTTTAATTCCATTAAAAGAATTCATAAAATTAAAAGTTATACTACTACTTTTTAGTTTGTGTACATGAATGAGAAATCGGGTAAAAAATAAGTCCTGCCGGAAATTGAGCTGAATCGTTGCCAAATAGTACATGGTCACTGCTGACTACAAACACGTTTCTCTTCCCTGGTTTAAGCAACTATTTTTATTGTCACGTTACTCATTACAGGTAAGACGGTATTGATTTCTAATGATACATGTAAAATATAATCATGAATCGGTGCAGGAAATGTCTGCTAAAATGTAAAATGTAAATTTCAACAGATACGGAGAGTCAAGGTTATGTCTCATGCATTTTTGTCAGCACACATTGATATAAGAGATAAAGTGTAGAAGTTCGGGGTCAAAGTCCACTCTCCGTCGATGTTTTGATAAGCATGGTCCTTGCACTTCGTACAAAAGTTAATCAGGAAGAAAAACCATATTCATTAAGTCTAGGCGTTATCATAAATGATAATTAAACAGTGAATAAAATTATACATGCAAACAGGAAAAAGTTGCTAGTCAATGCTTGTAGTGTAACTTGTAGCAGAAGTACAGTTAACTGGGTTAATCTGATTCAATGAGATGTCGAAAGAGCGCTCTTAGTCTTTAAGGAAGCTACGATTGATATTAATTCTGAGTCTCCAACAATGAATCGCACTTTCAGATGAAACTTGAGGATCGGTAACTGAAAAGGGAAAGTGAAACAGATCAGGAAAACATTTTAGGGTCTATGAAACGTCGAAATAGTCTTATACGAAAAGTACACCAAAATTGAGACGCATTACCTCGAGTTCAACTCAGCAAGTTTCTTCAGATTTTTTGGAGCAACTGTCAGAAACTTCGACACGCGTATCATTGTTGAGTGATTTAATAGGATTTAATGGACAAGAAAAATAAAGAACAAACTACGTGCAATTGTAGATTCGAAAATTGTCAACTGGACGAACACCACGGATAGAATGACGTCCGGACTTGTGTGCACTTGTGTGATAGACAAGACGAGATATGCCTAATCAGTGACGAAAACTGCATCCGTGGGGAAACTACGGATATCCCTAGGATCTTCGTAGAATTTCGAGATTACTTCAACTCATCTCCATTTGGCGATTCCGTTGGATCGATCTGATGGACAAGACAAGATGGCGGCACATATCTCGACCGACGACTGGACCAACCTGCCAAAATCCATCGACATGTCAGCATTGGCGGAAAAACAAGGGACCAGGGATTCAAAAATTTGAATGTACCGATCGCGATCACTGGAATGCGCGTCGTGTCGTTTGGCCACTTCCGATATCCACGAAGGTTCGGGAAAGGGCTTTCGAAGATCCGCGGCTTAACCTCGGGACTGTTTAACAACCTGCCGTCCCACTTCTCCGATGCTGGATCGTTCGCTTCTTGGAAAGCAAACGTCAACGTCAGCCGAGCTTGTATCATGATACCGGTCGAGCCGGTTTCTCGGCGATACATTGACTGCCGGAGCCAACGGAAGCTCGAAAGCTTTTGTCGAAACCCAGGTAATCTATCAGCACCCAATTCGGTTAGATCTCTGCCCAATGAGGAACGATAGTTTTTACATCTTCATACTCTTGGACCGATTGACAAGCATAATTGAGTGTACGGTCGAAGAATACTCGGCTTTCACTCTGAAATAAATGCTTTTTCAACCGATATTACAAGGTTGTGATTATTTTCATTTTAGGATATATTATAGAAGGCCAAGTATAAGAAACGGAAGGTATAGAAAGGCACTCGATTAATAAGATTCAAATATATAACACGAGGGAAGGTTCCCAACAAAGAAGAAACATTAAGAAGCAATCGCTGGACAGAGATGAATGATTAGTTTCCATATTATTGGGATAAATTATATAAAGATTGCCTTAGTGCTTATGCTGAAATCAAAGGAATTCTTCAGCGACAAGGATACGAATGATTTATGGAGCCTGTATCGACAACGGTCACTGTGGAAAATGCTCGGAACAAAGTTGTAGCATTGATTATATACGTTCAGTTTCCTATTTGCATAGAAGGTGTAATAGTGCAATGATATATTTCTACTAACGATAGCATTATTATATTTTGAATCTTGCGTAATAAAGGGACCATTAGTTGGAACAAGCGGTAGAAGAGAAGAGGCAGGTGAAACCTCGAAGAAAAAACACATGTTAAAGGATTCTGCCGAGCTCTATCTTAAATGCAATTATTTAAACCAGAAAGTCACGATCTTTTATAGACTTTTTGACTCCAATTGGACATTGTGTACGATTAATTTGATGTATGCACCACGAAGGTGCATCTTTTAACGGTTCCTTATCCTTCTACTTCAATGATGTATCAAACTGTGTTCTCACCCCACATGCTAATGCAGGTAATGGATGGTCAGCAAATAAATGGCCAGTGTCTGCAACTACAAAACCATTCCATACATATGAACGGAGCAAACCCTTTGTATCAGAATGAGTACATACACTGTACCCTTGATGGCAGTCTTGGTCCTAACAGACATCGAACGATGCAGGTAAGCATGCTTAGCTACTTAATATACTTGTTAAGATTACTACGGTAAGAAGCAATGTATGAAAAAAAAATCTAAACATTTACAGATGGCATCTTATCCCCTTGAGCTGTTACAAGCGATGGGAGTTGAGATTCCACCGTTGAGGCACACAGGGTACAATATGCAGAATGGTATCATCTCCGATGGAGGCTGGCAGCGAAGAGGTAGTCCACTGAATAATAATCCATCCATGCCCCCTCCACGTCTCAACTTTAGACAAGTTAATCCTGGACCAATAAAAAAGCCACACTGGAACTCTAAATCATCCAAACGGAGTTCTCATCGAGACTCAGTTTCAGAAAGTGAAACATGTGGTAATGACAGCAGACCCAGTTCGTGCTCATCAACACCTACTAAACATACCGACGGCAGTCAATCCGAAAACTCAGATGACAGAGACTCGGTTACCTCTTTGGCCGAACAAACGATCAAGTGAGTTCTACTAGTAAATCGAATTTATCTCTAAACAAGGGGTTTTGTATTATAACCCTTGATTCAGCAATTTGATAGCAAGATCAAGAAAGTTGCACTTTATTTACAGAAGATTACCCGATGTTCGACCTCTATCCAACTGTCTAAATAATAGCGCCGTTCAAGGAGGGTTAATCTCAAATACTTTGGCACCTCAATTTTATCAAAATCAACGACCTGTCAATTATTACCATAGTTCCGTTCCAACTCCTAGATCACAGCCTCAGACTTATCAGAACAAGAAAAGGTATCATTGTGGTAAGATCTTGAACTATGTTGTGCTATTTAAAATGTATTTTCTCAAGAAGGAGAATTAGGTAGAATGAATTATTTACGCTAATGCGAAGTAAGAGATTACTTCTTTCAGGAAGAACAAGTCCTCCGATGCAACGAATCCAACGTGGTAAAAAATACAGTGGCGTTGTATTACCAACGAGCAATGTTTTCACCAGGTTCTACATAGCCCCTGATCGATTTCTGGCTAGATCTCATCTCATCGAAGTAACGAAAATACCTGAGAACTTGATTACAGGCTCGATTTGGGACGACTTGTCAAAAAGCATTTGGCAGAAATTCATGGCAAGTCAACAAACCGAGACTACTTATAGGAATAAAATGATGCTCTGGAAACATCTGTATATTTATATTAAGGTTTGCTCTTCTCTTTTTCTCTCCATCAGATCTAGAGCCCTGAATTAATATTCAAACAATAATTCCAACGTACAAATTTCTAGTCTAATTTCCCCAAGTATGGACTGTTTCTGGTCGGCTCAACGATGAACGGTTTCGGGTCTGACAACAGCGACGTCGACATGTGCCTGTTGGTGCGGCAAGCAGAGATGGATCAACGAAACGAAGCTGTGATTCATTTGGATCAAGTGCTCAAGTGTCTAAAAAGTTGCGGTAATTAGTCCCAATTGCAAATTTTCGGGGTCATCTCGAAAACTACCTCGTAATCTCGGTCGCCTTACGGGTGATCGTCGTGATTTCCAGAGTACGTAGATCAGCTCGAACTCATCCAAGCTAAGGTGCCGATTCTGAAGTTCCGGGATTCCATTCAAAATCTGGAGGTCGACCTCAACTGCAACAACGCCGTCGGGATCCGGAACACGCATTTGTTGTACTGCTACTCGCAAAGTAAGGCCGACGTGCCATTATCATCTGACATTAGAATCCGCAAGTTATCGTTCATTATCTTACATTCCAGTCGACTGGAGAGTGCGCCCTCTGGTCCTGATAGTGAAGCTCTGGGCTCAGAGCCAGGACATCAACGACGCCAAGAACATGACGATCTCTAGCTACTCGTTGGTGCTGATGGTCATACATTTCCTGCAGTGTGAGTGCTTCTCCATTGTCGCTCCGAAATAGATTCACAGCCTCGCTGCAATTTCCCAGGTGGCGTCAATCCTCCGGTCCTGCCTTGCCTGCATTCCCTTTTCGTGGGCAAATTCGGTCCCCACACGGACATCCACTCCATCGACATCCACGAAGACCTCGACGTCTCGGCCATAGCGCCGTTCCTGGTAAACCGCCAGCCCCTCGGCGAACTGCTGGTCGACTTCTTCAAGTACTACGTGAATTTCGAGTAAGCCACCTCGTTCTCTACCCCGCTATTAAATAATCCACTCGACGAGAGACTCGGATCTCTAAATCCCGAAAAAGTTTCAGTCGGTACGCCATTTCGGTGAGGGTGGCGAACAAGGTGCTCATCGAGGACTGCCGGAAAGCCCGCTCCTACAAGAACGATCCCCACCAGTGGAAGTACCTCTGCGTGGAAGGTGAGTAACGGACGATTATTTACAACCGATCTAGGTGTACGGTCGCTTGAAAACCTCGGCATGGGGAACATAGCGAACATAGTGACCAGCCAGAAATCTTCCGGTCGAAGCCCGGCGGACAGAGGCCATGTCTCCGCAAAGGTACGAAGGTCAGAAATTTGTATCGTGCCACGGTACCAGAGTTTGCCGAAACATGGAGGACTAAGGTCGGCCGGGCTGTCGCGCGGCTGGTAGGGGAAACGCTGTTAGTGTGGCTATACTCACGGAATTCTCCAGAACCATTTGACCTAACGAACACAGCACGCTCGGTGTACCACCCGGACGTCTTCGTGAGGATCAAGGAGGTGTTCGTCAGGACGTACCACAGGCTGAGGGGAATCCGCGACCTGGACGGCATTTTCGACAAGGTCGAAACGTCGAGGCCCGCCGGCGTGCAGCCGCAACTCTAGCGACTCCTCGGTGGACACGGTTGTGTTAATTAGCGATAGGATTATTTATTATTAACCTCGCGGGGATATTATTCCGCGTCTCCTGGGCGAGGCGATCGAACGGCTCGCTCCAGAAGTGGGTTTCGGTTAGAGCGAGCGATACGGTTTATATGCAGTTGCTCGAACCGAGACCCAACAATCATTGATATCGTTGCGATTCCGAGGAGGTGGTTATCTGTGATAACGAGATGATCTCGACGGGTGGTTTATCTCCGAATCGAGTACCCTATCCCTGGAAACGCGTTTACGCACAAGGAGATTCGATGTATACGCCGGATTTCCGGGGAGCACGGTGCGATTTGGCAATTGCACGAGGGCGGCTCTTTTTACGGATAGAAGGGGAAAAACTGCACTCCCTGTGGTGTCCAGAGTGCATCTCAGGAGATATCCGTACGATCCTATGTTCGGAATTACCTTGGATCTCGCGGGAGACAAATGGCAACGGTCGAGCCTCGGGCTTTAAATGCTTTTTTCTCCTTTTTGAGCGACTTCACGGCTTGGTCCAAAGTATTTCCCCGTGGAGAACGACGGTGTTTGGCGGCAGTCGAGCCGAGACTTTCGTTTCGCGACTTTGGATCCAACGGATGTAGAATGTATTTTTTTTCTTTCCTTCGGAGCTTTCGGGTATCCCCGATGCCCTGGGAATCCTTCTCCCCTTCGTGGGCGCGTTTATACTGCCAGAAGTTAATCCTATTTTCTTTTTTTTTTAACGACATTACAAGAGCATTCTCGAGTTCCTCGTACGATTATTCACAGGGATAGGGCATCTAGGAGAGCAATCTCGTGGAAAAAAGTGATATAGCGTGATACAACGTAAACATAACGTGATATACAACGACCAACTAGTAGAGCTGTGGAGAGTCGATAATTATTGTAATACGTTAATCCTGACCATGGGAGGTCGAAAATTCTTAAGGACATGCAACTCGTCGATAACTTGATATCATTGGAAAGTTACAGTCGGCCCGATCGTCGATAATAAGTGCCCGGGAACCGTTCTCTTTGATCTCGCAACTGAAAAGGGAACGCGCGATCGGCTGTAAATTTCGGAGCACCTGAATCTATCGAAACCGCGATATCGCTTTATATGGGGAGAAAAAAAAAAGAGAAGAAAAATGGAGAAAAAAACGTTACTTCCGACTCGATAAATTAATTCAGCCCTCGAGAAGTCCTCTCGAAGGGCGCACATTCTAAGCCTCGTTAATTATAGGTTACTTATCGATTAAATAAGCGAACTGCCCCGAAGCGGTCAGCATAATGAGAAAGAAAAAAATCACGAAAAAAAATTTAAGAAATCGTCTAAATGTCCAGAAAAAAATATAGTGACGAGACTTTTACGGGTCACCGTGGAGGTCGGTTTTGAGACTAAATTAGTGCGAAGCTAAAGAAATAAAAAGAGAAGCTATATATGTGTATAAATTTCCATACGTAAAGGCGTGCAGAATCAATCTTAGCTATTCTTTATTGTCAATTCACCGGGAGTAAAGTCCGACCTAGCATTTTTGTATGTCTCTTGTTAATTTAAATCGAAAGTAGTAACTCCTCGCTCCGATTCTGCACGAAGGAGTTGTTCATATTTTCTCACGTAAAAGCTAAAAAAAAAGGATATATGTAAAAAAAGAAAAAGAACAAAAAGATATCGGTCATTTGTGCGGCGTTACCGTTAATGCACAACCACTGTTACTTATTTCGCCTCCTGCTATTACATTATTATTGTTAATTGTTATTGTTGATGTATCGGAAGTCCCGGAGAAACGACGCGAGATGGACTATATATTTAAACTCGTCGCGGGGAGAATAAGAACGAAGAAGAAAAAAAAAGGCAAAGTGCATTATCGATCGTTAAGGAGATTGTATTCGATTTCTTTTCTTTTTCTCTTCGGTGAGGTATCTTCTTCCAAGATTCCCGGAATATGTTAATGCACACAATGGCAATGCTCGGTTAGCGTCGTACAAGATTAATAACGATCCACGCGAAAAGAGACGAGAGAGAATACTTTCTACGAATCCACGTTACTTTACCTGATTATCTTAAATTATCTTATCGACATGATATTCATTCCAACACTTGATTCGGTCATTAATTAATCGCACCTGTAATTTCCGTTGACACATTTCCTTCCACGATTAACGAATCGCAGTTTACTTTCCCGTGTAATTTAAATTTCACACAGTTTCAAAATCTCTAGAAACGTTCGAGCGTAATGTCCGTTCCTTCGGTGTCGCCTAATTTACATATTTCGTATCAAATTCCGATTCATCCCCGGATCGTTATTAATCTCCATATCTTATTAAATGAAAGTCACCCTAGGATTAACTAATTCTCGCGCAATCGACGAATTCTTTGGGATTCGTCGTGAAATCGCAAACGGGACGAGATACAACTCTGTATAAACGGCGTAACAAATGAATTTCTATCCCTCGCTAGTAACGCCATCGTGACGGCGAAATTTCCTGCAAAAAGAAACAAAAAAAAAGTGCCAGAGGCTAGAAGATCAATTCCGACCAAAGTGTCGAGCAATTAATTCGCGGGGGAAGGCTTTTCCTATCCCTCGTTATTCTCCTCTACGCTAATCGAGCCGAGTATTCGCCATATCTTTTTAGACACTAAGGACTACCTGTATCTTCCTTTTGTACTTTTCATTTTCTTGTTGAATAAACGCAACGTTTCTAGACCCGGTTTGCGCATAAAACGCGGCATATTCATAATAAGAGCGAACACGACGACAGATACCCGGAGTGCATTCTCAAATCAAATTTATTTCTGATACCGTAAGATTTTACAATAAATGTTCACATAGTGAGCTGCAGTTAGCGGTGCGCCGTTGGTCAGAGAGATAGAAGGAAAAGAAAAAAAAAACGAGAGGAAAGGTGTAATTTGGCTGTTGATGCAGATTAATTGCGGGATATAGGTAACGGGTTTCACGCCTGCGACCCCGACGCGTCCTCGCGCGAGGGCCGGCGCGAAAATTCGAAATTCGACGACGGAAAGGAATATTAAGGGATATGCCTAGATCGTCGCGGGTCACAGAATTCATGGCGAGAAAAAGAACTCCCCTCGGTAGAGAGGACAAGGGAAAGGGGGAAAAATGAAAGGTAGAAGGGAAATAATCAAGGAGAATAAGAGAGAAAAAAAAACACGCTTACGTACGCCTCTACAAATTCGTACACGCCGGTACGGCTCTTAAAACGATGCGAAAGAAACACCTCCACCCCCTACCGACGTTTCTTCGGTCGGAAAACAGACGCTCGGCCGGGAAGTAGATAACAAACGGGACCGCCTCCCTTGCGCCGACCTTGCGCCCTAACCTATCCTCCGTTCTCCATATGTATTACCGAAGTCGCAACGAGCCCATACGTGGAAACCAAGCCCACCCGCCTCGCGACGCATCGCTGGCAAGTAAACGTCGGATCAAAAGGAAGTCGCCCTCCGCCATCCCCGAAACGCCTAATTTTAACGGTTTCCCGCTCGCCCGGGTCGCCCGGGTCGCCCGGGTCCCCCGGGATCCCATCGCCGTGCAGTTACCTTGGACGTACCTTGGACAAAGTGAGATAATTCGAGAATGCCGGTCCGCGCGCCGCCATGTTGGATCCGTCGCAACAAGATGGCGGACCGTTAGAAGCCGACGACGACAGGGTGCGCGCCCACGAGCGAACGTTGTCTTCACCGCTGAAACGTGACGACGGGACGCGCGCCAACATGGCGGCCTCGTTCCACCGGCTGCGTCGGGTCGGGGCCTCCTCGATCGGCGAGTCGGCGAGTCGGCGAGTCGGCAAAGTCGAGGTTACCGTTCGTTGGCGCGCAGCCGCGCTCGCGCAGCGGGTTAGCAAAGGTTGGCACTCCGTTGCCTCCTCCGTCCCATCCGACCGATCCTCGAGTCGACCATTCGGAGTCCCCCGTCAGGGTGCGTCCCTCCTCCCGTCCCTTTCCTGAACCGTTGTCCGCGCGTCGTCAGTGATTCGTGATTCGTTGGTGTCGAAGAAGAGATTTACCGATCGAACGAGCCTTCCAGTCGCTCCCGCGACGCTGCATGGCGAATGCGCTGCGCTCAGCCGAGGGGCGTCCCGGCTCAGTACGGCTGGGAGAACTGGCCCCCGGCCTGGGACTGTCCGGACTGGTAGAACCCGCCGCTCCGGTCGCCCTGGTAGGTCGAGTCCTGGGACAGGAGGCCGTCCATCTGCGACTGGAACTCGCCTACCGCGAACGAGTCCTGCGAGAGCTCGGCCTGGGAGAGTCCCGGCTGGGAGAGGCTGAAGCCGGGCTGCGACATGCCCTGGGTGGTGCCCTGGGTCAACGGCAACCCCGACTGGCTGTAGGGCTGCGTGTTCTGCTCCGATTGGCTCAGCTTGCCGAGGCGAGGGCCGGGTCGCGCCTTCCCCCCGGCCGGCGCCGCGGCCGAGGCCCCGCGCCGCCCCCCGGTCCGTTGGCTCTGGCGCGCCTGCAGCGCCTGCTGGTGCTGGTTGTAGAAGCGGGGCGGCACGTGGGCCATGTTCATGAACATGCCCACCGGGACGGGCACGTTGTTCATCGCCGCCTGGGCCCTCTCCGGGCTGATGTAGCTGATCGTGTCGTGGGTCCGGCTGAACACGTCCAGGGCCACGCCCCGGGGGTAGTAGGGCCCGTGGCCCTGGGCCCCGTTCACCTGGGCCCCCGAACGGTCGTAGACCGAGCCCGGGATCAGGGCCTCCCGGGCGTCGTACATCGAGGTCGACATGAAGTGCGAGCCCGGGTTGGCCGCGTTCACCAGCTTCTTCGGTTTGGCGAACTGGATCATCGACTCCTTCAGGTTGTTCAACGGCCCCTCCACCAGGACCTTCTGCTCCTTGTAGAAGCTGAGCAGGTGGTTCCACAGGGGCTGCTTCGAGAGTACCTTCGGATTCCCGACGATGATGATGCCGTACTTGGCCCGGGTCAGGGCGACGTTGAGTCGCCGCGGGTCGTTCAGGAACCCGATGCCCTGGTGCTCGTTCGAGCGGACGCACGACATTATGATGATGTCCTTCTCGCGGCCCTGGAAGGCGTCCACGCTCGCGACCTCGATCTCCTGGTAGAGCTTCGAGTGTAGCGAGCCCTGGTACTGCATGTACTGCACCAGGTAGGCCCGCTGGCCCTCGTAAGGCGTTATCACGCCGATCTGCTCGGGCTTGACCCCGCACCTCAGGAACCTCGTCGTGATCTTCTCGACGTTCGAGGCCTCGGTCCGGTTCAGGTAGGACGTCCCGCTACCGGCGATCTCCTCTTGGCCCTGGGTCACGTAGAAGAACATCGGCTTGTCCGGGGCAGGCCAAGGGAAGTCGATCTTGAGGAGCTTCCGCTCGTCGGCGCAGACGCCGTTCTGCAGCGACCCCTCGTAGAAGAAGTTCGAGGGGAACCGAGAAAGATCGGGGTGCATCCTGTACTGAACCTCCAGCCGAAAGGGCCTGATGCCCAGGACGACCAGCCTCTCGAACAGCGACTGCGAGAGGCCCGCCCGGGCGGCCTTCTTGCACATGACAACCGGGCCCAGCTGGCAGTGGTCCCCGACAAGGATCAGCTGCTTCGCCCCCAGGACCACCGGGACCATGCACTCGGGCTCGGTCGCCTGCATGCTCTCGTCGATCAGGATCGAGTGGAACTTGAGCCTGTGGAGTCGAGGGTCGCCCGCGCCCACGCAGGTGCAGCAGATCACGTCGGCCGCCTCCAGGAGTTCCTTCTCGGCGGCCTTCTTCAGCAACCGGTACCGCTTCTCGTCGACGCTCGACAGCTCGCCGGTCTCGTCTTTGAGCTGCTGGAGCTTCTGCAGCTCGGTGTTCGTCTCCATGTTCTTGATCTGGTTGTGCAGGGCGAGGAAACTCACCGGCGAGTCGATGGCCTCGCGGGACTTTGCGCAGAGCCTCACCACCTTCAGGTTCGACTTGTGGATCTTCTCGGTGAGCTGGTCGACCGCCGTGTTCGATGGGGCGCACACCAGGACCGGGCCGCCGTTTTGCTTCACCAGTTGGTAGACTATCGTGGCACTCGTAACCGTCTTCCCGGTCCCGGGAGGACCCTGGATCAGGGAGAGGGGTCGCTGCACCGCGTGCTTCACCGCGTACACCTGCGAGCGGTTCAGGTCGGGCAGGTTCGGGGCACTGAAGTGCTTCGGAAGGTGGCACCGAAACAGAACCTCCTCCACCTCGTGGCCCAAAAGTCGGTGATAGATGTAGGCGGACACCGAGGTGTCGTCCACGGCGAACTTTCGCAGCGCCAATTGCATTCTGTGAGGTTAAACGGGAAAGAGATTTTTTTTTATTTTGTTAACTTATTTGTCCGGTTGCTCGATTTACCTGTAATTTTATTCATTTATTTCATTTTATTCTCTTTTAAGAGCTACCAACCTGTCGAAGCTCGTGCTCTTCCAGATGAAGTCGACTACGAAGTTGCTGATGCACTCCGTTGGGGCACCAGAGTTGTTCTTCAGCTCTATCCCGACCTCTTCTCCGTAGTTGTCAGGAATCTTGATGACGTGACCTATGCCGGACCAGGGTTTGTGCAGCTCGCCAAGGTAGCGCAGTCTGAGCTCGTCTCCGTGCATGAGTTTCATGTCACCGTCGGTCTTAGCCAGCATGAAGTATGCAATTGTCTTCTTATTAAGACCCACGTCCCATCGCACCTCGATGTTTTCCTGAGTCTGCGACTCCTTCAGTCGTTTGTCATAGTCGGCTTCCAGTTTGACGAGGGGACCAAAGATGTTCTGGTATTGGTAGCCATCCTCGTAGCGTAGGAGAACCTGTTGAGGCTCCTCGTCCACTCCGGGTTTCTCGAGATCTTGAAAGGTCGCGTCCACGTTGTCGCGCCACAGCTCCTCCAGTTTGTTAATCTGCTGTGCCGATATCTGCCGAGCCCTCAATTGTTCCTGTTCCGAGGGTATTTTCACCAGCCATGCCAAGAAACTACGGTCCTCTATGAGAGGCTTCCATTGCTCTTGATCCCTTGAAATTAGTAAAACGATCAAATGTACAAATTAAAATTTAATGAAAATTATGAATTTCGATAGTTGCTCAAGAATTCTGTCCATGGAATTCAACGCACCAATTCATGTCTTTCAGTGAACTCTGAGCGGCGCAAGGCTGACGACAGAGCAGCACAACTACGGAGTCTGCCTTCGCTGGTATAAATCCCAGGACAAAGACGTTCCTCACCGCGCAGGAATAACACTCCAAAACGGTTTCACCAAGCGGTCCATCTCTGAACATTTTTAAAACATTAAATCACATTTCAGATCGATACGGTTAAACTACGAATAATAGTGGAAAGATAATTTTCCAAGAATTTTCATACGTATACCTGGCTCCATAAAAAGTGAACCAGAGTCTTCGGCAACTGACAATAATTAAACTCAAACCTGTGCAATGTAACTTCCTTGTGTTTGGCCCGCACAAGGTGATTGATAATGTGCGATCCCGACGTGTTACCCCGACCATTGCAGAACCACTTGCGGCAGACGTTGCACATAACCACACAAGAGGCTTCATGGATGCCGCAATACTTGCACGCATGGTCTGGCAGGTCTCGATTATAATATGCCTCCTCCTCCTCTTCCTCAAACTGCAACTCGGCAAGACTTTGCGCCGCACCAGAAATCTTCAGCTCCAATGACGTTCCAACCGTCCCATTAACCTAACCACAAAAGGAAACTTCTAATCAAATTTCTCATATTTACCATAACTATGAAAAAGCACGCACCTTTGCCATCAATTTTTTTACAAAAATTCTAGTTACAAGAAATTGTACCTTTGAATTAATCTCGACGCAATAAAGAAAATGTTGATCTTATCCGTTACGAGCTTAAATGCTTTATCAGAGGTGATGAAATCAAGGTTAGATGTTAATATCACAATGGTCACGGAAAGTTATGTCCTAAGAGGTTATCAAATGTTGAGCGAGAATCAGCATCCTAACGAATAAGAGAAAGCAAGAGCCTACGAGACACCATTAAAAACTCGTCACCTTATGTAGGCCATCGATTGTTTCAATAATTAGAATCCGCGCGAAATTAGATAAAATAACCAGCTTCGATTCAAAAGTGAAACCGGAAGTACTCGTACAGACCAATGACATCGTCGCGGTGGGTATCTATGCCACGAAGATAAAACCCAGTCAAATTCTCTGTCAAGAGAATCCGCATGGGGCAACTTAACTCATTCCACATGAAATAACAATACCAGTTAAGTACAATACAATCTTCGCGTCCAAGCACCAACCTCGACAGGAACCACTGTTCTATCATCCCACAGAATTCAGACCACGATAACCTCACTCCCGACACTCGGTCCGTAATCCCACATGGAAAACTTCCAATACTACCATTTGGGCTCTGCGAGATTGAGGTTATGTCCCCACACCGCGGCCCACGCCGAGAGGTTACCTGGCGTCCTCCAGATACCAGAAATGACTTGAATTAATGGGGGGAAAACGTGCAGGTTAGGGACGAACTCCAAAGGCGAAAATACCTGGACGGGTTGACTGGGTTGGGTTTGCGTCGCGTCGTGCTGCGAGGCCTGGGTCTGACTCGGCGAGGGTAGAGTGAAGTCCGTGAAGTCGAACTCGCTGCCCTGCGTGTCGGCGCCGATCAAGTCGGCCTCCTCGGTATCGAGGAAGGTGAGGGTCTGGCTGCTGGGCCCGTACGCGTCGACGCTCATCCTGTCTCGCTTGGTCTCCGCTTCGGGCCTCCCGGAGAGTGCCGCGCTTCCTAGCAAATCCCGGCAAACGCTCCGCCGGTCTCGCGGCGCTCAAAAACCGACCGCCGTATGCGGGAACGAGCTTACAACAAACTCGCGAACGATCTGCCCACCCGAGAGCCAACGATGCCCGATGTGTAACAGCTCAAACAGCTCGGAGGATCCTACGCCATACTTTGGCTAGCGCTTACCAACACCACTGAACACCACTGCGAGTACGCAAGGCTCACGTTTCCGTCGTCTGTTACGTCATCAGCTGATTTCTAAGTATTCCACGGTCGTTAATAGATTAGGTTCGTCCGCCCCAATGGACGCCTCCTATTGGTCGGTTGTCAAGATCGCCGCGACAACCTGCAGTCAGCCCTCTATGTGAAATTACCTTAAGCACGTATATACATACGTATTTCGAGAGTGAATTCTGTTATTCGTTTTTCCATCTTTCGCGCATATTTAATCTGTGCTCCTTTTAATGTGCACTTCGCTTAACTTCGCTCGTGCTCGTGCGTCGTTAAAATATAATTAGTGACGGACGATTGTCGAGTAAACCTGCATGAGATAACGAAAAATTTGCTCGATGTTTTCTTGGTGATAGCGGGCATTTTTAATATTTATTGCCAGTGTTGAAACAACCTCTTAATTATGGTATGCGTTTTCAATTCTTGTTCAATTCAATTATCTTCAAGAAAATTTTTAAAACGAACTATTTTTTTTACAAGAGGTTGACGATGATCCAGATTTTTAACAAATAAAATGTGCAAGTACGATATTCGGGTAATATGACTACTATATTATTTTATTTACAGATCATGAATCGTGGAGTGTACTTCCTAAATTTATTAAAAAGAACGTTTGTCCAGAGGAACGTTAATTATAGTATGTTGCCGTCACAGGTAGTAGTGGTGGCTGACGACGACACGATCGTCTGTTGGCATCCAGAAGAAACTTTTCCTTATGAATGTTCCAAACCGTTACCTGAAGCTAAGCCGGGTTCAAATTCTGTCTTAAAAATTGGAGAGAATGAAATTAATTCGGTATTCAGAAAAGTGAACCCTGAACTTGCCCCGCAAATGTTGGCTAAAATAACATTTACTACAAAACACAGGTGGTATCCAAGATCTAGGGACAGGAAGGCTAAGAAAACCGAACCAAACAGACCATACTTGTAAAAAAACCATAGAAGATTAGCAATGATGTACACCTACATATTAGTTATTAAATCTGTAATGTTATAAATGAAATAAATTGTACATTTTTCTAAACCAGTTGACAGGATTGTGTATTTTACTTATTTCCTGGTTGAAAGACGTTAGTTACATAAGTGTATCTTCTAATCGTGCACGTTTCTCTATTTTAATTATTGCATGAATTATATCTATTTTATATTGAGTACGGTCAGATTAAAAAAATAGCTGCTAATCATATGCTAAATATATAAAAAAAATCACATCTTGCACCACGATTATCTTTTCTTATGAATAAATACGGTACTATAAACGATATATCTTTGGATTACATACGTTATAGATATTGTCATTAGAATCATCCAGATAAAACGGTGTAAATAATTATCACATTCTTTTGTGAACATTCTCAACTATTTTTTCTATTATACAAGATCAGAACGACTCATTTGTTTGTATACCAATAAAATATTTTTCTTTTCACGGAATAGTTACCTCTTGTTAAGAACAAGCGTCGATCTATTTACAAAATTATTCCCTTTTACAATAAAGTATGTCAGGAAAAGTCCATAACAAACGATAAGTTTAAAACACTTGTCATTGTGATATTAAATATTTTAGTTATCTTTACGGTATCTTAAAACGCGTTTAAGGTATCTGCATTACGTACATCTACAAGTGTTCAGGGAATAACTGCCGTTCTCCCTCATGCATGAGAATCTCCATCGCTTTATAAAGAAGATACCTGCCAAGTTTTCTCTTTTCGTATAATCCCCAAGTTGCAGACACCCCGTAATATTCACCACCTTTACAGTTGGACAGCGTCTCTTTGCCAATGGCATCTATCATCGCTGCTTCTCTAGTTAACGCCTCAACTGCCATGATACCTTGAAAAACTTGCAGAGAGATGACACCGTGTTGATCGTTCCAGATATCCAGAATTTTTTGAACTTTCTCACAAGGTTTCTCTTGACTGTCTTTTTTAACCCAGAAGTTAAATGCATCGTACAGATGCGAATAAGGTCGAATACGTTTCCCTTTTCCTACATAAAAGATAGCTGAAAGGAAGATCTTCCACTTCTCCGATTGTAAAAGGTTGACACCCCGACGAGGTAGATCCATCGTCACTCGAGAGTCCAACAGGAGATAATTGAACGATGTTTTACCGGTGCCCTCTCGCCACCTCCGTGACGGGTCTGGTCTCACAAACTCTTGGAAAGCAGTTTCTTCCAATACTCTATATTGCTCCAAATCCGTCATCCACCTTGTATCCATTAGATGCGAATCTAACGTTACTTTATTGCCTCTATTCCCAGAAGTTATTGCACTGTCTGTTGGAGACTGTGTCTTTTTCAATTTCTGTTGACTGCGTTCTAACTTCAAAAGACGGTTTAGGTAAACTTGGTACGTGGAAGTTGTTATTGGTCCTGGTGTGTCACCAAACTGTATCAGTTTTTGACGCAATGTATGGTTGTCGATAAGATGCAGTTCGTTAGGCAGGTTTAACGAGTGCCCAACAGTGTCTGGAGATCAGGAATATATTATATGTATTATTTGTTCCGAAATGAAGTAGTTCAACAATTTAAAGAGCTTCTTACCCGATGTACTACTTTTCTTGACATGACTTTTGTGATTCTCCATATTTTTGGGTACACTGAAAAATGAACTCTAGCATTAATTTTCGTGCACAGTATCTATTAAATACTAAGGATTCATTTGAAATCATGTAATACTCACCACGTAGGGGTGACACAAAGCCTGCGCTCCAACAAAACGACACCCTTTCCTGAATCTTTGTATCTGTACTCTTCATCAATGCTAACAATGGATTCGAATGAAGACCTGGAAATTATTATTGCAGTCTTTGTTACTGCAACAAAACGTCCTAGTGTTAATAAGAAAGTTCCTCTAACCTTAGCACTGAATCCCACTGTGCACTTCCATCGACTCTCTCGTTCAGCTGGTTGGGGGGATTGGAAGAAATATCATCCTCTTTAGACTCACTATTTTTCAAGTACATTTGATCCCCACTACTGTAATCTGATAAGAGTATCGAGTCATCGATAAGAGACGTTTCTTTCTTTCCAAACGAAAGTGGCTCTTCCGTCTCGGAAAGGCCACAGGATGTTGCTCCTAACGAGAGATTGTCGAAGTCGTTAGCAATTTCTGCATTTTCCGACTGACTTTCCAGCAATTCATTCAATCCTGTAGACATATTTTTCCAATTTCTCAAGCCATTCGTCATTGCCTTATTATATAAGTATCTTTTAGGAGCTGTGGATTCACTGTAACTCGATTCACTTAATTCACTTGTAACATGTTTTAATTCCTTATGGTTCTGTAATACATTACAGTCCCCCATAGAGGTTAACTCAAATTCTTTAGATTCTGAAAAGCCTTTTGAGTGACGAAAGAGATCGCAGAGGGATATTTCGTTAGATCTATAGGATGGAACCTTAAAGAAAACAGCTTTAGCATAGTGTAAGTTTGGATATTTGTTTGTTGACTCCACCCTGTCTGGATTTATAATGTTTCGTTGCGAAGGGGTGTCATCATCATATTTCGAATCTAGCTTGACAGCTAAATCTCTTGACAGACGTCTTCCATTTACTGATGGACAAAAGTTTTCTGGTACAAATGGAACCATCCCAAAACAATCGGTAGGAACAATCTTGTTGCGACATGTAGGAGAAGCAGTTTGCGGTATTCCCTGCTTTTGAAATGGAAAATGAACTGGTGTGTTAGAATCATTATTAAAAGGTTTAAACTGCCCTTCTTTTGGAAAATGATTACATCGATTTCTTCTAGGTGTTGACTTTGATATTGTTCGATAAAGTTCATTTAAGGTTATAGGAGTTTTAACTGCAGAGCGTTGTCCAGCAAAGCTATGTGTCAATGGATTTTCAAAGGGCAATGGCTTCTTTGCAGCTTTCTCCCTTTCCGTAAATGCTGGTATTATTAAATTTGGTGATTTACTTATAATGGAACAATCCGGTGCAAATAATGATTTTGGAGTGCACCGTTTAGGAGTTCCATATTCCTTGTATTTTGGAGTAGTTTTCAAATCAGCTTTTGAAGTTATTTTTGTGGAATGTGCCTTCTGAGTAGATACTGACTTTGTTGCCGAGTTTATTGGAGTTTTACAGGTAGTTCCTGTCTTCTCTTTTGTAATGGTTTTTGAAGGGAGAACGTGTCTTATACGTTGTTGACGTGCCAATAACTTTTCAGATTTTAATATATTATTTATCACTTTTCTTGAACTGTTTCTTAGCATACATTCTTCATCAGTGTCCGTTGACAGAAAAGAAGTCTTATTTAATAACTCACTGTCTGTTGCCAAAGACGCGTTTTTAGTTCTACACGATTTTTCTACATTAGTGCACTTTTGCAAAGGCTTCTTTTTAGTAGTTGCACTAGACTTTTTCTTTATTACACTTGCAGGAAGAAACTGACGTCGAACTGTTATGAAATCGTCGGTTCCACAAGATTCGTCTGCCGTAGTAGAAATTGTTTCTTCATTCTTGCTTATACAACTATTTTGTAGTTCATTTTTCTGTGCAGGCGCATTGTCTATTTTATCACGACTTCTTGAATCACGAGCAGAAACATACATAGAATATGAATCATCCGTTGATGTTTCAGAACTGTCGGACACAACATACTCAGCTACCACCTCTCCATTATTAATAAGTACTTTATCTGTTAAAAAAGATACAACATCAGGGCAAATTCAAATTAGATTTTCATTCACTTCAATAATAAAATATTATATTTTGTACGCACCAAGCGCAATTTTATATTTAGGCACATCATCGTTCTCAGCATTTTCTCCGCAATATTTTCCAAGAACTGAAATTACATCATAAAATCCGCCATCAAACGCATAATGAAACGGACTGCGACCATCGTCATCTAAATAAAATGGATCCCCTCCGTTAGCCAATAAAAGCTCCAAAATACCAACACGACCCCAAGCGGCAGCTACATGAACTGGGGTCATTCCATCGGTTGATCTATATTTTCATAACACGTTAATATTAAACTTACAATACAATGTAATATAAGTTATGGCATTTTAGACATTGTTACAGATAATAAAGTGATAGCAATCGTCTAACCTAACGTTAGGATCACCACCATATTGTAGGAAAAGCTTTGTAACTTCCTCCGCAAAAATTTTAGAATCATTTCCAATTACTAGATGGAACGGAGTTATACCTTGCATCGGTATCAAAACATTTGGATCAGCTTCTTTATTTAAAAGCAGTGTCGTTATTTGCCTATAGTATAGAAATTTTTTTGTATATACATATAATTACATCAGTCAGGGAGAAGTAAGGTCAAGAGGTGCTAGCAAGACGTTCCACTTACTTTATATTATTATCTTCCAAGCCATCGCAGAGAGAGGAAGCCAGAAAGAGCTCGCCTTTATTTTTCGGAGTAGTCGGCATTTTACTTTATTGTCTCAATAATACACCTCAAAATAACTGTCAGAACTACAAACACGGGTCGAATCTCTTCACCCTGCCGTTTGTTTCCCTTCTGCGTCGATCCATCGCCGATATGTCTTACAATTGATCCTCTCGGTAAAGAAAAAGTGCTCCGGACTTTACGAAACTTTAAATTCACTGTTTACATTGTCACCGCCAGTCACCGCTCCGTCAAATGTGTCATTTGAAAATACTGTTCCAGAGAGTATACACATGAAGCGCGGTAGCGTCAATAAAAAAAACAATTTCGATCAAATATGAACGCGCGACCCTGCCCGGACCAATCTCCCAACTCATCTCTGCTTGCCCATCTAGACTGCTGCATATCTCTACGTCGTTGATTGGTCAACACTGGCAGCCAGTGAGAGCCTGCCTACGATCACCCTCGGAAAATTAAATTGAAGTCCCACTGCGCGCTTCGGATATTGTATGGGGCCTATTACGTAAAGCAAATTGAGCAAAAATGTGAAAAATGAGTAGCTCACGGTCCAAAATACGTAATAAACGCCCAGGGCGTTACGTATCGCTCGCACTTTCATCTCACGTGGGTTTATTCGTCGAATTACGTATTCGCTATATGAAAGAACGAGATCACTAGCACTCCCGGTCTAGTAATATTGCAAATAAAGCATTTGCTTTACGTAATAGACATCTCGCTGCGTCGAGATTCAACAACCAATCGGAACTGCTGCAGATGTCAGTGGAGGTGACGCCAAGATTATGCGCAATTCCGATTGGCTGTTCAGCTTCGACGCTCTCGGTGAGACTTCTTGAATCCAGCCGTTGGCAGCCTTGCCAGCAGCGGACAGCGGACCGCAAAATCAAATTTCTTTGCGAAGGCACTGTGAGCTCGAGGCGGCACGGACTTTCATCTTTTTTTTATTCGAAAGCCACTTTGCCACACCGCGACTCGGGCCGCGGTGAAGGATGTCAGGGGATGTCCAGCCAAGGAAGCGAAAGGAGAAGAAGCGCAAAAAAGGTGAGCCCAGCACCCTCGGCAATCGGCTGGTAAACTTTCGCAACACATGATTTACTCGGTTACGGGATATTTTTAGCTCCTACCTTCCCTTCGTCCCCGAAAATGTGTATTATTGCTTGTCACCCCGCGCTACGCACACTTTTTCCAGGACCCTCGATAATTATTGAGTCGTCCCGACGAAACTATCTTTCACCGTATTATTTCCACCTTAAAAAAAAAAAACCCCGAATGCGGGAAGTGCTCGGCAATTTTTTTCATTTTTAAATAGCGCCGCTATTCCACTCCCACTGGGAATATTTTTTGTCTCCAGATAATTGCCCTCATTTTACGTGGATTTAATAAATTCTATATTTACATTTCGAAATTTATAACGAGGCATTTTATGGGAATATAATAGTGTATGTTGTCTGGCCCACAATAATGGGCGAATTATCCGGATCGCTTTATAGGCATAATCCGTGATCACGGGAGACGCGCTGTTCATAGTGCGCAGGTAATTCGCATTTTCCAGCTATATAGAGCATACTTTTCAGCATACTTCGTTGGCAACTAATGCCGCGTAAAGATCTACCTTTTGGTCTGGCACTGGTACATACGTACATCAGGGAAACGAGTGTGTTGGAAACTCAGCCGGACAGCCGCTCTTGCGGCATACAGAAATAGATGAAACCGTATGGTCCGCTCAGAAAGCATTTACCTTTAAATTATTTATACATTCCGTCCATTTTTCGAGAATTGTTCAAAAGAAATCCGAGGAGAAGCGCGCGCTCGCCTCTTCCCGGGCTTTCTTATCGCGCCGAAGTTGTACCAAGATAAACCGGTCACTAGAATGTTCAAACATTTGCACCTGATAATAAAAAAGCGTCGGTGCATCTTTTCAACGATCCGAGATGTGTCCTAATTGCTGCACGTCTTTCGATTATATTTATTCTGAGAAAAAAAAAATGTCATTGAATCGAAGAAACATTCGATAGTTCCAGAGAAACATTTTCTTAATTCAAAGAATAATTATTCGACCGAAATAAATTGTCATCATTCCGAAGAAACATTGCATCCAATTTATTCGAGTTCATTTGAGTGAAATTTTGTTGCATTAACAGCAAATTTCTTTGATTCTATTCGAAGGAACGTTTCTTTGGATCGATGAATTTTATTTCTCAGTGTACAGTAGACTCTCGTATACCACGGTTAATACGTTACGCGCTATATAAATTTCTTATAGGAAATCGTGTTGTATGGGAATTTTGCTCGTATAACGCGAAACAAAAGAAGACACGTTATACGAAAATTTGCGCATTACATGAAAACAGTAGTCGCAATATTTTTGGCGTACTATAGGAATTCGCCCTATACGAGAGTCTACTGTACATATATATTAGAAAAATTGTTTATTTACTCATTCCAACTACACTGGCTTACTTTTATACAGATGGAGAGTACACCGTGCAGAGGATACGCAGTTCGAGCTTTGGTAATAATTTCACAGTTTCTCAATGGACATACCGGTTTATGTTGTGCTGAAATGAATTGCACGTTAATTTCATGGATTAAATTAGACGACGAAGACGCAGGAACCCCGCCACCTGTTCCGGCGAATCAACCGGATCACTCGTCGGACAATGTGTCCATACACGTCCACAAAGAAGGAGGCACGGGTGGCCACTGGTGCGCAAGAATTGTATTTTTCGCTCTACTTGCCGTTCTCCTAGGATTGATCGGCATCATCATCTTGGAGCACAGAGGAACGACCGACGGTGAGGGACGCTACGTTATATAAGTGACGAAATATTTGGATTCATAGTAATTGAATAAAAATTCCCATTCAAAGTCGACACGCAGGGAGGAGAATCTCGATGGGCGACTCTATTCGACGGATGGGTGGACGATTCCGCGACGGCTCATAGTGAAGAAGCAGAAGGAACCGAAGAGCACGACGAAGAGGAACACGAAGGAGATCACGACGCGGAGGCGTACGAGGAGGAGGAGGAGGAGGAGGAGGAGGACGAGGCTTCGGACGATGCCGAAGAGGTCAAGGGAGTCGACGAAGAGGACGACGAGGACGAGGGACTAGGAACCGACGAGGGCGACGAAGAAACTGCTTCCGATGAGGCGCAGTACGAAACTGCGTCGAGAGAAGCAGGTATTGAGTCCAATGACACTGCTCGAAGTCTCAGGCGATAGTTCGCAAAGCGATTTTCAATCTCAGGCCGCATAAATGCCCGAAAATCGGAGGCGGTAATGACCACTCGTCGCGGTAATCGCTCATCGAACTCGCGTCATAAAATTTTATTCAAAACTAGACTCTGTCGATGCTCGCGAGAAACGCAACGGTACGTTTTCAATGCACAGGAAATATTGAGGGTCAGGTGGACGTAGATGTGTGCTTTTCATTTTTTACTTCCACCGTTGGATCCACCGGCGTGCACGTGACACCGTTTCCGGGATCGTTCGCGTCTTTTGTCGCGGCCCCGCGTGTACGTTTAATAGCGCTCAGGTGACTTTGATATACTTATGGCAAAAAGTAAGACGGTGTCATTAACCAAGGCAATTGGTCCCCCTAGGAAACTCTTTTCTCGACTCGCTTCTATCAACGAAACGTTCGGGAAAGAGGAAAGTTCAGCTACTGGGTGATACAAATAATGAGTATTACGTCTTGTCGCTTACGATGCTTTGCAGATATACAAAACATGTATCGATGTAATTAGTGGCATTTATGTGAACACTTGTTGAAAGACAGTGAATTCATTTGAAACTCCAGCATGTATACTCGAGGCGGTCGTGTCTAGTCAACTAGAGTCAATAAAGTTTGTATCGAAGTGGATAACGAACGTTCATTTACTGCGGCAATTTTCTCTCCCCAGTTGATTTTCGTGAAAGAGAAAAGGGAAACGGTATAAATAAATGGAAGAAGGCGTGGTCTCGCCCCACTTTTGTGTCCCACGGAAACAGAAACGGTTCCGACACCGCGAGTTGCGAAAGCGAGGAATTGTATTTGCATCTGTTATTCGTATTACCCAAGAGAACGGGGATATTTCAGGCGGACTACCGAATGATTACTTTTATTTTTAGAGGAGGAGAGCGGAGAACTGGAAGACGACGAGAACGTCGAAGAGGAGAAGGATGGTGACGGGGATGACGAAGGCTACGAAGAACTCGACGTCGAGGACTACGAAGTCGGGACTCTGGAGGAGATCGATAGCGCTGAAAAGGATCTCGAAGAAGACGAGATCGAGCCCGACGATGATCTGGATATCAGCATCGAAGGCGTCCAAGAGGAACCCGAAGACATCGATGACGACGAAGAGTTTACAGGAATCTCTGGCATCAACGAAATCGATGACAGCAGTGCAGAACCTTTGGAAGAAGTACGTCTTCGGGTATTCCTTGTGACCTTATTCGGTTCGATGATCGTATATTGTATCTCAAATTTTAGGTAGAAGAGGAGGAGCCCGAGGAAGTCGTTAACGAGGTGGAAGAAGAACCCGAAGAGCCAGAGGACGAAGAGGAGACCACAAATGGTGAGATGCGATTCATTTTTTAACGTTATATGTCACGTATATGCCAGATGTGATTAATGTCAATCGTAAGAATCATCCCCTAACGTTATAAGTTCCCTGAGAAACGATTCTCCGTGCTCGAAACATGTTATCGGTCAAAATAGATATCGTGGAATCACGATTTATTTTTAATGTTATTAATGCTAAAAATCATGCGGTTGGTTAATAATTTCGAGAGGATTGCCTGTAAATGGAAATATAATTGCAGTGGCGGTGAAATTTGGAGTCGGCGTTGCGCTTGTCGTTGCTGCTCACTGCGTACTCGTTAAGCGATGGAACAATGGTAAAAAAAGCGACCAAATATTTTCGTTTTTTTTCTACGAAACACGATATGAATGTTGTACACGTAATGATTACTTAGCATAATTAAGCCAAGAGACGTCCATTGTACGAATGTCTTATTAGGAAAGCTTAGAAGTTAGAGCTAGTCTTTTTTTCCGACGAGAATATGTACTCGAGTAGGTTTTGTATATTAACTTTGTTAATGCGCTTGTGAGTGGACATTTTTTTTCAGCATGTTTAACCGAGTGTTGCCGTTATTAACCAATTACTGTGCCAGTCCATCACGTGCGGAAGGAAAATATTTGAAGAGTAAGTGGACGTTGCCACAATTTTAGACTCATTGTTGGAGTTAGTTACGAGTTGTACGAAAGATATTTCTTAAGTATGCAAAATCGCGGAGTATTAACAATTGAAATATGATTTCAGAGACCGGCGAGCCATCCGAAGCCCAGGCTGAAGAAGTTCCGGACTTAAGCAGACGAAATACGATTATTTCTCCTCCTCGACCCGACCCTACAACTGGTTCGGAGAAAAAGCAAACGTACAAAGATTTGCGGTCGAAGTACAAGGGACTCGAGTCGGAAAACGTCGAAACCGTAGTCTCGAAAAAAGCATCTTCGGTCAACGAAAAGGCTCCGATCACGGCAGAACGAGTCGACACCTCGGGAGGTTCGACATTCTTCTTAAGACCTCAAATCATACATTTGTAATGGACAAGAGTTAGTGAACTGATTTTAATCTTAGCAACAGGTCCAGCGAAAATGGTTAAAGGGAAATCCGTGACGGAGAAGGGCCAGGAAGAGGCGGAAGAAACCTCCGAAGGGGAACGCGTTTCAGGAACCGAGGATGACGAAGACGAAGAAGTCGACGAAGAAGACGAAGAGGAGGAGGATGAGGAAGCGGACGACAGCGAATTAGTCGCAAAACTAGAAGCGAAGTATGGCAAACTGCCGACTCCGACTGAAAGTGAAGCCGAAGACGAGGAGGAAGAGGAGGAGGAGGAGGAGGAGGAAGAAGAAGAAGAGGAAGAAGATGAAGAGGACGATGCCCAAGAATGGAAACGTACGTGATCCTATTGGCAAGAATCACGAAACGACGAGCACTATCGAAGCTCTCGGGAAGCTTCTTTTTTAACATTCAGGATATTTACGCGGTATTAACGTTAAACTGATATAATGTAACGAGCACGGAGGATTGACGGTCTAGATGGCAGGCTCAAGAAAGGATTGTTATACTCGGGACCTGAGAGTTCGATGTTTTGATTATTCCCGGAAGGATTTGAGAATTGATTTGCATTTTCAGGTGTTAAAGGCGCTAAGGGTCCACAAATAGAATCCAAGGATGAACCAGGTGTTAAAACTATTCCGGCACCTCAAAAGAGACAACCGAATGTCAAGGGTGGCCCGAAAGACTTTGATATCGTGAATGTGTCCACCACGGATGAAATAGTCATCCGGGAACGAAACGACTCAAGGATTTCCGAGGTCTGTATAAATGAATTCAGCTGTTTTAAATTTCGAGGGACCTTCGTCGACGGAAAACGGAGAATTTGAATAGGAAAAATGACGAGGACGAGGAGAACGGCGACAATTTTACGTGAAATTTTTATCTCTTCAGGGCCGCTATGACTAACGTCACTTCTCTAATAACTCCACCTACGTATATCATTTCCACGTTAAATGTATCGTTTTTTTTAGTTAGCCCACCGGATTTCCAAGTTGACTAACGAGAGAATTAATCATGGACGTAACAATTCCCTTTTTCGTCTCTAATAATTGATTCGCAGATGTTGAAGAGCCGAGTGTTGCTTCGCACTTTTCCTGGTTGAAACGACTGCGAACGTACGAATCTTTGGGAATGCTTTTACCGCAATTACGCGCTTTTACAGTCTCGTCGATTTTGCAATTAAGTATTAACGTCTCATTCACGTTATCATTTTCCCAGTCGGAAAATTTTCTGTTCTCTGTGTCACCCAATTTCACGCGAATCTTTTCCTGAACATTACGGTTATTTTTAACACTTCCTTAATTGAACTCCTTAAGAGACCTTACGACATCTCGAGGACTCGTGACTCGACTCGACGTCCATCCAATTTAAATTTATGACATTTAAATCAATCGTCCAGGCGGAGAGAAATAGTTAGGTCTAATCAGTAGAGCGATTTACGAGCGACAGCATCGAGAGGGTTTTTGAGAAGTATCGAGAAATATGTATAGAACGAGTACTGCGGAGTATGTATATTTTGTAAAGTATTACGTTTTTATTTGGCTGCGAGAGAACTATTAATTTAATGATAACGCGTTTCTGTAGATGTAGCCACGAACGTGTGTAGACATATTTATTATATAGAATTTAATGAGACCCTAATTTAAGTAACTATTCCATACGAGCGACCAGCAAAAATACTATTTAAAGTATTAGCCCTGTATTTCTAAATATTTCTCTCTGGGCCCACCATTAACGCTAATATTTATGGTGACTAATTCTCTGATAACAAATTTAATCCTATATGGAGTAAGACCTAATACGAGAGGATTAGTTTGGTTGCTAATAACACTGTCGACTAATTCGTACACCTGACAATCAAGTCCTATCCTATGTGTTCCCATGTCCTATCAAATTGGATCACAAGGCAGCCGAGGATGTCGAAGATGTCCTTACCCCAAGGGAGTCCTTTGCCAAGGATTCGTTGCATATGAAATACGAGCTAGCCAATAAACTAGATGAAGAAGTTGAAAGTACCAGAAGTCTCAAAGTAGCTAGAAAAGCCATCCGAGCATTCTTAGACATTCTTGAAATGGGGGACGAAGTGACCACACCGCTATTTAAATTGGCAGCAGAAAAATGCTTGAAGAATTTGAGATTCCTAGGTAGGCTGAAATTATACATGAAAGAATTCGATTAGTCTTTGAAATGAACTAATTAAAGTACAAACCAGTGAGTGAGCCTGTCAGAGAAACTTGTATTTCTTTCAGGAGAAATCCATGAAGCAGAGAACGTTCACAAAGCCTTGATAAAAAGGTTTCCACATGATCCCCAACACAGGAACCAATTGACAGTTGCGTACCTAATTCAGAATAAGTATGAGCTTAATTATCCTACTCATTTCAAGTACAGGACAATATTCGATACTGTACAAGAAGTTGAGAAAGTAAAAAAATTGCACTTATTTTTTCAGGTGGAATCAGGCAAAGAGGACCTTGGAAGAAACGCTGATCCAATGGCCAAACGATGGTCTTGCCCTGGTACATTATGGATTCATCTTGAAAATTGAGTCGAAAGACTTGATTAACGCAGTCGAGTATCTGCAAGCTGGAATTCAAACAGGGGACGAGGGAACCGCAGATGGCAGGTTTTATTTCCACCTAGGAGATGCTCTGGTTAGGTTAGAGAGATCATCGGAAGCCGAAGAGGTAATCCTGAAACAGTTTCAATAAGATTAGTACCGTAATTTCTTGGCAATACATATTTTCAGGTGCACAAAGCAGGGGCGAGGAAAGGTCTTTTTTTGTCGAGTTATCAACGAGCAGTGCACTACATTTCGAGACTTACAGGTCGCCCTTGGTGGACCGCGGAGCAAACGACATACGAAGACTTCTACCGGTCCTTGGAGGTTAACTGGCGAGTCATTAAGGAGGAAGCATTAAATGCGTTGTTTAAGAGTGAACAAAGCTTTCAAAATGAACGCGAGAATTTATTGCACAAGGGCGAGTGGAAGGAATTCGAAATATTCAGCAGAGGTGCGTCTTTGGACTCCTGCTAATTTTACCCTCTCTTTGCAGTGCGTACTTTCATTAATTTTATTCAGAGGATTTATAACGTTACAGGGAACAAAATACAGAGGAATTGCGACCGAGTACCTAGAACCTGTGATTTGATATCCAGCTTTGCTCCAACGTCCGAGTGTCAACGAGGGCAAGTTAAATTTTCCGTAATGACACCTGGCACTCACATTTGGCCACATTGCGGACCATCCAACTGCAGGCTAAGATCTCATCTTGGACTTTATGGGTTGGATGGAGCCTATATTAGGGTAGCGAATGAAACAAGGTAATTGATAATTGACAAAAAAAATGTCTACCTTTCGTAATATTGCTTTTATACGTTAATCTTTACGACAGACAGTGGCAAGAGGGAAAGGTATTGATCTTCGACGACAGCTTCGAGCACGAAGTCTGGCACAACGGCAGTCTTCCCAGACTTGTGCTAATCGTAGACATGTGGCATCCAGAAGTACGAGCACACGAGAGGAAAACTCTGCCTGAAATATAATTGTCGTCTTTCTCGTCAATCCAGGCTAAATTTTATTTTACTAGTCGTAAAAAATCCATTAAACTGAATTGTTAAATGCGATCGTTCAAGGAGAAGCTTAGTATTGCTCGTAAAGTCTTTTCAGTCCTCTCGAACTCCAAGCTCGCCCCTTTCGACCCGTTTATTTGTCTCCTTTAAAGAGTTCGGTGAAATGCATTGCAGGTATCACCGAGGCTCTCACACAAACGAGAAAGGAAGAAGAATGAGCCAGAGTAATTCCCGCAATGCATCGCAAAACAATCTCTACCGCAAGTCACAAAATAGTTCGCAATCGTCACGTAACAATTACGTGTACACACAACTCGAGGGCGTAGAGTAAGTGCACCAATAAATGAACACTCACGAAATTTCTTGTTATAAACGCTCATACAAGTAATCAAACGGTCGTTACATTAAGAGATACCTTGTAATTACGGTTCCGACATTCTGTTTATTTACTGGTGCTTCCACCCTGTACACACATGAACAGTCGCGAGTAAAGGATAATCGATCGCCACTCCGAACAGCCGTTCATCGGGCAAAGTGCTAATTGAAGTAGCGAATCGATGAACATCGATCTCGATTCGGAACTCTGATCTTTTAATTCAGTATTTATGCTTGTGGCGATGTTTCCTCGGAGGAGAAAGTGGACTGTTAGCCCTGTGCTTTGCGGAGGTCCTCGGAGGAGGTGGAGGAGAGAGAGATGGCGACCTCCCTCTTCTTTTCCGGTCGACTCGATCAGCCACCGGGGATCGTCGAGAAACTCGCGAGGAAGAAAACGTCGGCGAAGGGGAGCGTCGTATCCTGGGGGGTGAAGGGGTGACCGGAGCGCGCTTCTTATACGGCGACCTGGACCTGCGTTTACCCCGAGGAGATCTACTGCGAGACCTGAAAGAGACATCGGAACATAAGACCTTGTTCTAACTGACGCCACGGAATACTTTCGATGACTCTGCCAGGATATAAAATCAATCTCCGATCGGATTTTCTCGTTCAACCTGTATCGACTGCTGCTACTCTTCGTCGGCGAGCTCGGAGACGTTCGTCTTCGGTCCCTGTGATGAGCTGGTGAATCCGGCGTCGTGCTGCGTCTTTTTTCCCTGCGTCTCTCGTCGTCTCTATCCTCGATTCGCGAGTCCTTCATCTCCTTTTCGGTCTGCGGAACGTGCTTTGCATCGGTAAAGTAGGACTATTGCTCGACTACCCTATACCGTAACTATCGCCCCAAGCTCACGGTCCCGTAAACGATGTACCTTTCTTATGAGCTTCTTGCGATAGTGTTCGACCTGACTCATGATCGTCATCCCAGCCTTCAGGGTTCTCCTTCCGCTCTCAAGTTCATCCTGATATTGCATGGTCTTCACCTCGATTTCTCGCAAACGATTGCGCCTTTCCTCGTTGTAATCCCTGCTGCTGAAAGTTGTAAGAAAATCACTAACAATCGAAGGACTTCCACCGACGAGAGACCCACCTGGAGTCCATGCTGGCGTCCTGCGAGTTCGAGTCGTCATTCTGACCCAATTCCTCCCACTTGCTCGTGGTCATAGCTTGTGCTTCGACCTGTGATCGATCGTTCGGATCGATCGATCATTCGGATGAACAAAATATAATAACTCGAACTAACGAGATCCTGAAACGAGAATTTCGACATTACCTGATCGGGATCGATGGTCTCCCATCTGGAGGGCACAAACCCGGCAGGCATGATCGACTTCTTCTCTTCCTTGGTTCTTAATTGTACGTTGTCTTCTTCGTCCATTGGCACCCCGTCGATGTCCTCGTCCACTGTGGAATTATACGGAAATAAGTGTATACTCTCAATTGGTCTCGAGGGAACGTCGCGATGAAAAAGGCGAACATTTCAGGATCGACTCACTTGGCACACCGTCGATATCGTCATAATTAGAAGCAGCCTGTGGAGTCAGGCCAAGTTTCATGGCTCCTTTAAGCAAAGCCGCCCCGTCCAATGGCACTCCATCCAAATCTTCGTTAACATCTCCGTCAGCATCTGACAGAGGAGCTCCGTCGATGTCCTCGTCGTTTTCTGGTTCAGGCTCGTCCATCTAAAATCGGATCTCGCGTTGGAAATAGCTGGTTAAACCTTTAATCGATCAACATTTTCGACAGACGTACCAAGACAAGCCCGAGAAATGTATTTTGCAGCTTGACCAGGAAATCTTTGGGATACACCGCCCAGTCTTCCCAGGCTCTGAACATCCTCATGACCCTGACTTTGAATCCTTCAGCTTTTAGTCTGCTATCGAATTGTTTGTAAGCCTGATGGACCTCGTTGAAGATGTCCAGTAGTCTCGACTCGAATCTGTGAATAGCTCTCCATTTTATGCCTGAATATCGAGGATGAAATGTGAAGTAGTAGGGGAATGATGCGAGGAAACGTACGCCTTCCTATAAATCGTGGCATTCGTCACCTTCACCCCACAATTGTGCAGTATGTCGGATATGAGATAAAGTCTCGCGACCTTCTTATTAACCGGAGTCTGTAATATGGAGAGCGATTCCGTAATGCAATCGCAAATCTCTTCGGCAGCCTCTGCGTGTTCTATGCAGAAGACCATCGCCTCTGCAACTTTGATGCGTTCCGGAGAGATGTTACGCAGCAGATCTTCCAGTCGGTCTCTTTGGCTGGAACGAATAATTTTTTTCTCAGAGCTGATTATAATTAATAATCCCATAGTTTAATATTCCACAGGATTTGGACGGCACTCGATGGAGCACTTTTCACCTGTTCGATAGACTACCCCTCCGAGGCTCCTGTCTCTCCTCCAGCTCTATTAACTCCTCCGGCATGCCCTGAGTCCACGGATTAATAGGTGGGGGCCTCCATACGCTGCCTCCTTTGAACATCCTGAAGTCTTCCGTCCTCCAATCCTTCTGACCATCTCCTTGCAGGATGGAAAACAGCTTCCACCGATAATACGTATGCGCCGGTGAATAATTTTCAAACAAAAATCTAAAAATCAAAGGTAAATCAATTTAAGCTGGGATAATTCAACGATAACACGAGTAACACCATAAATCGATGTAACGAAAAACTCACGAAAGAACGACACTCACCTAAACATTGGATTATTGAGCTCTCGATTCATGATCATGGCCTCGAACATCGGACCTTCCCGAATGACAAATTCCACCATTCTATGTATCAACATGACTAAGTTCCTATAACGCAGAATTCGGTTAAAGGATCGCTCCGACGTTTCTTTGGGTTTTAATTTTGTATCGTCCCTTTTTTTTTCTTAATATATTCTTAATATATGCGGCTGAGATATAGAGAGTGCCGTCTTTGAGGTAAGGGCGAACATAAGCGGGATGATAAACGGGAACGAGCTTTCGGCATACTTACAGAGCTTTGATAATATAAATGTCTACTAAATGCGACAAGTACCTTTCCGTCGGAATAACCACTTTGACAACTGCATTCTGCAGAATCTACTCGGGGAGGGGTCCGGTTAAGAGGTGGAAGTCGCAGGTCGCAGGTCGCAGGTCGCAGGTCGCAGACGCCGAGCCAGTTAAGCCAGAGATGAGCCAGTTAAGAGAACCAGATAATTTGTAAATCTTCGATTAGACAACTCTCGCCTGCCGCCCTCATGCCGCAATTACGGGCCCTCTTTCGGCATCGCTACTCGTTAATTACATAGGTTTTCCCCCTTGCTCTCGTTTTTCGTCTAGGGACCGGCTAGGCTCGCCGAGTTTCCGCCGAATGAGAGTAATCGGTTAGTCTCCTTGAAATTCGAGTACCCTAGGCTCCCAGAAAGTGGCAAGATACGCGAAGGCTCCCTCGCCGATCAACATCGACGTCGACATGCGGTTTAATTATCCGTATAAATATTCGTATTCATACGTCGGCTCAGGACGCGACTAAGTTCTAACAGAAGAGAATGGCATTACCTTTTCAAAGCTTTCCTTTTCCTGGGGGTCCGCGCTCTGCAGGTTGCGGATACGTGGTATCTGGGAGTACGTTCCAAAACATGGTTATACGGTTCCTCACGGGAGGTGAGGCAAATTGTACGTACTAATTATTGTCATGTTAATATTCCTCGCTACCTAAACTGAGGGTCTTACTGTACGTAACCGGAGGGAATTGTACGAGCAGAAACGTAAGAAGAGTTATCGTGTCCTCGGTCGACGTGTCGCTACTCAGGTGTTTCAGTGACAGATTTGTGTAATGGATCGGTACTTGTAAATAATGATCACCAGGTAGGATACGTCGAGCGAGTCATGCCGGTATTGTGCTACGTAGACTGGTCGAAACAGTTGGGAAACGTTCTTCATCTCAACGATCCTCGAAAGGCAAGGGTGGCCATATCAAGTAATAACAAAACGAGGTCGATTGATATGCAGCGATCGAGCACTTTATTAATTGGGATCCTCGATCGATTTGATTGTTGTACCTTGTGTCTGTCACGTCGGTGAGGCTGAGCATTGAAGGGAAGACCAGAGGGTGGTGGTGGTTGCGTGATCTCCATCAGAGCAGGTGGTATATAAATTGGGTACGGTGGTATCGGCACGCTTTTACCCCAGCCTAATTTCATCTCGTACTGCATTATGTCTCGACCTGTCACAAAACCGTATGATTATTTTTTCAATTCAGAAAGTATAAACAAGTCAAAATTCATAAAATTACCATTCAAGTTTTTTAGTGCCCGTTCTCCATCCTTGCGGCTCATGAATGCGACGAAACCACAATTCCGCTGACGAGCTTTCTCTTCGTCGCTGCGTGGCCACATGATTTTTATACTTGCCAAGGGTCCATATTTCCCAAATATCTCCATCAATTGCTGCTCGGTAATCTAGATGTTTTAATATATACGTAAGTCTCTCGATGGTATTTATATCGGCCGCTTCTGCTTGCGATGCAAATATATCCTCACCTTTGGGTTTAAATTTCCCAGATAGAGATTTGTAGTATTAGGATCACCGTTGTCAAAGGAACCATCTAAAACATGAAGTTTAGTGATTCATCCGTGGAAGGATCATGTGTAAGGATATGACGTGAAGATGCATAGGATGGGATCATGGGTTACCCTCATACATCAGGGCTAGGAGACGAGGATCATCTATGAAGTTATGCAGATTAGCCTTTCGCGGATCCGGATAAGGCATACCACCTGATAAAAGGGCAATCAAACTAAAAAAGTGGACATTCTCAGAAGTGAAAGAAATAAAAATAATTGTGAAAAAAATATTAATTAGAAGGCCATTTTCTGCTTCACAAACCATGCAGGAACAACATTGGAACTATGTTAAAAAAATAATCAACAAAGTAGTCGTCAAAGCAAATGGTGAACTTATTACCAAATTCTATGCAGATGCTACACAAATTATAGGATGATAATAAAAAAAATACCTTCGACACATTTCAAGGCTGCCAGCATTGGATCCTCCGATTGCGCCGATATGACAGTTTTCACAACACCTTTATATTTGTGCCTTTCCTCCCGTTCTTCTTGTATCATCTTTAGTTCTTCTTTAAATAGTTCAAGATTGCTCTTTTTCTTTTCACCTTCTTTCTTCTTTTTCCCAAGCCTGTCCAACTTTCTTTCATTCGATCCAAGAAGTCTGGCATACTCTTGTGCCTGTTCCGCCGATGATCTACTATCGACGAGCTCAGAGATCTTCGACTGAGGCTTGTAAAGTTTTCCTTTTTCTCTTGTATCTTCTTCTGTGAATTCATATAGTTCATAATGAACAATTACATCCATTAAATATTTCACAGTTCTGTGTCAATTTAAAGTTAACTTACGTCTTTTACCGGCATCATAAGTGCCAGCTTTAACCCAGACTTTACTGGTTGTTTTATTAGGTGTCTCTTGAAACGTCGCCACAAATTCTTCAAAGGCCTATAGAATAAAAATTATAGACACGAAACAAGGTTTCAATGCAGGCCACGCAATTGTTATTTACCTGAGCTGCAGCTTGTTCTTGCTCCTTTTTCCGTTGCTCCTCGAGTTCCTTTTTACTGAGTGGCCTCTTCCCCATTGTACCGATAGAAAATGCCTTGAGCTTCTGCTCAGCTATTTGCTAATCATTAAACCAAACAACCTCAAATAATGCAACTAAATGTTACGAAACCATTCTAAATCTAAAGAAATAGCGCATAATCCTCACCTTCATGATTGCCTTTTCCGCCATCTCTGCGCGAGTGGTATCCCTAACCTAAAAACGAGTCACCGAAGAAAGAGTATAATTTTCACGTAATACATCGATATTAAAATAACGGCAAGACAAATTCTGAGGAGACGGACAGTTTTCTCGTTATTTTTCAACACAAACCTTATTGTAAAAACGCAACTCCCTTTGAAAATGCTCAAGAACGGTCGCGGCAGTTCCTAGGAAACATTTTAATTAAACAGATGTCACCTGTATTTAATTACACGATTCACGTTAACCCGTACATGTTGAACATTTTCGAGTTATCCGCATTTCGACGAAAGAAAAAACCCGTCAAACCCAACTGAACCGTTTTTAACTGCGTACTATAAAATGAAGATACGTGACACTACCTGACACTACCAGCAAAACCAGCGCGGGCGACAATTTCATTGAATTTCATCTCCGACTAAAGCTGTGCAAATACATATACATGATGGAACTCGATAGTGACAGCAAAGTAATTCAAGTGAAATTTTCATGTCTCTCAACGCTAGTAAGATTATAACTATGTACATATGTACAGAATCGCCCCGAATCGCAAGTGTCGTAACGCAAGCGACAACTGTTGGTAGTTAACGATATCGAAGTATGTACAGAATCCCGCTATATATGGCAAGTGCATTAGCCGTCCACATCCTCCATCGGAGGGCAGGACAGAACGCGATCGCGCGACCCTGTCCGTGAGTAATCTCCCAACTCATCTCTGTCTACATGAATATTATATTCAATGTTTTGAAGATTCCCTTTCCCCGGGAAGATCCATGAAAACCCGTCTGCATTGTCCCCAATTGTCGCGGCGGGTATCAGTGGATGTCAAGTTTAAGCAAATTGGAGTAGCCGAAATGAGGTTATGTTTATAAAAAAAAAAAAAACTTGATAAAGCCAACACGGATGAAATTAGGAGTTAATCAGAGCTACGCGTCGGTGATTAACAATGGCAAATATCGGGGGCGTACGTAGACCGCGAGAGGACGACGTCCTCGAATGTTTTTTCTTTCCAAGAGTTTGTTACACGTCCAATCCAGAAAATGTCTCGGAAGGGGAACTGCTGCAAGAAATTAGTAAGCTTAATCAAGAGATCAACCAATTTACAGAAGGATACATTTGGCAGAGGGATTCATTAATATTTCGGCCGAAAACAAGGCAAATGTTGTTACTTGACAAAGTACTCTCTGGATCTTCGGTTACCGAAGGTAATTATTAAACTTGATTTAGCACATTTTGAGAATTAAAGACCAGATGAATCTAAAAAGTTAATATGGTTATTTTGTATGTCATGTACAGAATGTCAGCTATTGCCACATATATATGTGAGGTTACGCTTTGATGAAGATATTGGCGACGAGTGGTTTACGGTATTTTTAATATATCACTTGACGAAAGTGTTTGATGGCTTGATAGCAAGAGTTATAGATGGAGATGGGGAGTTTCTCTTGATAGAAGCTGCCGATCATCTCCCTGTTTGGGCTAATGCTGATACGTGTCAAGATCGAACCTTTATACGCGAAGGAGCGGTTTATATTGTCCAAAATATTCAGAAGACATTTCTGGAACGTCTGGAAGCAATTAGTAAGTGGCCAGAATTGTATCGAATGCCTGACAGCGTGCAGACGACGATATGGAAGAAATTAAGCATTTATCCTGAGGAAATTCAGAGGCGGAAACATAAGGCAAGAGCATTTTTACCTGAAAAGGCTGCTGCTATACTGAATCAAGAACCAGGTTTAATCGCTGCAGCAGTTAGGTCAATTTGTCATTCAGACCCTCTTGAAAGAAAGGTAAAAATAATATTACAGATTTAAATTACTTGTATCTCTCTATAAATAAAAGGTATAATTAATTCTCATAGGTTTGTCGAGCAATGAAGTACTTTCCACCAGAGCAGCGTATTATGGTCAATGTAAAAGTAACAAAATGTTTATATGCAATGGCTACCCATTGTCGGTACAACGGGGACCCAAGAACAGGATGGAGTTTACCTCCGGCAACAAATTCAAAGTACAATGCTTATGTGTTAGGGGTTAAAATAGCATGCGGTATGGAGTTACTGATAGCTCGAGCCAATGACGATGCACGCAGATGGAAGAGTAAACAGAAATTAACTGAGAATAATGACAGTGAATTAAAGTCAAGAGAGAAAGCTTGGGAGATTTACTTGTCTCGCCTTGAATCTAATGGATATTTCAAAGGTCTCTTAGAGGGTAGTCAAGAACGTAAGGAACTCTATCGTGTGGCTCGAGAATATTTTCTAGATAATTCAAATTGTTGCCAACCTGCATTGACCGAGTCTTATTCTGGCGACAGTGAGGCAGGCAGACTATTGACAGCATGGCAGAATGCACAATCTTGTGATGGCAAGTAATTCCAGAAAATGTTCTTCTGTGTTAAGAGCACCACTATTTATTAACAGCTAAGAAAAAAATAAACAAGTTCTTGAAATTACAGTGCAAGATGAAGGCTCTTTAAGTCCTGCAGACAGTGACAGTTGGTTGAATGTCACACCAGCGCAGTTAGAGGCGATGCTGAATCAACATTGGGGTCCCTCTGAAAAAAAGCCCGAACGAGAAGTTTTGTCTCTGCGAGAAAAGGTGCAAGCTTTCCTCAACCAATCCAGTGGCATAGATGGAGTACAATTTCCAGGGTACACTTGCGTTATATATAATGTAAAAACTCATATTATAGTAATTTTACTATTCACTATGATTACATTACAGAGAAGGAATGACCGACGACACAAAAGTAGAACCAGATGAGAGTACTCGAATGGAGTTCGATGCCGATGTATTTGATACTACTCTGCGTGACATCCTGGACCTCGTAGTTCCAGGTGGGGATGACGAATTCGAAGGCAGTTCGGAAGGTTCTTTAGGAGGCAGTAACGAAGGAAACGAAAATGAGTTAGATAAATATATGAAATTATTGGACTCGCAGCTCGAAGTAGAAATGCTAAAAGGCAATGATCGCGTAGAGTGTAGGTCTGAAGAATCTGTAGAAACAAGCTTGAGGGAAAGTATCGATAATGAAGCAGGTGGTTCGGGTCCCACTGGAAACATTTTAGGTGGTCCTATTAGGCGACTCATGCATTTACAGTTGCAGTCACCCACGACTGTCCCACCTGATCTTCAGAGTTAATATACTCGCTTTCAGTTCTTCTGATCGCATTTTATGCTTACAATTCTTATGAATCTACAGAGCTAAATACTGACTCAAAATGTTTAAATAAAAAATCATACAGTGAAAGCAAGAAGGACAAAGGAGATTACAGTTGCACTTATATTGGTATGTACATCTCGGTTCGAACACTCATTTTCAAAGGTTCTCTAACATCTTGAAGAAGATTTAGTGAAACTAGAATCCATTTACAAAAGGAAAGCACACAAGTACTTACATTAGTATCAAATACGAACGAATTGAGTCATTATCATGTTGGGATATCTTTTTTATTTCAACACAATGGGTCGTAGAAATCATTAATGCTTTTATGCTTAAAATTACTTTTATTGTAATAATAATAAAGAGTAATGATCTAAATAGTTCCAGTCAACGTAACAATGACATTTTACACTGACACATTGACATTCCGCAGACACATGTACTACAATTAGGTCTGATATAAAGTCATATTCGCACAAATTAATATCACGGATAAGTTAGATTATCTTTATAAGGATTTAGATTATTTACATTGAACATTGTATTTGAGTGTAGCATTGAACATTCAATCTAATCGATTGGGGCGTCGGAAGTACAACTTTCCGTCCATTAACATAGTCTTGATATCTTTGACATAGTTTGAGATAATCCATTGTGCTTCAGCCTAATCGTAAAGCTCGTGGGTTGATTTTTATCCTTTTCATATCAGCTTTGGCACGTATCAGACAGACTCTTGTTCAATATTTGTGAACGCTTTATTCCTCAACAAATTTCCTTCCAATGGGGTTGTATGTACAGTCCTGTTATAGAAGTTTTAACGTTTTTCTTGCCATATAAATCTTGACTCTTGTTTTTCTATCTGAAATGTTTTAAAGTAAATAATAATATGTGATACTTTTTAAACAGTCAGTTACAAAGATTCATTAAAGAAGATCTTAACTGCAAACTTGAAGATGACACGAATGATACTATTTCTAATCTCTTTACATTACTGCAGTTCTTAATCGGCCTCTTCGAGTAACGATATCACAACTTGGTTTTGATCAAACTATAATTGTTTTCATAAGAAAACAATCTATTTTGTATTGCAATTATGTATAAAAAAAATATGTATGTATATAAGAAAAATTTATTCCATGTTGCAAGAAACGAAAATTAATTTGAGATGCCATGTCGTTACATGGAAATTGTTTATAAAATACATATTATACTTCAAGTTGCCATCTTTATACATTGCACACGAATTGTATAATCAATAAAGATCATTATCATATAATGTCATAAATCTCAGAGGTATTTACTAAAATATTACATCTCCATTGATCGTATTCAAGATTTTTATTTTTTAGTGGTTGAATTTCTGCATTACTGTATCTTTTTAATTCTTTAAAGAGAAACTGAGGACAATCACTCTACAATAAACAGATGCTGATAAGGAACCACTGCATCTTTTATACGAATCCTACAATGTGAATCCTGATGCGTTATTTTCAGGATAAATTCAAATTCCCATCATTACATGTATTAATGAGAGCAATGTGATTAATTGCACGGGAATGGAGGGAATCGACTGAGAGACCTTATATTTATTACCCTTGTTCAATTAATTGTTTCGTATAAAACAAAAAAGACGACAAGGTCTCTCATTAGGTAAGTGAGAGGATGTAATCTGGCGATCAGTAGTTGGGTTCAGTTGGGTTCTCCGAAACGCGATAGGTAGGTTGCCGGTTACGAGTGATTAAAGACTATCCATAAACAGTATGTGTTGAAAGACCATTCTTTCGCTGCACATAATCCAAAAACTACGTCATTTATGTCAAGAATCATTCCATCATCGTGTAAATTCAGACGAATCGATAACCTTTGCAAGCATCTCGTCAAAACGCGTTGAGGTTAGAAAATATCTAGGTGGCAACGGATCGTTGAAGGCGCGCGCATCGCAGTCGAGTTTCACGAAGGCGTGAGTCCTGCAGGAGACGAAGACAAAGAATACGCCGATATCGAAGGTAAAAAAGAGACGGAACGTGTGGTGTTGGCTGTAAGTGTGAGTGCAACAGAGTGAAACGCTTCGCGCGTAACGAATGGCCGTGGACACGATTTCGACGAAAGGAAACAAAGGAACCGCGTACCGGTCCAGTGCGGCGCAATTCTCCAGACCACGAGGCGCCCAGAGGCGTCGGGATCGACGAACGACGACGGACGGCCGGAAAATCCAGAAAAGCCGTCAGCCATGTTGCTTCCTGAGTTTCTTCGCCGCTATTTCCAGTTCGAGTAGAAACGCGCGACAGTAAGAGTTGTGTTGACAGTGTCGAAGTACGAGCATAAAATCGAAAGAGTAAGGGCGAGGCCGGTGTGCGAATTCGACGCGCGGGCGTCCTCGAAGACCCGTAAAAGTCTCCGAAGATGTCAGGCACGCCGCAAACTAACGAGATCAGCCTCTTCGTCACCCACGTGGACGGCGACGGGGCTACGCTGAAAATCTGGGGCCAGGTCGACCGGGACACAGTGGCATGCGTGGAACGAAAGATCCTAGCCTTAATCGAGCGCTTCGGTCAAGGACTTGGTTTGCCCGGGGCTCATACTAGGCCATTGGCATCGGATATTCTCTGCTGTGCCAGATTTCAGAACGATGGTTATTATCGGGCAAGGATCTGTAGCATAAGGCCCGATGGTTCCGTCGTAGTACAGTTCATCGATTATGGTAACGTCGAAGTCCTGACGCCACATGACATCAGGCTGCTCGAGGGCATCCCTGAATCGGAGAACCTGCAATCGATTCATCCTCTGGCTATTGAATTTATTCTGGCAAATGTTATGCCAATTAATCGTGCATGGGATGGCGAAACCATCAAGTATATCATGCAGACCATTAGGTATACAGAACTGAAAGCCATAATACACTCTACGGTTGGTAGTCATTATTTGCTAAAGCTAATATTCGAGGGACAAGACTTTGGGGAATTACTGGTCAGCAAAGGAATGGCTACTGTGGCAACACTGCAAGATATGTTCAGGTAAGTTTCGAAGAACAATTGGAGGCTTTTTATGTTTCTAAGGCTACATTGGTAAAACTGTGGATTTAGAGAGGGATTATCGGTGTTGAGAGTCTAATATGGTACCGGAAGTGAGTTAGGAGTAGGGCATTCGGTCTTCCAATGGAGGTTACTCTCTTAAGTCATTACGAGTTAGTAGGTGAGATTATTTATGGTGGTGGTACTGAAAAATAGGTTAAAAGTATTAATATGTTAATGGGAATATTTAGTGGTTTTTTTTTTTATTTACATTGGGATATCAAATTAGGAAAAAGAATGATTTGAAATGTAATTTGTAAGCAAGAGGTTGCTGTAAAATGTTAAGATTATGACCTAGATTAATGAATTAGGTTATGAAACGTCAAACTGTGTAAAATTGTATGAAATATTGATTGTATACTTTATTGTGAAATTTTTTTTTGTTATGTAGAATGAATGATGAAATGTGATCGTTATAAATCATCTTTTCCATAATATCTATTGTATGTACCTAGGCCAAAGTACTTGCAACAATCTTTGAACATTCGGGTAAACGCACACCAAGCAGTTCCTGTGGCTGAGATGCCAGTTATGGATGAAGCAAACGTTGCAATGTGCCAACAGCTACAGCAATCGATGCAACAACCGATGCAACAACCGATGCAACAATCGATACACCAACCGATACATCAGCCGGTACAACAACCGGTACAACAACCGATACACCAACCTGTACAACAGCCATTACACCATGGCAATTACTTTACCGAAGCCCAGTGTCCATTGCGTCCTTTGCAAGAGAGTTGGAAGACTTGTGTACCTCAACAAGTTGCTATACCGCAGAGGCAGTTACCACCGGTGCAACCAGAAGCTCTTGTATTCAAAACTCGTGTCTTAGAAATTGGATCTATGCATGAAGTATATGTATCGCATATGGAGGAAGGACCTCTGAAGTTCTCTGTTCAGTTGAGAAGCAATGGCAAGGTATTGAAGATGCTTATGCAAAGTATTAACTCGTTCAACGTACAACCTCTGCAGGAGCCTCCTCTGCCAGGATCCGTTTGCCTTGGCCGTTATACCAATGAGCAGGTCCTCTGCCGTGCAGTCGTAATGTCTGTTATGGAGAACAGATGCAAGCTATACTATGTGGACTTTGGGCATACGGAGGTCTTACCCTATAAGGACATTTTTCAACTACCTCCACAATTCATCAATCCCAAAGTGTTATCGATTAGGTTTACTTTAAGCGGTCTGAAAGACATAAATGTTACTCAAGAGGTGAAAGATTATTTTAAAACCATTGCCAAAGGAAAGTGTTTTGTCCTGCAAGTTCGTCCACCGGAAGGGCCACCTCTCATGCAGTACGGTGACCTATATGAAAACGGAATAAACATAAAAGACAAATTGAAGGAAATGTTTGGCTCTAAAGCACTGGAGTATCAGACCGCGGTTCGACCACGCAGAGGTACCATTGAAATGGTTCGACCTTCATTTGTTGAGTCTTGCTGCAACTTTTTCGTTCAAGCAGAAAGTGGCATTAAATCTCTGGAATCATTAATGTCTCGTTTAAATGAGTATGCTAAAACAGCACCGCCGTTACAACCAGCTCAGCTGTACGTTGGCTTACCTTGTGCTGCACTCTATGAAGCGGATGAACAATGGTAAAATGCATTTTTGTAATTTACTTCAATTTTCTTCATGAGTTATGTCTTGGAAAATAACGATATGTAAGATTATGCAATTATTAACATTTAAGGTATCGTGCACAAGTCTTGGACGTTTCTGGAGACCAAATCAAGGTTCTCTATGTTGATTATGGCAATGAGGAAATAGTAACGATAGCAGCTCTTCGAATAATCAACGAAGATCTTGTATCAAAATTATCAGCTCAAGCGATAAAGTGCATACTGAGTGGATATCAATCGCAGTCCAGCACTGCAGAGGTCGACAGTCAATTTGAATCATTGGTCTTCGAAAAGAAACTTGCAATGTCTGTCATTGACGAATTGTCTAATGCAATTCTGGTGGATCTCTTTGAACAAGAAAACTCCAGAATGGAGAGTATTCGATCTCATCTAAATGTACCAACGGCTAACAAGCCAGAAAGTACTCCGTCACCGTTTTCTAAGGATTCTACAAATTTGAGGCCTGCCCAAAACTTGAAGATTAGGTAAAATTTGTAAATATTGTCTAGATGATTGGTTTTTTTATTCTAGGTAAATAGTAAACGAAAACTATGATTTTCATTCACAGGCAGGATGGCAGCGAAGGGTGGAACAAAAGAAATCTATTAGATTCCTCCTGTCAGACCATCGATAGTGATGTTTCTTTTGAAAAAGAGAAAACGAAATCCTGGAAAGAGGATGAAAATGAACAGAAAAGACAGAACAATCGTACACCAAAAGATAACGGAGATCAATCTGTAAGCACTGGACAGTTTGATCGGTCCAATCGACTGGACAGAAGAAATGATAGGTTCAACAAAGACAATTCGAGAAGTGACCGGTTTGGGAAAAATGACACGAATGATAGATACTCTCGAAATGACGGAAATACTTTTAACAGAAGTAACAGAGAAAATCACACTGGTCGACCTCCCAATAGATATAATGCCAAAGCAGATAGAGACAACGGAGCACAGTGGAGTGACAAAGATTCCGATACATCCTCCAGAGGAAGTGGTGGTAAACGTGGAAGCGGAAAAGGAGGCTACCGAGAGAGAAGAAAAGACAGCTATCAAGGAGGGACAGGAAGGAATGACAGCTATCAAGGAGGAATGGGAAGGAATGACAGCTATCAGGGAGGAACGGGAAGGAATGATAGCTATCAAGGAGGGATGGGAAGAAATGACAATTATCAACGAGATACTGGAAGATATCAAGGAAATAAGTGGAATAGTAATTCCGATAATGAACGAAGTAACTTCAAAGGAGGCAGAGCAAATTGTAACGGTAACCTAACATTTCTTTACTAACTTATTATATTATTTTCCTTTGAGTATACTTATCTTCTCTAAAACTTACAACTATCTGTGCTAATTAATTTTTTTTATGTTTAGGTGACTACAAATCTAACGACGGTCACAGATTTAAGGAAAGGAAACCCTATGAAAATAGAGGTTATGATGAGGTAAGTTAAGATATCGGAACATTGTTCAATGTAAATTATTCAAATTTATGTAGTACACATTATAAGGCAAATATGATAATGTAACCTTTTCCTGTAACATAGCCAACTAAGAGCACCGAAGTCTGGGAAGATGATGTAAATGCTTTGCCATCGGAGATCCCTGGACCACTTAATGGGCTTGATTGTATTCCACCACCCAATATAACCGTTGGTGCTATTAAGACCTGTGATGTCGTCTTTTCCACCAGTCCAACGGACTTTTACGTTCATCTGTGTCCTGACAATTTGGACCTTGAACCACTAATGAGTGACATAGCAGCATTCTATGAGCAGGGTGGTGAACTGTTGAAGGATTCTAAACTCAAAGTTGGTGTAAATTGCATTGCACAGTATTCTGCCGATTCGATGTGGTATCGCGCAGTTGTGAATACTGTAGAAGACTCAGGCGTGCTCGTTCAATTTGTGGATTACGGTAATACCGAAGTGGTGCCTCACGACATGGTGAAGGAAATACAACCTGAATTCAAGAAGCTTTCGGTTCAAGCAATTCACTGCAGACTTTTCTCTGCTAAGAAGTCGGAGTGGGATGGCGATGAAATAAAAAACTTCTCGGAGATGACCGATGAGAAGGTCATTGAAGCAGAATTTGTGGCTGAAACTAATGGAGTCTATGATGTGTTGTTGCGTGAAGTGATCGATGGTATCCCCAGCGCAGGTTACTTAAATGATACTTTCTCTGATGGCTCCGATCTTACATTGGCCAAAGAGAATACCAGAAACAAAAGTTCGGGGAGAGTTAGCGCCCAGACCGCTGTACCGAACTATGTTCCTAGTGGCACCAGATGGACCGAACCTGATATCGCTTTAGGTTCCAAACAAGATGTCATCGTAACCTGGTTTATCAATCCAGAAAATTTCTACTGCCAATCGATTAACGAGCAGTCGAAGTTCAGGTCACTGATGAACGAAATCCAGCAGGAATATGCAGGACGACGACCAATTTCTGACCCCTTACAGGTCGGGACGCCTGTAATAGCAGTTTTTGCGGACGACGGTGCACTTTATCGCTCAGAAATCAAGGAACTGAATAAACCATTAGGCCATTTAATCCAGTACGTGGATTTCGGAAATTGCGCCATAGTTCAGCAATCTAAAATGTATCCCGTTGAGAGGAAATTCATACACCTTCCGAAGCAAGGGATTCACTGTCGCCTGAAAGACATTCAACCAGCGGAAGGCTCGGCTTGGTCCAAGATCAGTGCAAGCGAGATAGACAAGTGCTTCGATGCAGAACAGTTCGCGTGTACATTCCACGAAACGAAAGATGACAAGTACGTCGTTTCCCTTAACAGAAACGGAGCCGACGTAGGTGAAAGTCTGGTTACCAAAGGTCTCGCATCGTACCATGCCCCCGAAACTCCTGCTGCTTCAGTTGAGAACGTGATGGAACGTCACGATGCAGAGAAAGTGGACATAACCTTGCTGGAAGGCCAAACTCTGCACGTGAATGTCTCCAATGTTGATAGCGTTATCAAGTTCCACATTCAATTACCCTCTGCCGTGGAATACGAGAAATGCGTCGCCCAGTATATGGCCAACAAGGATCCGCAGGTATGTTCTAAATTCTCCGATGGACTAACTCGGTGTAAGCCCCCCCCTCGATTGGTATAATTTCTCCATGTCTTTTTTATCCACATGGTCGAAGTGAAAAAATAATTGTCTTGCGTTGCAACACCCTCTGCTCCTAGAGAGTAGATCGAATGAAAAGTTGATAGTTGGGCAGACCCCTTAGTAAGCACGAGTGTGCCCCAATGCCAGGTGATGCGACGATTGTCGCGGCGCGAGGTGTGCCTCGACGCGGGCTGTCTGGTTAACTCGGCCGGCTCGTGGAGACGAGCTGTCGTCGTAGAGTATTCGCCACGGGCTTCGCGTTTCGGAGTGCGGCTCATCGATACCGGAGCGCGCCGCGAGGTGTCGCTGCGACGCGTGAGTCTTTTGCACGACCCTCCAGCGACCTACCACGAGGAATTCGACCGCTGCAACCCGACTAAAAGCGTCAATTATTGTTGGCGCGGGAACATCTAATGCTCCGCCGCATCGCTCACTAATTTAAGATAATATCTCATGAAGCCATCGCGAGTGTACAGTCGAGAGGACCGATAGGTTTTGTCACCATAACGAGAGTTAACAACGAGCCATGTTCCTCACCTTGTCTTATTTTGTCGCATGCCACTAGCCCACCAGTCGCGTTTTCTTCATTAAATTTGGAGGAAATGTGATCACAATGAAGCCAAACGTTGACTACAATTGGGGTTAGATGTCTGCATGCAAATTTAGTGAATCTAAACTTTCATCGATAACTGTTGTGAATCATGTTCTTAACAGGGAAGAGTGCAAGACATTTCATGTATATATACTTCTACCATGTTAATATTGTTAATATTAATTCAATCAGTAATTTGTCCTTCATCGATTAATATGACATCGCTGCTATTAACGAATGCCTCTGTGATTGCATGGATTAACTATATTTGTCCTTTGCAGATGTTCGCACTACCACCGCAGCTATGGACCGTGCAGAATCAGGCTATCGCATGTATCTTGAAGGATGTCCAGTCCTCCATAGAGACCGATGAGAGGTTCAAGACTTTGGTGGAGGGCAAGGAGGTTATTGTTCATGTCAATGGAGTTAAGAACAACAAGTAATGGGAACTTTTATATTAAATAAGCAGGTTTCACCAGCATTTATAAATATTGTAACACAATTATTTAATTTATCATTTTTTATTTTATTGTGGCAGACTTATCGTCGAAGTTTATAACGTTTTGGGAGAGAAGGTGAAGATCGTCGATGAGTTCGCTGGTTGCAAGATCTCTCCCATATGCCCGATGCCCATCCTGTTTCGATGCCTGAAAGTTCATGTGGTATTTATAAATAATGCTAGTGAAATGTGGCTGCAGAAGGTATTAGACTTCGGTAAACGTGACGCCTTGCAAGAAGTGTTGAACGAATACTATGGAAATTCTGGTGAGCTAGTGAATCCAATGGAAGGTTTAGTGTGTGCTGCACTGAGTGGAGATGGTAATTGGTATCGAGCAGAGGTTATTGAAAAGTTAGAAAATGGTGCGAAGGTACATTTCCTGGACTACGGTAACCAGGAAGATCTTGGGAAGGACTGTTTCAAGAGTCTGGAGACGCAGTTCTACTCACCTCATCGATTGGCTGTCAAAGTCTCCTTAAAGCTGAAGCTGAGGGGTACCAAAGAAGAGCAGTTGATCGTCTTGGAGGACCATATGCTTGATAATGAATTCCTGGCCACGTTTTCCAAAGTCGATGGCAAATGGTTCGTTGATATGGAACAAGATGGAAAGAAACTCAGTGAGATACTGAACGTGTGCGAAGACACTCCAGAGATAGCTACCATAGAAAAAAACAAAGTCAGCGAAGCAGTGGTGGAAAACAGTTACGAAGTTGTTGTATCTCACGCGGACTCGCCGGCCCAGTTTTGGATGCAGTTGTTAGAAGAAAAGTCTACTTTAGAAGATTTACAAAGTAAGCTACAAATCATAGCTCCAACTTACTCAAAGATCGAAGGAGTTCCCGAAGAGAATGCCTTGTGCCTCGCAGTGTACTCGGTGACTAGCCAGTGGCACCGAGCCATAGTTCTCGACGCCGATGAGGACATAACCACGGTACGATTCATCGACTACGGGAATACCGACATCATTGACAGCAAATCCGAGGATATCAAGCAGATACCGGAAGAGTGGAGCTCAATAAAACCTTACAGTACAAAGTGCAGACTCGACATCATCCCAATAGGATCTGAAGACTGGACGGAGGCTGCCTGTGAAAGGTTCAACAATCTAGTTATTGGTGAGACAAACGTTGTTCGTGCTGTGACCATTGCCGAGGGCAATCCAAAACGTGTCGCGCTATACTCTGGTGAAATGACCATCGGCGATACTCTAGTGCAAGAAGGCCACGCCGCCATTGCCCACAGCGAGGAAGATCTGATCGAAGAGATCGTTGAAGTGGTGCTGGATCCTCGCTCGGCGTTTATTTGTCACATAGAGTCTCCGCTCGAGTTCTGGGTCCAAGAGGAAAAATTCGTTTCGGACCTAGAGGTTATGGCTGACAGATTTCTAGTGGCTGAGATGCTTCCTAAACTGGAGAAAGTAGAAGAAGGCATACTCTGTGTGGCTAAATTCCCAGAGGATGAACAGTGGTACAGGGCAAAGGTCGTGTCTCACTGCAGTGACTCCGGTACCGAGGTATTGTACATCGACTATGGAAACTCCGCAGTGTCCATTGAACTGCGAATCCTTCCAGATGATCTGGCAGCGATTCCACCTCTATCTCGAAAGTGTTGCCTCCCTCTACCCGATGGAGTGGATAAATGGTCTCAGGAAGCCTGCGAGAAGTTTGCACAGATATCTGCCGATGGTGCTACGGTATTCCTTCTGGATGTCCTGGAGGAGAAGGAGAACGGAACGTCGCTTGTCAAGCTGACATTGAATGGAGAGAGCATAGCTGACATTTTGGCGGCTTTCTGTGAATTTCGAGTGCCCGTTTTGGTAGAGAGGTTGCCACCTTTAGGCGAGGAAAACCCTCCCGATGTCACTGTCAGTTACGTGGAGTCTCCCTCAGGATTCTGGACCATGGCAACCGATAACAATGCGAAACGAGAAGCCATTACGGAACGTCTGGCTGAAGCAGAGCACTTTCTTGTACTGTCCACCTTTGAAGAGGGCACGATCTGTGCTGCCAAGTTTCCCGAAGACGACAACTGGTACAGGGCACGCATTCTGTCACATAGTGAGTCTGGTACAGAAGTACTGTACATCGATTACGGGAATAGTTCTTTATCCACGGAACTCAGGAGTCTACCAGAGGACCTGATGTCTACCCCAGATCTTGCCAAACACTGCACTATGTGCATGCCAGAGAGCATCGAGGCCTGGTCCGAAGAAGCCTGTCAAAAATTCATCGATATTGTATCTGACGGCGATGTAATCTTCCAGGTGGAAGTTGTAGACAAAGAGCAAGATCCGATGCGGGTCTCTCTGCGATTGCAGGGACAGGATGTGGTGGACATATTATTACCACTGTGCAAAGCTACCGATAGGTCTGCGGAATGTGACTCAACGCAGGACATAATCTCCATCGAAGCAACTGCACCTGTAGATGGTGCGGAGCCCATCGAAAAGTCAGTTCCTTTGATTCTCGATGGTGAAGAATCAGTCACTACGGTCAGGATGGGATATGAAGAAACCATCAGCGAAGGCAGTTCGCTTGGAAATCAGCTCGCAGAGAAAGTTAAAATCGTTGACGATGAGAGTGAGACTTTGAGGAAACAAGGTACGAGGGCATACATAGTGTTAATGCGGCAGTTCTTCCTTAGTTCTTACTGTGAACATTAATATTAATATTATTTTAGAAGTCTCCTACGATGAGAATCAACCGGAGGAACACCCTAAGGAACAGCAGGCTAAAAACGATCGTTCGATATCAGTGGACTTCCTGTTAAATACAATGACGTTGATGGAAGGAACGGAAGAAAGTAAGTCCCCGACAGAATAGTAAACTAGAGGATTTCCCTCGTACCTCACGTTTAGGCATAGAAATTAATGTCACGTATTTTTCTCATTCGTAGCGATCGCACACTCGTTGAATGTGGGAAATTCCTGCAAAATCGTCGAAATCCATGCGACAACATCTCTCACTACTGACAAGCAGGTTCGACTAGCAGAGCTGGGCGATGAGCTCGAAAATGTAGAAGAAACGACCGACAAGTCGATCGAGCTGACTGTCGACGACATAATCGAAACCATGGCCATTGAAACGACCACAGAGCGAAGCGAACTCGAGGGAACCTTGAAGGAATCGAATCTCGAGCCGGAGGTCGTCTGCCCCGCGGAAGAGCGAATCGGCACTCCCGCGAAGACGCCCAAAGCGAATAAAATCGTGCCTGGCAGCATTTCTCGTGGCGTTTCCGTGGAGGAAACTTTCTTGGACCTCCCGGAACCGCGAAGCCCTGTCCTGGCAGAAGACAAAATCGTTCCTGGGAGCATCAACCGAGGAGACCTTTCGGCGCCGGTCGATGAGACCGAAAAGTCCGATGGGAAAGAGACCGTAGCCGAAAGGGATACCTTCGAGGCTCCTGCTTGTTCCCCTAGGTTCGTTCCTCTGCTCCACCAGGACAAGGTCGTTCCCGGGAGCGTATCGAGGGGAGTGTCTCCTTGCGAGGACGTCTCGTGTCCGCGCACCCCGAAAACGCCGTATTCCGAAAAGCTCGTCGCCGGTGTCGTGGGCGACGTTAGAGTACTCGAGGATCCCGAAGACGACGAGGTCATGACAATCGAGGTGGTGGAGAGTGCTCGTGGCACAGTGTAGATGATAATTAAGATAATTACTTGTCGAGACACGAGTAGGATGCCTCATGAACGGCGCTTGCGATCCTTTCGTTGTTTCGGTCTGCGCCTGTTTGGAATATCGGCTACAGAGAGGGGTCTAAAAGAATCGACGAAACTCGCAGGAAGGGTCGCACGCGCTCATCGTTTTTAGGATCTTAAAGGGAAGAGAGGACATTGCCTAATTTTGCAGCTGGACAAAGTGAGACTACCATTAAGATGCCAAACTTTAAGGAACCCTTTAGTCTAAGGGAACGAAGCGGTCGCGGTATACTTCGATAACGCGTTACGCTGTCGCCTCTGGCCTTCTGTTCGTCGTGCAGAAGTCATTTTCTATAATATCCTACATTCTAACTTTCTCTATCGCTCATTTTCGCATTGCGCATTCGCTCGCAGGTAACTAGCCATCCATAGCTTTCTTACTGCGTGACTAGCCAAAGATTACGGAGCTCGTTGGAGATTAATGATGGGTGCGACGAAATCGAGCGGACCACTCGATGTCGTGTAACCGAAGGACTTAAAATCGAAGAGCAATTGTCAATAATTATTTCATCGCGATACAATTGTGACGGTTTTAATGTCGAAATCCGGTATGCTTTTAAGTGTTTCTTCGAGCTCGCCTTGGTTTCCTTTAAAGCGGCGACATTCGCATACTAAATGCACATTTTCTGTTCTTCCAAATGGTTCCTTTTTGGAAATTGATGCTCGGAAAACGACGGGGAACGGGAACTGGGAAATCGTGGATGATTACCGGAATAGATTGCAAAGTGGTGCTCGACAATTGTTTCTTTTTCTTTCGGATCGGGAGAACACAAAATGAAAGTGCCTAATCGTACCAAAAAATACGAGTGCTATGTCAGTTTTCTCGTGCATCCTATCGGTTTATATCGGATCTTTTCCTAGAAGACTTCCAGTTGCTTTACTCGCCGAGACTTTCGATGGGAAGAATGTACTTTCTGTCTATGGAAAAAATACAGATAGGCGAGATATTCATTCACTGGATATATACAAATGATTTAAAAAGGAAAAGGACAATGTTTAAAGAAGGTGGTTCGCTTCGTTCACTGTAGTTCTTTACTGCTGTGGTAAACAAAGACTCGAATGTATCATTTATTTCCGCTGTTAAATAATGCTAAAATCAGATCCGTCTTTTAAGTTCACACATTGAAAATGCGAAACTATTCTTTTTTTTTTGTTTTTCTCATTCGAGAGTCTCCGCAAGGTGAAAGCGTATATTCTCTAAGCGCGGTTATTTGTCAGAAAATGAAAGTTGTAATCTCAGAAGCAAAAACCCATGTACATAGAATGCAAAGAGCGAGAAACATTTTTGTATGTATAGTATCGAGGGGTATACGCGATTTCCATACGGCGTGTATGGAAGTATTTACATAAATATATTATATACACTTTAAGAACGCTTCGAGGACGCGTTCCAGCTATCGTCATTATTGGTTTATACGTTAATTTCGTTAATAGAGATAATAGGGAGCATTGTTCACGGGTTATCGATAACCGGTCAATTACTGCGAACGCGATCTAAGTCGAGCAGTGTTTTGTGGTCATTAGGATTATTGCGACCTAACGATAAACGGACTTTGCTAGTTTCGTAGACACCTAGTGGGGAGTAGAGTAGATTCGTCAGTCGTACCGCTTTGTAATAACTTTAAGTTGAACCTCTGAAGCACCTCAAGTGACCGTCTTTACATGCGATGTACTAGACCATCCATTACGGAGGTCACATTGTTCTTTGGAATTGAAAGCTCTATTATCTCGATACGTTCATTGTTCCGGCATTAACGAGGACCAATGCTCTCCGCTCGGATGTTTTATTTCTTTTTTATTTTTTTAAAATAAAATCACAGATTATATCGAAAAATCTCATAACTCGGAAAATTCGGCGTTCCGCTGAAAGGGTCTGGTTTTACCTTGAATACTCTTTTTAATTGCATTTCTCAAGGAGTAGATGGCTCCGTACTTGCAGTCGCACTCTTCGTGTCCTTCGTGCTCTCCTCGTTATCCTTTAACTCATCTTCCTCGGCACTGTCTTCGTCAACCTCTGGCTTCTCGTCTCCACCCTTCTGACCTTTCTTCAACTTTTTCAACCTCTCTCTGCGTTTCTTTTCTGTGGATTATAAGTAAACCGTGTATCGGGGGTAGAGCATGTTTTATCTTGTAAGGAAGGGTTGAGGCGGAAAACCTCTTTTATCTCGGGCGATTTCCACGTTCTTCTCCATTTCGCTGGTATAATTTTCCTGCCTTTTATGAGCTAGGCCGTCTCGAGCGAAGGCAACCTCCTCTTCGAGATACCACTGCAAAGGTCCTCGACATCTTTTACAACTGCCCAAAGAAGCTGCGCTTTTGATCCTGTGAGTTCCTCCCCATTTTATCGGGTACGGTGACCTGCCGATGTCTTGGATTCGGAACTTTAAACCTGGTCCACCGCCGTTCATAAATATGTTTTCCATTGAGGATTTATACGGCGAGTCCTTCGCCCCGTATCGTGTCTCGGGGTCCTGGGATTTCTCGTCGCAGCAAAATCCGAAGGGCTTTTTTAAATCTGCCCTGTCAGGGCCTGCTCCGACTCTCTTTGTTAGGCTTTTTTTCATCTTTATAGGTTTAATTTACCTGCAACTTGTAAGAATTTTGGTTAGATCTCACTGGCAGTACAGGATTCGACATTTTATCTAATTTTATCGATTCAATTGTCCCAGGTTTTTAAATTGGTTGCGTGGAAATGTGTGCGAGCTTCCGGTGGATCTCGTGAGATGGCGACACGCTCGGATTTAAAGTAGTTATATGTTGTAACGAACAAACCTTGTGTCCCCGCGCCGTGGACAGTGAGCTGCATTGGCAGAACCGTAATGGACTTCCGGTGACTCTTCTACATAACCGCCTTCTTTGCCAAGGTACGTTGTTTCGTTTTAAGATTACGTTTTATTAACTCCAGTTGAGATAAGTTGCGGACGCTGAATCTTCCAAAAATGAACGATTATTCACAGTGTGTTTCAGGGGTGTAGGTTGTAATAATTGATGTTTATTTGGCTGAAAATAAATTTCTATCTGGATGTGAGGTTATAGTTCCACGCGGCGTGGCACGTTGGACAATGTGGTACACAGTTGATCTTTTTTGGCGAGAGATTAAACTTTCACCAGTTGCATCTAAGAAAATGCCGATAGAAAAAGAATTTGGCGATTTTAGTTCTTTACGGATTATTTAGCACCAAGGAGTTGTTTCCGGCTAAATAACTTTTGATTTCGCAATTGATGGGAGTGCTTTGGTCATTAAAATTTTCTGCGATCATATTAAATGATGATAACATTAACACGTCTAAATGAGCCAAGGAAGCACGGAAGCTAGAAATAGCTGAACCCATCCGTGTGTTGGAACGACTGTTGAAGAGTAGCACGAAAATGCTATCTGATAAAATACTAAAAATGTCCCTATAACGTCCAAGTTTTACATACATTTATTATGAATAACTACCTGTGTCTTTTCAGTCCTTAAATCTCCGTAAGGAATCCTTACACGCACTTTAAGATGGGTAGGGAGGACAAGGCAACATGGAAGGCCAACTACTTTACAAAACTAATTGTAGGTATAAGTATCTGAATGCTTTAAATGTTTGTATCGAGGATTCTAGTCATTTTAAACTTTGAATTTTTCAGCAACTTTTGGATGACTACCCAAAATGTTTCATCGTGGGTGCGGACAATGTCGGTTCAAAGCAAATCGAGCAAATTCGTATGTCACTCCGTGGCACTGCGGTTGTGCTGATGGGAAAGAACACCATGATGCGGAAGGCAATCAGAGGCCATATAGAGCGTAATGCAGCTTTGGAAAAGCTCTTACCACATATTCGCGGCAATGTTGGCTTTGTCTTCACTCGAGGAGACCTGGTCGAGGTCAGAGACAAGCTACTGGAGAATAAAGTTCGTGCTCCAGCCAGAGCAGGTGCTATTGCTCCTTTGAGCGTCGTAATTCCTGCTCAGAACACGGGGTTGGGTCCTGAGAAAACTTCGTTCTTTCAAGCCCTTAGTATTCCAACCAAGATCTCCAAGGGTACTATTGAAATTATCGTAAGTGTCTCAGAATCTAATAATAACGGTACCATGTACTTAATATAAAGAAAATGTGGGAAAGGTAATAATCATTTTATAGAATGACGTCCATATTCTGAAACCTGGTGACAAAGTAGGAGCTTCTGAAGCGACCCTCCTGAACATGCTGAATATTTCTCCGTTTTCGTATGGATTACTTGTGGAGCAAGTATACGATTCTGGTACTATCTTTGCACCAGAAATTCTGGATATCAAGCCAGAAGATCTTCACGAGAAGTTCCTAGCTGGTGTTGCTAATTTGGCTGCTTTGTGCCTCGCCATCGGCTATCCCACTATTGCTAGTGCTCCTCATAGCATTGCCAATGGACTCAAGAACTTATTGGCCATTGCTGCCATTACGGATATAGAATTCAAGGAAGCAACAACCATCAAGGAATTCATCAAAGTAATTTATTTTGCTTTTAAGCTTTCGATTACATAAATTTATTCATCTTTAGGAAATATTTTAACCTTTTATGAATCAAGTTTAACATACAGTCATGAAAGGGTAACAGATGTAATAAGTATGATGAAAGCAGTTCATCTGAATCTCTGAGTACTGCGACAGAGCTAGAAATAGCTGAACCCACTGTCATAGCAGAGTGTCGGTTGAAAAATCGCGTCGAACACGCAGTCTGATACGAACAGCAATTACAATAATTGTTGTAACGTTGCTTTCGGATAATAACAATTTAAAAATATCTTTGGTTGCAGGATCCCAGCAAATTTACAGCTGCAGTTACTACTGCTGCGCCTGCTGCTGCAGCAGCAGCAGCACCGGTCGAGGAAAAGAAAGAGGAAAAGAAAGAAGACTCTGATTCCGATGACGGTGACATGGGATTCGGACTCTTTGATTAAAAAAAAAAGTGATGGAGTACTCTACCCTGCGTCTCTGAGTGGACCTGAGTATTGATGTTTTGTACCGACGTCCGAATAAAGTCCAAAAGTAAGAAATCATACCTTGTTTCACAGAGCATGAAAGTTGAGGGCTTGCGATACTACTACCTCGTTATGTTTTGCTCTGTGTAAGAGATTCAACGTAATGATATGCAATCTAATAAGTTAAAAACTTCAAACCAGTTATCTGAAACGACCTTCTTAAGCAGAGGCTCCTAGTTTCTCTAGTACTCCTAGATAAAAAGTAATCGTGAACGAGAGAAATTTAAATACTACATAAAGTCAAACGCGCAGGATTTCGCTTATTTGAAAGACGTGCCTTTAACGATCAAATCTTATTATAGTTTCTCTTGAAGCATAAAGTGGAGAAACCGCAGAAAATCCTCTGGACGTATAATAGCAACTCATCGTACCCATTCACTTTTCTCGGTAATCTCCCAACTCTACTGGAGGAAGTAAAAGAAGAGTACACATACGTACCTAGTTCCATTGGGTTTTTTCTAGCAGAATAATCCTCGGCCGGTTCGACGAGTGAACGTTCGATATAGTCAAGGTCTTTTCTTTGACGAAAGAACGGTCGATTCCTCGTGCAGTAGCAGGTCGGTCGGTCGGACGTCAAGAGGTGTTGAATGCGAGTTTTACCGCGTTTTTCATAAAACTTACAAACTACGTTAAAAATTCAAAGTACCTTCTGGATTAGATTATCATAAGTAAAGGTGATCAATTGAAGTGAATTCCCTATAAATTTATCATGAGAAACACGGAGGGAAAGGTTTATATTTATTAGAGACAAAAGTTCCAGGTTGTTTCCACTTTCCAGAGGAGGTTATAACCGATTCTTATAGACCCTCATTCTCGACATTCAAGTTGCAAGAAATTTAAATAAGCAGGTAATGGGTGCGTCCACTAGGACTGACGAGATTTAGGAGAAACTAATATTTGCATTCGAGAACCTGACATGTGTTTTGAATTTCGCGCATAATTTCGCTAGTTATTGCAGCCACGAAAGTGTTGCGATGCGATTGGTCGTTTCCGTAAGATCCTTCACCAGTTAAGGCAGACGTCAATCGTGACGCTGCATTCTCGCAGGTTGGGCCGGAGCGCTGCGTGACGTAAGCAATCCATGGTTCCATAGACTGTGGCGACACAAGGAGACGGTTGGAGACGGTCAGTGGCGCACAGTGGCGCACAGTGGCGCGCGGTGTGCCGAGTGAGCAATTGGTGTTCGACGTAGACCGTCGGCTCGGTTTTCCGCGTGGTCCTGTATATTCGGTTCGAAATTTTGAACAGTTTTTTCGAGAAAGAATGGGCCTGCTTTCCGAGGGAAGTCCTCTCGACTGGGAAGAGACGAAACGCCTAACCGACCACGTCCGCCGCCATGGAGTTATCCAATTTATTAACCTCTACAAGCGACTACGCGATAGACAGGGCGACGTGCTCAAATGGGGAGACGAGGTGAGACCGCGATTATTACTCATTCATCGCGTTAACGCGACTCGACTCGAGGCCTCCTCAGAAATGCACCCTCGGCTCGCGTCCTGCCGGCTTTATGGATTTTTCAGAAGCAGGAAGCGACCTAACCTCGATTCGTAATATGGTACAGGATTCAGATGTCGATCAATCGGATAACCATTTTATAATCCGGCTGGGTGCTGCCACGAGAACTGGCTGGAATAGAGAGTTCATACGAATTTTTTGGAAACATCTCGTGTTACATCGTTTGCGAGATTTTGCGGTGGCAAACTCTTTCAATTGGTTCTTTTTCTGTATCTTTGCGTAAGAGAGCATTAGCTTCGGCACTCGTGGAGGCAATTTTCAATGTATTGGCTTAAACACTTAACTCATCTAATGGGTGTGGGAAAAGAAAGAAGTGGAACGACGTTACAGCCGTCAAGAGCTATTGTCTTTTGGCCTTCGAGTTTGTTTCATTGAGCATGTAATTGAAGCGGTAATGAAGCTTTGAGTCTTAAACATTGCCTTACGAGAATGCAGTTATTACACACCGCTCATATTACACAGTGTGCTTCCAAGTCGGAACAATGCTTGCACGTTGATGTATACATTTGTTGTATTTTAACGAGAACCAGGCCTTGGCATGTATTTATGTAAATCATATTAATTAAGGAGAATTGAGACTAAAATTTTATTAGAAGAGTTTTTCATCTTTACAGAATTTGAATCTCTAAAAATTAGTACTATTCTTTGCACATTCTAGTGAAAACACTTTACAGATTAACGATATAACGTAATTATAAAATGTCTTCAAAATCTGTTCTAATTAACGAAAAAGTCAAGATTGCACCTTTGTCTCTCGAGGGAGCACAATATTGTTCCGAGTCGTTACATTGCATTCGTCTTATCTCGAGTACTCATATAAATTGCATAATTGTGACATGTGATATCATTAAGTGGTTCTCAAACCGAGGAAGAAAACTGGCTGATAAGACCAGGATAGCAGAATTTCTTAGCGGAAGGTTACTTGCAATCGCAGATAATTGTGTTTATTATTCGCTGAGAAATGTTTACAGTGTTTTTCATGTTTTAAACCTTTGACTCTATTGAAATTGGTGGTTTTGATAATATTCTATCTTTTGCTCTTTCAGGTGGAGTACATGTTGGTCAAATTTGATGACGAAGCGAAAACCGCAAAACTTAGTTTGCATGCCATGGAAAGATTAGCGACCTTGAACGAGAAGGAGCACAGGGACCCATTGTGAGTATGCAGACTACCGTAATACAGCCATGATTAATGAGCGCATTTTCAAATGAAAGTCCGTGCGACTTTTTTTGTTTTACAGAAGTGTTAAGTCATTATGGAGACCCGAGTACGGCGCCTATATGTTGGAGGGAACTCCGGGAAAGCCTTACGGCGGCCTCCTGGCGCATTTCAACGTGGTAGAGGCGAATATGCGATACAGGAGACAAGAGGCATCGATGGTACTCCCTCCGGGCGAAGTTCTTATGTCGTTGACCAGCTTTCCGAGGTATCTAAACAAAATTTCAACGAAGCGATCGCTCTCCGAGGATACGCCGCCTTACTCTACGCTTCACGCAACGTCTCCGGGTTGATTTGCGGTTAATTTTAGGTTAGGATCGTCCAATTTTACCGATCCTGCAGCTAATCCTACACCGAACTCTGGTGCATCGAGGAGCCTCTTTTTCCCGGACGAGGCCATTTATCCTGGCCATCCACGGTTCAAAACCCTGACAAGGAACATCAGACAGCGGCGTGGGGAAAAGGTGGCGATTAACATTCCAAGTGCGTTTTGAAACAACCATTACCTCGTACTTGCAAACCTTGGGAGCAGTGAGAGCGAAGGGGTGAAGTACGAAGGAGGAAAGTGAAACACCTGTACGATCCTTGCCGAAGTCCTTACGCTGGAGAATCGTGTGATCTCGACGAATCCTATACTCCTTTATAGTTCACTTAATCAGAGCCTGCTTCGTTAACTCCGTTGGTTCGATCGTTGATTAAAACCGCTCGTTGCAGTTTTCAAGGACTTGAACGTTCCTCGACCCTTCAGGGAGAGTCTGGCCGAGCTGGGCGACGACGGTTCCAGTCAAAAGGCTGCAAAGGAAGATCACGTTTACATGGACGCCATGGGTTTCGGGATGGGATGTTGCTGCCTCCAACTGACGTTCCAAGCCTGCAACATTCAGGAAGCCCGGACCCTGTACGACCAGCTCACACCGATGTGCCCGATAATGGTAAGTTTATTAGTAGCAATTCGTTGATAATTCTTATCATCTTCCTCGTACGTATACGTTATTAATCGTTCGTTACTCCAGTTGGCCCTAACAGCCGCCAGTCCTTTCCATAGGGGTTACGTGACCGACGTCGACTGTCGGTGGAACGTAATCTCCTGCTCCGTCGACTGCAGGACCGCCGAAGAGCGGGGCTTGAAGCCCCTCCGCGAGAACAAGTTTCGCATCGGCAAGTCCAGGTACGACTCCATCGACTCCTACCTGAGCACCCAGGGGGAACGTTACAACGACGTGCCGTTGACCTACGACGAAGAGATATACAAACAGCTGTTGGACAACGGTATCGACAGGCTGCTGGCACAGCACGTGGCGCACCTCTTCATCAGGGACACGGTGTCTCTCTTTTTGGAGAAGGTGAACCAGAACGACCTGGAGGACATCGACCACTTCGAGGTGACTATCGCCGCGAATCCAGGGAAACCATTAGCTGTAGCCTCGGCCTCGAATTCAATCCGTAGAATATCCAGTCGACGAATTGGCAGACGATGCGATTCAAGCCTCCACCGCCGAATTCCGCGATCGGCTGGCGAGTCGAGTTCCGGCCCTGCGAGGTACAGATCACGGACTTCGAGAACGCCGCGATCGTTTGCTTCGTCGTCCTCCTGACCAGAGTCATCCTCAGCTACAAGTTGAATCTCCTGATACCGATCAGCAAGGTCGACGAGAACATGGCGAGGGCGCAAAAGAAGGACGCGGTCAAGGCCGAGAGATTCTGGTTCCGGCGAGACATAACTTCTGCCGCAAAACCAGAAGAGGACGGCGAGTCCGAGTACGCGGAGTTCACGATCGACGAGATCATTAACGGGAAGGTGCTTGTCGCTGATATAACGCGTCCACCCGAATGGGACTTGACCTTCCGTTTTGCTCGCAGGATTCCCTGTTTCCGGGGTTGATACCGCTGATCAATTCCTACCTGACCGGCATGGACGTGGACGCGGACACGCATTGCACCGTCCAGCGTTACATGAAGCTGATACAGAGGCGGGCCTCTGGGGAACTCTTGACGACCGCTGCGTGGCTAAGGAAAGAGGTCACCACGCATCCAGATTACAAGTAGGTTCCCGATACTCCCGGGTCTTTCTCGTGGCTTCGGTCGCGGTGGACGTTCGCTTACCCCGATCTCGCGTTGTTCTCAGGAAAGACGCGGTTATAACCGAGCGCATCAACTATGACTTGTTGAAGACCGTCTGTAGGATCCAGACGAACGAGCTCCTGTGCCCGGAACTACTCGGGCTGTGCACCTCGTCGAGGACCACCGAGACGATCCCGGCGGCGGTCGCGAAGGCGGAAAAATGCCCGCCGACCGATTGCTGAGATATCGCGCGCGACTCGGCCATTCCACCTTTTACTTTCTCCTGGATTCGTTTTCTTTCAAGTATTACCGCAAGTGTTGGGTCCCGCCAGAGGCGCCGGTGTCCGGAGGATACGATTTTCTTGTACATACGCGCGCTACGTTTCCACGTAATTCGAATTGGTCTCCCCGTAAGCGATTGTCGGTACTTGTACCTACGCTGCCCTCCGAGTAGGGAGGCTGAGCCTCGGTGCACGGAGCATACTTATATACGGGGTAATTCGTTGATTGGAAAAATCGCGGAAGATTTAGGGCAAGGGCTGGATCATGGGGCGCGACTAAGAACCGCGATCGCCACGAAGGACCGTGGAAACGATCGGAAATTGCGAATCTAGGGTTTGGTCTAGTTTTCCTCTATCACCGTGGACGCGTCTCGTGGTACTTTCGATGCTAATCGTTGCCGAGGATATCCTTTGACGGCAATCTGGTAAGCCAGGAGGCTGTGCCACCGAGAACGGATGCATTTCTCCTAATTGCGACGTTTTCCGCCGCAGAGCCGTGGGACTTAGGGAAGTTTATAACGTATTATGTTTCTTCAAGCTTTTGTATTTTTTTTAAAGGCTAGCGTAAGGGCCGACGCGACGCTCTCGCGGCGCGTTAGCCGTCATTTTGGTGCTTCGTTTTCTCGATAGGCTTCGCTCGCTCGCTCGTTTATACCACGTACAAAACAAGATGTATAATCAACCCTCGTCGGCCGACGCGTGACTTGTTATTTTCACTTTTATTAAAACTGTACAGCATCTGTGAGGAACTGTCTGGCGTTTTTTTTTTTATCCGTAGGTGAGTCTTGGTTTGTGGACAACCGTCGACATGGTTTTATACACGTAAATATATCAACTCGGTATAACTTATCGTTTTAGATGATTCGAGTATCTATGGATTCGGTCACTGGTTGGTACAACTAAAAGCTTGCCATGGTGTTGCATCGTGCGAGCATGACTTTTGCCTCTCTTTAATCCATTCCTTATATTAATTGACTAATCGGCATCGCTCTCGTCAGCAGGTTCTTTGTATAAAATTGTGTACAAACTAATTCTATATTGCACCTATATTATTAAGAATCTCTGTGGGTTCTGTAGGAAACGTAGGTATTCCAGAATATAGCCACAATTTGGACGACTAAAACCTGATATTCCAGGGGTACGAGGGAGAAGTTCACAATTTGTACCATCGGCCATAGCTACGATGTCAGGCAATCGAAAAAAAAAAACATAGTATTATTTTCTTCTATTTTACTTAAGGACTTTTTCATTATCGTAATTCTTTGTGCAATGTACTCACTTTATAATTATTAATTAATATGTCTTTGTACTCGTTACGTAGTTTCTCTTTGTTCTGCTCCAAATTGTTTCCTCGCAAAAATCCAATGCTATTGAGCAGGACCGCGATCAATGCCGGAGCAAAAAACAGTTGATCGCATACTACCTTTTTCAAGATCACGGTCTTTCCTTTGGATCCAATACGCTTGTCCAATATTCCATACCATGTTCTTATTGCAGGACCCTGCATGAAAAAAAATCAATGTTACGTTACCAGTTTCTGGAAGTAGCTCGATAGTTTGTCGTACCATCAAGAAAAATCCGAGTCCTCCAAATTGTGCGGTGCGCACCAGATCGATGTCCTTGTATTCCCTTCTTTCGACAAAGACCTGTGCGATCTGATCACCCGTAGCCATTAGAATACCTGCAAGCATTCCGGAACTATATTTTATGGATTTTAATTCTAATAGAGCTTCGGATCATCGAAGTACCTGTTTGTACCGCTTGCATCCTTAGTGGATATTTGGTTAGAAGCCTTTGGTACGTTCTGAAAATGCCACTCATATTCTTAGTGTAACGGTTCGGTTACCGCATAAAAAGTTAGCAAAGTTATCTAGTTATAAATTTTCATACAAAGTACGTCTCTCGAAATAATTGTACAAGGCGTGAAAGCTTGGTTATTTAGTCACTACAAATTCTTATAAGCTTCATGATGAACCGAATAATGTGAAATTATTCTGTAGTTCAATATGAATTTCTTTGGCAATACCTTCCCGGTAGTTTTTGGTACATTTTTAAAATAACACTCATCTCCGTTAAAGCCTGGATATACAAATATCAAATTAAACAATGTGCCGACAAAATGTTATCACACATGTGATACCTTCGATTATGCTACAGAGATGATGTGGGAGATCGCTCATAGGCAGGATCGCGCGATCGCGTCCTGTGCGGCCCCCGGTGGAGGATGCGGGCGGCTAACGCACTAGCCACCTGTTACCCCCAGAGATGAGTTGGGAGATTGCTATCGGGCCGATAATGGACCGTGATTGGGCCGGTGACGTCGTCCAATCACGGAGTCGGTCACGGCCGGGGATTGCGGCCCGGCCGACGGATCCGACGGATCCGACGGATCGCCAGTTGCTCCTGAAAATTTGCCGCGATAGGATGTCGTTGAAAATTAAGTAAATGGCGGGGGGCGCGAGGGCCGCGGAAGCGGATACAAAGGTGGAATGCAGTGATTACTGTGTGATAATATCGTTCAATGAAGCAAGAGGAAGAGGAAGCGTGGAAATTGAACTCGGGTGTCGGAGGCATCCCGGGATGCTCTCTCTAGGATTAGGCTTTTTGCACCCGGGTGGAATGAGAGAGAACCGTGGAGTGAGTGTGTTGGAACGAATGTGTTTTTTCTTTTAGATATAGCTAGGGAGGTAGGTCAATTGTCTCGAGTGAATGTCTAGATATAAGCAGGCAGGGCCAGGGCGGGATCTCTTCCTGGGGGTTTGGGAGGAGATCCCGAACCTGGGGTAATTGTCCACCCTGTGATATATCCGCGATTGTATCAATTTTCTTTCAGCAATAAAATTAATTAGACCGCGCTTGGGAATCGAATAAATATGCAATACGCTCGGACTGCGCATCCTTGGATCGCAGGTCGTCGTTTTGCTAGCTTTTGAATCTGCTCGCGGAGTAATTTTTTTTTTTATCCGGAAAATCAGGGGATTGCCAAGCGTTCGAGACGTAGGGGGCTCTGCCCGAAGAGACTACAAGTGTCGAAGAGGCTATATGCCGAAGCGGCCCCTTAAGAAGAGGGCAACTACGATGGCCTTCCATTCTTTAGAACGGACAATCATCATTTATTTGGCCACGTTGTCCCTCCTATATTTTTATACGTATTTTATCAGGATTGACGGGGAGAGACGGTGAACTATCGTTTTCACGAAATTTTCTCGAGTCTGTATTTAAGTAAGATAAATATATTAGATTTTTGTCACGCCAAGTAATGTATAATTGAATACATTTTTATTGGGTCAATTATACGAGATCGATGCCCTGCGAAATATTCTTGACTTTAATGGTAACTTTAGTAAGTTATTAGCTCTTGTATCACCGTCTCTTTCTCGCTTTCCCAATGGTTTCGTTTGCGCCTTTGTGTTCACTTTCAGCTTTAGGTGGGCCACTTCAGAGAATCTGGCGACTTTCTGGTGTTTCTTCAATGTTCCGTTTTACTTGTACTTTTGTGCCCCTTTGCAGGTTTAGGTGGATCACCTGGAAGCAGCTGATTTGGCAGAGATGAATTGGGAGATTGCCATAATGGTAAGCCACCACCGTCAACTGCCGCATGGTATTACATGGAAAAGTTTTATAAATATTTGGACTTCTTGTTATGTATATATCTCACACTATCATATCATCTTAAGACGGTTAAAACAAAAAATAAATACCTTAGCTTCGAATTCTCGCTTATTACCACGCACCTAGTCTGACGTACCACGTGTACCTTTTAATAAGATCGTATCACATGTTCTTTATTTATTAAGGTTCCAAGAATAACTTTTATGTGTGCATAACAAGTCGATAACAATACCTGTAGTTATTTTGATAGTCTTTGGATTTTGAAAATGTTTCATTCTTTCCACCAAAATTCTTTTAAAGAGGATTGAAACGGTTTAACTTAAAATTATTATACGGAATTAGGGTGTAATACTGTTTACGCTATTCAGCAATTTGGTTTCCACCCTACTGACCCTTAGAAAATTTCGTCACACAAAAGTATAAGATAAAATATTGCACTTTATATATTCTGATGTTTCGTCGAGTGTCATGAAGAATTAATCATCGATTGACTAGTATACGTTGTCACTTCACCCGTTTCATTATTTCTTGTTCTCTTCAGCTTATGAAGGGGTTTGTTGATGTACTCCTCCTCTAAAACAATAATTATATTATGTTATTAACATTGTACAACATAATGTTATGTGACATGTATTGTCAAGGTCAAGGTCCCGAAAGCCTTGCCCCGCTATCGGTCATCGCGAAACTAACTTGAACAGACTTCGGTAAGCACCAGTACAAACTGGAAACTGATATAACCTGGCTGCAATGGTAAAGTAACTAGGTTATATACAGTAAAATGTTCATTTCATGAGACTAGTATAAAAAAAGTTGTTGAAACAATTATTATAGTAAAATAATCATGGCAACTGATGCTATAATTTATGAGTTACGTTTCTTATGGTTTCTATTACTAAATTATTTTATTAGTATAATCTTGTAAATAGTTCTAGGAGCTGTAAACTATGGTTTCATCTATTATCGATTGACAGAAATATTTTTAGTAACTACGACTACGTTTTTTTGAGTGTATAAATAAAATACCGGTAATGTGGCGCGTCGGTAAATAGTTCTTTCGATCAATTAAATCCGAAATTTTTCACCTGACCTTAAAACAGTCAAGTGGTAATCCTAATTCTTACCATAAATTTAATTTGTTTTCTTTACATCTGTTTTCTCATCCTTCGCTTGTCCTCGGCCTAAAAATTTGGATAACGAGTCCCAGATTCCTCCCAAGAAGAGAGCACAGAACAAGTTTTCAAATGGCACAAAAGGATCGTGAATACCCAGTAGAATTGACGAGAGCTGCAAATAATTTATACAAATTGTAAAACTAGCGTTAAAAATACACGTTGAATCTTATTAGGAAAAATACATGAATGCGTACCTTGAAATAGACAAAGAATATCACGATACCAAAATATACTAAAGCATGAGGAGCTGATATTAGGTCAGTCTTTTTGTCAAGAACAAAAATGATCGATGCGACCATTGACGCTTTAGTGGGGCTGAAAAACAAATATATATGACTAGTTACGTTTCGTCGATTAGTATGAAAATAATTTAAAAGAATATCTATTAGTGACATACAAGCTTGGCTGCATGAATTCCATTGCTGTCGGGGTCCAAACTCCACGAATGAGACGTTCAAATAATTTAGTGAATCCAGCACCATTGCCTAGAATAAGATGTCAAACATTTGTATACCATGTTCAATGCCCACACTCTAGTAATTCTTTAGCCTTCTTTTACGATAAGATACAAAGTATACCCCGAACAGATCGGGTTTATATTTAAAAGAATAAATAAAAACCAATCTTGAAATTCTTCTTGACAAAAAATTATAACAAATTCTTTTAAACCATTTTATGCCTTCAACCTAACCGAAAACGTGAAATATATAATTCTTTACCGAGGATGAAAACTGAAAGAATAGTTTTAAAGCTGAAATTGATGTAACTACGTATGTATTTATATAATACCTTACCTTTGAGCGTTCCAATTAGTATCATAATAAGATACGCATTTGGGTACAACTTTCCAGCATGCGTGACACCATCGAAAACTTTTTTACACCTGTACATACAATACACTTGACACGTTTTGTATAACTTTGAGTATTGCGCTTCCCTTCAACGTACATATTCGAATGCTTCTAAAAATAATAATTTAATTCAATATCCCAGACTTATCTAATTACTTACCTGTATATTTCTTTCATCGCTGAACATACAATTTTTACCGGCAGGAATTTGGCAACTTTGTATCCGATATCGAACGGTGTGTAAAATATGGCATACCTAAAATGAAAATCTCGATGTACCATGCCATTCGAAGGAGTATCGTATACAAAACGCTATGCAAAACTTAGAACAAAATACAAAAAGTATTGGGGGAATTATAAATTGGTTCACGCAATTACTGTACCAAGAGAAGACAAATATAAAAAATAATTATAAGTATCTTCTTAAATACCGTAATGGTACAATTTTAACGACGGGACGATATCTCCAACTTAACCCTACAGTTTACAATTCATACGATATGTTCCCCGTAACGGTGGAGCAACGGATAGACAAAAATAGCATTTTCAAAAAATTACGGTATCCCTAATATATGTCGCATTAAATTATGAAAAACAAAATTTTGTTGTACTAACCAAACAATTGTTGCCACCATTATTTGAGGGGTGTTTTTTAAAGGAGCAAGGATTGGTTCTCCAAGAAGAGCGTTACAGAGCATACCTCCTGCAAAAACTACTAACATCGTGGAGAGCCAACATGACAGAGGATGCTTCCGGGAAAATGCTTGGGCCCCTATAAAGTAAAAAATACGTAAGAAATATTGGTATAAGAATTAGGTAAAAACAATTGCGATATTATTAAAAATATTATTTTTTATCCCAAGTGGTCTTCTCGTAAATATTGCATATAGTATGCAAGGTGTGGTACAATCGACTAGCATTAAGTATAACATTTCCGACATCGAATACAGGGTGTAACAGAACTCGCAGTCACGGTTTGAACAGCGCAGTCCTTGTTGGAAAAAGAGTTGAAAAGTCCTGTACTATTTTTTCCTACCGTGTATAAATTTCCTGTGACAACTAATTGAGGCAAAGCCAATAATCGCGTTCTCGAACGAAACGCATAGCGGAGAGGACGCCGATAGGTCTATGTTCAGCTGTTTGCTGCTGTTTGCTGCTGTTTGCTGCTATTTGCTGCTGCTACGGTGTAGGAGCCGCCAAATTTTATATCAGGACACTCGGTGAAGTTTCGCGCCAAATACATATAATGGCATGTTCTTAATACAAAAAAAATCAATTTGGCGATTTTTATTATACTTACATTTAAACGAAATATTTGAGAAAAATAGTTTTTTATGCATCATTTTATTTGTAAAAAGAATTAAGCGATGATTATAAACCATTGCAGGTAAAACATGTTGTAATTACAAACAGAATGACGTAAGAAGTTTTAAAAACAATCCGTAACCAAATTTGTCACAGTGGCGCTGAACAAAAAAGAAAAAACAATTTTTTGAAATATGCATAAAAAATCTGTTCATTCTTGAATTAATCATACATATTTACAGAGCAACGTTAAAGCATTTTACTTGTAATTCCTGCACCGTACAACACTTCCGTAAAAAGAAACAAAATCGATTTTTTTTTTCAAATTTGTCAAGAGTCCCCTTCAGCACGGTAAGAGAAAAAAGAAATATTAAAATTTGTATTCCTTCTAGTTTTCCATTTGGCATACTATTTTAAGAAGTAAAACTTAAAAGTTAACATTTTGTTATCGATAATTAATCACAGAAATATTGACCTACATCTTGGCTGGGGCAGTTTACCGTATACTTGTCCTGCTTCGACCTTTACACGAAAATAGAGCAACTAGATTGTCTAGATTAATCTAGAGAAAAACAGATATTAATTGTGCCAAAAAATTTCTCAGATACCCACGGACACGTGTGCCAAATATTCGCTCACTTCTAGCTAGTCTCTTCCTTTGATTTAAGTCCAATCGTTTTTTTTTAATTTAAACTTGGAATGAAATCTCTAACGAGAAACGAAATATTAAATCCCTACAATGTAAATCGGTGTAAGCTATTAAATATTAAATATTATTACGTTGTAAATGCCACATCGATCGTTTGTGGATATAAATTTCCCATAAATACCATACCAATGTGCGTAACGCACTTTTGTTATAAAATGGCATTGAATTATAAATGGATTCTATAGCAATATTCGTATCGTACGAGGGATCGATTCCAATAAAATTACAACGCTTGCAATCGGCTTCTCATCGAATTCCTGACAATGTGCCACTTTGGATGTTATCAAATGAATTACCATTAAGCAAAATTTAGTTGTCTATCGAACCCAAATCTTAATTTTGTTTACAGCAGATGCCGTAAATAACGTTAACTCGAATCAGAGTTGGGTAGACTTTATCGAATAAAAAAATGTTGTCGCTTATCCAAATAAGTTTTATTCGGGATATCCAACTCTGCCTTAAATTGGAGCTTTCATAAACGAAAAAATCGGAACGGTTTAAGTTTGTTCAAAAATGAACAACCCCAAACCAAACTTCTTTATAGGAATATGTCCCGGATAAGGGCAAAATACTCAAACCACGAAGCTAACCATGTTCTGAAATAAAGAATTAAAGAATAGTCGCTTAGTCAACGTGTAAGCGAAACAAGTTACGAAATGATGAATTACATGAAATCGGAACGAAAGTACGAGTTACCGTCACGTTTTTCTGTCAGCATTACGGAATGGGATTGTTTAGTTTTTTGCTAAAAGGACTGACGAGACGTCTCAAGGACCGTCCGCCAGTCGAGTCGAACCGAGTCGAACCGAGTCGAACCGAGTCCGAAACTCGACAGGGGTAAGAGCTGTCCCGAAGCAGAAGCTCGGAGGAACTTTAAATTTAGAATTGGTTCGAGCTTGATCTTACCAGGGCCTAAATCCTCTCTGACGTGTAGCGCACACAGTACACAATGGGCAATATCGAAGTATGGAAACATCTTCAATTTGATGACCTGATTAGCTATGTCAAGAAATGCCTCGGGATCCATGTTCGTCGATGTTGCCTATTTCGGCTGGTTTCAAGTGAAAACGATTCCCGGCGCTTTAATCGAATTTTCACCTCGGAAACGGAACACTGGCCGCGAACGTTGAGCGCGACGCTGGCCGTGCGTCGTCTGCTGCCTCGCGTCGTCTGCTGCAAACCCCCCTCCCCTCCTCGTCCCTCCTCTCCACGTTTGCACGGTGCTCGAGGTAAAGGTCGGTTTACACGAGCCCGATCCGTCTCCATCCCGTACAATGGCTAACCTGGGCTAACATGAACGGTGTCGGGCAAATTTAGATACTTTATCTAGATCATTGGGGGATTATCTTTATTACATCTAGATACAGTAGACTCCCGTAGGGTTGGGTAATTTCAAGTTTTTCGAGGTTTTTCACGTATGCATGTACATACTGCATTACGCAAACCACGCAAACCAAGTAGTTCACCGTACAAAACCAATAAATCACGTTTCCAATATGAAGGATGGCGTAGACGTGCAATATGCGGCATCACGAGAGTACAAAATCGGGTGAATAGTCTTAGGTGAGGTGAAAGCGAGAGAAATGAGCTCTCCTCCCAAAGGTAACCAAAGGTAACTGGCTTCCCTTCGGATATGCTGCCGCTGCCGTCACCGGCCGCACGGAATACGCCGTGGAAGGGACGCGAACCCTTTTTCCAAAGAAACCAAACATTTAGAAGCAAATCAAATTAAATCAAAGTAATAGAAGATTATTCTTAAACATTTTTTTATTTCTTATCGATTCTATTGCTTCGTCCTTTGAATCAAGGTATACATATTACGAATTCGCGGGAGGTACTAACTTTTAGTATTTTAACCTGATTCGAGTTACAAAATCGATCCCTGATCTCGGCAATGATATGCGTGCACCTTAATAGTCATCTGTTATATTAGCAGCAATGAAGTTTGTTGTCTTTGGGCTTGTCAAGTTCTGCCCATGATACTAAATAATAAATAAGTTTTTTATATGGCCAGTAAATCAGAACATTGCAGCTTCGAAGATCGAAAAACGAGTAATCAGAAAATGTCATCTATGCAGCGTATCAAATCGTGGGATGAAGATGGTGGAAAAAGGAACCCATTACACAACTTGCATTTTGATAAAGTTAGTATATATTTGTTGTGCTTTATATGTGTTAGAATTTCATATAAATATAAAACTGTAATCACATAATTTCTATTAATAACAGGTTCGTCGTCGTGAAGTTTATGCTACGTTAGAACCACCTGCTACAAATACCAAATTAACAGAATATCGTCGTAACGTGAAGCAGCAAACTCAACCTGATTGCGAATTAAATGCACCATCAAAAGTATATTCTAACAAAATGAAGGTCTTTGCCGATCAGCTGCCGACATATGAACTTCTTCCAGTAAATAAAATTGTGTTACTATGTTCTAATATTTCGGCGAGTATAATGTCACAGCCCGGTCTAATGCTAAGTATAGGGGAGTAATATTTAGGTTTAGATACGAGCAAGATCGTTCTTGGTGCATACGGGGACTTAAAATTGAATATCTATCGTTCAGCTGCAGTAAATCTTAACATTTATGCTTACTTAATAAGTATCGTGTATTTGGAATAGAAATTTATTTTTTGTACACAGTTGCGTGTACGATTTGATCGTGGACATAGAAATACAGGGACCGAGCATATCCCACGGAATCGAAGCTGGGTCAGAAGGGGGGTTAATCGGCCATATTGGCATGTTCAAGTGCCAAACATCACAGAGTCAAAGTACTAATTTAACGATGAATGTTCCGTGTGGTTCGTAGTTGGAAGGAAAAATCTGGGAAGACAAAGAAAAGGAAGCAAGATGAACCCATTGTTTCGATTCACGTGTAAATTCAAAAATTGGCTCCTTTTAAATTTAGTAACGTAATTTTTCATTCTGAAAATGTAACGATAAAAGAACAATAATGTATGTTAGAATATCTATGAGTCAATTTTTTAATTTATAAACATAATAAAAATACATTTTTTACTTTATGATTATTATTGGACACTTCATTTGGTATAAAAAAAAAACAAATTATTGCAATATTTTCCTTCACTATTTCATTATGGTAGAAAAACATGCGAACGATTTAACCTTTCGCACTCTAAGCAATTTGTATGTACGCAGGTAGTCAACTGGCCTGGTCTTAGGAGTGCAAAGGGTTAATTATATTGCCTCCGGTAAAGGTGTTTATACATCGGTCGAACGGTGTTATTCTGTTTCTTTACATAATTTAATAAAAAATATTAAAATTTTTGTGTATATTTGCAGCAGTGGGAAACAAACATCAGAAATTTGATACCTTCGTACTTGCAAAACTGCTTTCCTGATCATCTCCAAAATCAGATGAATGAAATCAAATTGCGCTATTGCCAAGCAATGCATACATTTGGAGTTAACTGTATTGCGGCTGTTCAATACGGCTTTGAAATACCGGTACTATCTGATCCTGCATTTAAATTTTTAGGACATACCGAATGGAGAGGGAAGTATTTAATGAATCGTTGTATTATCTCAAAGAAATTCTATCTCCCTCACAAGTTAATAAAAAATATACTTGCACAAGCTCATACTTTGTTACCTGAGTTCATATGTGATTTTCGTCAATATAGATCGCATGGATATCTCGATTTGAACAGGTATTGTAACCGATAATGCAATTTCTGCACATACAGAGAACAATATAGTTTACTACTTAGGAAACATTCCCACGGGTCCACCTCCATTCTTATTCGCTCCGATATATATATATTGGAGAGCATAAGAATCGAAGTGACACGTATTTTTCATACCGGCAATTGATTTCACGGGACATCATGACAATCGGTAACTTGTTGCTGCCTATTTTTGTTTCGTTACCCAAATAGTGTTCGATCATTTGAATCGACTTCAGCATCGCTTTAAGGTGATACGAAAGGGTCAGCCTATACAGGGTGTAACAGAATTGGTAGTCACGGTTTATACAGCGCTATCCTTGTTGAAAAAAGGAGTGTACTATTTTTTTTTTACAGTGCGTAAGTTCACAAAATAATGCCCACTTTTGCTTACATTAGATGTATGTAACCCCCTGAATATTACCAATCGATAGATCGGCATTTAATTTTTCATACGCCATATTTATGTAACTAGATTATTGAACCTGATAGAAGCCGATATAAAGAAAGGTGCTCAAATGATAACCAATTCTTATTATACGTACATTGTAAGGCTTGTCTCACAGCCACGATACATCCACGATGTTCCTTCATCTGCGGTTCCAAGATTTCTGGTTTGTGCCACAAGACTTCTTGCATGCCAAATAATTCAACTGAAAATTAATACCGTCGAACACTTTCTCGATGTGCTAAGTCATTGGTCATCTATTCCGTTATTAAAGGTAATTACTTATTTTTAGTAATTTAAATTTTATTTTCCTCGATTTCGATTTACGATTCATCTTGGTAGCAATAAAAACTGGTTTTGCATAATTGTCCTGCGTTACGTTAAATGATGTCCAAAAACACAGAACAGCGGTCCGCTCAAATCACTGACCCAATTATTGCTTTTTACAGTTAGAACTGAAGTGTGAGAACAATGGTTTGTTCGTAGATCCGTCAATGTCAGAAGTTTATTCGTCACTCCATGACTTAATAGATGAAATTGCCAATTTAGCCGAAGAATTATTAACTTTTGAATCTTGGATGAACATTAAAACGGACCGAGAGTTTATAAGAACCGCTTTACCATCGTGGTATTTGGAAAAGTCTCATCGCCGACTTACAGATGTTTTAGAAAAAACGTATGAACCATTGAATGAACACGTGCAAACCGTGGGAGCAAAGTTTAGTACCGTATTCGATCCGAAGACACGTCAAAATATCGTTGCCTACGTTAATAAGGGCCATGAATTTGAAGATTGTCTCGAGGAGGTTGAAAATTTCAATCGATTTATCAGTGAAATCAACGGAATGGTATGAAGTTTTAAATTCGATATTCGAACCTGTTTAACGTTTTAAATAAATATATTTATACGTTACAGTCAGGATGTGAATACTTTTTGATGTGTAAACTCCGTCAAGAAGAGGCAAAGAAAAATCTGAAAAAATGTACGGAAGGAGCGAGGCAATTAATTATAGAAGAATTGACAAAACGACATCGAAAGTTTAATTTGGATATTTGCGAGGCTTTTGAAAACATTCAACGCCGTGTTTTAAGTATTCCGCTAACCACGAAGGAATTATTGGAATTAGGTATAGTTCCATTTTTCTTCCTTCAAAGTTACGATGAAAGTTTAGAAAATTAGTAGACGGTAATATATCAATTCCGCTACGTAATATTCACGTTGCCTTTAAACGCAGGTCAATATATGTTATATGCGGCATCGACATCGCTGGAGGAACTTCGAGGAAAAATCACTCATTCTCTGCACATGATGGCTTCTTTGATCGGAATGACTACTATCGACAAAGATCATATAGAATTGAATAATACTACGATTCATTGGTTGAAACGAATAAAGCCAGTGTTCGAGTTGCATAGTTCTATGTTCGAGCAGATGAAATTCGAATTGGAAGAACAGTTGCAGGAAAAAGTTAGAATTTTAAATAATGAAGTTTTAGAGATGTTTCCGAGGTATACATTGGTTTCATTTATTACCCCGATAACATAAACACGTGACAATATTGTGTATACTATATTTATAAAAACAAGTTAACGATATGGATTGCGGCGCGATATCGAAGCAATTTCTAAGCGGCACAACGAGGCCAATACAATGTTACGGTTTGATCGGAACTTACGACATAAGTTTTGTCGTTATGACGTCCACGTGACGTAAAACCGATGCCATTTTGAAACCGGCGAATTAAGTTAGGACGCGAGGTCTTCCTCGTTAAATAAAGGCATCGACCATCGTCAGGTGTGAGCTGCGTCGATTTTGGCTGCTCATCGAAAGCCTGGGTAAATGTCGATTTACCGATATACCTAATGACCTGTACTCAAGTTTCAAGAAAAAATAGATGCCAATTTAAACGATGTTCGTAGGGCTCGGTCGTCGCCAATGAACATAAGCCATCGCGTCTCTCGATATCGCTTCGTTTAATTCGATCTCTGTTTATGATTAGATTAGTGATTATGGACAGCATGGACGATGCGACACGAATCCACGAATATATCGAAGATATGCGAAAGTTCGTTCGAAGATTGGACCGTATGGATGAGCAAGCGGAGTGGATAAATCGAGAGGAATTGTTATTCCAATTACCACAAAGTACATATCCACGTATCAAAGAGCTGAAAGAAAATATCCTGCCATTTTATAGTCTAATTTCCCGAGCTTATCGGTGGCAGCGTGATCTTAAATGTTGGCTCGATGGGCCTTTTGAGTACCTTGACGCAACTGTGATCGAGGATAAGGTCATCGAATACTATTCGGATTTGAAGAAAATGAGTAAAACATTTAAGACGAAAATTAAACTGCATCTGGCAATGGGATATCCTTACAGGTAATGATTACGTTGTTAATAACTTAATTTGAATGAGGCACATAACCGAAGTATTTCGGTTCCTTTTGAAATATGAAATTCATCTTTTCGTCCGCTTGAAATGGATTACGGGAATGGATGAGTCGAAACCCCGCCGGATTTCGCGTCTCATTCGGTATGCATGCACGCGCTATCGCCAAAGGGGCATCATCTCCGCAAATCTTCGCGACCACATCCGACTCGTCGCTCCAAATCCACCCGCATTCTTCGCGTTCCCCCGCGAACGAACAATATCACAATGTCACCTTATCGGGTCGTGGCATTTTACTCATGTTAGAGAAAAATATGAAACGGACGTTTAACGTGGTCATTTCATTACTTTATCGGGTCTATAAGTGACCCCGAATTGACGTTCGGACGACGTGAGTTTGCTGAGTATCCACGATCGTCCTCGGCAAATACCTGTAGTTTTAACGTCTTCGGTTCTGTCGACTACCGGTAATATATAATAATCTTCGCTTTTATCAGCTTTCAAGGTTCCGCCGATGATCCCGATGAGTTGCAGCAGCCTACGCCCATGAAATTATCTTATCAGTTAATCGAAACAATTAAATGGTTTAGGGTAAGCATCCGATCTGGATTATTTATGTGGAGCTATATCGTAAACATTTTTTAACGCACAGCAATTCGTCCCGTTAATACAATGCTTCTGCAATTCTGCACTTCGGCAACGTCACTGGGATGAAATAACTGAAATCGCAGGCATCGATTTAACACCTAATGCAGGTACAACTCTTCGCAAGATTATCGAGATGGACTTAATGGACGACATGGATAGGTAAGCAAAAGACATCCTTTCTTATACGAAGAGATATTTACCTATGCTCTTTGAACCGTATAAAATATATCAAAGAAGAAGAATTTTTTCAATTAACGGCTGATGAACAACGAAAAAACTACGAAATGCTGTGTATTCCGTAATAATGCCCTCTTAAGAGGGTATTCTAATGTTCCGGATAGAAAATCGATTTATTCGTCTTTTATTCTTTTACGATCTTTCCAAAATATGCACGTTGGAAATTATAATTATGTTAAATTTGATTAAAACGAAAAGCAAATATCCTTCACTTTTAAGATACAACCTAATAAGCGTCAGTGCAACAAAGGAGCTTGCTCTACATGACCTTTTTACAAAGATTATACACGAATGGGATGGCGTCATTTTCACGACAACACCGTTTAAGGACTCCGGGGCACATATATTAACCCAATTGGATGATATTCAGGCGCTACTAGAAGATCATATTGTAAAGGTTCAGGCCATGCGAGGATCAACATTTGTAAAGCTTATTGCCACCGACGTTAAGATGTTTTATGATCTACTTCTTCGAATCCAGCGAACAATCAACGAATGGACCAAAGTAATGGCTTCGTTGTTCTTATTTGCAACTAATCCGAGTTTACTCCTACTAATTATTTTCAGGTACAGGTGCAATGGATGTACTTGTTGCCGATATTTTCAAGCAAAGACATCGTGGCTCAATTACCCGAAGAAGGCACAATGTTTTCGGAAGTCGACGGAATTTTTCGCAGAGCAATGTTAGGCGTAGCACGGGATCCCCGAGTTAAAGATACCGCTGGATCTGTAAATATGTATAGCTTTATGCAAAGTTTTCCTCCTACGTTATGTCCCATCTTCCTCTTCGCATTTATCGAGTAAAGTAGTTTGCCGTATGTTTGTCAAAACTGACCGATTTCGTGCTCTTTCTGAGTTCAAACGTTAGTTTGTGGGAACGATTTCGTAAAATATATCTCTATGGAATAATAAATTCGACGCAAGTTGTTTTTTTATACCAAAGATGTTTTTATGGGAATGTCGAGTTTCTTGATAATTGGCGCATCTACCTTAATATAAAGTGTTAATTTAGAAAAAAATAACCTCCTTTATTTAAAATACTCTATTTTACCCTGGAACTTCATACTTTAACAATTGATTCGGACTGAAGCAATTGCAGTGTAATTGCAGAGGCATATAGCACCATCGTATAGCTGAATTGAAATGTTTTTTCGCATTTGATAACGTTATCAAGATTGACAAAATATTATACATTTTTTTAAAAGAACGAATAAGTATGTTGGAAATCGAAATATTATCCTCTCCTTTTAAAGCGATTAGAATTAAATAGCCATTACTAATAATAATTTATCATAGGTTGGGTTACTCGAAGCTATGATAGGAGCAAATGAATTGATGGATAAAGTCAACGAAGGTGTATCAAAATATTTAGAAGAAAAACGATTATATTTCCCTCGGTTCTTTTTCCTAAGTAACGACGATATGTTAGAAATACTTTCTGAAACAAAGAATCCACTTCGAGTTCAGCCACATTTGAAAAAGTGCTTCGAGGGTATTGCCAAGCTTGGGTGTGTAAGCAGACATTACCAGAGACAATGGTGAAAGTACGTATTTAAGAATAATGACTGTCGATGATTCACAGGTTTAACGAATTCCTTGAGATATTTGCAATGTTCAGTGACGATCAGGAAGAAGTAAAATTTCAAGAACTTATCTCTACGGAAGCTGCTCGAGGTTGCGTCGAACGGTGGCTCGTACAGGTACATAAATTAATATTAATATACCCTTCAATTTATATCCGCGCCATGGAATTAATATAGGCACGCTGCTGATGGGCCCACATATTTATTTTTATTCAAATACATCGCTACGTTGTGATTTCTCCTCCTGGGACGTCGCAACACATCCCATTGTTAAACTATATGTAATATGAATTACTTTTGTTTCGGTGGTCGCTTTGTTTGAAAAGTGCTACCAATGAGTTAGGATTAAACTTCCTCGTAGATACGCACGCAAGATTTCTTCATTTTCTATAGAATATGTCCGTGAATTGGTATAAAGTGATTTAAAATCGTACCGTCCCTAAATATTACAATTGTTAGATTTTTTAAAATGTTGACGCATTTGTGCTAGTTTTTCGTTAATACAAAATACACTTTCGTCACGAGGTGGAAGAACAGATGAGAAAATCGGTACGCCATGAGGTGTTTTTGAGTTACCTCGACTACGAAGTGAACGATCGGATTCACTGGGTCCGAATTTGGCCAGGAATGGTTGTCCTGGGTGTATCTCAAATATATTGGAGCATCGAAGTGCAAAACTGTCTTATAACCCGCATTGCTTCCACAATGGATTCGTTGTACGAAAAACTGAGGCAACAAATCATCGATGTGGTCAATTTGGTGAAAGGTACGATGAGAAATATTACAAACGAATGAACATTTCTATTAATCCATTAATTCTTACAGGTCAGCTGTCTAAACAGAATCGCACAACGCTGAATGCTTTGATTACCATGGACGTCCATGCGCTGGACGTTGTAAAATTATTAATAGATAAACATATACTTAACGAAACGGATTTTGATTGGCTTGCTCAGCTGCGATATTACTGGGAAGACGATGTCCTCGTTCGAATCATAAACGCCACCGTTCCCTATGCCTACGAGTATTTAGGAAACTGTCCACGTCTCGTAATCACTCCTCTAACCGACAGGTACGAGTCCTGCCATTTTATTTCGGGATGATCCATCAACGACACGTTATTCTCACGTCAAATTGAACGTTCAATAAGTTCATATATCGGTGCTATTTTGTATTTGCTAGGTGTTATCGCACTCTCATAGGAGCGTATTCTTTACACTTAAATGGAGCACCGGAAGGGCCAGCTGGTACAGGAAAAACGGAAACGACAAAGGATCTTGGCAGAGCGCTCGCGGTTCAGTGCGTAGTGTTCAATTGTTCGGACGGATTGGATTATAAGAATATGGGAAAGTTCTTCAAAGGTCTTGCGTCCTGTGGCGCCTGGGCCTGTTTCGACGAATTCAATCGGATCGAGCTGGAAGTCCTATCCGTGGTTGCTCAACAGATTCTGTGCATAGTCCAGGCTGTGCGCGGTAAATTGGAAAAATTGATTTTCGAAGGGACCGAGTTAAAATTGAACCCTGCCGTGTACGTTTGCATTACCATGAATCCTGGATACGCGGGGCGATCCGAGTTGCCGGACAATTTAAAAGTTCTTTTCAGAACGGTCGCCATGATGGTACCCGATTATGCGATGATCGGAGAAATTTTCCTATACTCTTCCGGATTCAACACCGCGCGTGCGCTCGCCGTTAAAATAGTGACGACCTATAAACTCTGTTCGGAAGAATTATCATTGCAATCCCATTACGATTATGGCATGCGCGCAGTCAAAACTGTACTGATAGCGGCACAAAAGCTTAAAATGAAATTCCCTAACGACGACGAGACGATAGTTATGCTTAGAGCAATCGTCGATGTGAACCTGCCTAAATTTTTAGCGTACGACGTCCCACTGTTCGAAGGCATAATTTCGGATTTATTTCCTGACACCATCCTCCCACTTCCTAAATATGACGTCCTTATGGCTGCGGTTACAGAAGCGACGAGGAAAAGAAACCTTCAACCCATGGAAGGATTTCTCCGAAAAATAATTGAAACCTTTGAGATGATGACCGTCCGTCATGGTTTCATGTTGGTCGGCGCCCCTTTTGGCGGGAAAACTGCACTATTGCGTACGTTATCCGATGCCCTGATACTGATGCACGAGTGGGGTGACGATACCGGGACACCTATGGAGATGACTACCATGAATCCAAAATCTATCACCATGGGGCAGCTCTACGGTCAATTCGATCCAGTCTCATCGGAGTGGACCGACGGTATATGTGCCACGACATTTCGACGTTACGCCGCCGACGAGAGCCCTAGGAGAAAGTGGATCATTTTTGATGGCCCCGTCGATGCCGTATGGATAGAAAATTTAAATACCGTATTGGATGATAATAAAAAACTCTGCCTAACTTCCGGCGAGGTGATGCAGATGTCGAGCACCATGTCTATAATATTCGAAGTGATGGATCTGTTGCAAGCATCTCCTGCTACCGTATCACGCTGTGGAATGATTTACATTGAACCTCAAGTTCTTGGATGGCGACCGTTCGTCAAGTCCTGGATCAACGGGGCCGATCCTATTTGGAAAGAAGGCCACGAGGATGTTTTAAACCACCTCTTTGAGTGGCTCTGCGACCCTTGCTTGGATTTTATTCGGAAGAGGTGTAGGGTGGTTCTCGGAGCTGGCGAAATTAATCGAGTGACATCGACGTTAAATCTCTTTGAAATGTTCATGGCCAATGCGGTGGAAGAAAGTACGCAGGATTGCGAACCGTTTATACTCTCGTGGCTGCAGGCTGCCATGTTAATGTCCATGGTTTGGGGAGCAGCCGGGACCCTCGATTTTGATTCGAGATGTTCGTTTAATGAATATTATTTAAGTTTCTGGAGAAACGAACGGAAGTCTCACCCCGTACCGGAGAGTATCAAAGAATCCTTGATTGCCTTACCTACCGAGGGTCTACTTCACGACAACTTTTACACGTTTAAAGCTAAAGGAGGGTGGAAGTCTTTTGCCGATGTTTCCAAAGCGGAAAAGATAGGAGAGGCCCGGAGCGTCGGTCAAACGTTGGTACCAACCATCGACAGTATCAAATATCAGAGCTTGATGACGTTACATATTAAGTATCGTAGGAGATTCCTCCTGTACGGAGAAACGGGCACCGGAAAGAGCTTCTACGTACGGCACTTAATGACGAATAAACTGGCCGAAACGGAGTATCTTCCGATCTTCGTTACGTTTACGGCCAAAACAACGGCTGCGCAAATGCAGGAGTTAGTTATTTCCAAGCTGTTCAAAAGACGTCGCGGACAGTACGGGCCACGGGGGGGAGCCTTTTGTATCGCTTTCATCGACGATGTCAATATGCCGGCAAAAGAAATGTATGGTGCACAGCCAGTAATTGAACTCCTTCGTCAATTTTTTGATCACGCCCATTGGTACGATCTAAAGTCCCCGGATAAACTTGAAATCTTCGATATCATGTTTTCATGCGCAATGGCCCCGCCGGGTGGGAGCCGTCAACGAATATACGACAGGTTTCTCCGTCATTTCAATATGTACACAATTTGCAATTTCTCCGAAGAAAGTATTTTTCGCATTTTTACGAACACTGCACACATCGGTCTGAGGCGGAATAACTTCGGTACGGAGATTTTATCGACGGTAAACGGTTTGGTAAACGCAACCATGGATGTCTTTGAAAGCGCTCGCAAGGATCTTAGACCTACGCCTACGAGGTCCCACTACTTATTCAACTTACGGGACTTTTCCAGAGTGATCGCAGGATGCACGATGATAAAGAAGGAGTCGGTAGAATCGAAGAGCACGTTTACTCGCCTCTGGGTACACGAGATTTTAAGGGTATTCGGAGATCGTCTGATCGACGTTGGCGATCGAACCTGGCTACTCGAGAAAATAAAAGAAACGGTAACGACCACGTTGAAGGAGTCGTTCGATTCCGTCTTTGCTCGTCTACCCAAATTTAATGAGAATTTAACGGTAGAAAGTATGCAAAGTCTGATATTCGGAAAGTTCATGGACACGGAAGCCCTTCCCGAGGACAGAAAGTACGAGGAGATCGTCTCGATGGACGAGTACAGAGAAGTGGCCGTCTCGTGCCTGGAGGAATATAATCACACGCATAAGAATAAAGTCGATATGATTTTATTTCGTTTCGCGTTGGAACATTTGGCTCGTATATGTCGGATTCTGGTAATTCCAAGTGGAAGCCTATTAATGGTGGGCGTCGGAGGATCCGGTAGACAGTCGTTAACGCGACTCGCCTCTTCCATGATAGGGTACAGTTTATTTCAGCCAGAAATTGGATCCGCCTACGGCCCGACGGACTGGCGGGAGGACATAAAAAAGGTGACGAAGAGCGCCGGGGCCGTCGGAAACGATTTGGTTTTTCTGCTTACCGATGGCCAAATTAGGGACGAATCGTTTCTAGAGGATATAGACAGCTTGCTCAATTCGGGAGAGGTGCCGAATTTATTGTCCGTAGAGGAAAAACAGGAGATCGTAGAACTGACCCGCTTAGCGGCTCAGAATGGAAACCGCAACTTGGATATTTCCGTATTGGCCGTGCTGGCCTTTTATCTTGATCGTTGTAAAGAAAAATTACACATCATGCTCGGCTTCAGTCCAATTGGCGAATCGTTCAGAAATAGGCTTAGACTTTATCCCAGTTTGGTTAGTTGCTGCACCATCGATTGGTTCGAAGTTTGGCCGGACGATGCTTTGGAAGAAGTAGCGTTAAGATGGATCGCCGAAGTAAACGTGGACGAAGACACAAAAGTGAATGCTATAATAGCTTCCAAGTACTTTCACGCGGGCGCAAAGGACATTAGCTCTCGGTATTATCGAGAGGGAGGCAGAAAAACGTACGTCACGTCGGCCGCATTTCTGGACCTTATTAGGTCTTATGCCGATTTGATGAGGAAGAAACAGGACGAACTTGTATTGGCAAGGTACGTAACGTTTTATGGACTCGAGGTGATTTCGGGGGCGATTCGTTCTTGTAAAGCAGTCCCAAGGAAGGTAATTCGGCACTCGTCCTTCCGAGCGGTTCCCGTCTCGGGTCGAATCCCTCCGAAAAATCTCATTTATTCGAACTAACTCGTTTGGGGTGGATTTTACTTCACCTTGAGGCATAAGTCTTGCCGAAACACTGTAATGCAAATGAATCCGCATTCGCGTAGAGATAGATACTTGGGTGGCCTGGATAAACTGGAGTTTGCGGCACAGCAAACGTCGGAAATAAAATCAACGTTAACGGCTCTGCAACCGGAATTACAAATGTCAGCGAGATTAACCGAAAACACTATGCGGAAAATAGAAATCGAGAACGCATCGGTCGCGGAGACAACTGCTATGGTAAAACGGGACGAAGAGTCTGCAAACGTTCAAGCTGAAATTACGGGAGCTCTGAAGGCGGAATGCGAAGCCGATTTGGCCAAAGCTCTTCCAGCCCTGGAAGAAGCTGTAGGTACGACCCCCGTCTCCATAATTGACCGAAACGTTCATTCCGAGGAGACGAAATTATCCGGATCCGGTGGTCGTCGACTCGAGAGAAGGACCAATGACATTTTAAGATCAATTATTTCATCTCCCTCCGAATCGTGCACCTTTCGTACAACATATTTTTCGATTAAACCTTTCATTTCTAAGATATCCTAAATCAATCGTTTAAAGTGGATCTCCGTATATAATACATTGCTAGTTATCCCTTTACCATTTGTAAAATGTCAACAGCTGCTCTGAATACATTGAAACCCGAGGATATTACTTTGGTCAAAGCCATGAAAAACCCACCGGAAGGCGTAAAGCTCGTAATGGCAGCAATTTGCGTAATGATGAATATTCAGCCCGATCGAATCCCGGATCCATCAACTGGTAGAAAAATTCTTCATTTCTGGGGACCCAGTAAACGTCTTCTTAACGATATGAGATTTTTAGATAACTTACGTGATTACGATAAAGATAACATCCCGTCACACGTTATACAGGTCAAATTTCACGCTTATTCAGATTTTCGTCAAACAACTTGGTATTTTTAACGTCATTTGGACCTAATATGTTTGTACGTATGTTCCATTTAAAGGTAATAAACAAGTCGTACTTGACGAATAAGAATTTCGAACCTAAAATTGTGGCAAAGGCATCGCAAGCTGCAGAGGGGTTATGCAAATGGGTAAGAGCAATAATTCTGTACGATAAGGTAGCAAAGGTAGTTGCTCCAAAGAAAGCCAAACTCGAAGCTGCGGAGAAGGACTTCCGGTCTATAATGTCGATACTAAATGAAAAGCGTCAAATGTTGCTTGAACTTAATGCCAAATTGGCTGCTCTCAACGAACAGCTACAGGAGGCATTAATAAATAAGATAAATTTGGAAAATGAAGTAAGTTTCGGTCATTTTTCTAATATACTAATATTTTTGGTAACAATAGGGATACTCCGTAGAACGGGGATAACCACATTAAAATTCGACCGGCGGTTCTCGAGATTAGCCCGACCAAAGATACAGATAGGCCGGGACATTTTATTTTATACTTCTCTCGCTTTCTTGGGCAAGGACGGCACTGCCCAAGACATCCCAAAACTTTGAGATACCGTTTTCTTTATCAAAATCCAACCCGTTATAGATCGTTGGTCCTCTGTATTGGATCGGCCATTATGATATTATTCAATTCGGAATCGACAACTAATAAGTAACTTTATGATTCTTGCTTCATGGCGAAGGGGTTAAACTAGTTCTTATTCTTTACCGTTCCGATATTCCAAGTATAAGAAATGATTTCAATGTTAACAAGGAAACGTGAACTCGTCCTCATGTTTTAGGTAACACTTTGCAGAAATAAGTTGATTCGAGCAGAAAAACTCATACTTGGCTTGGGAGACGAACAAGATCGTTGGATACTATGTGCAGAGAATCTCGAAAAATCGTACGATTGTCTTCCCGGGGACCTGTTGCTTTCATGCGGAATGATCTCATATTTAGGACCGTTCGCGTCAATTTATCGTACCGAAAATTTAGAAAAATGGAGGATACACGTATTGGGTCTAAAAATACCATGTTCGGAAGCGTACAGTTTCGAAAAAGTACTCGGTACCGAAATCAAAATTAATTCATGGCATATCTACGGTCTGCCTCGTGACTCGTTTTCAACGGAAAATGCTATAATAATGGACAACTCTAGAAGATGGAGTTTGTTCGTAGATCCGCAAAGCCAAGCGAATAAGTGGATACGAGCATTGGAGAAAGTATCGGAATTAGAAGTCATCAAACTGACGGATAAAAATTACATGGACGTAATCGAACGGAGCATCGAATATGGTATGGCACGGGTCTTTTTGGGTGTTTATTCCGTATCGTCTAACGTAGTATTAAAGCTTGGTCGAAATCGCAGTCGCGGACGTAGAATTTTCCTGGAAATATTTCCATGTCTATGAAAGATATTCAGTTGTTCGGGGTTAAAGGGGCAAAGTATTACTTTCATTGGATGGGTTTAACGTTTGAAATTTTGCAGGGAAACCGGTCCTTATAGAAAATGTTGGCGAAGATTTGGATGCAGCGTTGGATCCCATCCTAATGAAAAACGTATACGTATCGGGTGGAACTTGGTTCATTGCCCTGGGCGAAAGAACTATCGAATATTCTTTACGTTTTCGATTATACGTTACGACGAAACTTCGGAATCCTCACTATCTGCCCGAAGTGTTCAATAAGGTCACTTTAATTAATTTCGCCCTCAGTATAGAAGGTTTGGAGGATCAACTTTTGGGAATAGTCGTAGCAAAGGAAAGGCCGGATCTGCAAGAGAAGCGGGAATACTTAATAGTTCAAGGAGCGGCCAATAAGAAGGCGTTACAACAAGTTGAAGATAATATATTAAAGACTTTATCGGGAACGGGTGGTTCTATTTTAGAGGACGAAGAAGCTACAGAAATTTTAGACTCATCGAAAATTTTATCCATTGACATTCTTAAAAAGCAAGAAGCTGCGAAAGAAACCGAAGCAAAAATTGAGAATTTTCGTGAAAGTTACAAACCCGTTGCCAAACACGGTTCTGCCTTGTATTACACCCTCACGGACCTCCCTGCCATAGATCCTATGTATCAGTATTCGTTGACCTGGTTTATCGATCTCTACATATTTTCTATCGAAACGGCTAATAAAAGTAGGGTTTTGGAAAGAAGATTAATGTTTCTGCGGGACACGTTTACGTACAACCTTTATCAAAACGTTTGTCGTTCGCTGTTCGAGAAAGACAAGGTATCGCTATGCAGTGTTGTATTGGGAATAATTATAATATACAGGACGTTTCCCTTTAAGGTGAAATGAAAATGATCTCGGAACGGTGTGAATTTTTAGAAAACTTTTCTCCGGACCAGGTACACCGAATTTTACGAAACATTAGCACGCGAACATGGAAGTCCCATGCAATTCCACAGTTTAAATACATTTACGTTGGGTATTAATCCCAAATTGGAACCAAGGACACATATTTGTCGGTCTTTTATGCTTTTGAAAACTTAGAATCGAAAACGAACCGACCGATCGATCGTTCAATTCATTCGCTCATTGGAAAATGAATTGGTCAATCGGTTCGTCAATTTATTGATTTTAAGACTTTGTACGTGTAAAAACATAATGGGAAATTTACAGTGGTCCTTCTTAATTAGGATTTCGCAGCGATCCTGTATTTAGCGATTTTTTACACGGAGGGGTTAAGATGCATACAGGCATCGTTTCATATTTTCCAAATATTTAGAAACATTGGACACGTAAGGCGACGCACGCTTTCATGCCGAGATCCTATAACTATATTTCCTTTCAGATACTATATTCCTTCTTATTGTACACAACGATACTACTGTACAATAATGAAATTCGAAAAGATGAAATGACCTTCTTCCTTACCGGAGGAGTGGCTTTGGAAAATCTAATACCGAATCCTGCAGCAGATTGGTTATCGGATGGAATATGGGGGGAAATATGCCGCACCGAAGACATTCAAGAATTTAATGGATTTATAGAGAGTTTCAAAGAAAACTTGAGTGCTTGGAAAGATTACTACGATTTGCCGAATCCACAAAATTGTCCAATTCCTGACCCATGGGAAAACACACTAAAGCCATTTGAAAAGTTAATTGTAATGAAGCTAATTCGTCCAGATAAGATAACAACGAAGGTGTGTCCATTGTTACAATTATCGAGTGTTGCGTTTCATCCGGAGTCTTTGTTAAAACCTACGCGTAGTTAGGTTCAAACCGACGGAGAAGCTACGGTCGAATGTGTGAAAAATGTGAAAATGAAAAGGTTTATCGCTCACCTAGACCCGCTCTAAATATCTCCCTGGTTTGAAATTTCCTTGAATTTCCCAAAGCGGGGAACTTCCGTCGTTAGCTTAGACTACCGAAAGTAGCCCCAGAACCATTGGGTTCGTATTAGCCTTTCATAGAATGACACTTTGCATCGTAAAAATTGCGGCGCGATGTATTCGCGTTCTTATCCGATAAACAATAACGTGACTTTAATACCGATCTAGGTTATACAATTTGTTGAGTCAGGAATGGGCTCGAAATTTCTAACGAATCAGTCTTTTGATATTTCAAAGTCTTATCGTGACTCAAATTGCCTGACACCTTTGATATTCATTTTGTCACCCGGATCCGACCCAATGGACGCACTGATCAACTTTGCGGGAAATATGGATATGAGTGAAAAATTCGATGCGATATCCCTTGGACAAGGTCAAGGACCAATTGCCCGAAAGTTAATTGAAAGAGCCCAAAATGAAGGTAGTTGGGTGTGTCTTCAGAATTGTCATCTTGCCGTGTCTTGGATGCCAGTCTTGGAACGTATCTGCGAAAACTTCGACACCACGAATACATCCATTAACTTCCGTCTTTGGTTAACCAGCTATCCATCGGAAAAGTTTCCCATCGCGATATTACAACACAGTGTGAAAATGACCAACGACCCCCCAACTGGTCTCCAACAAAATTTAACGAGGTAGGAACTGTTAAGATAGGTCCCCGGGAGATCCGAGAGGGATGTCCTTTTTGTGATCGAGCCTGGATCATGAATCAACGATGGCTCAACTTGTATGTCACCCTAACGCGTACTTAAAAAGAGTCTAAGATATCGAGGCCCGCGACGATAACGGCTACTCGCAAAAGACTTTCGGCGTATTTCTTCTTTTACTTCTTTCTTTAGACTCTATCGTTCGGAGCCAGTGAATAATCCCGAATTCTTCGAAGGATGTCCCGGAAAGGAGAAGTCATTTACGAGACTACTGTACAGCCTTTGCTTCTTTCATGCCGTGATCCTGGAGAGACGAGATTACGGTTCTCAAGGATGGAACATCAAATACGGTCGGTACCGTAACCGCAAAACGATGTATATGGTATAGCCGAGAAATGGAGCGGTCGAAAGACTGTATCAATTTTCAAGCATTCTGACACGACTCGGTAATGTTTCAGGTTTCAATGAATCGGACTTCCATATATCGGTACAACAATTGCAGCTCTTTATAAACGAATACGACCAAGTACCATTCAAAGCCATAACATACCTCACGGGAGAGTGTAATTATGGGGGTAGAGTTACCGACGACAGAGACAGAAGATGTTTGAATACACTTTTAGCAGATTTTTACAATCCAAATGTTATCGAACATCCAACCTATTCGTTTGCGGAAATGGGCAGCGAGTACACGGTACCGAAAAGGTGACTAAAAACGGATTCAACGGACCTCTCTTCGCTGCTACTTCAATCGATGCGCTCTTCCCGTATACAGGACAGAGTATCGGGATTACGTCAAGCAAATCGAAGCAATTCCATTAACTACGCCTCCCGAAGTTCTCGGACTTCATATGAATGCGGGGATTGCCCGCGATCTTAACGCTTCGAAAAGTTTTTTCGACTCGATGTTAAAGATTCAAGGAAGCGTCACAGGAGGTGAACCGTCCAAACAAGATGAATTACTCCTTACGATGAAATCCGATATATACGAAAGATTGCCCGACTTGTTTGATATCGAGGAAGCGCAAAACGTGTATCCAGCGACATACGTGGAATCGATGAATACAGTCTTGACTCAGGAAATGGAACGTTTCAACGTTCTTCTCGCGGAAATACGAAGTTCGCTAAGCATGTTGGAACGAGCCATTAATGGTTCGATAGTTATGACGCCCGAGTTAGAGGTACGTCCAATATTTACATAGAAACTATGGATAACGTTATTTTTTCCGGATCTGAAACAATGAAGGGTTTTCCCTCGATTTCGGTAAAGGCAAAAATTATGTAAAAAAAGAAGGAAAGAAATGGCATTAACGTTTCTTTCTTTCTTTAATGACGCTTAGATTCGCAACGGTTGTCGTTGAGATTCTTAAAGCGTCGCTACTTTTGACCGATTTCAATGGGTTTTCGTCAAACGTTACGTCGTGTTTAAATATCTGGGAAATTTCTTTTAAGGTGCTTGCCTCGCACATGATCAATGGGAAGATTCCGCCTTCGTGGGTTAAGGCAAGTGCATACCCAAGTTTGAAGCCACTGTTGAGTTTCGTAAGTGACTTTCTTCAGAGATTAGCCTTTCTGAAAAAGTGGCTACTGGAAGGAAAACCGAATGCCTTTTGGATATCTGGATTCTCGTTCGTACACTCATTTCTGACGGCGACGACTCAGAACTACGCCCGAAAATATAAAATACCGATAGACATGCTTGACTTCGATTTTAAGGTGTACATCTTTTACATATACCGTATTCGTTTAAATGGTTACATTCAAAAATTCAAGACGAAACGTAAAGCTAAGGGAGTCGGACGTACCTACGGATGGTTTTCCAATAAATTCATTTTACATGGGGGGTATGACGGTTCGCTCGCACGTAGATGTTGAAAACCGTTCGTCTTTGTTATATGAATTGATTCGATTGAAAGATAATTCTTGCCTGTTATTTTCATTTTTTATCATGATCGATGACGATAACGATGTTAACTATTTGACAAAAGTCAAATATCGCGCTATGTAATATAAATTACGTAATGACATTTCAGATCATGCCAATGTATCGAGCCAATGAAGCTCCAGACGATGGCGCATACGTATACGGTGTATATTTAACGGGGGCAAAATGGAATATGCAAAAGATGCTGCTCGCAGAGAGCGATCCGAAAGTTCTTTGGGATCTCATGCCCATAGTGTGGATACTGCCTCGAAAATCGACATCGATAGTTTTGGGAAATCGATACGAATGCCCCGTATACATAACTTCGGAGCGATATGGAACGTTAAAGACAACCGGTCACTCTACAAATTATGTTCTTTGTTTTTTCCTTGATACAGATATGACCGTAAGTCATTGGATAAAAAGGGGTCTCGCCTTGCTTTGCCAACTGGATGACTAAATTAACAATTATATGTTTGCGATTACATTTCTTAAAGCATTCTCTTTTTCTACTCGTGCAACTCATTAATATTTATAATTATTGCACGCTAAGTGTTCCTTTATTACTTCCTAAGTTAACGCATTCTAAACGTGCGGCACAAGGTAACGGATCCCGAATTTCGAAGTCCGTTTCCGAATCGACGTGACCTTTTTTGCAAACCGGACTCGAACTCTAGCGCCGCCAGTCTAGTTATTTCCGCGCATACTCCGATTAATGCCGATTCCGACAACACCGTGCAGGTGCGAAATGATTTTTCCATGGACATAGAAAATTCCCTTCGCTCATTGGTTACCGTCCGAAGTAAGCTTAAGAGACCAGGGTAAATATGGAACGGTTTCGATTCCCTGCCGCTAGGTGACAGTAGCCGGGGATCCCGGGGATGGCTGCTAGATGCTCTCTACTGAACGCGATGCAAGTTTAACAAGGTTAACATGGCCTGACATGGCCGATGTTTTGTTTGTCCGTGAAAATGGGAAACGTTCCTGGATTGACGTTGGGAGATTTGTAATATAACCGAGTAAATAACGTCTGACAATCACGTGGTAAGATGAATGCGACTAGTCTTTACGTGTCGACGTGTCGACTCGTGCTCCAAGCGGACGCGGAAGATTCAAACTCGTGGACCGACTTGTACAGGCTAGTTCCGTACCTCAGGCAGAGTTTGAGCTGCACCGTGTGTTCGAATCTGCTGATCGAGCCGCATACGCCGACAGAGACGAGCTGTCAGCACCACGTGTGTCGCGGCTGCCGTGGCGGCCGAAAAAAACTCAAACCGTCCTGTGGTTGGTGCAAGGATTACGAGAAGTACGTTGAAAACGTACAGCTCAGGATACTCCTGCAGTGTTACAAAAAACTCTGCGAATACTTGACGAGCACTGCTATCTACAGGAGTCTAATGCTTTCCGCCTCTTCCGATACGGCGAGCACCGGTGGTACGCCTATGGGAGCGAACGGTCTAGTCGAACTCGTACAGGAAGGTGCGGGATTTAAAGATGAGTACAAGAGCACCGCTGGACTTTCCAAGTCCGCGTATAGTATATTACCTTGCGTGTATACCAGCACCACTGCCACGCAGACGCAAAGCAACTCCGCGCAGCCTGCCGATGTTGTTTCTCAGACGATATCTGGTATGATTAATATAACGCTTTTATACTTTATGGAAAGTACCTTGAAATTAGGAATGCGACCAGTCGAATATTTCAACTCGAGGTACTTCCGTTTAAACGTTAGAAAACTTAAAGCCACGTTTAATCTTTACCTTTTCGATATAATAGCGCGCATAGGACGATCACGCCGCGTAGTTCTCGGATTGTTTAAAAAATTGTGATTTAAATCCGTTCCGCTGTGCCATCGATAAATGAAAAAGTTCATTTTTTCACATATTTTGACCGGAGAGTTCTCTTAACCGGATGTTTTAGTTCCGTTGAAATATTACATACGTAAGGTAAATGGCATCTAATTTACCATTTTTTTATTTAATAGATTCTTCGGCAATTAGAACGGTATCGAACGGATCGTCGATATACTCCGTAATGTATGCAGGTAGTGGTAACAAAATAACGATAAAACGAAAAGCAGCAGCGAAAGAGGATACGGAGACGCAACATCAGGATGTGGATGAAATATCGCAGTGTTCGATAGGAGGGGTAAAATGTATTCCAACTTCGCATCTGACGTACGACCCTTCTCCGCAGAAAAAGTCATCAAAAGGCAACAAAGTAATTCCTAGTAATATTCAGTTATTCATAATATATTTGGGATTCATGTATGGTTTATTATGTCGTTGAATCGTTTCGATTAACTTATATATTTTATGTACTTATAAACAGCGGCCATGTGATATTTTCTTAGCCTCGGGATGAGCCTAAATGAGGACATAGAGCCTAAAACGGTTGACACGTTTGTCTTAGAATCAGAGGAATCCTAAGTTTGCCCCCAGATTTCTATTAAAAACTATTTTATTGACAAGGGGATTAAACTTGCGTCGTACAGGATATCCTTTATGCGCCTTGTCACTGTTTATTTAAAGGCGAATGTTCTTTACCCGATGCATATATATCTGTGATACTTTGCGTAAAAAAAAGGATTCGTTTGAAAATAGATATTTCGATATGCCGCGATATCGTTTCATTTATAACTGTTTGAATATCGGAACAAAAGGATTTCACTTATCGGTGTAAGCATTTATTCATCGTCCTGTATGAAATTTGGATTATAGGACGTAGCGTTCTTCATGTCTTATTTTCTACCATAGTTTCTATTAACGTTCGATGTTATACTTCTTTAAGAAAAGAAGAGAAGAGTTATTTAAAAAGAAAAGAAAAACATTCGAGGGGTCCGTCCATCCCGTGGACAGAACCGCAGGGTAAGATCGCACGTAGAATTACGTGGTATTTCCGTCTCGCTCTTATACGCTCGTGTCCGATTTTTGTCACATTTGTGTACTACATTGTCTACCACGACGGGGAGGAAGGTCCCCGATGATTTTGAGTTTTAAAGATTCACGGAAACTCTGATTTATCGGCTGTTTGGACTACGATTCTCGCTGACGAGGCCCACAAGCCGTACGGGAGGGACAAATTTCATATTTGATGAGAGCGATATTTGGGTCGGCCTGAGTTTCTTAAGGTGACGCGAAAGTGGCGTCAAAGAGATCTCGTTTATGCAACTTATCTCCGAACTGGGGATATCGAATCGTTTTAAACCTTACAATGTGAATATAGAAGGCTATAAGGAAGGTCCCGTCGCTCATGAAATTTCAATTTGAAGATAATCGCTTAATAGCTATTTTGAAACGCGCCCTGTGCGCTCGGGCTCGGGCGAGATGCTACAGAGTTCTAGGCCCGTTCTGGGATCGAGATTTCAGGAGTGGGGGAAATAGAAATACAATTTCCCCACTCCTATAGTAAAAGAAATAAACGTCCGATGAGGTAAAAAAATGAGGAATCGTTTGTAATTTACCCGGCTTCGATCGCTGGCAAGATGCACTCGTATCGGTATCATCTTACATGGGAACATTTCCAAGTGTCCGATCTCGAACTTATTCAAAATGAAAAAGAACTCGGTAGACTTTCAAGCCAAATACATTTAACCGAGGAACTCGCAGGGTCCAGTCATTCGTGTCATCATTCGAGGAACCTTTCGTTGCATTCGCACAAACGGACGACAACGCCATACCAAAGTCAAACGAGTTTTTCAGGCTTTGCTTTTAAGAGGCTCGTGTCGTTGCCGGAGTCGATGAAAAATTTGCCTTTCTCTCTTTTTAGTTCCCTGAGCCGGAGATTTACTGTTGCAGGTTTAATCGCTGTATCGCTACCGAGACGGATGAGACACGCTTTCTGCTTCCTGGAACCCGAAATGGTGCTTGTTCGAGTTTGTGCCCAGTGCCGCGCCGTTGTTCCGAACAACGTAAGAGCTTAAATCCTCCATTCGCGCCGAATCTTTCTTCCGAGCATCGTAAAGGGCCCAACTGATTCGTTATCTCGCAATGAGAGGTCACATCGGCAGGATCGAGGATTTTAATGAGTTTAGGCGGGTTAATCCAGGGCCAAAATAAGTCAGGTGTCCGAGCGTTTGTTCGAGTGGTTCTTACTTTTCTAGTTGTCCAACATGAAACGTGTTTTAGTCGTAGACGTCGAAGCGCGTCGAGGCTAAATCGGATAGAATTGATATTGGCACCTTTCGAAGACGCGAGCTTCCTGCATTATTTTAACTTACCAAAAGCATAATGCATACGGATAAAATTGAAATCGACGATAAACGAGTAAATGAATTTTTTGACGAATCGCTAAAATAAAGTAGGCGCCCTTGACTTCGTCAGATTATTACGGCCTCGTCAACTTGCGCGAAAGAAGATTCCGTTTGATCGGTGGCTCGTGCTTACACCACTTTGTATGAATAAATTCTTTAGCGCTTTTCGTTACGTTACGTTACGTTACGAGCTCCCCGCTGCTCTTGCGAAACGCTATTAACTGTTCCAGTCATTTATTTATTTTCAAGGTTACGCGAAAGGCGTCGAGAGATTTAATCGACGTTGATAAAATAACATTCGCGTGTACCTTGTTCGGGGGTAACGTCATTTTAGATAATCAAGTGATAACGTGAGATTGCACTCCAGGTAACCAACATTTATATTTACGTTAACGTTTGTTACCCTATATTAAGATGAAGTAAACCCACTTCGAATAAGACCCTGTTTTTAAGGGTATTGGAACGAACAATGTGAAACTTTGACACACGACTCGTGAGAACTTATGAGTTAGCCCGATTTTATCTCTAAAATTTCAATTTCCGTAAGAAAACATTTTCTCTTAGCCTAAACCAGAATCAAAATGGCATCGAACTCTCATATTTCGATCGATATCCCATTATCGAAGACTCCGATACGAGGAACGACAGTGTCAGGACAATTATACAATTTAGAACGCTCCAGTAATCGAGAAACTCGCATTTAACTGGGCAAGGCATTTAAGGCAAAAAAGTGTTTAACGCAAAAGATGCATTTTTATGAAAAATGTATTTTTTCTTTTTAGTTTCTGGAACGGTCACGGTATCTCCATAATCGTATGTTAAAATTTCAGACAAATCGATTCGACTTACTTTAAAAAAGGTGGAAAAATCACCTTTCGCATCTCGATACGTTCGATACCTGCAGTATTTGTAATCGCGATAACTTGAAAAATAAGGCCTATTCGAAGGAATGCTCGAACACGTGTTTTCTTCTCTTGGCCCTACCCTGAGAGAAACGTCTAGTTAAATCGACTACTTTTTAACTAGTTTTAATGGTTCAAAAAGGACTGAAATATTGATTACGGTAAAATTAACTTTCTTTTTTCCGAACTAATAAATCTAGGAACGGTTACTATATTTTTTACCCGTTGGGAGGAGTAAAATAGACCGTTCTACGTTCACTATACTTTTCTAGGAAGAATAACAAAACTGTTTACTATTTATATTCGGTAAAATTTCACCTTATTACTACAAAAATCGTACAAAGGTCAAGAGGATGGTCAACTATTAAGAAATAGTTGCAGCTCCCAATTTATAGCAAATCAAAGAACAAATTGCGTTCCTCTAACGGAAATGGCTTTAATCTCTCTTTTTCTCTCAGAGTAGGTGAACTCGTATACAACTCCTACTTTCGACTACAATGAAATAATCTCGACCCGACTGATGTGACTTTTCCTTGTCAGCGTTATTCAGGTAATCGCAGCTATCGATCGTTGTCACGACAGAATTCGTTATGCCTCCTTTCCGTTTTGCGAATAGTATTCGTATCCGCTCGTAGGGCTCGTTACAATTACGAGGTCCCACGTGTCCCGGAGGAGAGACTTTCCGTCGGTCCTAGCATCGACGGATTCGAGTCCGTCCCTGTTTCCGTTCCTCGGCTGTATTCACTCCGGCTTGACTCCAGACCTCGAAGATTTCCAAAAGGACTTTCGACCCTTCCGCTGCTGATTCGGAAAGGGATACGTATTTCCATTCGATGTCTCGGAAATCCAAATTCGGAAGCGGAACGGTGTCAAAGGAATCGAATACTCGATCGCGTTTGATAACGATTTCATATCTGGCGTCGAGTTTTGCCCCGAATATTAGGTCGAGAAATAACTTACCGTCGTTTTAATGACCGTACGTTGCGGTTACTTATCCCTCCCCCTAATGGATTCGTCCAGGTTCCGACTAGACGAGACTCTGGAATACGTGTCCGGGATGCCCGAAGTTTATTTAGATTCGGATATCGTGGTTTTAGCTCATTCCGCGACGCGTTGTATATGCAGCGGATCGGATCCTTGGCCCTCGTTTGTGCACTTCACGTTCCGTAACCGTTCGCCCACCCCCCATTGAACAAACAGGATCCCACGATGTTATCTATGAAAGTGGCGTCAAGTAGGTCTCGTTTGTGAAACTTTTCTTCGAACTGGGTGTACCGAATTCCGTCAAACTTTACAGTGGAAATGTAGCGAGTATAAGGAAGGCGTTTCGACCCCCGTGCAATTTACTATTTTTTTTTTTCATTTCTTTATAGTTATTTGAAACATTTTTGAAAAAAAATTAAATTCCATAGGCGTCAGGACCTTTCTCGTAGCCACCATGTTCACCTTGTAAACCTTGAAACGATTCGATACGTCCCGTTCGGAGAAAAGTTTCATAAACGAGACCTCTTTGTCGCCACTTTCACATCCCCTCGAGTGTGAAAGAATCATCTACAAGATTTTTTTCTTTTTTTTTCTTTTTTTTTCCATTCGCGGTTTAAATTATTTCTAATGTACGCATTCATACGAATAATAATGCTAGATCAGTGATTTCCAAATATCTATCAATTATCGATGTTTGGTCCGTTAAGACACCTTATTGACTGTTCATAAAAAACAGCCCTATTTACTATTCGTGAAGTGGTTGCGATATAGTTGCGTCTGTTTCGCAAAGAGAGGACCAGGTGTGGTCGTCTCAGATTTTTCGCAAAAATGTCTTATTTTGCAGTCCTCGACGTACTAAGCTATTTGTTAAAGGGATAGCGCGCCTCCCAGCAATTTTCCAAAAATAATCGTTTAAATACTGGTATAACCTTGGAAGGACACGAGTTATCGCAACTCCAGAAGCGGCCGATAGCGATGGATTCATGGTTTTTGTTGCCCTAATTGACTGCAGCGCGCCACCCTGCGCCATCTGCGATTTCAGTGCCAACTAAATTTTCTCCGAGACCTCGCGTTTTCACCGTTTTAGCATAGAAGCGCATAAGACACATCAAAGTGTTCCAAATTGTTGTACAATTGTCCTGACACTTTCGTTTCTCATATTAGTGCCTTCAATAATTGGATATTGATCGAAATATGAGAGCACGACGCCATTTTGGTTCCGGTGTAAACCAACAAGGAGAGAACGAGGAGGGGTGGTCGTCTCAGATTTTCGCGATACCGTTACTTTGTAGTCCTCGATGTATAAAACTACTCGTTAAAGAGATAACGCGCATCTCTCAGGAATTCTCAAGAAATTATCGTTGAAATATTTGTATATACCTTATAAGGACATGGGTTAACGGCAACTCTCGAAGCGGCCGATGGCCTAGTGGACGACTTTGGCCGACCTGGATGGTACCTTGTATTTTTTTTTATGTCATTTTATTCTTATTTTTCATGAAATTGCATACCCACGTACACAGAAATGGGAATAATTACAAATTATTCGTAAACGATACGACTCCTTAAAGTTACGCGAAAGTGGCGTCAAAGAGGCTTCGTTTATGAAACTTTTATAAACTCCGAACTGGGTATACCGAATCGTTTCAAACGTTACAATGTGAATATGGGGGCTATAAGAAAGGTCCCGACATCCATGAAATTTCAATTTCTTTTTCATTTGTTTATAGATGTTTTTAAAGTTTTTTTTTTTTTACAAAAACGGAAATTTCATGATTATCGTGACTTCTCTTATAGCCTTCGGATTTATATGGTAAAGTTCCATGAACAATTGATTGCCCGGATGCCAATTTCACATCCCTTCAAATTAATGAAAGAAAATTAGATTTCTTCGAATTTCCATCGTGGTGTAACTCCGTAACGTTAAGATTTCAAAGGACGTGATAGAAAAACTCCTTGGTACTAATACATTTGCTCATTTTATGTTTATAGTCCTCAGGAAGTTTTAAAAAACCCCGCTCGAATTCAACTAGGAGTAAGAGAAGAGGATGCAGATGCGGTAATGCCACGGCGGTTCCCGGAAAATTAACGTGCTGTGGACAAAGATGCCCTTGTTACGTTGAAAGCAAACCTTGCATCGAATGTCGATGCAGGGGATGTAGAAATCCCCACATGGCTGACGGTTTGAAGGTGAGATAAAAGATTTACGATACATTGTCTCAAGAGATCGTTAAGAAAAGTATTCCGGGTGGGTGTAAAAAAAAGAGTGTATCGTGTCCCGTCGTTGGCAGTCTTCCCAGTGTTTGTATATATAATGTCCGTTAATGGCTGATATTGAATATTTCAGATTCGCCCACGTATACCTGAACTTCACAATTTACAGCTACAATTGTCAACTCCTATAGACTGCGATGGTTTGAGTCCAGATCCGCTGGGCTCCGTCCAGCAGTGTTTGTCTACGTCTCCAACAACTATTCAAGTTTTAAACGTTTACTCCGCAACTGAGTTAGATATCGATAACGTTCCGCAAAATCTACCAGCTGCCCTACTAGTCGGTGAAGATAATATAAACAGTACGGAGAGCGAAGCCGAGGACAGCGATGTACAAATCGACGTGTGACGGTGCGAAGACGCCGATGTGCGTCAAGTTTTGTGAGATTATTAAGATAAGCTGTCCATGACTTGACATGAAGTCAGATGCATTCCGCTCGGATGTCGCGTCCACGAAAAACACGGTGCACCGGATCAGCGGTAGACCCGAAAGTCTCAACCCGTGGTATTCAATGTCGATCGAACGTTCGGTAGCACGTGGCGGCAAAGGAGACACATGGGGGCACTTGGGAGAATCCATTGCGAATCATTTCCGAATCATTTCCATGACCTTGTTGTACCCCATCTCGCGTAGGGTGTCCATAAAGAATGCAAGATTTCTCTCCGTTAGACTGGCGGCCAGGGTCGATCAAAATCGTCATTTCTTAAAAACGAGAGAGAGTTTCTTCGGAGAAGAGTTTCATAAACGATTGATCACTCTCGCGTCACCTTAAATATTGCAATAGTTAAGCCATATTTAATATATCTCCTGTTCCTTTGTTGACAATATTTTCTGATGCTTTTGCGGCGTGCGTGAGACATTTGATTATTTCAATATTTAAGGAGTTAAATATTGGATCAACTACCTCCTAAGATCCAATATTTTCATAAAAAAATTTACTTATGGACTGGAACCAACATGGCATGGTCCGTGCACGATTTTCATCTTTTACGCTTTTTGGAGGCTTAGAATCGAAAATGAAGAGTTTCAGGACCTGGTTAGAACAATTTAGAATACTATAAAAATGGAAGATTACAGAGCCGGATGAGAAAATATGGAAAATACATTCATTCGTGAATACAATATAGGTATACTAAATGATGATGTACTTATTAAATTTTCTTGCGCGCACTCTCCACCTTTTGCCTTGCGTTTCCGGTGCTCCGAGCCACACGTCCTGCACGGTGGGAGAAACTCCTGTTATCCTCTTCGCGGACCCGAGATCCTCGACGCTTCCTTCCTCACATACTTAGAGGTCTTGAGAGATTGGATCGTTACAGTGGCGCATCCCTGGCCTCGTTTAGAACAAGCAAAGACTATAAAAATGAATTATTAATTAGCAATGAATACCTACGTACAGGGTATCTCAAAATTCGTGGTAACCCGTGAACCGTCGTTTGTTCAATCATTAATTGAAAAAGTTGACCAATTCCACGATGCCGATGAGAAACACCGATCGTAGCCGAATCTGGCGCGTGAAAGTACGTATCGGTGCCGATGTCGCGTGGGGGTCGTTTGCCCGCGCACGGGCAAAGCCGGCGCTTTTTCCCGGATGCATTGGAAATGAACGACTGCCGCAAGGGGTATACTTGATTTCGGCGAAAGGGAGCTCGATTACTCACGTATGAAGCCGCGAGTAATCCCCGAAGTGACAAGCTTTTCAAATTGTCCGTGACCCTCGATGCATCGGGCATGTCGCGTATTCTCTGCAAATGAAAACAAATGCACCGATGCACGATTATATCTTTACGACGTATACGAAGCCAACCATACGTTAGATACGATACCTTCGAGACTTCGGCCTTGTCTCTTTCATTAAGAAATGGTAACAAAGCGGCTGCAAGGTGTTCCAATCGGCTGTGAAAGCAACATTCAACCATCTCCGTAAATTGTAATTTGCTAACCACAGGGCACGCATGCAAAAGAGTTATGGACTGCAAACAATGTTCGACTTGTTCGGAGGTTGGCCGAGCATCCGTTCTTCGAAATGGTTCCGCAATTACGGTCTGCCATCCAGATACGTATCCATGGCTGTTTACGATGTTGCTAAAGGGCACCAATTTCGGTAGGACGTATTTTAAATCTTTTATCTGAAGAGTAAAGAATAGTTCAGAAATAATTAATGTTCCTAAAGCTGCGCTATTACGAAGGGAGGTATCTGGATATCCTTCCTCAACTTTGGGACACATAAACGACACCGATCTCGTTTTTAGCATTAAGGTGATATGAAAGATTCAGCCAAAAATTTAGTCGGTCCATTACGGTATAAAACGGGATTTCGACAGTTTTACATCGATCTCTTTATCATTAAATTCTCAACGTAAAGTGTAACGGACTCAATCAAATTATATGATTTTCAAATAATGGGCTTGCCAGGTCGTAATTGGTTTCCGCTACGTACCATTATTAGATTCACCATTTCCGATAGAGTTTTATTCCACAAGGCATAATCGTAAATCTTGAAATCCAAACATAGCTGCATGATAAGGACCAGAGCTCGGGGTAGACGAGAATGCATTCTGAATAGCACGTGAACGAGATCACTTTTTGAAGAATTTTCGAAGCTGTTTATCGTGTACTCCAATCCCAAAGCTTCCAATTCGGTTAAATATTGAAGTATTTTCATCCGTTCCCTGGAAAATATATGTATTGAATTATTATCGGGAAAAGTAGGTAATAACGATAACAGAAACAACATCGATTTAATAAAATATATGTTTTGCAAATATATTACAGTGATGTCCTTAAGGGGCCTCGCTAATGTTGGCGAGAAAAAAATAAGGTGATTTTTTTTAATTCTTAATTCTTCATGTATGGGTTTTTAACGTTCAATAGATCCAATAGACATGATAAAACTTCCTATGATGCATAACAAAATTGCGTTTTTCCTTTTTGAATTCAAATTTTTTAATAAACATGCTTATGCTCGAATGCTTAAAATGACGTAACTGCCTCTACGTTTACGTGATAAAGTTTCAAATGATTTGGTGCACCCACTTTGGAGAAAAGTTTTATAAATAATTTGACATCACAGAGAGCATTTTTATATCACCTTCGATATTAACATGTTAAAATATGCAGAAAGAAACTGAACTCATACCTAACGTCCGTTACGTCGCGTTTTGTTAAGCGTTCCAAAGTATCGGAGTTTGTTATCAGCGCAAGTACTTGGAGAGCCCTGAAACGCATTCCAGGTCCATTATTGTTCTCTTCATCTTCGGCAAATCCTATATTTATCAAAACTTTCGCAAACTGTTCCGTTTCTTCTTCTATTCTGGTGTCCTGAAGAATATAACACGCTCTGCAAAAATAAATAAAGTTTAGTTTAGTGGATGTTGTACCGTAATTACATACACGCGAAAGATATATAAATATGTAGATATGTAAGGCGTGTAAAATAGTACGCCAGATAACCAATATTTCAGCAGAAGAGGAAAAAGATAAATATCATATATCGCTGTGCATGCACATTCTGAATGTCTTTCTTGTTCCGTTGCACTATTCGACAAAAAATCAAACAAATTGCAAGACTTTTTTTTTTTATGAACACGATACACATGAAAATGCGGCACCATTCATTTCGACAGGATCAGGTTTCTCGCAGACGAAGCGGACAGTTCGTTTGCATATAAAACCCGTTACTATTCTTTACGTTTAAATTACAATGATGCTACCTCAAGGTAGAAATATATGAGAATACTGACAGAAACGTAAGTACAACATACGTAGTCGCAAAAATCGATTTGTTATGTTGACGGTAAATTTCTAAATGGGCATTCACAACTGTGCACAACGTTAAAACAACTCGTTCTTTGTAGATACATTGACTAAATGGTGAATATGTTATTTTTACTCCGTTACGCTGGTTACTGCGATCTTCTAAGGTTGTCCCGTACATTGCCTTGCAATATGGTTACGATTATGACGATTGTGGTGTTCCTGACCTCTTTTTTTTTTCTCCGTGCACGCATGGTTGCATTTACTGTAGTAAACAAAACTAACGACGACGACGAAATAGTAAATTATTATCGTGGTATACCCCAATAATAAATTACTTTGACTATAACTTGTAATAACCAGAACTACAATATATATTGTGACTTTTACTATTTTTCTGCGTAGTCCTCTAATTTAACTATTTCATACGGTAAGAAAATAATAACCGTTACTATTTTCTTTTCCGAGTGTAGATGCTTACCTTAATAATTTATCATCAATGGCGGTACAGCAATCCTCGGCTGTAGGTTGCAACAGAAGAGTTTCCGTCATACTATCGTACATATTATTTTCATAAGCATCGGGACGTAACCATTCTTGCAACAGTTCGTACTTGATTGAAGTAAAATTGAGAGAAAATAATTTTGTAAGCTCGCGAGCTGCGGTGTTTATGTCGGGTCTTCGTTGTACGGGTTCCCGGCTTCGAAGTGGAATGCTTTCATCCGAATACAATTCTCGTATCATTTTCGGTGGATGGCCAACCAATTTTAAGTAGCGATCTTCACCGAGATTATTTTGGTGCAAGATGTGTTGTGCGGTATAACTCAAGTATTTATATTTTATTTTCTAAAACAAATAAAGCCACGTACAGAGCTGACGGTAAAAAAAAAAGCAAACGTTGAAAATATCGTAAATGAGAGGTCACCTGTAATTGGTCCAAAGTATGACCTTGCGAAACCCACTTATTAGCAAGTTCATAGCATTCTTGGATCGCGGCAACTTGATCAGCACCTGCAATTTCTCGATTCAATTACGGGTGGTCAATGACAAAGACTTCACGTGGAATTATCCCAGATAACGCACTATGTTACAATTACATAACATTGGAATAACATGATATATAACGAATGATATTCGAGAGATACATTAATATCATATAACATGAAATTATTAGGGTGCGGTTATCGTATTGTTGGGTTCATAAAATAAAAAATAGAGCAGTTTCTTCTAAACGAAATGATTCGTTCTACCGTTTGAACCCTTTGCGATTGGTGCCGCCACAGGGGGTTTTTGGCGGCGTTTTTGGCGGCGTTTTCAGTGTCGTAGAAGTCGGCGCCGCCATCCCACTAAATGTGCTCCGACTATCTGGTACTCCCATTAGAGAAATTTGCCGATCGCAAAGGGTTAAAAGGGTTTATTTCTAAAGCATTACATGGTAGGAAAAGAAATGGAAATTCAAATGTTTCGTTGCATGTAAGCGTTGTATGGAATACTTTTTCTTGCCTTGAGGAGTGTTATTTACGACGTGGTACAAAGCAGCGATTGCATAATATAACGCTTTTGGTCCTGTCATGTGTTGTATACATGTCTTTATGTCATTCAGCAAAGTGCAATTTTTTGTATGTAAAGACCACTCGGTAGCGTTTCGTTTTATTTCGGAATCATTCCACGCATGCTCCGTCGAGTTTTTAATGGACAGTGAACAAATAACATCTGTGGATAAACCAAGTACTTCTCCAATTGTTAACCACTTCCTGTATGTCTTTAGATTCAGTTCTTGAGCTGAAAGTAGAAAATCTGTTAGCAGATTATTACACGTTTCACTTCAGCTTAACCGTTTGAGTCCCAAGCAGCGCGATCGCGCTGTTTAGATTTGACGTGAAAAAAGCCAAGACAACTGACGGTGCTCTTAAAGGCTCTCCTCGATTAGAGGCCCTCGATTAAAACAGCGCCATTGCGTTGTTCGGCATTTTTCGATCCTGTTTTTTCAATAATCCCTGGGACTCACTCAAACGGTTAATACTAAAACACAAAGATGAAGACAAATAATAATTATCTGCAAAAAAAGTCTTTTAATTTCCGAATAGGGCCTTTTTCATAACATGTGAACTTATAAATACTACCATACCATGAAAAGATTCACTTGAAATAGATCACAGATTCCATATCTCACATTCACGCTATACCTACTGAAATAATATAATGGCAATTACTTATCAGTTTCCACTGGTCAATTTTCAGTAGATAAGGGAACCTCCACTCTGAAATTGATGGCAATAAACCATTTTCTGAGTTAAGTTGAGCCCATTCGTCGAGTTCCATTTGTGTGGGTTTTCTAAAACAATGTAGTAACACAGCTTATAGTAAATAGTCCTAGGGGTCAATTTACAACGGTATGATAATAGTACAGGCGATACTTTATGTAACAAAAACATGGGTTATGCATCTGTTTGCGCATACGCGGAGTACAAATATGAGCACAAAGTAGTTTAAGGACATACAACGCCATGTATCGAAATCATCCCCACCTTAGTGGTCCAAGATCTTCGGATTATTTCTGATCTAGGGTACGGAGCGCCTCCTCGATTAAATTTGCCAATTAAAAATTATCGTCTGGTAGCGGATGTACTAGTCTTACAGAATATTAACCCTTTGCGGAGGGGACTTTTTCTTTATAAAGGCTTTTAGGCTACTTTCCACAGACCCGCGTCCACAAAGGGTTAAATGACAATTGATCGTACTTAATTATAAATCGGAGCATGAATGAGAAGCAATATTTTCAAGCTCGCATGTAAATACATTAAATGCGTATAGAACAAATAGATACGAGCTATCCAATTAGTATATAGATCGGTACATAAAATATATCCTCTACTACTAGGGACATTAGGACATTTTTCTATTGTATGTAAAGAAGCATCGTATTTTACTCCTCTCACTTACCCAACTCGTGTATAGTTTTGAAGGAAACGAAGATAATTTATCATTTTCTGATCTGCTTCTTCGATTAGGTCGAATATAATGACAAATACTTCATAATGGTAGAAATTGACCTAAAATTATTGTTACTTTTAGAAAAAAAAATGTTCTAAACGCGTTTGGCCAAAGATTTAGTGGATCATAAATGTAATAACTGAAAATATAAAAACTTCATATTTAAGATGACAAAAGTGGCATCTGAAATTGGCTGAATTTGCAAAAGTTCGACTACTTTGAGAGTTGATTGAGTCGATAGAGGAAGCAATTTTCTGATTGGTTCTTTTCTAATATATTCATTTGAATACACCCTACGTTGATATGCACGAATATATATGTATTCTCCCTAGATGTACGTAATATTAAATGGAAATAGATTCCAAATCTATTTATAATAGAAAATTCAATATAGATTCCTGTTTTTATATAAGATATAAAATAGAAGGTGACATTTTACATTTTAAATGCCAATTTTGTAACTAATTCAATTACAATGGTTACCCAGCTCTGGGTCTCGTTTATGAAACTTTTCTCAAAATTGGGAGTACCGAATTGTCTGAAAATTGACCACGTGAAAATGGATTTCACTCAACCAACTAGAAATATATAAATTAAATAGAACTACATAATAAATTAGAAATTAAATTTCACAACAAAAGTTCATTTGGCGAGAATCCGAGATTCGCTCATTGTGTATGCCTATTGTTTTGATACTCTCGAAATAAAATTTTTTAACTATGGATATCTCGGATTGCCCTATGCACTGCATTTGAAGCTCTACCGAGTTTCTACCTTAAAATGATGAATAGTGAATGAAAATTTACTTGAGATGAAAGCATCGCCAGGTGGCGTTTCATTACGGTAGTATTCTCGATGCGGGCAGCTGTGCGTTTACATTTCTCCCGTAGTTCTTCCACTTCGGTCTGGTCAATTCTTAGTTCTGAAAGGATTTAAATGAAAGGTAAAAGTAAGTAAATGAAGAGGTTTGTAGACAGCTATAATTCGAAAGTATGATACATACGGATACATTGATGCGTCGATTGCAACGTAAACTTTTAGTCATTAAGGTGATATGAAAGAGTCAGCCTATACGTCAAATCGTTCGTGAAAGTATTTTCCGAATTAGTTTCAAATTTTACCACGTGAGTGTGGGGCCCTAAGGTAGGTCCTGATACCCATGAAATGTCACTTATTATAAAACATTTATTTATTTATCCTGGACTGGAACCAGCATAGCGTGGTACGTGCACGTTCTTGATGTTTTACGTTTTTCGAACGCTTAGAATTGAAAATGAAATCATTCACATTCTTTGGCATAACTTGATACGATGTAGCGGTCAAAATGAATATAAATGTCGACAACGATGCAAGATCAGCAGATGGCAAATCAGTTAGACGAATTGGCTTTTCTCGACAATTCAGTCTTTTGGCGCGTTTCATATCACCTTAGGAATACAACGTACTATATCGTCATACCTTACCTTTTCCATCTGCCGTATTTTCTAATTTAAAAGTAGGACTCCATTTTGTCAATAAAACGTGCAAGTAGAGGACAAGACATTCATTTAAATCAAACTGAAAATCCATACAGAACTGCTGAAGTAATTGAATGATTCCTTCTCTCTTCGAGTTCATTACCCGCTCTAAAATGTTCTGTTTGTTTTGTGTACTGCTGTTGATGACCTCTGTAATGAAACATTACAAACTATACGTGGTACATCATGTGTTAATCTTTTTGGGAAAGAAATGTAGATGAAGTGATATAAAAAAAAAAAACCCTGATAAATTGAATCGATGCCATGGACTTATAATAAGGTAACTTAGGGTAACAAGGCCCATGCTCATTTTTCACGATAGAATAAAAGTGTCGAGTCTATGGTTCTCTCTGTCAGTCGGTAGAAGAATCAAGAGTCCATTGTGGGTGCTGTCGGGGCGGTGGCGGAATCCATGGTAAACCGAGGTCAATGGAAAAATATTCCCGAGGGGAATTTATAAAATTTCATTGCAGCGTTCGAGCTTCTTTATCACAAAGTTTCGTGAAGTTCGGCTTTTTCTAACAGGTACATAGCGCCTTATATATTTCTCTACATGCAGTCATGTTAGTTTTAAAAATGATTACCTATAAATACACATTGCCCCGTACAGGTAATAAGGGTCGACATGGTGCAACATAACGCAACGAAAGATCTTTACCATTCCGAGATCATTACTATTTCTAATAAGGAAAGGTTCCCCCTCCGTCAGGTGTCTCCCTCCGACTTCATTCCTTTTGAAATATGTTACAGTACACCAAATAACTAAACGACACGTGTTTTTTTTTTAATCCGCGGAAAAACACTTCTAACGGCTGAAATAGGCCTTTGAAGAAGGGGTTGCAAAGGGTCGGTTTCATGGTTTCATATTGTGACGATTCTCAATTTAGTACGACACAGTTGTGAATACAAATGTAGACGTTGGTAACGAAGATAGTGATAAGAATTCCTTTTTTTGCCGACGGTTAAATTTCTCGAGAGGTTTCATTTCACTTTAAGGACATTATATGAAGTAACGGTTACCTTTGTATGAAATTTCATCACAATCGGAAAGTCTTTTGGCCCAAATGTGTAACACGCTATAATGATGGAATAACCCTTCCTGTATCTTGTTATTAATTAAACGGAAGTATACATATCCCAATACCGATACATTGCGATGTCGCCCGCAATCGTTTCGGAACCTAAAAAGTGAAGGCATTAATACCAAAACACAAAGATGAACGTATACACCGATTGATGTAAAAAAAAGCGTTGCACTTTTCGAAATGAGTCCCTTTCAAAGCATGGAAATGTACGTATGCTACCGTGCCATGAGAAATTTTACGTCAAAGAAGGATATGCGGTAATAAGAAAATGTTCGGTTGCATTACATTTGAAACGAATCGGTACATCCATTTCTGAGAATACTTTTACGAACGATTTGACCTCTCAATATATGTGTATAGGCTGACCCTTTCGGATCACCTTAAATAGATTAAATAGATTACATTTATTTTACTTACACTTTGTTCGCATCTAACAGCCATTTTGTGGCATCTTGCTCGGGCAACATAAAAAGACAAGCCGTACCTAATTTTATGTCAAATGATCGAGCACAAATTATTTTCCGAAGTAACGTTATAATGGAACGCTCGAGGTTAGATTCCATTTCAACGAGCGTATCTGACAATGCCGATGAATGGCAAATATTGAAATATAAGCTTTTGATAATATTTAATACGGCATTGTCACATTGTTCGGTTTGAAGTTTCCGTGCAATCTTGAATTGCTCGTCACGGAAGCGATCTATGTTATCCTGAAAGAAATAAAATAGAAATAACCACCATACCGGACAATACGGTTTCAGATATATTTATACCAAACATACAGACCTGAGTCATAGCCATTCGACCAACTAGTGCTTGATTACCTGTTAAAAAATAATTTATTTTAAATTGTTCTTCATTTTATTAGTATGCTAGCATTGCCAGGCATTCTCGTCATATACAGAAAGTCCTGAATTTAACATTTCTGAAGTCAACATTTCCGGAACGCGTAGGAGACTAATGAAATAAGAGAAAACTGCAGGGATTTGATCGTTTTCGCTTCATTTCCAAGACGACTACGAAAAAAATGGTAAAATCAAAACGCGAATCGGACGTTGACAAAGCGTAGCCCCTAAAATACTAAAGTAGCTAAACTTCATATTTGTTATTCATACCGGCATGAAATATGAAAAATAACAAGGAGCTTTTGAAGTAATGACGCAATGCATCGTTATTTGGAATTCCTGCGTCAGAATATGTGTTACAAAATATCTTATTCATTCCCAAAGAGGGTAACGTTCCATCCCATTCCCATTCGCTACATTCCCTGGCGAAAAATATCTCCGTATAGACATTTATCCAGGATGCCAGGGATGAAATTTCGTTTAAAAATCCTGAAACATAATCAACGGAAGATTAACTCTTAAAGTAAACATTAATTCAATTATCATATCAAATGCGTTTTTTTTCTTTTATTACTGATGTGTTCTGAATTGCTGTGAGACTGTCCTGACACTTTCAGTTCTTATATCGGAGCATTCAAAAATCGTAGAATAATCGAAATATGGGCGAAATATGCACGACGCCATTTCAGTTCTGATCTAGGTTAAGTATGAAACAACTGTTTTTACCTATTTAAATTTTGAGAGTATCAGGCCATTCCTTGGATGGTCAAAATTTGTGTTGTGAAATTTCGGTGAGTTCGGTGGGATACCCTTAAAAAAGTGGCTTATTTGAATCGACTGGTTTGAGGCATGCGGGAAAACAACGTGTCTTTTAACTGCAGATAGTATAAGAGGTATCAAATTAATTTACTGGAAGAAAATAATTCTCATTTCTACTCAAATAGTTACGAGAAATATGAACACACAAGAAATATCAAAACATTTACGGGCAAAGTGACAACCGTATTGTTTTAGTGGAAGCTTTCCTACGATATACACGATATACACGATATACACCATTCTACGCATAAATTATGTCTCTTCTGCCTTATATAACTTAAAGTGTCTAGTGACGCTGGGGTGCCTTCAATTCGTACAAGTCTTTTCCATGTACAAGAAATACGTAGGTATCAGCTATTCAGTTAGTATATAGATCGGTGAGTATTTCGTATCGCTTTAACAATTGCACTTACCATCGGGACAACTGATTATCGCAGAAGTAAACAAAAGCCTCAGTATCCTGGATAAATCGCGATATGCATCGGGATTATCAGGACTTTCCACACAATGATGAGAAAAAAAGGCCATAGCACATAATTGATTCAAATAGAGGCAGTCATTTCGTGAGACAATGTGACTTCCAATCAAGGGGCTAAAAAAGAATAGTTATATTAAGGTGATATTAAAGGGTCAGCCTGTATGTATATTGAAAAGTCCAATGGTTCGTCAAAGTATTCTCCGAATTGGGGGTACCGATTCCATTCGAATTTTACCACGTGAATATGGAGGCCCTAAAGTAGGTCCTGAAACTCATGAAATTTCAGTTTTTATAGAAAAAATTGTTTATTTATCATGGACTAGACCAATCAACCGACAATGCGTTCCACGTGGATTTCATTTACGCGAATAAAAATCGTGTAAATTGAATCCATCGGTATAAAAGGAAAAATATTGGAAATAAAAGCTAGTAAAAGTTTTAGAAATACATGTGTACATATTTATTTCACATAACTTAACAAAAAAAAAAAAAGAAAAAATAAGTAAGACATTTCAGAAAACAGAAGTATGTAAGTTTTATTCGATGTCACTATCGCTACTATAATTCAAAACAATAAGCCTTTTCTATTTAATTGGCATAAACTCATCATCATAAGTTACTTACAAGCTGACACATTGCAGAATCTCAGGACTTCTGTATTCTTCGAAAAACATGCTAGCAGCAAGAAATCTTGATATTCTTAGGACATCTGCCAGCCTGTCTAGCGTCTTACAGAAATCGGACATTTCGGAGTCACGGCCGACTGAAAGTAAAAAAAAAATACGCTTTTTTTTCATTTAGATCATGCGAATCTGATTCTCTCCAGACGACGCATTCTTTTACATTTGTGACACGCTCTGTAATGCCGACCTAGTATGGAGCATCTTTTGCTTTCTTTTCTTGATTGTAACTCCGAAAATATATGTTCAAGTCCGACCCTTAAATATACGTATATGAAAATACTCGGGACGACGCTCCCTGCGATATATCAAAGTTATACGAAAATCGGAGAGAATCACCCTTTTATGCTTAATTCTCCTAGACAATACTAATGCTGGGGGCATCGTAAATTCTAAAGCTCATAACTCAGGCTCAATACTCAGCAGAGATAGTGAAATAATGAAAAGAAAAAAGATGCCGATATTTTAGCAGAAGATGCCCAGTATGGAGGAAGAACCCATAAGTTCAAGGCCAATAAAAAAAAGTTGTAGACTATCGTAAAAAAAAAATACGCATCAAATGGTCGCGGCTGAACCGTCGTAAACAGCTTTGTAAAAGATAAACAGTCTTACCAAAATTACATGTTCGTCGTACCCAAGTCGATAGTATTTTTTCTTTTCCTTCTGTATAATATTTCTCCGGAGTAGTGGTTATGGAAAACCTCTCCCGCAAGCAATAAATTGTCTTTATATCGGTCACTATAATTTCGTCATGGAAATTTGTTGGCGACGGAATCGTAGCTAACTTTGTTTGAATTGAACCTAGTGCCTCCATGTAATGAATAACAGATGCGTCAAAATTCTGCAGAAAATGATAACAATGTAAATCGATATGACGACTTCCACGAGTGACGGCGATATAAACTGTGGAAGATACTTGTACCTTAAAGGACAGTCGGGACAATAAATTATATATGATCTGGGTGCAGCAATACACGGCTGCTTCATCCTCAAAGCTATTTATTAGATTTACTGCTGCGGTCACATCGCTGAAAAATGAAATTTAAATGATACAAAGGAAAAGAGAGAGAGAGTGACGGGGGGGGGGGGGGGGCAAAGAGGGCGAGAGTTTTTAACGTAAAGTAACGTAAGTAGTACGACGGGACAATATTCCTCAACCTAATATATGCCGACTGGATAGCTGATACCCATTTGTTCGATACGGGGAAGGCTTCGATGAATTCGAGGCACCCCCAGCCATGGGCAGCGATACTAAATAAGTAACGAGGGCGCATGTGCACAAGTTTTGAATAAATAATCAACTCAATTGTAGTATTTTCAACTTACCCTATATTTAGAATATGACTAACATGTGACGATAATGCTTGCATCCTCAGAATACGATCAGTCCTTGTAATTTCGCGAATATCACTGATCACTTCTGCGCGGTTTTGTTTAATAATATAGTTAATCAATCTCTGTAAAAAAGAAAAACAGATAGGCAATAAACGCGGTGATAACTTCCACAGTTATAGATATATACAATTTTTCAGTAGTTATTCGGTAGTTGTAGTTTTCCACTGTAATTAATAAAATTAAAATCACTAATAATGAATCGCACATCACAGTGGTAGGTTTTTTGTATAATAATTATTCACGTCTAGGCGTGCAAAAATTTTGTTATAAAAACGAACAGGAATGACGTGGAAAAGCAATAGATATTACCATGTAGTAGGTGTAAATTGTTATACTAACTTCTTTCAAGTTTAAACCGATGCGCTCATAACCATATTTCTTCAGAATCAGCTTCGTAGAAACGTAAGTAGATTCGGCTCTTATTTGTATTACCAATTCATGATCAAAGGAATAACTTCTTTCAGCTAAAGAGGACATCGTGGAACTCCACGGAACTGGTGCTTTTTGCAATGCACTTAATGTTTGTTGCAACTGACTCTGCAAAGCAATGTTAATTCATTCGCGTAAATAAGTAAAAGGAAAAGAAACAGGAGAAGAATGTGAAATGTGTCCAGGAAAGGGATTTGACAGTCACTTGGCTAAAATGATTCACCGAAAGTGAAGAGAAACCCGTCGAGAAATTTAATCGACGTCGATGGATTATTTTTAAGACAAATTTTTTATGAATTTATTTAGCTTTGCTGCAAAAGAAATATCCTAACGGAGTTTTATTTATATCCTTGCTTGAAATTGTGAAATAAAGCAATTGAAAATATTCTTTATAATACTTTTTGTTTAATCTTAGAAAGAAAAGGAAATAGAATTGCAAACGCAAAAAATATCACGCACGATAAATGTGAAGAATAAAACAAAGACGGCAGATTAACGTTGTCAACTTGTCTGGCTATTGAACGGTTATATTACTCATCTCTCGGTATTTTAAGTTAAGTGAATAAAATATTATGATGCAAAAGTCACGCTAGACTCTGTACCTGAATATTCTGGATTAAAGGAATCATTACTGCTACTCTTTTTTCCCACGGCGCCTCTTCCCAAAACCACCAATTTCTCGTATTGCTTAACACTCTCTGTAAAGGCAATGGCAGGCATAAAATAGCAATAAGACGAAAGGAGCGAACAAAACTGAGAGATAAAACGTAAGACAAAACAGCTTTACAATGTGTAAAAATGATGGATATGCGAAGACTGGAAATTTGTGATTTTTTCTAACGGTTTACGCGATTCCAGGAGAACGATTAGTCCGAAGTAGAAAGCTAATGTGATTTTAGGAAGAAGAAAAAATTGCCGAACCAATGGCACGGATTTTTTTACGAGAAAGAAATTCAATTCTAAGGAAAAAAAGAAGCTAATAACTTTTTCGTTGCTTTTTGTACTTTACTCATTGACACACTTTGAACATGAACGATAAAATAGCTAAAATAACTAATACTCGGCTCAGCGATGTTCATATTTTTCTACAAGTAATAGTGTCGGTAAATATAAATTTAGAGGATCCACCTCCGATGACCCTGACCTTGACATATATTGGGGTATCGGAAAAGACATGACGCATTTTTTCTATGCCATCTGTTACGAAAATCCGTCACGCCATTCGTCTTCTCCGACATATATTGTCAAGATCGCCCTTCGCCTTTAGGCGGCCGGCTACCAGCTACTTCTAGCAATACACGAGTCTTTGGATGTATATTCAATAACGAGAACAAACAACCAGCGACGGCTAAAACCTTCTGAACGTCACTCAGGAGGGTGACATATGTCAAGGTTATCGGAGGTGGGTCTCCTAATCGGAACATTTATCATAGTGTCAATTAAACTCACTCACCTGTACATATGAACAAAATACGTAATCATTCTGTAACGAATGATTGAGCATGTATTGCTTTAGGAATGTATCGGCAAGATGTGATATTTGTTCAGTGTGCACTTTGTCCAGCAAAAAGTGAACTACATCCAATGGCTCCCTCAAACACATATCTAATGATATCGTTATCCTGCTCGGACAATTTAATAATTACATTTGCGTTAAGTCAATACGTAAAGTGCACCATATTGAGAGGGTTAATAGGTCGTGAAATGCGTTTCAATCACTGTGAGTTTGTGAGCCAAGGTGAATTGAAATACATCGAGAAATTTGGTCAATGTTGGTGAAAAAGTGTCCTTTAAATATCTACGTTGCTGACGTCAGTATTTATAACAACAGCTGTGCCCATCTGCGAATCTGAATTTCCTTTTCACCGAAAATCCGTGCCATGAGTTTTTAAATAATCTTGTACAGTATATAAAACCATCTTAACTTTCTACTTCGGACGTACCATTCTCCTGGAATCGTATAAACCGTGAAAAAAATTAAAAAATAGAAATCTCCAGCCGCCATAAGTCCGTTTCCAAACATTTTGAAACATTTTTCAATTTCAATTCTCCTTAAAACATGAAATAAAATAGACCCGTAATCAAATACTTCCTATACCTTTGCATTTTCCTTTAAATGCACTTTAATTAAAACGTATTTCATAATCTACTAACCTTCTTAATTTGTTGTTAAATACCTGTAATTTGTTTTAAGGTATTGTATATCGTCTAAAGACTGAATTAAAGACGTCAAACGCTGAAAGGGCGAATTCTTTTTCGTGTACTCTTGTTGCCAGTGAATAAACGAACGGGACTCTTCGAATGTAAGCAAACGTAACACATCATTTGTGAACTGAAGTCCAATCTGAGGCCATGAAGTACAATGAGATTTTTCGAAAAGCTTTATTTTTTTGTACGCCCAAAGAATAATTTCCGATAGTGCCTGTGGGAACATTGACAATGCTGATGGTATAAAATGGTGGAGCCAGGTCTGTAGATGTACCGGAGAAACGGTGTTTGGTATGGCTTTTAAAATACTTTCTATACTGTTCACTGTCAATCCAGTCATTATCGTGGAAAAATGACGCATCCAAATTAATGCTGCAATTTCCAAATGGCCCTGTACATTTACGTGGTTTTAAAAAAATACGCAAGCACAGCCTGTTCAATAGTTAAAAAATTAAATTAAGCAAGAAGTTGATCATTTTTGGCTTCAAATCTAAAGTACTTACGACGGTTAAATATTTAATACATTCATTGAATAAATTAGCCTTTGAAAATGTTATCCATGCTTCGAGTTCTTCTTCATCATGGGGTGGAGCATTTGTTTTTATACTCTGAATTATTCTGAAGGTTTCAAGTGTCCGCAAAGTTTCGCTTATCCTAAACAAATAGTTTGAACATTCCTCGCTTTCGGATATCTGAAACCAAAGTATTTTATGACACACATCAAATAAGAGTTGCATTACTATTTTGTTAAAGACGTTCTACTGCCTATTTACTAGCAACCACGGTCTGTTACAAAAAGGTTTCTTGTACCGAGTACGAAATATATATATATATTCATTTTACGTACGAAATCCATTCGCTTATTAATTCTTCACATAGCTTTCAACCAAAAGTCCAATAAATAGGGTTCATTGTATACGAACATGCCTACGTAATCATTTTTCAAATTTTCATAAATAAAAATATCACATTGTCTACCAACGCACATCGTTTACAATGCTTTCTCAATACCATGACAAAAATTATACTCTTACAAATGTGTCATCGCGTATTATACGTACTTAAAAATATTTACAGTTGGTCACCGGTGACCGTCGTTGAAAATGTGCTAATGTATAATTATTAAAATTATTTTACCTGTAGATGATGCGTTAATCTGTCCCGTGCATATAACAGTAATTTTCTGGTTTGTTCGTAGTCGGAGCATAGTACATTATTACAACATTCAAAAATGAACGTAACGTCTACGATTTTGTCCAGTGTGCTAATAATGATGTCCAATTTATGTGACTCGTTATTGGTTGACCAAGGATTTAATTGATTCAAAAGAGATGTTGCCTTTAAGCGGTAAATTACATCCATATTCAAATTAAACTTCTTTGCAAACACTTCGGCTTCATCGTATTTTCCTCTTCTTATTAATCTACCTAATCGGTCCTCGGGCAAACTAGCACCTATTGTTTTAATCCTGATTGTTTCAACTTGTTGGGCATCGTTACATGTACCTTCTAGGAATATTATGTCGTCTGTAGAACACCCGATCAAGTTCACTAAATAGGTTTTCCGAGAAACTGGAACCTCAAACTTGCTTTCAAAATCTTAAAAAAAGAAGAAGACACGTTCGTAAGTTAAACAATATTTGCTGTAAGAATCGTTGAAGCATTTAAAATTAATTTTCATTACCTGGGAAAGAATATAAGCATAATTTTGACATGGCTAAATCTTCAGAAACTGTCAAAATAAGAAGTTGGAAAGAGTCGATAGTTTTATCTTGAATTGTAATGAAATCGTATACAGGCCCCCCCTTAAATATTCTTTTTACGAGCAATGTTATGGGACACACAACATGAAGGGAACCATCTGCATGTAAACATATCAGTGAACTGCAAACAAGTAATATTACAATGTATCGATTAAACAAAAATAAGTAAATGTTATATAGGGATGCGGTTTATCGATAATAGTAATTGTAGCGAATATGTATACAAGGTATTCTAATATTCCACAGATGTAGAGCTATAGAAAGGGATAATCATTTTGTGAACTTGTGTACGAAAATCAATACACTTATGTACTAAATTTATAATATGTTTATAAAATAAATAAATAAAATGTTATACAATAGTATAATCTTTTGTAATTCGATTCGATCGGAGACATTTCATTTTTTTATACAAAATGTTTGTAATTATTACAAACTGGAACTAACATGGCGTCGTCTTCGTACATTTTCGCTGTTTTACATTTTTTGAAGGCTTAGAATCGAAAATAAAGAGTTTCAGGACCTAACTCGAACAAGTTAGAATACCATAGAAATGGAATATTACAGAATCGGATGGAAGAATACGGAAAATACTTTCTTCAACAATTGCAAGAGATTGCTTATCCCGTCGGTAACACGTAATTTTAGAGCAAAAATTTAGTTGCAGCTAAACATCATAGATGGCGCCAGTTGGTCCATTAGAGTATAAAAAGTCATGAAGTCACGAGATTTCGACAGTTTTACATTGATTTCTTTATCATTACTTTACCGAAATGGCATATGGAATGGTTCATTTCGTATAATTCTCAACGTAGACTGTGAGAAAACTTCAACATAAATAGAAATGTCAGTAACGTAACGCGCCAGCTTATATTACTACTTGAGTACTCAAAATGGCATCACGACCAAAAAGGGTATAGATGAATTTTATTTTATCGACACTGATTCAATTTCTTGCCGTCTATCATATCACCTTAAGTCACTGTATATATTAAGAACCATTCAGAATTAATGTTATATCAATTACGAAAAAATTGTATATTTACCTATAACTTTCAAAAAATTGTATTTTAACGTAGTTGCAAAGGAACGAGTTCAATGTAACATATCTCTTACTGGACCACATTGTCATGCATTTTCCACCGATTATAAAAGAAACCTGTCCATGCAACGTTCCTACTGCAACGGAAATGACCTACACGGAAAACATTAAAAATTGTAATTAAAATGTTACATCATTGACATTGATTATGCTTTACTAAACATGTTAAATTTTCTTCAACTGAGAAAATTATTTTGTATATCATAAAATCTGTTAATAAATTCATTTTTGCACAATTGTTTATTAATTTGCCCCATTCTGCACAAAACTTGAGTAACCGGGCAAGTGTATGTACAAGTTAAACTTACTTAAAACAACTTCGAATATACAGATACATAACAAGATATTTTCACCTCTTCGTCTCTGCCTTCATTCAGTAGTTCAGAACACTGAATGTCTTTTACCATTTGCCGTGCCGCATCGCAGTTTTCATTGATAAAAGCAGTATGAATCTCTTGTGCATGAAAGTCAGATAAACTGCATTAAAAAGGAAAATTATTATATTCAATCAATGTAATTTTTTAACTGCTTACTAAAGTTATTGATAAGATTAGTTGCTTTAAAGACTAATTAATACAAGTACTGTAATTATTTATTGATCTTTAGAGACGAAATGGTTCTCATTCTGACATTAATCATAATAATAATCTAGCTATACTTAGAAAATTTATTGCAATACATTAGAATAATTTTTTCACTTTACACCGAAAAGATCTTTCAAGATCTAGAATACCTTGTAAAGAAATTTAATGTTATAACAAAATTTGATAACAAAATTATTGTAATTCACAATATTTTTTCTTTCAATACGTGCCTGCAAGATTTAGGTCTCTTTCTTACATATGTGCAATAATACGTTTTAATATATCACGTAATATTTTATTTTAATGGATAATCGATACATTAAGGAATATAATTTTCTACCCTTCTCTTAATCCGTTCAATGGCCAAACTTTTTGGCTTAATGTCCCATTGACTTTGAATCGGTCATATAAACACTGTGATATAATGTACAGGTACGTTCCACTACTAACACCAAAATTGAAGAAAATGATAAATTGTATTGAAATAACATGTCTAGAATACAACTATCGCGGAAGATAGCTGTTAATTGACATTCTGATAGTAGTCATTGCTAGGAAACTAACATAAAACAGTACTGGGAATAAACGTATATGCCTCCTGCATAGTATAATACTATATATATACTTTTTTATAGGTCCCAGTTTTGTGAGTGCATGCATATAACCAATGACATAAATTTAAAGACAATGAAATATACGCTATTGTACATTACCTATATACGTGCCCTGATGCAGATACTAAGTATATATTCGATATGTTTCCATTTATTTCCTGATGTATAAATTTCAATGCTTCAGCATTCCCACCGCCATTCAATGGAATGTTTCTGTAAATACGATACATGATTGAAAAAACGTTTTATATTACATCAAAGAAAAATGCTTAAAATATCTTACATTGAAAAAACAGGTTTTCCTTCACTAGGTATGTGAAAGCAATGTAAAATTCCATTTACCAATCCAACAAATAGGAACAACTTATCTTGGGAAACGCAGTGACTTGTAATCGAAAGCTCAAAACTAACATTCATTATAATATTGGTACAAGTTTCATCTTCAAACAACGTAATGGATTTGCCAATGACTACACACAGGCATCCGTATTGCACACATGCCGATACAAATGGATTTGTGTCAACCTGTAAAGAAATTTTTATCTATCATCTGGAGTTAACATTATTCAAACGTAGAAACTATGTAAATCATACTCTATATAACAAAGACTTTATGTATAATAAAATATACATTAGTCTTCAATAACGTGTTTGTATAACAAATATCTAAATAGTTAATATGAGTAAAAACCTTTTTATCCGGTTGGAACCAAGCGATAGTTGAACTTTCGTATAGTAACCCTTTATTTTCCACGACAATTCGTGATCCAAAATTAATAGTTTCATCTTCTGCATCAAAATCTGTGTGTACGATGTTCCATAAGGCCATTTCTTCCATTTCTTTTCATTCCGTGTAAGAAAGCAATTGGAATTGTACGTATATACAGAACTTTTCTTTTCTTTACTTTCGCGACCCTCTTCTATTCTCACAATTTGGCAACTTTACCGGCTTATTTCAAACTAGACCATAGATTATATAAAGGAAACGCGGCGCGACCGCCACTGAAATATGTAGTAAACCGAAACGCTCGCCGCGCTTAAGTTTACACGGCAAACTTGTTCCAGAGAGATAGATTTAGATGTATCTGCATCCTTGTCGCCCGAAGCTCGATACGCATTCGTCCGAGAAAGATGAAATGATGGATGGCTCCCTGTCGCTGTTCCTCTCCTAGATTAACCAATGTGTATATATGTACATATTATACCCATCCAACCGTAGCCCGCGGTGACGTCACGGCTCCCTACTTCTCGTGGAGAAAAAATACGCGAATAGAGCAATCCTCTGTAGTATAAGATCCTTGGCTGATCCTTCGCTGTGGGTAGTAAATAATCGAATGGATAACGGGAGATGGAATCGTAAGAGTCGTTGATGTGTTATTAGTTCGTGTGTAACCGAAGCACGCTTTTTGATTTCAGTGTTTGACACAACTTGTTCGAAATAATTGTTATGAAGTAACCAATATTCGACTAATGGATACCCATATAAGGCCTTATAAATGATTATGATGCTGTATATGTTATCATTTATTGAGTATCCACAGTGAGTGAGCCTATAAGCTACTTTAAAGGGCTTATCAATTGTATTTTTAATTATTGAACACTTAATTTGCTGCATTAGTTATGGATATTCGTGGTATCGAAGTTACAAATCAATTAAGGGTAAGCAACAAAACAATTTTCTCTTAAGCAATGAAATATTAACTGTTTATTTTGCATAACGTCAAGTCCATTCAAATTGTTTCTTTTATTATATGTTATTTCAATAGTTGTTTGCATATATAAATATTAACTTTTGGTTCCATTAAAAATGGAGTACTTTAAAGAATAAAGACGTTTAATCTGTAATTTCAGAGTTTAATTTCAGTTTTTGATAAATCCGTGTATAAAGGATAATCGGATATAGAATGCTATTCAGTAATTGATTTTATTTAATCGTGATTTGTAAATAAGTAGTTACAACTATAGATAAATATAATCGCTGATAATCGTATTATAATCGTACGTCAAATGATGTATCGTTTCTAATACATATGGTACGATTTGTGTCAAATGTTTCCACAACCGCGTATGATATCGGTTAGATTTGAATCTATTTAGAGTTACATGATATAATTGAGAAATAAATATTTTAGAGTGCAATCCGTGCCAAACTTTTGGAGTTAGGAGTAAGGTATGACGAAGAATTACCCGATTATATCCTTGTCATGGTTGTGAACAAAAAATCTCGACAACAAATGCACGAAGATTTGCATTTATTTTTGGAAGATTCTACTGCTCCATTTGTCGATTGGTTACATGACCAAGTTTTGAAAAAGCTGCAAAAGGTAACGGTGACTAAAAGAAAGTCATCCAGAGAATTCGTGCCAACTGTCGTGGTGAAACAAGAAGAAGAACGAAAGAAAAAGAAACTCAACCCAACTTCTTTCTTAGATTCTCATGGAAATATTCAAAATAATGAAAAGCCGGATAAGATTGCAGGAAGTGAGAAGTCCGTAGCAAAATTACGGATAAAATCGTTAATGGGTATTCAGAATTCTGAATCGATACAGAAGAAAAGCTTAGAAAAACCCACTAAAGGAAGTAGCACTTCAGATACCCAATTACAAGATGTACCAGACAATGTACGATCGGAAAGAAATCATAACGTATCGCAGAAAACTGATACGTGCATCGACGAGTCAATGGACAATGTTTCACCCAAAACTTCGTGCTCATTAGAAACACCATGTAATATATCTGCAGAAGCTCAAATAGATACAGACACGCAGGAAATTGTTGACAGCAAACATTACAGTTCTTGCTCCAATTTAAAGCTTACAAAACAATCAAAGGATTCAGAAGCGGAAGATAATATTGAAGGAAAAAGATTAAAATCGTGTATTAACAAACCAAGAGTTACATCGGTAGTTTCTGTAAAAAATCGCCTTGGTATTATTTCATTACGTAAAAAATTTGAAATTCACAGGGATAAATCAGCCATAAACGATTGTCATCGATTACCAGAAAAGCATTTCAACAGATTCAGTGGTAGAAATCGACAAAACATTCATGGACGAAGTTTTCAAGAGGAAGATGTCGCGAGTAAGTTTTGTGAAATGGCAGAGAAGCCTACTGACATTAAGAGTCGGTTAGGTAACAATAGACAAGAAAAATCACATAAAAGTACCGAAGTAAAAGACCAATTCAATACTAATGTAAAAATGAAATCCCTGGGGATACCAGGAGCTACCGTTAAGGACCGTTTGGGTATAGGAAACAATGCAAAGTGTAGTACATTGTATGCAAATAAAAATCAATGTAATTCAAATTTTAATCCAAAGATTAAGCACAGATTGGGACCATTGAAGAACAATTTTAAATCAACTAGCAATAAGGGAGGATTCTACAAAACCCCTTACGGCAACGAAGATAGTAAATGCTTGAATTTAAATGCCGAAGATGAAATAGATGACAATGGAGAGTCGGTAGTACATGGGCCTATACGCTCACACATAGTAGCCGTGAAAGCACCATTGAAAGGCTTGACAAGAAGGAAACATCCAATATTGCCAGAGAAAATGGGTAAAGGAACGTTATCCGACAGGGATGATAAAATTACGGATGATAATAAATTATCAAGTAAAGTAATTGTCACACCCAGGCCTTTAAAACCTTTGCAACCAATTCAAAAGCGAGCAACCCAGTCTTTATTGCTTAGGGCTGTAGCTGAAGCAAATCGATCGGTTGTTAAACAGAAGAACCCAGAACCATTGTTAATGGTGAGTAAAAAAAACTAGTGCATCGCAAATTTATACATTATACTTTCAATGGAAATGGAAGTGCAAGGATGTCTAAAGACGTGAAATGGATTTGATGTTTGATTGTAAATTTTGTTTTAATTTATTCATTAAAATATTTGTAGCCTTCGTAACATAAGGTACTTCAGGGTAATAAGGCACACTATAATTTAAAAGGCTTTTGGAAACTAAAATATAAAGTATTTTGAGAGGGGGAAATAAGCAGGGTGTACGCGAACAATGTCCATTTCGTTCACAAATTATAAAAATAAAATGCAATTCTAAAGAAAAACGTAATTACAAAAATTGTAATATGATGCAACTGGGCTTTGTTCCCCGCACATGTGGGTGATAAGGCCCACGGACATTGGTGGGAAAATCCCTGAATGTTATCCTCAAGAACTCTTTATGGAGCCATTTCATGCACAGGGCACGTTTCCGCATATCGGCAACCTTATTTTCGTGGTAAAGACTGCGGCAACAGTTCCCGGTCTTCTTTGAGGTGCCAGGCTTCGGTTTTCTTGAGGTACTTCGCTCGATTTCTGCTGCGATGTCGTATTTACCGCAGCTAGCCAGTCTGTCGTCCTTTTCGAAAAAGACTTATAGTTGCGCCATGTTGCGCTATGTCGGGCCTTATTACCCGTACGATGCCATTTATATTTTTAGGTAATGATTTCAAAGACAACGAATCTTTTCAACAAAATTAATTTGACGCTCGACAGCCCCGACAACACACATAATGGACACTTGACTGTGCTACCGACTGGCAGAGGGAGCCACAAACTTGGCACTTTTATTCTATTATGAAAAATAAGCATGGGCCTTGTTATCCTAAGTTACCTTATACTGTGTATTGAGAATAAAAGTTAATAATAGCGTAACCCAGCTTTTTGTCCACTTTTTTTTTTAACTAAGTAATTATTTTAATAGTTATTTTAGAGGAATAATTATTTCTCTCTATTTTTAATTACTTTTTGATCACATAGTCGTCAATTGCGTTTGATAGGATAAAAAGCCAGCGTTAAAGAATTTGAAGAATCATATGGCATGGGAAATAGGTCAAAACCTATCGGTCCATCTGAATTCTAGCAAAAGGTTCGTAATGGAAAAAATTCAAGTGGAACTCACAACGGAAGAGTCTTCCGATAATAAATCTGATTCCTGTGAGTATGCATTTTAATCGACACAAAATGTTTTGATTAAAATCGTTGCTCTTTGACTATTAATTGATAAATTTGAAATATTTCCTAGTAATTATCTTTTTCTGTAATTAACTAATGATGACATAAACTTCCGTTCTTGTAGATGTTCCGCAAGGCCTTCCCGAGGAACACATGGGTGTAGTAATGTCCTTGTTCCAAAGGACTGATGACAACCAAAAATTTTTAGTTACATTAAATGGATACAATAGCAACGTTTTGAAGGATAGATCCCTATGTGACGAAGATGAACGTTTAGAGATGGAGGTAAATAATATTAATAAACTATGCCAGATGCGTTTAATTAATGTGAACATATTCACTTTGGATACAGGGAACTTTTCTAACGTACCAATAGTTAGGCCTGACACTATGATCGTTGTTTAATCGGTTACCGTCAGACAGTGCATATAATCTCTATTGTAACAATTTGTCATAAGTTTACACTTATGCGGCACTCCGATTAATTTGCCCCTAATTATCTTTATTGCTTCTAGCCATATCGAAGCATATCCATGAAAGAAATTGTATAACGTTAATAAGTACATATTCCTACGGGCTGAACACTCTCAACCGAGACCGTCGGGAGATTATTATCCAGAAAATTCGGCGCAATTATCTTTCGATTTTGAATCAACTGTCCTCACTTGTGATCCCAGCTTAATTTTGTGACCGAATTCTTTTCCATTAATCGTGATCTGGTGATCCTATTACATTTAATATTTTCGTGAGTTTGAAACTTTTCTTATCCGGGGGAATCCTAGCGCGTAGAGTCGGAAAGGATCGGGTCTTTGCCGACTCTAATTGCCCACCTCCGTCGCCATTCATGATGACTTTATACCGAGCTAGCCGATCTCTTGCACCGTACGATCCAAGAGCCGTTTGGCTTGATATTTTCTTCCGAAAAGGTTAAGCTTCGTTTGGGGACCGACATGGGACGAGCAACCGCGCGCCCTTCGCCCTCGCGTTCCGGGAGAGCAGAGATCCAAATAGAGAAGGGACGCCGCCGGCCGTGCAGGAAAATGTGGTATTCTGAGCATTTTAAGCCAATTGGGTAGGACTCGCGTGGAGTGAGGTACGAGGTACGAGGTACCCGATAGTCAATAAAATCGAGGCAGTCTATCTTGCAATTAATGGCCCGGTAATATAAACCGTCAAAAGTAAACCTCCGTTTGGTGGTAATGCCATTTTGAATACCAAAGCGGTAACGTAAGTTGGCACGTCACACGTTATCGACATATTATATTTTTATTCAATTCAACACCTATTATACTTATGTTGAAGTCTGTTACCCTCTACCTTGAGAATTATATGAAACGAAGCATCCATATGTCATTTCGGTACACTAATGATAAAGAGATCGATGTAAAACTGTCGAAATCCCGTGAATTCATGATTTTTTAATACCCTAATGGGCCCACAGCGCCATCTGCGGTGTTTAGCTGCAACTACAATTTTGCTCTAAAATCATGTTACTCACGGGAGAAGCAAGTATTCTCATGCAATCGTTGGTGAAAGTATTTTCCATATTTTCCCATCTGACTTCGTAATGTTCCATTTCTATGGTATTCTAAATTGTTCATCCTAGGTTCTAAAACTTTTCATTTGCGATTTTACGCCTTCAAAAAGCGTAAAACAGCAAAAATATGCGCGAACAACGCCATGTTGGTTCTAGTCCGTGATAAATAAACTGTTTTTTTATAAAAATGAAACTTCGTGAGTTTCAAGTCCTGCCTTAGGGTCTCCATATTCACGTGGTAAAACTTGATACGAATAGGTACACCCAATTAGGAGAATCCTTTCACGAACGATTTGACCACCCAAATATAGTTCCCCCATGCTCCTTATCTTGGTCAAATACTAACCCCTAAACTCCGTCGAAAGCCCTCATATGAGATAAGCTAACGACTCTCCCCCAAAACTACAATAGATAACAACCAGTGGAAAGAGCAAACGTTTGAATGCTCTAAAAAGTCGACTCGTCCACGTGTGCTCCCTCTATAACCCGAAACATTACCCTTCTTGACCCTAAGGATCCGCCAATAGGCATTCTTCTTTGTAGCGGTGCCTCAGTTTAATATAAAATCCTGCGCCTGTAGCTCAGTGAATAGCTCCTAAGTCGAAGAGTCACGAATAACTCCTATACCACGACGCATTGGAATAATAGTACATACCATAAAGTAGTATAAGGAGCCATGACACCTATGGTCGGTTCCACAGAAAGTGATCCTAGAATCGGGACCCAGGATCTTAGATTTTCCCTGATTAACGATGCGAGCGCTACTTACGGAAAATGAGGGAACTCCAATCCTACCTATGTAAATTACCTAAAAAACTTTCAATTGTGCAATTAAGGTGCGCCAAGCGAAACGATAATCCGCGCATGATGTACAGCATGTGATGTTTTTAACGTGATAAAGACTAGCGGACGATAATTTTTAATCGCAAAATTTCATCGAGGAGGCGCTCTCGGCACTAAATCGGAGAAAATCTGAAGATCTTGGACCCTTAAAGTGGGGACGATTTCAATACATGGCGTTGTATCTCCTTATACTACTTCGGGGTTCATACTATATACTTTTCTTTGCAGGTGAACGAGGACGACGAAATTGCCCTTTCCTCCGTTCAGGCGGATTCACGTGTTCAAGAACAGCAGCAGTCTTCGGATACATTAGACATGCTAAATGACAGAAATGAAGTTTGCATAAATGACGATGCGTTAAGATATGAAGAAAATATTGAAAACTGTAATACAGAAAATGTTGACGTTGATGACGAGGATGTGCCTACGAAAAAAAGGAAATTAAGCCCTATTGTGTACAATCGGTCTCGATCACAAAGTCCGAGCGATTCGAAATCAATCTCCAATCGTCATTTAACAGATGCAAAACGTACGAGAGTGCATACTTTACGTGATATTAAACCGAGTAGTCGTTGTAATATAATATTCATTTTTTTCAGATCTGGATCCATCGCTTTCAATTGATACTGTCATACCGGCATTAAATGACAAGAGCAGGGAGAAATGCAGATATTGGCCAAACTGTACATTAGGGAATAAATGTGCTTATTACCATCCTGCCGTGCCCTGCAGGTAAGACAAAACGACACTTTAAAAAAAAATTAAGGTGAAGTGAAACACGTCGAGAAATTTGATCGACGTCGATAAAAAAAGATTCTTTTAAATACCTACATTGCCGACGTTCGAATTTCTATCGACAACTGTGTCGAATCATATCGGATTATCGTACTAAACGGCATACTCCATATGTCGTTTCCGTACAAAATTATTAATTATAAAGAAACCGAAGTAAACCTCCAGAAATCCCCTGGATTCGTGGTTTTTGATGCACTAATTGACCGTAGAGTATGCCACCATGTGCCGTCTGCGATTTCAGTGCAACTAACTTTCCTCTCCGAAACCTCGTGTTACCATTGGTTTCGGCGTACAAGCGCATACTTTTTTTGTTTTTATCCCGTTCGAATGCGAGCTCCTCGATTACTAGAATGTTCTAAATTGTTGTACAATTGTCCTGATACTTTCGTTTCTCATATCAGAGCTTTCAATAATTGTATATCATTCGAAATATGAAAGCTCGACGCCATTTTGGTTCTGGTCTAGATTAAAAAATTGATGTTTCGAAAATCCAAATTTTGAAAGTGTTAGGACCACGAAATAGTACAAGGAGCTACCGATTTCTGCTCGCGATTTCCACATGATTTCCTAAGTGAATGCTCGACTCCCCTTGCTCGATCTCATTCGTATTGTTCCGTCCGAAAGACTCCATTTGAAAAACTTATACTTCAACTTATGCAGATTACGTATTTTAAAAGAATGTTATCTGCACATTTCTTATCTAATTTTTTCCCAGAATTACGTTCACTATTTATTGGACATCCGCTTTGGTGTATCCGGTATACATTTGATATGTGAACGTCGACACATGTGCTCAGCAAAGAGTGGACCACGTGTCATAGCAATTTTTAATCGCGATAAACCTCACGAACAATGTGTTTCTGTTTCAGCCTTTTTCCTGCCTGCAAGTTCGGTGAGAAGTGTGTTTACAAGCACCCCAAATGCAAATTTGGTCTGTCATGTACAAAATTAGGATGCATATTTTCACATCCTGCCCAGCAATGCAAATATCACCCATTCTGCACCAAACCTGCTTGTCCGTTTTCTCATCCACCGGTTCAACCGCCTACGCATTCGGGCCCATCGGGTCAGAGAACGAAATTTACATGGCGAAGGCGAGGATAAAATATGCAACGTATCTAAGGTGATCAAGGAATCATTGTTTTCGAATCTGATATCATCAACATTAGTAATAGCAGCTTAAAAATATTTTTCATTAACCCATAGTTTGTCAATATAATAAAACAAAATGTATCGACGTTTCTTTATCTAAGAGTACTCGTGTGTATATTCTAGATTGAAAATTATTATATTGTAAGTTATGGCACCTTACTCCCTCTAAAATTACACGCCAATCAATATTTTATGAGTCATAGAGTATGTATCGTATGATAAGCTAATGAAATTACCGTTCGAACGCTTAATGGTTATGAAACAAATGTATATATCTTTATGTAAGTAAATCCATAGAGAAAGAACGCAATGTCAATCGAAGACAAATTTTACCAAATATATGTAGTATTCGGAAAAATACTTTCGATATATCAGTTTTTCATACTAATTATTAATTGTTAACAATAATGTAAGACGCTAGCTATTACATACCCCTCTTGGGTACTTATTCATTTTTCATTGAAAGGCCTCGGTATTAAGGGGATGTGAAAGTGGCATCCGAGGAGTCAATCATTCGTGAAACTTTCCTCCGAACTGGGGGTGCCGAATCGTTTCAAACTTTACGACGTGAATGTGTAAGTTACAAGGAAGATCCTGACCCTCATGAATTTACATTTTTTAAAACAAATTAAAAAAATATCTATGAACAAATAATATAAATTGAAATTTCATGAGTTTCGGGACCTTCCTTATACCGTCCTCCATATTTGTTGATTATAATCTACATAGATGCCATTGGGAGTGCACATCAGAGTTGCCAACTTCAGTTCCGTTTACTTTAGTACATACAGTTGGATCAAAATAATAGTACAAATGCTATAATTATAGGATGGTCGGCAACGCTGGTGCACATGGGCATCTTAGACCATAAACATCTAGACCTCGCATAACAGTGGAAGAGGTAAATTCGAATAGCACATAGACCACGTGTGCCGACAACACTCGAACCCAATTGGACCCAATCAGATTTTAGACCATATATTTATTTAGACCGCCGTGCAGTGGTAGGGGTAAACGAATGTACTACCACTCACCCACACGGTTAAAGCCATTCTACTTACTGAAAATCTGGGAGTGGGAGGTCCTATGCGAGGTCTAGATATATATGGTCTAAGATGGACATAGGAATAGAGGAGACTGGGCATCTGCTGGCATCTGCTGGCATCCGCTGGTGGGGTTGACGCCAAGAGGGGAGTACTCGGCCATTTGGCATATTCAAGTACCGAACGTTACAACGTTAAACGAAGTACTAATTTAAAAATGTCAAGTCGAAAATTTTCAATTTTGTTCTCTAATAACAATTAATGTTTCGTGTTATTCGTAGTTGAAAGGAAAAACCTGGGAAGCTGAAGAAAAGGAAGCAAGATGAACCCGTTGTTTCGTTTTACGCGTAACTTGAAAAAGTGGTTATTTTAAATTTAGTAACGTTATTTTTCATTCTGAAAAAGTAACGATGAAAGAACGATGACGTATGTTGGAATATCTATTACTATTAATTGTAGAGAAAACAATCAATAACTTAACCTAAACCGCAATAGTTACAGCTATAGGCGTGAAGGGCGTGAAGACTAAAGACCAGGAGGACGAACTGCATAGAGTCCCTTATGGAAGCTCGTGTCCGTGAAACAGGATACAGAACATCGTTTGACATTTTCTCTATAGGTGGCAATGCTATCGCATGGGACCAACATGGAGTACGCAATCCTGCGAATATCGGACAACGCGGAAGACGTATCAAATTGAAAACTCTGAAAATTTCACGTTCTCCTACCTCAGCCAAAACTTTTTTTAATTGCAGTACTTACATATGTCACAAATAAATGCTCATAAAAATATTTTATAGATAAAGTATACGTTGAAAATATTTTATCTTAGTTCATTTGGACAACATAATCGTATTGGAATTGTATGTTTTTAAATACATGCCCGCGCTTTATTTGAGCAGTGGCCCCTTAGCGAATATGGCGCCGCCTAACGAAGAAAGATCTGTATTCGATTTTGAGGAAAGTTCCATAACATTGTGTTCGTCCTCCTGTCTCTAGTAATCGTGACTATGTCCATGATCAAACGCTGACGTAGGATCTGGACTTCTATAGAATTTCTAAATTGTTTGCCCGCTGTCATTCTTAGACCATATGTATCTAGATCTCGCATTGGACCTCCTACTCCCAGATTTTCAGTAAGCAGAATGGCTTTAACCGCGTGGGTGAGTGGTAGTATGTATGTACATTCGTTTTCCCCTTCCACTGCAAGGCGGTCTAAAATCTGATTGGGTCCAATTGGGTCCGAATGCCGTCGGCACAACACGTGATCTTGGTATTCGAGTTTGCCCCTTCCACTGCTATGCGAGGTCTAGATGTTTATGGTCTAAGCTGTCATTGAACTTGTTATTGCGTTCAAGGCATATCGATAAGTACCACCAACTGTTATCACCAACCCATTTAAAACTCGTTTTCGAGTATAAGTCGTCATTTCTATTTTTCTTGGGCTGTGTTGTCACTATTTCTGTAAGCAGTTAGGACAGTATATCTTAGTACGTTATGATTATTTTCATGTAGAATTTAAGTTAAGTATTTGGGAAATGTAGATACCTTTCTACCTTTATGAATTACAAAAAGACTAACTTTTATCAGTATGCGTGTTAACCACATATTAAATAAGAGAGTTATCGTTTTACAACAAGAAATGTAATGGTTACGAGTGAATTGCAGAATTTCAGTTAGTTTTGTTCCACCCGTTCGTCTTATTAGTTACTTTTCATTATTTACAGAGGCCACTGCCATAGTGTTTCGAGCAAGAGGTACCGTTACAATACACAGTGAGAAATTTGACGTCCATAAATGTCTTACGAAACAAAATTTTTGTAATAGTTAATACGAATCATTTTGTGTTTCCAGTATAATGTCTTTGATTGGAAAAGTTGTTCTTATAACAGGAGCTAGTTCAGGAATTGGAGCGGCGACTGCGATTCATTTTTCACAACTCGGAGCTCAACTATCTTTGACCGGACGCAATATTCAAAATCTGCAGAATACCGTCGATCGATGCAAAGGGCCAAAACCATTTTTCATTATCGGGGAACTTACAAATGAATCCGATGCCAAAAATATCTTGAATTCTACTATCGAGCATTATGGAAAACTAGATGTACTGGTCAATAATGCTGGTATTTTAGAAATTGGAAGTATCGAGAATACCAGTTTGGAGCAATTTGATAAGTATGTCTACGAGTATGGCAAATCTTACAGAGCGAGCCTTTGCATATTTAAATAAATAAATTTTTTAAATTTCTAATACCTTGTTGCACCTGCACAAGGCATTCATGAATCTTAACACTGAGCCGACCGAACAGGGAGATCTCGTGTGTTAATACTCTTACCCATCTACAATTTCAATGAGTTGAATTTGTAATCCATGCTGCATTCCTATTTCAATATTCAGATAAGTCTGTGCGCGTGTTTCAGCAATGTTTATAATTTACAATACTTGGTTCTAATATCACGGACCACGGAGAATTAATAAATCTAATGTGTTTTATATTAAACGATCGAGTTTGCGTAAAAAAAAAGATTTTTGTTTCGTTAAATTTCGAGCGCGTTATTGTCTAGGCGGGCCGCAGCGCATGGCATAAATATTAATATCACCTTGACCCCTCCACTCAAGGTCAAGCGAGTATGACCACTTTGGAAAACTTTGGAAACCTTAAAACTTTAGTCCGATACTTTTTTCTCAAAAATGTTTCGTTTTCGAAATATTACACCGTTGTCAGGCTTTTCTAATATTCTGTATATGTACGTATTATGTAGGTATAGAATTACAATATGTATGTATGTACTTATAATGTCATATGTATTGTAGAGTTTTCAATGTAAACGTCAGAACTTTGTATCATCTGACAATGTTAGCTGTGCCTTACCTGATACAATCAAAAGGAAATATCGTGAATGTTTCCAGTGTCAACGGTATAAGATCGTTTCCTAACGTTTTGGCTTACTGCATGAGTAAATCGGCTGTTGATCAATTTACAAGATGCGTTGCACTAGAGTTAGCAGAGAAACAAGTACGTTAATTATGATTTTACTTCGATACTTACGCTGGTACGGTCAATGTATTAAAGAATGGTGCTATACATGTTATGCGTTGTATAAATATTCTCAAGAAAGTGGATGAATGTATACCTAACTTTGTATTACAGGTAAGAGTGAACAGCGTGAATCCTGGGGTTACAGAGACAAATTTGCATAAAACAAGTGGAATGCAGGAAAAACAGTTGGAAGAATTCTTTGAACGCGGTAAAAGTACTCACCCTCTTGGTAGAGTCGGAGACGTAGCGGAAGTGGCAAAGACGATCGCCTTTTTAGCGAGTGACGACGCTAGTTTCATTACCGGTGCTACTTTACCGGTGGATGGGGGCAGACATGCATTATGCCCTCGTTAATATTTGCAATTCATGCTACCGATCGTGTTCTCAGTTTATAACAGTGCACAAATATTCCACAGAAAAATGTATACGCATGCGCGCAAATTTCTAAGATATTAGGTAACTCCGTTACGGTGGTAGGAGTAACAGTAGATTGTAAATTTCTTCCTCCAGTCTCCCCCGTTCACCCTGAACTCATTCGTTTCCTCCGCTCCCTCTCCCTTTTCTTTTAAACTATGTGATATCGCCTTCCCATTCCTTTTCACTCTGTTCCTGCATGTCCTCGTCCACCCTTCCCCCGACCTCTTTTCAAAGAGAATCTCCGTCACTCGGTCCTGGATTCCCCATTTTTCTCCGTGAGAACGTATACTCCCCTGTGTGCTTCCATTCCATACCGTTAGCGCATTCGCTCGTTACTTTAAAGTGCAGCATTCCCTTTATCTGCCGTTCCAACGAAATCCTCGAAGATTTTAAACCCTGGCCGTAACAAAAACGCGGGACACTAATGGCACGACGACCCCTTCGTTAATTGCGGACTGATGGCAGTTCCGCCGTCGCGAAAGGGTTAAACGCAACTCGAATCGCTCGAACCGATTCCTAGCAGTGGGCATTTGGAAACATATTTACCGCTTTCGTTATATCCTAACTCGCGTAATTCTTTGCGTGCGGTTTCTATATCACAGGATCGCTTATGAGCGTTACACGCCGCTACCAGACTCGGTACAATGGATCGTACGATGACAATATAGAATTTTGCATTTCTTTCACAAAAAAGTCGACGACTCTAAACATCGGTAACGAAAGAAAACTTCATAGGTCCAAGAGTAGTGCTTTCGATGGGCAAGGCTGTACAGGGTACAACGGCAGTTTCGGGACCGGTATGTCTCGGTACGATTCGCTATAGTGCACGTTAGAGGAGGAAGGAAGGAAAGGAGAGCATCGGCGAACGGGAAAATGAGACGAAAAGGAGTGGGCACCATTTGTCGGAAAAAATTCAAGACGGCATGTGCGAAGAACGACGGTTTTGACACTGAACTGAAATTTCCCCGTATTTGGAGACTTACACACATCATGAGATATCTCTGAATTTAGGATGAACTTAATTCTTGAACTGCCGTAATTAAGAAACTCGTGATATATTACTTTCAGAGCAGATATTAATTAGATATTGCGGATTTAATAGCCGAGGTCGGGGAATTGTCTGATCGACTGCCTATACAAAGCGTACGAACTGCAAGTAATAGACATACGGTGACTTTGCTTGAACTCACCCTTATGACAGGTTTTGTACAGTATTCGATAACGAGACACGACCGATTCTCTTAATATTAGGCATAAAATTATGATATGGCACCAAACACCTGCCATTGCTATTTGCTTCTTTTCAATTATGAGTACAGTTAATATTATAATAGTTATTATCGATTTAAACATTTTACTTTTATTTTCAAAAGATCGATAAAAAATTACCACTAAATATGTGTACACTCGGGCATACGCCTATAATTATGGGATCAAAATTAAACGTAAAGAGAAAGAAATTTGACTTCCAATAACGTTTATTAAACGATCGTGACAATACATGTAGACGTAAGACAGCAAAAATTGTTTTTTTGACTGCTTTATTGCTGGCTGACATCTCAATATTTGACACATATATTCTTAACGGATGTCGATATAAAATTAGCCACGTCGCCAAAGTACGACTCTTTAAAAGTTACAAAGGCTTTATATTTATACATTCTGTCTCACAAGTTACTAATAACTCTTAACCACTATTTCAACATGGAACGTGTTAAAGAACTCTAATGTATTTGTTGTCGATCTACTAAATGGGAGCTCAATATTTACTTGTACGATACATACTTGCATGCATTACATATCCATATGTATAGTCACTATGTGCCTGCCAGGCACCATTACCAGACCTAAAACTCTTGCTTCCGTGTGTTCTTCCGACAAAAATTCCGAACAAGAACCTAGAATGATATTGGCATCACGATCGGTGCATAAGAAAGCACCACATAAGACACGTCCATCGGTCATTTTAATTCGTAAATGGTGATTTAACCATTCCTTTAATTTCTTCTTAGCTGGCATTTCCTCAACTGATAGATTCTAGAACGGGCAGTTAATACCAAATTATTTCAAATATACAGGACTAAAAGGAAAAATGGGATTTGACAAATTTAGTAGTCTGTTTCGCACTCAACAATGGAAAAAAAAGCACTGTTTAAGTTAGTATAATATGAACTGTACCTCTCCATTACCATGAACACATTCTTTACCATTCTCCATATGTAAATTTTGTACTGTGTCTTTCATACTGTTATAAATTTCTTCAACTTTCTAAAATGATTCAAAGGACCATTCAAACAATTCTAAATTATCACAAATAAACCTCATATTCAGCTGTCAAAGAATTCACAATTTCATCGAAAACCACGCAGAGATGAGCAGAAATCGTTAGGAGCAGTTAGGAGCAGTGTTGCCATAGACAGAGATGAGTTGGGAGATTGCTCACGGGCAGGGTGGCGCGATCGCATCCTGTGCTGCCCTCTGGTTTCGTACGTTAGCTTTCACCGTCTGCCAAATCAAAAATGAGTTGAGAGACCTGTGCGATCGCACAGGACGCGGTCGCTCGATCCTTCCCGTGAATCTCTCAACTCATCTCTGATTTGGCAGACGGTGAAAGCTAACGTACGACGCCAGAGGGCAGCGCAGGATGCAATCTCGCGACCTTGCCCGTGAGCAATCTCCCAACTCAACTCTGCCATCGAAGCCCAGAAGAATATGGATGTTCGATGCTTGATAAATAGTATGTCAGCCAACGGATGGCGGCGCTGTTAGCATCTCTCCGTCTCTCTTGATCTTATCGCGATATATAGGGAATTGCATTCTTTCTTGGTTATACGCATAATACTCGTCTTTATATGTGCATCTCTCTTCCTCCCGTATATGAGTATCGTTAGCTAATACATGCGATCTCTCTTTTACCCCCACTTCTGGTTAGTTAGTCAGCTTTGGCAAAGAATTCAGAAGTCTCCATAGAAGCCCAGAAGGATACGGACGTTCGATGCTCGATAAATAGTATGTTAGCCAACGGATGGCGGCGCTGTAATCATCTCTCCATCTCTCTTAATCTTATGGCGATATATAGCGATTGCATTCTTTCTTTATCTTACACCCAATACTCGCCTTTCTATATGCGTCTCTCTTCCTCCCGTACGTGAGATATCGTTGGCTAACACGTGCGATCTCTTTTTTACCCCCACTTCTGGTTTGTTAGCCAACTTTTAGAGCATCAAGCGCTAACATAGGATCTGGGCTTCTATGGGACTTCTGAATTCTTTGGCTTTGGTCAGCTTTTGGAGCATCAAGCGTTAACACATGTTAACACAGGATCTAGGGTTCAATGGGACTTGCAGGGACTTGTGAATTCTTTGCCTGTGCATACATCTGTGTAACATGCGGGACCGTATATATTAATTAATACAACTATTGAAGCAGGTAGCAAATATTATTTATTGTTTCATACTAAATGCGACATCAAAATTTACCAGTCAGTTCATTTTGTTTCTTGTTAAATTGTTTATATTCAGAGTCGTATAGCATCGGACACTTTTCATAATTTAGAGGTTATATATTTTGCGTGCCAGCAACATGTTAAGAAATATGTAAAATGACCAATGTCGTAGGTATATGATATTGTTTACTTTGGTACATCTATTGTTCTAGTGGTACATCTAATTTGGAGAATACTTTCACGAACGATTGATCCCTCAGATGCCACTTTCGCGTCATCTTGACTTTAGAATTTAGAATAATTCACGGTTACATATATTACAAGACTAATTTTTTCCAGATGCCAACATGCCTCTGACTCAGCAAGAATATTTATTTATTACGACTGAGCAAGTGCCGAATGTGAATTTTGACTCATCGCGTATTGAATCGGTTCTAGACATTGAAAATTTTGCAGAGGCAATAGCTCGTACTATAAGTGAGAAACCAGAGAGATATTTTGAATGGTTATGCGATGGCATAGTGCTGTTATTCAACTTCATTCAGTCAAACTGGATAAAACCAAAGCATGATGCAAGTCTCGATTTATTAACAGTAAAGAGAACGGAAGCTTTAGAAGCTTTAAGTTTCGACGATGAGTGTAATGAAAATATTCAAAAACCGGAATTATTATATATTGCTAAATTAATATTCTCTAATGAGAAATTACGATCTGCCTTCAAAAGTTGTGCATGGTGGAAGTTTCGAGCAAATCTGTTACATCAACAATTTCTGGAAATGACGTCTCCTACATTATTTCAAGAAACCGAAAGATTAATTTCATATATTAATCAGTCTATTATCGTGCAAGATGAGTATTTGAAAACACTCTTTCATCTTGAAGCGGTTCAGTTTTATATTCATTGTAGAAGATCGCAAGCTTGTGAGAAACATCTTAACATTGCTCTAAAATCAGCCATGCTCGATCTAGAATTACATGGCGTGATGGGAAAACGTACCAAATATCAGAAAGAAAGGAAGGCTCTGTTATCATTAAAAATTACACTCGAGAAGGACCCATTTCCTTCAAAATGTTGCGGCGATCTTCCGGACACCTTAGATTTGAACGATGAAGTACGATTGGAAAAAATAGAATTTTCTGAACCCCAAGAAAATCCAAAATTGGGAGCTGTCGAAGAGGCAGTAATTTTAGCAAAATTGTAATATACTATTTTTTTATGATGATAATATTAACATTAAGTACACAATAGATTAACCCTTTGCGGACGCGTGTCTGCAAGAAGTGGCCTAAAACCCTTTACAAAGAAAAAGTCCCGTCCGCAAAGGGTTAAAAAGATATATTCAGTTAATAGTTTTCAGATACGGCTGTCTCAACCTAGGGATAACCTTGTTATCGAGGAAATTATGCCTTACTTAAATGTAAGTATCGCTACATTATTGATCTCAAATTACTTTCATATTCGCATTTGCCACACAAATATATATTTATATATGCGAATGTATATAAAAAATGTCAAGTGTTACGTCTGGGTGGGTGGAATGGCAATAAGTTGTTTATCCCAACTCACAATTTTATAAGAACAATTAAATTACATTTGAGTTAAAGCCAAATTACTTGATTCTAAGAAAATTGAATCCGAATTAATCAGATTATTTGAAACAACCTAATTGTTTTCTCCGTGTATGTACCGCGATACAGTGTCTTTATAAGTTGAAACATATTTGTCAGTGATTATGTTACTACGTCCGAATGGGGCCTTAAGAAAAATCATTGGGCTCACAAAAACCTCCTAATAAGAAAATTGTAAGGAAATCTGTGTTATAGATTCCTTAAATTGGGAGATTGCTCTCACGGGAAGGGTCGCGCGAGCGCATTCTGTGCTACACTCAGTGGAGAGTGCGGGCGGCTCGCGTACTTGCCACCCGATACCCCCCCAGTGGGGCGGACCAACTCAGGGATCCTCCTCGTCTAACTACGTATGATGACTTGACAAAAAAAAGTGATCCACCTAAACCTGGCAAGGGGCACAAAAGGACAGGCAAAACGAAGCATTTAAAAAAAGTCCAGAAAGTCTGAGAATAGGCAGCGAACAAGTTACTAACAGTCAGGGATATTAATCGTACATCGATCTCGTTAAATTTACTGAACTGGTATTTTTCACGTCACTAAGTGTGCAACAATCCATTCAAACGTAGACTCGACAAAATATAATAAAAATGATTGTCCGCCGTCTCTTCCCCGTCAATCCTGACAAAATGAGAGAAAAAAATAGGAGGGACAACGTGGCCAATAAAATTGGATGGCTGTCCGTTCGAAAGAACGAAAGGCCACCGTAGTTGCCCTCTTCGACCCTTGCAGTCTCTTCGGGCAGAGCTCGGGCCCCTACGTCTCGAACGCTTGGTAATTCCCTGAGCAGACCCAAAAGCTAGCAAAACGACGACCTACGATCCGAGAATGCGCAGTCCGGGCGTATTGCACGTTTATCCGGATTCCCAAGCACGATCTAATTAATTTCATTCCTGAAAGTATCGCGAACCTAAAACTACCGCGGACCCAGGAGAAGGATACCTCGAGTCTAAATTGACACATGAAAATCAGAAAATCAGCGGACAGACAATCGCCCGCCATCCAAAGTAAGGCATGTCAAGCCGCGATTTGGCACTTTTACCCACGAGAGCATAATATTTTTTAACCAATCCACCTGGAAAAGCTTTCTCATAACGAGAAATGAAAGATATAATTTCCTCGATTTAAAAAAAAAGAAAATTAAGGGGTGAGCCACCCCTCACAGGGGTAAGCATTCGGGGGTAGTAGCCCCGGCCAATACTTTTTTTCTCAGATTTTTAGACTTGAATTTGACCATTTTTTGCATAAACGTAATCATATTTAGGGGTGGCTCATCCCTTAATTTTTTTGTTTTTAATTGACAAAATTATATTTTTCATTTCTCGTTATGAGAAAGCTTTTCCAGTTGGATTGGTTAACAAAATATTATCTTCTGGTGGGTGAAACTGCCAAATCGCCCCTTGACATGCCTTACTTTGGATGGTGGTTTCACCCTTTTAAAGTGTTTAATGGCAAATAAAAAAAAAACGTGTCGCTTAGTTTTTAGTCTACTATAATATATAAAAGAAATGAAACCTTCCTTCCTTCCTTGTGAGTGTAGCACAGAATGCGCTCGCGCGACCCATCCCGTGAGCAATCTCCCAAATCATCTCTGCTAATTAATTTGATGCTTGCGTTCAAAATTCACAAGATTTAATATGAATTTTCTAATCGGTTTTATTATTTTCTATTTAGAAATAGACGGGCGTAATATACTTTACACTCGCGTAGAAAACCAGAAACGTATTATACGTTGTAATATACACGTGGAATACCATGTATATATTACATGACGTATTATACTTACCCAACCCTGCTCACTTATGCCGTTTTGCGAAAAATGTCAATAATAACGGAATGCTTGGTCTCACGAATATGAAATTATCGTGAGACGTTCATTGCGCTATCGAAAAGCTTCCACTGTCTTGATTCGTTTTTCCAAGTTTAAAGATAAAATTTATAACGTTTGTTACGATTGCTTCATGTTACATTTGACCTCGGTCACCCATATTACCTGATTTACCTTAATAATTTCTTTCAGAATGTAATAGACAATACAAAAAACTGGGCATTGAAAATGTCAGCCCTTTATCAACGATGTTTCACAGAGATGTGTGACAGAAGAGCTGCCGAAAGAGCTATGTTGCAAGCTGAACATTTATTGGAATATTTAAATTGCTCTGAGATACCAGTGGCAGATAAGCTTTATATGTTTTTTGCAAGTGGAATGGAACCTAGATGGATGTTCAAGCAAATCTTAGCAAATCTGATGTTCAACTTGGGTTTGATTAAAGGAGCTATAGACATTTATTTGCAACTGCACTTGTGGGAAGATGTTATTATTTGTTATAGCATTCTCGACTTAAAGCATAAGGTACGGCCGTGTTCTTTAATATACGTTAAATTCTAGTGATTTAATTTAGTTTTAATTTTATTGTGCATAGACTGGAGATACTCGATACTTTTATTACTCCATTTTCCAGGTTTCTTGCTACTATAACGATTTAAGGGGGTATTCGCTTTTGAAAGTGTTAAAAATGTACATTTTAATAGGAATGCTTTTTTTGTATAGAAACAACGTGCGAGTAACGTGGAATTTTTTTACTTGTTCACGAGTTTATTGATCATCATTCTCTACATTTTAATTATAAAATGAATTTTAAAAATCACAGAAAAACAATACGTAAAAAAGAAAAATCTACTTTTTGGCTGAAAACAAGCAAATACCCCTTTAAAAGGAACTATCCGAATACAACCTCTTGTATTAGTATCATTTACCGAATGCTTGATTCAATGACTCGCTGACTTGTCATTGCGTTTTAGCTCATTTACCAGTAATTTCAACACTGTTCATTAGTTGCAAAATAGTCTAGTTAATTTATCATTAATTTCGACACTAGGCAGCTGAAATTATACAGCAGCGATTGGAAAGAAAGCCAACCGTTAAGCTGTGGTGCTTATTAGGTGATGCACTACAGGAAACTAAATATTATGAAACTGCATGGGAGTTGTCAGAAAAAAGAAGTAGTCGTGCCCAACGACATTGGGGATTTCATTATTTCACAAAGAAATGTGTAAGTGCTCGTTCGGTGCACATTTTCGTATGTAATTCATTCATAAAATGAAGTGCCTCATAGAGTTTGTCCGTTTCTCCTGCTATTTTTTAGTATGAGAAAGCTATTCCGCATTTGAAATTGTCAACAGAATTGAATAGTCTCCAAGAAAACGTATGGCTGAGGCTTGGGTATGCAGCATTACAAGTTGAAGACTGGCAGCTGGCAGCGACTTCGTACAGACGTTACTGCTGCTTGGAGGAAACGGTTTGTTAATTGCAAAATGATATTTCTTTCTCCCTTTCTCGAATTTCTCATGGTTTCTGACGTAACTTATCGCGTTAAGAGCTCCATGCCCGCAAGTCGCGTTTCAGATTCGACCGAAAAGGATCCGGCACCGCGCGCGTGCCGGGACGAATCGATCCTTTCCAGAGACAGCACCTAGTGAAAAGAAGTTAACAAACATGCACATCTCAGACAACCTCTATTTCATTCTCAAAAGGCTCAAAAGGAACATCCAACGCAAACTTGGATCCGAATGGAGTCGCCAATCGTCCCATTACCCGTGTCACCGTTCCATATTGAAAGGTCCTTCGCGAATAAATGCTCGAATACGTGTCTCCTTAGTTTGGCCCTGGATTAACCTGCGCGAAGCTCCTTCAAATCACTGGAACTATTTGTCGTTTCTCTTTGTCAAATAAACAATTACTTGTACTTTCATTTTAGAGTTTCGAGGCATGGAACAATTTGGCTAAAGCTTACATCAAATTAGGGGACAAACCAAGGGCTTGGCGGTCTCTTCACGATGCCATTAAATGCAACTACGATCGTTGGGAAGTCTGGGAGAATCTAATGATCGTAAGCGTTGATCTGGGTCACTTTTCGGATGTAAGTATTCCTTATGTCGTTAGACTCGAGCTTTCATTTTAAGTATTCTCATGTTTCATCGCAACTTCTAACGTGTTCGGATATAAGTTGCGTAACAAATCAAATCCAAGAAGGGAAACTTATCTGGGTAAAGTATGGCATGTTACAAAATTGAAATTATCACATTCAGAAATATCAACGAACGTACTACAAGAAAAAATACAAGTGCTTTTGTTTCCTTGTTTTTGGGTAGCCAGGAACTGACACGCACGTTGAAATGTGACGATATAGTAATCATACTGCAGATCCAAAGATATGAAAAAAGCCAATGTGCATTTTTATATGGGTGTCATGAGGAACATTTTGTCGTAGGTTGTATTTTAAGCGATGGGGTGCTTCCATGCAAAACTGACAAATCACCCACTTTGCAGGGTTGGGTTTGGAGGGTAATTTCACTCCTTATAATCCTTTTACAGCAGATATAAAAAAAGGACGCGTCTCTGAGAATTGTATGATCCATAAAATGGTGAAATATAGAAGAGAGTCGGAAGGTCGGAAGGGGACACCAAAGACCCCTTCTTTGTTAGTAATACAGTAGACTCCCGTATAACGTGGTTAATACGTTACGCGCTATATGAGTTCACGTTATAGGAAATCGTGCTGTACGGGAATTTTTCTCGTATAACGCGCATAATGTGTTTCGTTATTTGGCGCCCTGTACGAAGACTCGCGTTATATGAAAACAGTAGTCGCAATATCTTTGGCGCCTTTTAGGAATTCGCGTTATACGGGAGTCTACTGTATCGTCATCTTGTATACATTGAATGATATAACAAACGCATACAGTGCGATATTATATAGTCCTACGTATAAAAATATCCTGTACAAAAATCAAAACCAATGATAATTATTATTCGTTTCGTTATATCGTAGGTAATTCGATGTTATCATCGCATTTTGGAACTGAAGGGTTGTCATATCGACATTCAAATTCTCGATATATTAACAAAGGTTCTATCGAAAGATACCGTTGACGCTAACGGTAATTCTACCCGAAGATTAATACCGAATTTACTGCAGCTTTTCGGTCATCTAACATCCTTTAATTCAAACAATTCAAAAGTTTGGCGCATGTACGCAGAAATCACTGCTGCAAAAGGGTCCGAACTGGACCACCAAAAAGCGACAGAATATTTACAAAGAGCATACCGATGCATCACTGCAGATCCTCGCTGGATTCAGAGTTTGACTTCTACTAAAGAGGTACTGGTATTGTGTAGCGATATAGCACAAGCCTACTTGAATTGTGCCCGTGATTGTCCAGCAAAGCAAAAGAAGGCTATGCTAGGAAGCGCCAAATTATCTCTTCAAGGAGTTGTAAAGAAAACCAAAGAACAAGAAATATTCGTTGAAGATATTTGCACGGAATTACAAAAAGTTGAAGAATATTTGCTCGTAATAACGGATGCACTGAAGGAAATAAATAACGGCATATAAAAATATTTGTATTTATCTTTACATAGGGCACTTTTCATTTTATAATAAATAAAGAATAACGTAGCGTTAGATGAAATTTCTTTTCTGAAGTTTCTTTGTCTATACCCCCTTCCTTCGCACTCCCTCACGGATTAATTTAGATCCAAGTGACATTTTCAACTCGTCCCTCGTACCAATAATAGTACATACGATACTTTATCTAACAAAAGCATGGGTTACGCGTCTTTTTGCGCAGGCGCGGAGGACGGATATGGACACTTTCTCGTCCTAGGACGTTTTGAGGCTTTTTACTGATCTATATACTAACTGGATAGCCGATATCCTACAAAATGGCGTGACGTTTTGAAGCGACACACAGAGGCCTATGGTTAAGGGCGCATCAACTAATATCGTAGTATTTGCGCCATTTAACTGTAGATAGTATAAGAGAGGTCAAATTAATTTGCTGGAAGAAAATAATTGCCATTTTTAATCAAATACTTACGAGAAGAAAGATGGGCGTTTTTATAATCAGTTTAGGACTTCGAAGGACACGATTAATTTTGGTTGAGAATATCTCGTTTATCGGTCATAAAGACTTCGATGACTTATCGTTTGTGCCAGACAAGACGGTCATTTCTGGTGCACTTCCTGTACAATTCCTGTACAAAGTGGGGGGAATTCGCTCTCTCCCTGTAGTAATTCTGTAGTAATTGTGGAGTGGTGAGTCACTCGTAAACGGTGAGTAGTCCCCAGCATGTGCTATGCGATCACAGACGATACTGCGAATACTCGTAAGTCTCTCCTTTCTGCCCGGTCGAAATAATCTGTATCAAGAATCGGGTATGAGAGGCGCGGAGAAATTGAATCGACGTAGATAAGATACAATTAATCTATACCCTTTTTGGTAGTAATGCCATTCCGAATACTTAAGGGGTAACATACGTAAGGGGCCCTCAATGATCGGTCGAAGTCGAAATGACCGGAAATCGTTGGAAATGATCGCAATACTGTCAGCATCTTAAGGACGATCGTCGTATCGTTGTTTAGCACGTGAAATCGAAATCAATCGGTTCTCGAGGAAGGAAATCGTGTTCACTGATTTCCGAGCGAATGAACAGCAGCCCCTCGGGCCGAAGCATATAGAAATATCTAGAGGGAAAAGTAATTCCACTATATTCCACCGTTAAGAGACAAACGTTACAAGAGTCGACGAATTAACAATGTACCGTCGATTACAATTAACCACGTTAGTCTCGAGGGACGGGACTCAAAACATAGATCGAAATCGACGAGAATTCATTTTGCGATCAGGGCGCGGTCAACTCCAGATCTTCCCCAACTGATACCTTTGTTATGGGGAAATGTCCTTCTTTTCTCCTTGGCGAAATAAAAGAAAAAGCAGAATGTCGTGCCAGATGCTTTCCATTGTATGCAATGAACCCACCTCGGATCTTGTCGTAGAAAAGGTTTGGGTTTGAAAAAGCAAATGTAGTTTAGTAGCGTCGCGTTATAAAATGCCCGACTCATCGAGTCCTTAAAGGTGATGCGAAAGGGACAGCCTATATATGTATATCGAGAGGTCCAATTGTTCATGAAAGTATTCTCCGAATTGGGTGTACCCATTCGTTTCGCATTTTATCACGTGAATATGGAGATACCAAAGTAGGTTCCGAAACTCGTGAAATTTCAAAGAATGAGTCGCTGACTCGGCGTATACTCGATAAGACCATGAAAAGTCACGAATTCAGAGTGCAACGGACAACGACATAAATGTAATTGTCGGTAACGCGGCATGCAGTTTCAGATCATTTCTTAGTTAGACGGTATATCGGACTCTTTTTTACCGACGTTGATTAAATTCTTCGGTGACCTTAAGGTGACGCGAAAGTGCCATCCGAGGAGTCAATCGTTCACGAAACAATTCTCCAAACTGGGTGTACCGAAACGATTGAAATTATACAATATAAATATAAATAAAGTATAAGGAAGGTCCTAAAAGACATGCAATTTCAATTTTTGTTAAATTCGTTCATGCATATTTTAAAAATTTGTTATAAAAATAAAATTTCACCAGGGTCAGGACCTTTCTTATAGCCTCCGCATTTACGCTGTAAAGTTTGAAACGATTCCGCACCCCCAATTCGTAGTAAAGTTTCCCGAACGATTGACTATTCGGATACCGGTAGGATTTTTTTCCCAAGTCGAAGTGAATTCGCGAAACGGAAGACCGACAGTTTGACTCAGATGGAAGAGGCGATTATTCCCTCCCTTCGATTTCGAGGGGCAATGGCTTCGGTGGGCTTTTATCGCGCGATTACGAATCCAAACGCGGAAAAGGACCGACCGGAAGCTCGTCAGGACAAACCCCAGCCGATTAGTCATTGATCTGCCGGTTTCTTTGGTTCTTGCATGCAGAAACGGCGTCGCGGGCTCTGCGGTCCCCGACACAAAGGGAATTCTTAGGAAAGCCGGCAGGAGGAGCCGGTGAATCACGAGGATAGGGACAAAGCCACAAAACTCGCGTTTCTCCCTGATCCGTTCCTCCTCATCTGCATTGAAATATCCCATCAGACCTTCTTCCGAGGCGAACCGATCTACTTTTCTACATCTGCATTCGCGCGACGTCCCTCGTCGCGTCCAGTATTCCCAACCCTTTCCGATGAGCGATCCCCTGGTTTGTATTCGGACCTCGTCTTCGCTTCTGGTTGGGCCACGAGCCGCAGTTTGCAAAGCATTTTGCTCAAATCTCGTTAACCGATCTACGATTCTACCTTCGAGTTGGATTCATCTACTTTTGAAGGAGTCCAACGTTTCCGCGATTTTGCCGAATTTTGCCGAATTTCGTCCGGGCGAACATCGCGAACGTATTTCTGAACCAATCGAGTGCTCCTTTTAAGGTGATGTACGAAAAGCGTCAGGAAATTTAATCCACGTCGGGAAAAAGAAAAACCGTTTAACCTGAATCAGCGCGCCACGTTACCGACATTTATATTTATATTGACAGTTGTGTAGGACTGCACCGGAATATTCAACGGATTGGCACGCTCCATATGTTACGTTATGCCTTTACGATGTCATCATCATGGAATCATTGAGAAAAGATCGAAAACTCAAGAGATCTCCTGGATACGTGAATTTCGATGTACCACTTGACTCCCGGGCCATCCGCGGCAACTCATTTTTTGCTCTGAGAGTGCTTAAGACTCAAATTCGTGGATACTCCTTTTATGGTGTTAATGGGATCGGAACGCATATTAAACACGAGAGGCGAGCGAGAGTGGCGGCAGAATGTCCGCCATTGCGATCGTCGGGGGTCTTCCGAATAAACTTGTCGAATAAGCCAACATTTCTTTTAAACTAAGATCTGTACGGAAACACAACACGCGGTAGACGTTCTGGTTACGGTCCCCGCAATTGAGTTTTTCCACGCCATTCTTTTTTTTTCGTACATGTTCCTGGGGACTACACCTTCTTTCTTCAAACAAATATTTCGTTGTTCACCCGTATTTAAAACAATGGTGTACATTTATCTATTTAATTCACGTGTATTCAATTCGAGCACGTGTCGTTTAAATGTACTCGGATATATTTTTTTGTCAACGATAAATTTTCCTTTATAGAAACTACTCATATTGTCGACTCAAGTTCGAAGGCACTTATAAGAATCGCGAGCTACTTGAATGTACGCCAATATTTTGCACGTCAACGGTTTACTATGACGGTATCGGTTGGCCGTAATAAATTCGTCGTTGAAACGATCACATGTATTTTTGATGACGTATGAGCGAAATTCGCGTCCACGTACAGGCAATAGTGGACTAATCGTTGGACGCGTACAAATTTCTTTCACGGTCTTTCGCGGTCAAATGGTTAATTAATATCCAAACGTAAGATCGTAAAACTCCGAGACATCTAAACTTTTCTCTTTTCCAATCTATTTATTATCCTTTCCTCGTATTTCGGCTGTTCCCACGCTTCTCCTACCGTAGCCTCCGACGATGGATACATGCTCCATGTATGGTCAGACATGGCCGCTGCACCGAGACCGCGGTCGTGCATTACAGATCCGTTCGTATCAAAGGCGTGACCATGTATCGTACTTAATAACGCAAACCAATGTCTCGGTCGGAGGGAAACCGAATGTCCTTTGCCGTAATCACATATTTTTCTACAACTATTCCCATTTTCTCTTTAAAAGTCATCGCTGTTTCAACCGTATAAAAATGCCTAGTTTCCAAGGGGATATGGCAAATGCGGCCCGCTTGCGCTCCCGAAGGGCATCGGACGGGCGCCGAGATGAAGTACGAAGTCCGAGAATTCCCACGTTTAACGATTAAGGTCGATAGTCGATTCGCAGGGCGCTCGCAGGTTCTACTAACGCGCCGGGGCGGATCCCGAGGCGAGGTCATAGATTCTAGGTCCGTGTGACCGTTTGGAATTTCGAGTTCTCGGTCCAGCGAAACCCCTAACGGAAGTCACATCTCCGTGGAATCACTCGAGGGAAGGAAAGCTCGAAAGAAGTGTCCGGCCTGGGCAGGGACGAGGTAAACGGAGGAAAATCGGCAACATCGTCGGCGCTTCTTCCCGGTTCGGCTCGGCTCGGCGGGGGTGGGGGCACTCGATAAAAGTCACCGGCAGACCGATCGTGAGTCAGAGTCGCAGAGGACCGCGTTCCGGGTCGGTCGATTCCCCGCAGTCGCGCGCGGCTCCCTTCCTGTCCGAGAGCGCCCCAGGAGGACCCTCGACCCTCGACCATCGATCGGGAGACTCGCCGGGTCGCGAAGATCGATGCGCGAGCTCGCTAGATTCTCCTTTGGAGCGGGACGCGAGTCATAGCGAGGAATCGACCCGATCCGCACGCTAGGGTCGCGAAGATCGAGGGAGGATCCGGAATTCCGGAATTCCGTGCGCGAGTGAGTCCAGTCCCGTGGTCGATGCCTTGAACGGCTCGAGGTCTCGGAAGGGAATCTCCGAGTGGAATCGATCGGCTTTCTCGGATCTCCCGTCTTCCGTTTCCACGCGTCCGACCCGGGGAAGAGGGTGGACGGGAAAATGACGAGGACGAGACGAGAGTTCCTCCGGGTGCTCTTCCTCTTCCCGGTGTGCTCGATGACGCTTTCCGGGAACTCGGAAGCCGCGCCTTCGGTCGTCAGCGACACGGGAGCCATGGTGAGTCGAACCGCTTTGAAGTTTGCGCTCCGCAAAACGCCGTTAAACGGTTTATGTCCAGATTCCAAACATTAGGTCAGCCTGGCGATATTTTTTTGCGCATTCACGATTTCGGCTCGAATCGCGTCCGAATGCAATTGCAAAGTTCCGTAATTATTGTACGTCGGCGTGTATGCGCGAGGAGAAATGATAACTGGTAGCACGGAATATTTGTCTGATATTTTCTACATACTTAACGAATATCGTATATTTTGTAAATATTTGCTATACGTTTACTTTGGAATATTATTTTTATAATACTTCTCTAATATTGGATCTACATGTTCTCGTAATATTTTTCTCACGGATATACAAAACGTTTCGTTTTCTTTTAATATACCTGTAAGTATATTTTTCCAATCTTATGCGTCGAATACGTTACAAGCCTTTTCAAAATATTTCAAATCAAAATCACGTTTTGCTCCCACAACGAAATGGCGGATCGAAAGTATTGCAAACATTTGTCGCGTTCTTTGATACCAATTGAAGGGTGCGATAACAATCGTAAAATTAAATCTACGAGACATCTTAAGGAATCTGTCGCTTGAGATATTTAAGATAGATTAGGAAAAAATATTCATAAATTATTCCGTGCTACGAGGGATTGTGCGCGATGACGTAGCCGTTTCGTCGGGCGAGTTCTTTTAGCGAGAATTGTTAATAATTTTTGAAAGGCTGGTTATTCCACGGTAAAGGGATCGCGACGCGAGACGCATATGTCAATTATGTGGCCTAATTCACGAGCATAGTGTCAATAATTTGGGATCGATAGTCTCTCGGCGTAGTCCAGATAGATAAAACGAAATCCCGTCTGCGTAGTGTGCATGGAAGTGGACGCACGTGCGAGATAATTGACACTCCCAAACATGTCCGACAGCTTGCGGTGGACAATAGGGCTCGATTTTCATGACTAACCGGTAAAGGTGAACCCGAGGGGCTATTCACTCGGAAATCAGTGAAAACGATTTCCTTTTTGAATTTCCTTCATTGAGAGCCGATTGCCTTTGATTTCTTATTATAAGCGACAAGTGACGTTCGACCTTAAAAAGTCGTGACAGTTTTCGATGATTTTCAGCGATTTCGAGCGTTAAAATCCACGATTTCCTGAATGAATGTCCCCTCGGAAAACCTTCCTACCGAGTTGATTTCAATTCTAGTATTTTTTTTTTAATGTATAAACTGCTATTTGAACGATCGAACGGACGATAGCATAAAATACGCATAAGATGTACAGGTATTGATACGAGTAAAAATCATTAAATCGATTTCTTGACGAGGGTGTCGTCCCCTCGGATAGTACTCGTAGAATCTTGAAATAACTTCATCAATGACGTTTCTCCCTCGTCCACGGTGATTCATTTTCAGTAGAGTCACATTCAAGTAGATCGGAAAGAAGGAATTGACCCGCAAAGAGGTAATGTCGACCCTGATTTTGGATTTCGTCCTTTCAACCGGTTTGGGGAGTTTCTTTTTCGATTCGATTCGCGTTACTTCCGTTGAAGCGATCACTCGGACGAAGTAGCGCAGATCTAGGACCGGTTTTCAATTAATGACGCGGCGGTTAATTCGTGACGTCACTTGCACGAGTTGGCAAAGTTCAGACTCTCTCCGACTCTGGGTGATGACTGGACCGATGACGGCTCTCGAGACGGACCGAAAAATGCACGTTCCTACCTCCACGTCCGCTTTAACGTCGAACCTCGACCGTGTCAATTTTCATTTCTCAGCTATAATTAATTATCGCTCCAAGTCAATTCAAGAACGAGTTCCCCGGTCAATACCGTTTAACCCTTAGCGTTTGGCACGTTTCCCAACGTTATGACGAGTGTCTCCGTAGTGGAGCCAACGGAGCGCTAAAGGTTAATATTTTATTCCAAATGAAACATTTCTTGTACTTTAGCTAAAACGCATCGCGCGTGTCAAGTGAAAATTTGTACGCACGTCCAGAACTGTCTACTCTCCGCGGTGGGGCGAGTGATAGCATTTTAGCGGAAAAATACCGAAAGGAAGCAATCGGAGCGTTTCGGAAAATGACAAATGACAAATCATCCGAGGGGCTTTTATGGCGGGACGGAAAGATTTAACGAGTAATCGAACTCCCGCGAATTCATAGTTCGTAACGGTAAACCATTTGCAAGGTGTCAAGGATCATTTTCAAGGCAAGACCGTTTGAGACCATTGAAAAAATTCAAGGTGATCGGCATTATTCCGGGACCCGATTAACGATCATTTCGTTCCCGCGCATGTGTCGATGCAAGATAAATACCCGAAGTAACAGAAACAAGATCTCGTTACTTTATTAAGCGCTAATGTATAAATAACCTAACGACTGCTCGTCGAGAAACTGAGAGATCTTTGTCGACCTCCATGTGGAGCATACGGCAAACCGGTACATTTCTTGAGCACCGACGCAGGGATCGCTCGTAAAGAGTGTCGAGCTAATTGCCTCCGCGGAGATAATATAAGGAACAATGAAAGCAGCTAAAAGAAACTTCGAAGCGTTTAAGTAGCGACGCTCCGTTACTACTCGTGTCTAACAGTAACCTCTTACGACTCGTGGAAATGGCGATAAGAGTGAATCGGGCAGGGTACGGACCTTTTCAAATGACGCTACGCTCCTATTCGTTGTAAGTGAAAATTACACTTGTTACTCGCGCGTGGAAATTTATAGAAATACCCCGAGAGAAAAAGAGCTGGTAAACCGAACGATTTGACACCTTTGAAGCCATTTATGTTAAAGGAACGCAATTTATCGTTTTATTTACCATAACTTGGAGACTGCAACTATTTCTTAATAGCTGATCATCCTCCTGGCTTTTCTACGAATTTTGTATCATTTTGGAATAGTTAGGTTACCTTTTAAATATTGCCAACCCTCGTTGTCAACATCAGTTACGTTAACGATAACAAAGTGACATTTTACTATATAAATTGTAAGAAGTTTTGATATTCTTCCTGAGAAAGTATAGTAATCGTAACATTTTACTCCTCCCAAAAGGTAAAAAAAAAAATGCAGTAACCGACCCTAGATTTCCTAGTTTAGAAAAAAAAAGAAAAGAAAAAGGTGATTTTATTATAAAAAGTATCCGAGTCCCTTTTCAACTGTGAAGACTAGTTAAAAAATAATGATTTTACCTAGATTTCTCTGTTAGCCTACGGACGAGGATGCAGCAATAGGAAAAAGGTCGAAGGGACATTGAAACGCGTTAGCGAATTTTCTTTAACGTTGACTCGAATGAAACACATTGTTCGGAGAGATAGGAAACTCGGGATACGCGGAGGTTGTTTCGTGGACAATGGCATTGTCGGGTGAAATTAATATAAATCGATTTCCCTTGGACGGGTGCCAAACCCTCGACGTCGAGGTTCGTACTAGGAAATGGTAAATTATGTATGTGTCTCCACGCGGAAACACTTTGAGATCGCAGCTACCACGATAATGACCTTCGTGATGGCGGATTCGCAGTCCGGACACGAAATAGTTGTCATTGGAATATTAATCGAGTACAGGTATTTTTACCTTCGCAGCTTCAACTGTTAAATTATTGCTCCTCTAAGTACATTTATCGACTGCCTCCTACGTTTTTATTGCCTATTCGCCTATTCGCTTGCAAATATCGTTGCTTTCAAGAAAGTTTATCAGGTAGCCACATATCGTAAAACCAAGTTGAGCGGATGCGCGATTGCAATCGCGTATCTATTTCTTCAAGTAATCGATACATTTCCATAGGACTATCAGAAAATGAAATTTCACGAGTTTCAAGACCTATCTTAGGGCCACCATATTCCCACACGTGGTAAAATCTCGACCGAATCGGTACACCCAACTCGGAGAATACTTTCACGAACCATTTGATTTCTCCGATATATATATATATATATAGGCTGACCCTTTCTAACACCTTAACGTAGAGAAAAACGTAATGTGTGGATAAACGTTTCATTTTTGCACCGATTTCCATTCATTTTACGTATACAAAATGTGAATTACACTACTTTAGGTTTCTCGGGAATTAGTCGCGCTCGGATCTATCGGTTTTAGATACTTTTCAGGTGTGTGATAACGTCACGCCTCATCGAGCGTTTATCTTTGAAATCCGCCCCGGTGACACCTTGTGAACCATTAAGCGCGCCTCGGCGGCCATTTTGGATAACCGGCAGACCTCGCGGACTTTAACTTTTGCCGTCCTGGTTGCACTCCTTTTATCTTTGATAGCATGTCAGCCTTATCTCGCGGCCGTTAGCTCTTATTTTTTTAAGACGCACCACTTAGCGTAACCTCCTTTATCCCGAGAGAGCCCAAACGATACATGCATGCAATTCCGATTCACGGGCCCTTCACGGGTCGGGATCTTCTGTAGCCGAGTTTGCCAAAAGAGAAAAATCTTTACTCATCTTCTCTTCGTAAAAAACCATATTCGCGCAGAAGTAGAGACACCGAGAAAAGAAGTTGCTCGACTCAAAGAAGTACGCATTGCGACAAGAAAATCCTGCGATCAAATACGTCCAAAGAGACGTCAAATTGAGTAAACCAAATTATTTGATTGAAATCAATCGAAGGAGAAGTGGTATCCGTGTGACTTTTGGTTTGAAATAGAGAAATTCACGAGCAATTGAAATTTTATCGCGAACGTATGTTACATTTTTATATTTGTTCAAAATGGAAGGCGGATTGCTCGACATGCTCGGCTGTTATCAGCAGAAAATTCGTTATGTTTAACGAGTACGTCTTCTCGGTGCGCCCGCGAACCCACGACTCGTATTGCAACGCCACGCTGGGCGTTAAAAGATCCACTTTGCCGCCTTGGGGGACAATGGATTATTGTACGATCCGTTTTAATTGGGCTAATATTTTCGAAGGAACTGGCGAGAACATCCGAAGCCATGAATGCATGCATCGCATCATCTAGCGACGAGGAAACAACATTTATGGCAACAAAGTCTTGTTCGGTTAAACGATT